CCATTTGTCCAATTCCCTTTTAAAGCTACCCAAGTTGTTGTCCGCCATCACTACATCATGAAGCTGTGAATTCTCTTTCTCTCTTTTTTTTTTAAAAAGGATTTTATTTATTTTGAAAAGTTTTTATTATTAAAAAAATTCAGCATTAATACACACATATTACAAATATACAAGCATACAAACATACATTTCATACAATCCTTAAAAATGTTCAAACGTACCTACACTCAATCCCACAGATATTTCCTTTTCCCATTACCATCCCTCACCCCACCTTTGTGTTAGACTTCCAATCTACTCAATTGCAATTTCTTTCCACTTCTATTACTTTCTTTCACACACCTTTAACCCAGTTTTCTGCTTCTTTTTCTATTACACATTGTTATCCATCTTATTTAGTATTTCAGTATTTAAAATGGAACTTGTTTATTCTAATAGGAGTTCTGGTTTTTCAATATGGAGTTGAAAATATGGAGTTCTGGTTTTTCAATATGGTTTTGCAAGTATCCTTTAAACACCTTCCAGTCCCTGTCTATCTTCTCTTTTGAGATCCTTCCACTTTCTCCCATTGTTTTGGATATATTGTAATACTCCAATAATTTGGCAAGCCACTCTATTTTTGTCAGTATAATACCACTTTTCCAATTTTTCGCAGTCAATAGCCTTGTGGCTACTGTTGCGTATAAATATAATGTCTTGTCTTCTTCCTTTAGACCTCCTGGTACTATTCCCAATAGAAAAACTTCTGGTGTTTTCCTAAATGAGTATCTGAACATTTTTTTCATTTCGTTATATATTGTTTCCCAAAATTGTTTGATGTTTAAACAATTCCACCATATATGCATCATAGTACCTTTTCCAGTGTTGCATCTGGACACTGGACACTGGCACGATGCAACACTAAAAAATGATTTTTATTAATTTTTCTGTTTTACAATTTCAGATAAACATTGGGCTATGTGAAGAGCAATTGCCTGCTTTAAATCTCCTGTTTCTCAGTTTAACTGGATGACCCTGGAGTCTGAGTATAAGAAGAGAGGAAGGAGCAGAAGACAGCCCTCTCTTTCCATGCATCATTTTATACATCTATCAGACATGCTGGGTTATTTTAATGCAGCTCAATAAAACGAGAGTCAAGTACTTGTTCCTCGTTGGAGGGATTCATGGGGGGGGGACCATGTACCCCACCTGGAGCTCCTTGGAGAAAAAGGTGGGACACAAAGGTAAAAAATAAAATATAGTAGATACATTCTGGCTGTATTTGGCTGTAGGGCATTGTTGAGGAAGCCAGAATATATAAGGTCTCTCTCTTGAGCCTTGCAATTGCTGGAAATAGCAAATGCCTCTCTCTGGTTTTTGTCACCTTGTCTGGTGCTTTCTGTGATACTAACCTTGGATGGATGCCTGACCTTGCCTCTGGATCATGTTTTGGACCAGGACTAATTCTCTGTGCTTGACCCTGGTGTGTTTGGACTGTGCTGCACCTCTAATTCTGCCTTCGTTGACTGTTTTGGTAAGAGGTGTTGTAAGAAAATTGAGGCTGGCTTTTTCCCACAGCCCAGTAGTGGACCTCAAGGGATCCCAAGTCCCTTGATGGGGAGTTGAGCTTGATATAGAAAAATAGGGGTGGTTGGCTTTTGGTGCCCAACTCCCCAAGGGACTGAATCCCCTAAGTCATGGGTAGGCAAGCTAAGGCCCGAGGGCCAGATCTGGCCTAATCAGCTTCTAAATCCGGCCCGTGGACAGCCCAGGAATCAGCGTGCTTTTACATGAGTGGAATGTGTCCTTTTATTTAAAATGCATCTCTGGGTTGTTTGTGGGGCATAGGGTTCATCTCCCTCCCCCGCAAAAATATAGTCTGGCCCCCCACAAGATCTGAGGGACAGTGGACTGGCCCCCTGCTGAAAAAGGTTGCTGACCCCTGCCCTAAGTCCATGATTGGTCAGAGATGAATGGATGAGGGCAGGATGCAGTGAAAACAAGGCAGATCTTTATTTTTCTGTTGCAACAGAGATCCCTCCCTCCTAGCAAGGAGGCAAGAGTGACCCAGAACCAAGAAGAAACATCTCTTTTAAGGGTTTTCATTTTTGCGTGGAGAAGAAGGACAATCCCCTCAACAAAGTCAGAAATTACATCACACATAAGATGGGGTTACTGTGGCTCAGGCAGGCCAAGGGGTGATATTCCTGAGGATTTAGCAGGATTTAGCATAGTTCCAGACACAGTTTACACAAAACATTATCATTTGATAAGACAATCAGGATGCTGTCATACATCCCTCAATGCAGAGCATCTGGGCAAACAATGACAATTACGGTAATACAAAGGAGGTTCATAGATATAGGAGAGGAATCCCTTCAGGAATGTCCCCTGATTGCTCTCTGCCTATGTGTTCTCAGGCAATGGGGATTAAGGAGGCAGAGGAAATATTGAGAGTCTTTAAGAAAGCCAAGATGGCTTTTGGATTGCTCTTTTGGATCACATTCATCCAGTACTTTACCAGCTACACTGGCTCCCGGTGGAGTACAGGGTCAGGTTTAAGGTGCTGGTTTTGACCTTTAAAGCCCTATGCGGCCTAGGACCCACGTACCTACAGGACCGCCTCTCCTGGTATGCAGGAACCTTAAGGTTCACAAATAACAAGACTTTGGAGGTCCCGAGCCACAAGGTGGTTGGATTGGTCGCAACTAGGGCCAAGGCCTTTTCAGTACTGGCCCTGACTTGGTGGAACGCTCTGTCACAAGAGACTAGGATCCTGCGGGACTTGACATCTTTCCGCAGAGCCTGCAAGACAGAGCTGTGGCCTTTGGTTTGGACTCAGTCTGACCCTTATGTCTTCCTTCCCTTTACGGTTTTGATTTATGGGCTACTTTTAAAATGAGGCTGCTTTTTAAATTGCATTTTAACCTGTATTTTAAATTGTTCACACACACCCCTATTATGTTTCCATTGTAATTTTACTGGTGTTAGCCGCCCTGAGCCCGGCTTTGGGCGGGGAGGGCAGGGTATAAATAAAATTTATTATTATTATTGTTATTACTCTTCTCCAAACAAAAGGTGGCAGCAAAGAGAGGAGAACCTGCCTTTGCCACTGAAATAACAATAAGCATATTTTCCTGCAAGAAGCTTGAACGATGCTTTCTGCTGACCAGCCTCCTCATTTATTAGCTAGCACATGTGGTAGAAGAGTCCTCAACTCTTTATCTAAGAGATGACTTAGTCCAGATTCACATTGCCTCTCCTCAAACAGACCTTTGAGCAGTATAAGACCCGAGGAGAGCTTTTCAGTTTCTTAACAACAGCATGTTAGCTAGAACAACCTGTCCTTAGCAAACAGCTAGAGTAAACATGGATCACCCAGGCGAGAGATTTTGTGTGCTGAACATGCACTCCCAAGTTTTGCATCCTGACAGAAAACCCCCCGAAAGACATCTGTTTTGTGGTTGGAGTCAGGACAGCCAGATCAGAAGATCACAGGCCTTTAAGTTCAAACTTAAATGTAGAGGTATATGGCAGAAAAGTATAAATGTTCAGATTCATGTTTATATTCAGTAAGACAGCACAGCTCACATCACTGCTGTGGTCTCCGATCCATTCTCCCTGCTGTTTTTTGCCAGCGCAGTAAATATGCAGCAGAGTAATCTGTGGTAGCCGTCCCTAGTTTACCCACCTTTTTCAAAGAGTTAAGAGTCAGTCAATATTAAGACGGAGGAAATGGAGGGGAAAGAATCAACACTTTAAGTGCTCTGGTGCCTGAATAATGCAAAGGGGGAAGAGTAAAATGCGTGGTTGTCATGACAACACCATCCCTGGATGCTCTGGGATGCTTCTTACTGTGCTTACATCCCAAAGCTTCCGGACTATTGAAATGATGTGAGCGAATTTTCCAGTTGTGCAAGTAAGTCTAAGGAAGTGTTCTGCATGGCAGACAGGATGTGAAGAATTTTGCGAGGGCTTGGCCTTGTCACAGAACATAAATGGGGACCTGAAGCTGGAAGTAAAACCTGCCTTAGATAACTATTAACTACAGTCACACCCACCATACATTTAAAGCACACTTCTTTCCCCCAAAAATCAAAGGAATTGTAGTTCTGTGAGGGGTCAACTGCAACTCCCATGATTCTTTGAGGGAGGTCATGCCTGTTAAAGTGGTTTGGATGTGGTTTAAATTGTTTAGGGTTGTAGCCAGCTAAGTTCTACTAAGAGTAGAACCACGGAAACTAAGAGACCCCACTTTTTCTCGCCAATTAATTCCAATGGGTCTACTCTCAAGTATGCCTGACAAGGGATACAACCCTTATTATTTATTAGGAGGAATGGCAGATGAAACTGATGGACTATATGGAACTGGCGGAAATGACTGGCAGAATCCGTGACCAGGGAGAAGAGTTGGTGGAGGAAGATTGGAAGAAATTCAAAGATTATCTACAGAAACACTGCAAAATTAATGAATGTTAGAGTGATGTTGGATTGAAAATAAGTGGTTTCCAGCTGTACAGGATAAAGTTATAGATAGACCAAGATCAAAGATTAGGATTAAAGAAGTTTAAGGAAATGGAAATTTGGTACTTAAGAGGTAAAATTTCAAAGTTATATTACAGTGATATTAAAGATTAGGATTAAAGAAGTTTAAGGAAATGGAAATTTGGTACTAAAGAGGTAAAATTTTGATGTTATATTATATTAAGATTAAAGACTGGGATTAAAAAAGTGGAAAAGAAATTGCTGGACAAACAATTTGGATTGGAATACAAAAGAGGGAGGTATGAGGAAGTCCAGAAAATAAGTAAATTTAAAAATGGAAATGAAAAAGTGATATTGTTTTTAATTGTTCTGTTTATTCTGCTTTATTTGCTTTTTGTTTTTTTGTGTGTGTTTATTTTCCTTCTTTTTGGATTATGTATAGTGTATTTGTGTATTTTTTTTTTATGTCTTTCTGTCTAACTTTTTTTCTGAAACCTTAATAAAAATCATTTATAAATAAAAACAAAAACAAAAAAAACCCTTATTATTTATTAGTTACGTTTCTAGATCACTTTCTCCCAAGGAAGTCCAGAGCAACATATAAGAAGCTATAAAAAACACAAAGTACAGATCATAAATAAAACATCATAACCAATGTAGAATAATTATAATTAACTTCTCTTTCCTCCTCAAGGACTAGAAAAACCTTGAACGGCAGTTCCAAGATTTTGTTTGGAGAAGCAAATGCAAATTCCAGTCTTTGGAGTGCTGTGGAAATTGCTGCAAGACACGTGTTCCTCTGAGGAAAAGGAATGGAAATTACATGAGCGAATATGAATGGTATTGGCTACTGCACTTCTTGTTATCACAAAACAACATATTGCAGGCTAAAAATTACTAGAATAACTAAAAACTACATAAACTCTTAACAGTGGTTCAACATTAAAATCATATATTTTAGCCCTGGGAGAATAAAGAAGTGTTAGAATCATAGAAATGTAGAGCTGGAAGGGATCCTGAGGGTCATCTAGTCCAACCCTGATTTCCAGAAAAGCGGGCTGCCATATGTCCTGGATTTCCTGGACACTACTGGGATTTCAAATGCGCAAGTGATGTCCGGGGGAATTTATGGAAGGCCGGGATCTTTGGCAAGTAAACTGAAAAAACACTTTCATTTTTTAAAAAAAGCTCAACAATTTTGGGGTCTTCCTAAAAAAAAAAAGGACACTTTCGGGGTGTCCTGGTTTTTACTTTTTGAAATATGGCAACCCTACAGAAAAGTTTGCCTGAGATTGCAGCCTTAGGCCTTTGAAGTAGTTAAAACTATACATAGTTAGAATATATAATGAATGCAAAGCATGCGATATTATACAGAATTCGTACATTACCACTACCCAAATACCCCCCCACTATTCTCTTTCTGAAATTATATCTTTTTAAAAAAGCATATAAAACCAACAATATAATCATATGAATTGATGGGAACCTTCCATAGCTATGGCTTCATTCACCAGATAACTCCAGGAAGGATATCCAAATTGAGTAAATTTTTCTCAGGTGCCTTTCACACCATCAAAAGTAGTAAAACAATATGAAAATCCAGGGATTTTTCAGCTTCTTCTTCTGGTGTCCTGGCTGTTTCTTATTTGCTTCAGGTTAGTATCAATCTCATTATCCATTATGTGCTTTTAGACCGTTGACTTCATTCATCTTCACAAGCCTTTTATGGAAGATTACTGTTGTTCCCATTTTGTAGATAAAAGAAGTCTGCTAAGCCTTTAAGATGCAGCGGTGTTGCAGAACGGCAGAGGCTCCTCCAAGGCCCTGATGAGGGAATCATGGCATCGGAGCCCCATCCAGATAGGGGGCAGGGACGTAAGCCCATATCACGGATCCTAGCCTGTATCCTGGATTGGCAATTGGGGATGCAGGATAGGATAAGGGCCGGGGCACAGAACAGATGGAGAAGGAAGGCTTCCCTTGGGTCCGCTCCCTGGCCATTTAAGCAGCCATCACCTGGGGCCCTACCTGCTTTTCCCTTGTTGGGTCGTTCCCCCCGCCCCCCGTTCAAACCGATGGTTAAGGACTATGCTGTGGCTACAGTATCATAAATGTACCAAGCAAACAACATGTCTCGAGCAGCACAGGAATACAGTCCTGAATCCCATGTTTCTCTGCAAGGAGGGAGGAGGTAAAAAAAAACCTTGTTACAGGAGTTTAGTAATCACCATTTCAAAGGGTGACAGACTACCAGGAAAGCCAATCAGATAAGGCATTATCAGATAACCTGGCAGACAGGAAAAACAACAACATTTAAATTTCTGTTGTAGACCACCTTTTCTGTGATGTAGGTATGATGTTTGTAGGTGGGGGGTCGTCTTGGGTTACACCCCTTTTGTGATGTATGTATGATGTATGGAGGGGTGGTCTTGAGCTCCAGGGCAGGGAATTTAAAATGTCTATATAAGGGCAGACACACCTTGGTTCTGGGTCCTCCTCCGTCCTCCTGCATGTGAGGGGAGCACCCTGTTGCAACAGTTCAATAAAGATCAGGCTTACTAGCTGCTTTGCTTCTCAATATTCTCTGGTTGGCCTCTGTTATTTTCTCCTACCAATAGGGAACCCATGTAAGGAATCTATATGGGCTCTTGGATACCCCATAAGGGAAAAAGGGCAGATTTTGTTACAACACCTACCTCCTAGCAATTGTCACAACTGGGTTGGGCATTGGGGCAATCTTTTGTTTTGGATGGAGGGGAGGTTGTAGTCTCTGCCTGCCCCTCCAAATGCTGGGGTATCCCGTTAAAGGGACCGGGGGGGGAGTGGTCATGTCCGTGTGCCCAGGCGGGGCCAGGGCTGAAGGCACTGCCCAGACAGTGGTCCCTGCAGTGGTCACCCTATGTGATGTAAATCTTAAGAAAAGGGAAAAGGTAAAGGACTCCTGGATCATTAAGCCCAGTCAAAGACGACTATGGGGTTGTGGCGCTCATCTCACTTTCAGGCCAAAGGAGCCGGCGTTTGTCCACAGACAGCTTTCCGGATCATGTGGACAGCATGACTAAACTGCTTCTGGCACAACGGAACACCATAACGGAAACCAGAGCGCATGGAAACACTGCTTACTTTCCCGCCACAGCGGTACCTATTTATCTACTTGCACTGGTGTGCTTTCGAACTGCTAGGTTGGCATGACCTGGGACAGAGCAACGGGAACTCACCCCGTCATGGGCATTTGAACCGCCGACTTTCGGATCGGCAAGCCCAAGAGGTTTGGTGGTTTAGACCACAGCGCCACCCGCGTCCCCAAGTATTAGGAACCCCCCGCCTGGATTGGCCTAAGTGTCGCTTCTGGTGGGCGGGCTGGAAGTATTTTGATTGCCCCATGCCCAAGCCAAACCTCTTTCATCTGCATTCAATAAAGTTTGTTTCGATCCAAACCAGTCCTTTATTTGTCTGCAGGTTGGGGACTAGAGAGCACAATGCCTGAACCCACAAGAGAGACTGAGAACTGGTGACTTGCCAAAGGCCACCTAGGAACTTCAAACATAAGCAGTGATGAGAATAGTGTCATGAGACAAAGGTTCTTGAGAGCAGAAGCAGTAAGGCCTACAACGCCTACAAAATCATTCGAACCTGCTAACTGCTAACAGCAAACTGCTAAGTCACTGTAACTCGTGACTCATCTTGAGTGATGACTCATTCTCCCTATAAAAGTAGCCAACTTCTCTGTGGGCCTCTGTGTGTGTGTCTCAGTCTAAGCCTCAGCCAGTGTGTGTGTGTGTGTGTTGTGTTGTTTGCAGACAGAATGGCTCCAGGACTCTGTGAAGAGTCAGATAGCTGTCATGAGCACTCTGTGTATGCTCTTTAACTATGCTGTTTACGAACAACTTTATTTTCTCAAGTAAAAGTTTTGTTCTGTTTATGAAGAAGACTCTGTTTTGATTAATTTACCACTGACGACAAGTAGTGGCAGCTGGGAAGGAGAATGTGACTTGTAATCTGCATAGCTTCATCCCTCCCTCAGTGGCTAGTAGCAGCAAAATCAGATTGGTCGCAACTAGGGCCAGGGCCTTTTCAGCACTGGCCCCGACTTGGTGGAACGCTCTGTCACAACAGACTAGGGCCCTGCGGGACTTGACATCTTTCCGCAGGGCCTGCAAGACAAGGCTGTTCTGCCTGGCCTTTGGTTTGGACTCAGTCTGACCTTTATGTTTTCCCACCCCTTATGGTTTTGATCTATGGGCTACTTTTAAAATGAAGCTGCATTTTAAATTGCATTATAACATGTATTTTAAATTGGGTTTTTTTCCCATTATGATTTTACTGTAATTTTACTGGTGTTAGCCGCCCTGAGCTGAGGAATAAATAAAATTTATTATTATTATTATTAATGCAGAACAAGCTCTCACACACATATTTGCACAATTTATTCAGGCTGCAGAATTTGTCTTACTCAGGGAGCAAACTTTCTGTTACTTTGTTCCGTAATTGGGTTTTCTTCATGCATTGTGCATTCCCAATGAAAGTTTTGCTTTGGCAGACATGTATTTTGGTAAGAGTGGCTCCTCTGAAACACTTTCTAACCTGCAACTCCATAGTTCTTTCAATTAGCTGGATGGCTGGAATTCACCTCGGGCTCAACTGAGTGGATCACTAATTCCCATGGGTCAGCCTCAGCCCAGTCTTCACTCATTTGCCCTAGTTAATGAGCAACAACTCCCACTCACAATTATATAATAATCCACCAGACTGTATTGTGGCTAAAATTAAAGCAATTAGCTCTAGGCAGAGGAAAATGTTACTAAACAAAATACCAGTGCTCGGCTTCCATTATATAAAAAGCAAATTGAGCAACTGTTTTTATGGTAGATTAGCTATTTTAGAGTGAACAGAGAGGTTGCAGTCATATGTTCCAGCTATAATGGCTGCAGCTTATACCAGCAAATAATGTAGTCAGATTCCTATGTTCCCATACCCTCCAACATTTCTCCGATGAAAATAGGGACGTCCCATTCCATAATGATAATTTTACTCTTTATATCCCACACATCTTACTGGGTTGCCCCAGCCACTCTGGGCTTCTTCCAACATATATAAAAAACATTAAACATTAAAAAAAACCTTCCCTATACAGGATTGCCTTCAGATGGCTCAGGGGTCAGATAACTCCATACCCTCCAACATTTCTCCAATGAAAATAAGGGACATCCTAAGGAAAAATGGGTCATTCCGGGATCAAATCAGAAACTGGGACGGCTTCTCTAAACCAGGGATGTCCCTGGAAAATAGGGACACTTGATTTTTCCAGGTGGAAAAATCAAAATTAGAAACAGAACTGCTAGAACCCAAAACTAAGAATTTGTCAAGAATGTATAACTTGCTGCTGAAATGGAATACTCAGGATGAAACGGTGAAATCTGCTATGATTAAATGGGCACAAGATGTTGGACATAACATTATGTTTGCTGACTGGGAACAGTTATGGACCACAGGTATGAAGTTTACAGCATGTAATGCCCTAAGAGAGAATATTATGAAAATGATATACAGGTGGTACATAACCCCAGTCAAGCTTGCAAAAATTTACCATTTGCCTGATAATAAATGTTGGAAATGTAAAGAAACTGAAGGTACATTTTTTCACCTTTGGTGGACGTGCCCAAAGATTAAGGCTTTCTGGGAGATGATATATAATGAATTAAAAAAGGTATTTAAATATACCTTCTTGAAGAAACCAGAGGCCTTTCTCCTGGGCATAGTCGGCCAATCGGTGTCAAAAAAGGATAGAACTTTATTTATGTATGCTACAACAGCAGCAAGAATACTCATCGCAAAGTATTGGAAGACACAAGAGCTACCCACACTGGAGGAATGGCAGATGAAAATGATGGACTACATGGAATTGGCGGAAATGACTGGCAGAATCCGTGACCAGGGAGAAGAGTCGGTGGAAGAAGATTGGAAGAAATTCAAAGATTATTTACAGAAATATTGCAAAATTAATGAATGTCAGAGTGATGTTGGATTGAAATTAAGTGGCTTCTAGCTGTACAGGCTTTAAGGTTATAAATATATTAAGATTAAGGATTAGGATTAAAAAGGTTAAAAGAATGGAAAAATTGGTTTTCAATAGGTAAAAAATTAATGTTATATTATATTAAGATTAAGGATTGGGATTAAAAAGGAGGGAAAGGAATTGCTGGACTAACAAACTGAATTGGAATACAAAAGAGGGAGGTATGAGGAGGTCCGGGAAACAAGTAAATGTAAAAGAAGTTATGAAAAGACGGAATTGTTTTTAATTGTTTTTTCTTTTTCCTTTTTGTATTTTGTACGGTGTATTTTTCTTTTTCTTTTTAAATTTTCCTTTTTTATTAATGTGATTTCTTTTCTGTGAAACTTTAATAAATATTAATTTTTTTTAAAAAAAGGAAAATAGGGACACTTGGAGGGTCTGTGCTTCCCAACAGCAAAGTAAAAAGCACGATTCTAGGATCGGAAAAGTCAGCTAATATTCATTCATTCATTTATAAAAGTCTATGTACTCACATAAAATATCAAGGTGATACACAGCAAAATATGCAAACACAATAAAATATAAAATATTGTTAAGAAATACAAAATAATCACAAGAATGATTATTTCATCAAAAAGGGGAGAATTAAACAATTGAATAGGCCTGTCGGCACAAAAGAGTCTTTGATATAACAATGGAAACTTCTCCCATAGGAGCCATGACAACACTGTTCCTGGCCTCCTTCTTCTTTGTTGTTGTTTAGTCGTTTAGTCGTGTCCGACTCTTCGTGACCCCATGGACCAGAGCACACCAGGCACTCCTGTCTTCCACTACCTCCCACAGTTTGGTCAAAACGCATGCTGGTAGCTTCGAGAACACTGTCCAACCATCTTTTCCTCTGTCGTCCCCTTCTCCTTGTGCCCTCCATCTTTCCCAACATCAGGGTCTTTTCCAGGGAGTCTTCTCTTCTCATGAGGGGGCCAAAGTATTGGAGCCTTAGCTTCAGGATCTGTCCTTCCAGTGAGCACTCAGGGCTGATTTCCTTCAGAATGGATAGGTTTGATCTTCTTGCAGTCCATGGGACTCTCAAGAGTCTCCTCCAGCACCAGAATTCAAAAGCATCAATTCTTTGGCGATCAGCCTTCTTCTTTGGCGATCACTTATAGCCAAGTATGATTATCTACCATGAACACAGTTTTAACAGTGAGTCCGTAAGTGACTGTGGAGACCAATTCTGCATTAACACCTCTTTCCCATGACTTTACCTTCTGCGCAACCAGTGGCACATTGTGCTATGGGAGTAGAAAACCAAAGATGTCCAGAAAGTCAGTCAATCCATCTGAACAGCTTTCAAGACAAGAACAGAAGAATGGCTGCTTTCTGGCTTCTAACTGCTTCAACTGACTGGGCTTTCAGCTTAGCCAGAGATCCTTTCAAGCAACTCACCTGGCCTCCTAGGAAACAAAACATTCCCCAGGATTCCACAGCTGGTTGTGAGGTCAGAGCCTGGTCAAGGACTGGAGCCAATGGGCTCCGGGCTCCAGGAACGCTCTCTCTGCCAGGCCCATGGCACCACTGGGCAACCTCAGGCAGCTGCCAAGCATCTGACCCACACCTGCATTTACCCCCAAGCAGAAGGCTCAGGCAGCTGGATCTAGGCTCCGCTTAGAGTTTCCCCAAATCCTCTCAACTTTGCACCCCTCTGGAGTATTGAAGGAAATAAGGCAGGCCATGACTGTGGTCCAGTTTCTGGCACCTCCTTTAAATTCACCAGTTTGTCCAGGAGTTGGTTGGCTAGTGGTCATCATTTGGTCATGGTGTATCATACGTTCCAATGGGTTGAATGTTCTTTTAAAGTTTTTTTCGGGGGGGCCTTCATTGTATTATGGAACCTTCTTTCTCCACCTGGTTGCTCACTCACATTCACCACTAGGCATCTTTTGGTGCTTTATTGTATTATTACATGAAAACACCTTTTATCTGAGGAACGTGGGGGCTGAGAGGAAGAACCAATAAGGCAAGGCTGTGCTAGCAAACACTGCTCACTTTCATCTCTGTTTCTCTTTGGCCGAAGCCCGAAGAACAAATGGTGGACAGGCTAGGAGCCTCAATGGCACCCTCTGGAAGTTTCACCCAGGGCAAAAACCCCGGCTAGCCCCTCACCCAGCCCCCAAGCTACACCTCTGTGTGAAGCCCATGAAGGTGCTGGCCTCAGGTGAGTTGCTTGCCAGCAGGTGAGGTGGGCTAGAATACTGGGCCTCTCCAGACCCCAAAAGGCTGCTGTGCACCTCTTAAATGCGCTTTTAAGAAACAAAAGAGCTCTCAGGCCTCAAGCACAGAATTACTTTTTTATTGCCTCTTGCTAAACTAATCTAGACATGATCCTGGAGGAACATCGGCTGGCTGTGAGTGTGAAGGCTGCTCCCCGCAAAGCCCTTTCCACCTGGCCTAGGGGGCTAGGCCCACACTCACCAGCCCCACTGAAGAGGCTCCTCATAAGGCTGAAGGAACATCGCCCGGCTATTGTTTTATTGATTTAATATGCTGTAAACCGCTTTGAGATTTTTATTAAAAATATAAAGCGGTATGTAAATAAATAAATCTCCCCCTCTTTTTTGTTATTGTTGCTAAAAATAGAGATACCTCTCTTGGATCGTGCTGCAATTTCTCTGTGTTTTTAACAACAACAACAACAACAACAACAATTTATTTATACCCCACCCATCTGGCTCCCAACAGAATTAAAAGCACAATAAAACAACAAACATTAAAAACCTCCCTAAACAGGGCTGCCTTCAGATGTCTTCTAAAAGTCAGATACTTGTTTATTTCCTTGACATCTGAACGGAGGGCATTCCACAGGGCAGGCGCCACCACCGAGAAGGCCTGGTTTCCTGTAACCTCACTTCTCGCAGTGTCTGGGCTGGACAAAGGGGGTGGAGTTATACTCCTTCAGGTATATTGGGCCGAGGCCATTGGGGGCTTTAAAGGTCAGCACCAACACTTTGAATTGTGCTCGGAAACATAACGGGAGGCAATGTAGGTTTTTCAGAACCGGTGTTATATGGTCTCGGCAGCCACTCCCAGTCATCAGTCTAGCTGCTGCATTCTGGATTAATTGTAGTTTCTGGGTCACCTTCAAAGGTAGCCCCACGTAGAGCACATTGCAGTAGTCCAAGCGGGAGATAACCAGAGCATGCACCACTCTGGTGAGACAGTCTGCGGGCAGATAGGGTCTCAGCCTGCGTACCAGATGGAGCTGGTAGAAAGCTGCCCAGGACACAGAATTGACTTGCGCCATGGACAGTTATGAGTCAACTGCGCACCTGGTCCTTCAGGGGCACAGTTGCCCCATTCAGGACCAGGGAGTCCTCCACACCCACCCGCCCCCTGTCCCCCCAAAACAGTACTTCTGTCTTGTCAGGATTCAACCTCAATCTGTTAGCCAACATCCATCCTCCAATCATCTCCAGACATTCACACAGGACTTTTGCCTTCATTGGTTCTGATTTGAAAGAGAGGTAGAGCTGGGTATCATCCGCATACTGATGAACACCCAGCCCAAACCCCCTGATAATCTCTCCCAGCGGATTGATATAGATGTTAAAAAGCATGTGGAAGAGGACGGAACCCTGAGGCACCCCACAAGTGAGAGCCCAGGGGTCTGAACACACCACTTTCTGGACACAGCCCAGGAGGAAGGAGCAGAACCACTGTATAACAGTTCCTCCAGCTCCTCTAGACGGTCCAGAAGGATGTCATGGTTCATGGTATCAAAGGCTGCTGAGAGATCCTGCAGAACTAGGAAACAGCTTTCACCTTTGTCCCTAGCCCGCCAGAGATCATCGACCAATGTGACCAAGGCAGTTTCAGTCCCATGATGAGACCTAAATCCTGATTGAAAGGGATGCGAATGGTCCGCATCCTCCAGGCATGCCTGGAGTTGTTCAGCAACCACCCACTCAATCACCTTGCCCAAGAATGGAAGATTTGAGACTGAGTGATAGTTGGCCATATTGGCTGGGGCCTGAGATGTACTTTTTTAAAGAAGCGTTTTAATAACTGTCTCTTTCAGTGGGTCTGGGAAGGCTCCCTCATAGAGGGAAGCATTCGCCACCCCACGAAGCCCATTGCCCAGCCCTTCCTGGCTTGCTTTTATGAGCCAGGATGGGCAAGGATCAAGGAGACAGGTAGTCGGTTTCACTCGTCCAAGCAGCCTGTCCACATCCTCGGAGGTAACAGATTGGAATTGATCCCACACAACTTGACTAGACAGGACTCAGATGTGCTTTAAAGATGCAGCATGTTGTTATAAGAATTTTAAGGTCTCAAATATAGAATAAATATTCATAAATGCACAGTCTTACTGGAATTTATGTAAAGGTGGTGGTGGTGGGGTTGCCCCTCCAGCAGACATCCTACCCCCGCCCCAACTACCAAAATCAACACAATCACTCCTGCAAATGTCCCCACAAAACATTTCATCACACAGTTGTCAAAGAAACTAAGATTAAGAAACTGACAAGAAAAATTATCTGAAACCATAAACTTGTTAATGCTTATAAAATAAACTTGTTTATTTGGTTTAATGTTAACAACTGTCTGGACTCCGTGTGTACCCGAGAGAAACGGGTTGGTGGCAGCGGGGAAGCAATCACAGAGGTGGCACAGGGATCAATAGACCGTCAAACGTCCAGGGACCCTGTGTTACCTACCTGAGGCTAGGTAATCACTTCACTTCTTAGTTTCTTTACTGGCCTATACCTTCCTAATAACTTCTAACTGATTATCCCAACTGTCTATCTAACTCCTCTTAACAGATTCTCTCACTCTCTCACATCAAACTATCCCAACCCACAGACATATCCTTCCTCTCCCCTCTGTAACACCCGACTGACTCCTTAACAACACTAACTCTAACTCCTCCCCTTGGGTTCCCACTTGCCAATCACTTCACACTCATTTAACCCTTTCCTTATGACCCAGCAGGGACGTGGGTGGCGCTGTGGGTAAAACCTCAGCGCCTAGGACTTGCCGATCGCATGGTTGGCAATTCGAATCCCCGCTCCGGGAGAGCTCCCGTCATTCGGTCCCAGCTCCTGCCCACCTAGCAGTTCGAAAGCACCTTTAAGTGCAAGTAGATAAATAGGTACCGCTTTATAGCGGGAAGGTAAACGGCGTTTCCGTGTGCTGCTCTGGTGCTGGTTCGCCAGAGCAGCTTCGTCACGCTGGCCACGTGACCTGGAAGTGTCTGCGGACAGCGCTGGCTCCCGGCCTCTAGAGTGAGATGAGCGCACAACCCTAGAGTCTGTCAAGACTGGCCCGTACGGGCAGGGGTACCTTTACCTTTACGACCCAGCATGTCACCTAGGAGTGCAAACGCCACATAATGTAATAATACAATAAAACACAAAAAAAGGTTTCTAGGTGCACAAAAAGGTTTTTAAAAAGACGCCTAGAGGCAGCAAATGTGGGTGAGCACTCAGGCGGAGAGAGAAGGTGGTTCCATAATACAATGAAGGGGAAGGCAAAAAAACTTTAAAAGAACATCTGACCCACTGGAACATATGATACACCATGACCAAATGATGGATCACTAGCCAGCCAACTCCTGTTTGGTGGGTTTAAAGGAGGTGCCAGAAACTGGACCACAGTTGTAGTGGTTCTAGGGGTTGCTCGTGCGTAAACACCTGGCTGGGTTGCCTGAGTGAACCTTTTCTGTCTGGACAGCCACTCACCAGTGGCTGACTCAATCGCTGGCAGAATCCGTCAGTGGGCGTTTCTTAAACTTCTTCCAGCAAAGAAGCTCTTTGATGCCTAGTCTCCTCCTACTCTCTCTGCGCGAAAGCCTTCTGTGCAAGGAGGGCGTAGGCAGCGGAGGACCCCTATTCTCCCCGCTGGTCCCCGGCAAGGAGTCATGGGACTGCCTCGCCGCTTCCCCCATCTGCCCCCCTTCTCCACTGGTGCTACGCTGATTCTCTTCCCCAGAAGATGGGCTGCCTCTCCCAATCCCGGGACGCTCTCTGGAATCCCTCTGGGTTTTGCTCTCTCCCTCCGGCACTGATGGCAGTTCCCTGACAACAGTCATGGCCTGCCTTATTTCCTTCAATACTCCAGAGGGGTGCAAAGTTGGGAGGATTTGGGGAAACTCTTAAGGGGAGCCTAGATCCAGCTGCCTGAGCCTTCTGCTTGGGGGTAAATGCAGGTGTGGGTCAGATGCTTGGCAGCTGCCTGAGGTTGCCCAGTGGTGCCATGGGCCTGGCAGAGAGAGCGTTCCTGGAGCCCAGAGCCCATTGGCTCCAGTCCTTGACCAGGCTCTGACCTCACAACCAGCTGTGGAATCCTGCGGAATGTTTTGTTTCCTAGGAGGCCAGGTGAGTTGCTTGAAAGGATCCCTGGCTAAGCTGAAAGCCCGTTGGTTCAGTTAGGAGCCTGTATAAAGCAGCAATCCTTCTTTTCTGAATTTGAAAGCTGTTCAACTGACTTTGTGGGCCTTTCTGGGTTTGGAGATCTTTTGCATAATGTGCCACTGGTGGCGTAGAAGGTAAAGTCATGGGAAAGAGGGGAGACATCCTGAAGATTCGTACCCCTACCACATCCCCAGTTTTTAAAGATGCTCCTTGGTTATTAGACCTTTCTTAAATCTCATGCTGGATGTTACATGAGCCAGCAACTTTCCCAGGGAGATTTTGCTTCAAGAATGTTTGAGACCACTGAAACAGAAACCCCACCCCACCGAAACAGAAACAGGGGAGATGTTGAGGACTGTTGGCCTTCCAACTATTGCTGAATCCCATCCAATCCCCTCCTGCGGGCTAGAGAAGGATCTCTGGTGCGAGATGGCCACCCCCAGCCATGTGCATTTCCAATGGGCATCCCTACGTTGACCATGTGCACCGCATCCACACTCAGTGTGAACTGGAGAGTGTGGCACGCAGAAAACACCAAGGGAATCGGCCCCGGAACGGCCCCAGGTGGAATCTGGACCGTCTGTTCCCGGAGAGACCCCAGTGACGATGGCGATTCTCCCCGGTATTGTGAAAAGCTCAAAAAGAAAAATTCAACACTCCCAAGGGAAACCTTCACTGCTCGGGACCCAATGGCACCACCCTCCACCACGAGCTCAGCGGCGGCAGTATTCATGGATACTGCCCAAATCCCTTCCAGTCCCAGAGCCTCCCTGAACCCACCTGCAGGGACACCCGCTTTAGCTGCCTCTTTTCCGGACCCTGCTGGGATTCAGCCTCAACTTAACGTCCTTCCCCTTCTGCCCTCTTTGCACAGAGCTGTTTATGACGGAGGCCTCCCATCTGAGCTCCCTGCACGTTCTTACTGTGCTGTTCTACCAGCGGCTATATAAAGAAAAACTCCTTTCTCAGGAGGAGCTGACCCTCGTCTTCCCCGACCTAAGAGAACTGCTTAAGATCCATGGTAAGTCTGTTTCCCCTCCAGACCATTCTGTGGCTGACCCAGGCCTCCGCTTCTCCCTGGGTGGATCAGGAGCAGAGGGAGAAGGGCCAAAAATAAAAGCACAGCATCCAAAGAGCTCTGCAGCAGGATCAGGCCCGAGGGGCCCAGCCAGACCTGCAGCCTGTTTTCAGGGGCCCCCACAAACAGCAGGGCAGAAGCTCAATGCCCCCCCAACTCCCCCGATGCCCTGCACACGCCACACTCTCCAACCCACACTGGCCACTGATGCAGTGCAACCAGTTCAGATGAGAACAATGCCCCCCCAAGAACAGGGATTGTTCAGAGGCATCCACTGCCTTGTGCAGCCAGTTGCTGCCTCTCAACCTAACCTACCTCACAGGCTTGTTGTGAGGATTAAATGAGGAGGGAATCCATGGACCCCCTCTTAAGCTCCTTGGAGGAAAAGGTAGGGTGTAAATGACATAAATAAAGGAGACACCTGGTCTCTCCACCACTGAGAAAGTGGGATTCAAAAAAGAGCAGGCCGTCTCTGTCCCTCTCCTGTCCCTGCTGGGGTTATTCTTTATTCCCCCACTCCTGTTGCCTTGCTCAGCCTCCCCCCCCCCGCCTCTTCCCTCCCCCTCCCCAGGTTCTCTGTCGGGGAAAATGAAGGATCTGCAGGAGAAAGGGCCCCTCATTGAGGAGATTGGGGACCACCTGCTTTCCCAGGTAAGGATCGCAGAGCAGGGCAGAGAGTCGGGCGGCAACTGGGAGGTTTCTGCCTGTGGGCCTCCAGTGGACTTGGGCCCTTGATTTCCTGATGCTCACTGGACATGTTTCCTCTCCCCTGCCCCCTGCCTTCCTTCCTTCCCCCCAGTTTGGTGTGGCTGCAAGTGAGGAGCTCCAGCAGGCCAGGGCCCTGGAGTTCCTTCAAGCGAAGCAGCAGAGGGGTGCTCGGTTCTGGCGTGTCATCCAGATATGCTCCATGAGAAGAGGAGGCTGAGCTCAGGGAAGGGGCCTTCTCAGCTGAAGGCTCACTCCCTGGGCGAATGCAAGTGTGCAGGAGAACAAGCCAGATGGTGTAGGTTAGGTGGTAACCTCTAGTTGGATGCCACCCCAATCTCCTCTAGGTGGTTCAAGATTCCAGGGATTCTGGGGGCTTTCCCCGGGTTTGGTTTCCTCGGAATGAGGGGCGGCCTCCTGTTCTCACAGCAGCCGCCCAGCTGCCCCAAAGGAGAAGCTCCTAAGCAAGCGGGAGCTGAGCACAAGGCTCCCCCCACTTGTTTTGCCGCTGACTCTCTCTGGTGTCCAGAAACATGCCATAATAATGAGAATTATGTTGTCTGTCTGCTTCCTTCTCTGCCTCTCCCAGGAAATCGAGAGCTGCCCATAAGGCCACCACCGTTCAGCTAAAGGATTTCCTGGAGTGCGAGATGCAGCGCCCGGCTAGCTACCCTCTGCTGCTGAATAACATCATCCAGCACACTAATGGTCTCTCTCTCTTTCTCCATATATTTATGTGTCGGGTGTGGTGGGGAGGGTGTCCCAGGAGAGCTGTGTGGCGTTTGCCTCCCACAATGGGTCATAAGGGTTAAAATGGGTGTGATGTGATTGGCCAGTGAGAATGCAAGGGGGGGAGTAAAAGTTAGAGCGGGAGGTTTTGAAAGTCAGTTGAGGTTTGGGAGTTGAGGTTTGGGAGTTGGAGAAGGAAGAGGGAGGAATAGGCAGTGGGTTGGTTGAGTTGTATTGTGAGAGAGTGAGAGGAATTGTTAGGTGGAGTCAGATAGATAGTTGGGAATAATCAGTTTGAAGTTGTTAGGAACTAAGATTAAGAAACTGCCAAGAAAAATTAACTGTAACCATAAGCTTGTTCCTGCATTTAAAAATAAACTTGATTATTTGTTAATGTTAACAACTGACTGGACTCCGTGTGTCCCCGTGAGATACGGGGTGGTGGCAGCGGAAAGAAGCAATCGCAGTGGTGGCACAGGGTCAATAGACTGTCAAACGTCCGGGGGCCCTGTGTGTGATCGCCACAAGCTGCTTCTCTCCATGATTCCATGTTGATGTGCTTCCTAACTTTGGGAGGTTGTGAGCTGCATGGAGCCTGCCTTACTAGGGAAAGACAGCACACAAGAGGGTGATGGGGAGGGGGAGACGATGGTGTGTGTTTATACAACCCCCATCTGCCTTCATTAAAGCCCCATGGGCATCGGTGTTGTTCAGCAGCCCACTTTCTGATCAGCAAACAAGGATCCCTTTGCCTTCTGCATCTGGGCTGCTGCTGCTCATCTGTCTTTCAGACCTGTTTGCTTTTAAATGCAGCCTTGTTCCTAGTTTGTGCTGGGAGCTGGGTTTCAAAGTAATAAAATGAAACCAACTTTGCAGGCAGCCTATCAGAAGCACTCCCTCGTCACCCCCTCTCTCTGCACCTTCCTCGCTCAGAGTCAACTTGGGAGCACCAGTATCTCTGCCTGGCGTGCAGTGAGTGCAAGGAGATCCTTGAGGGCATCCAGGAGGAGTTGAGGCAGGCAGAGAATCACGGGCGGCTGGATGCCTCCCCAAAGCGCCTGGACGCCAGATCTCTGCGCAAGAGCAGCCACCCACTGGCCAGGCAGTTCCAGGTAGGGCCTCCCCTTCGCCCCCGTCCAATCCCTGGCCTTGTCCTGCTCTTCCCCTCTGTGAAATGCTGCCTTTTTCTGCCCCTGCTGTGCAAAACCTTGACCTCACGGAACACCACATAATTCAGGAGGGGCCTCTGCGGCTGCGCAATCAACAAGAAGACGACTGCGGGTACGTAGAAGAAACAACCTCTCCCGCCAAAACACACACACATGGCACAGGCCTCTGAGTGGAGAGGCATGCGCTCTTCCTCTGCAGTTGGCTTTGCCATTTAGACCCCCCTTTTCTATTAAGACAGGAATCAATGAGGGGAGGGGGTTGTGGCTTTGTGGCCGAAAAACACTGGAGTCTAAAAGCCCTGGAGAGTCGCTGCTGCAAGGTGGAGCCTTAGCTGTCGAAACATCCAACTTTCATGAGTATTTAGAGCTCTCATACAACAAGCCACAGATCCCAAGACTCTCTCGGAAATAGTGTTTGGGTGGCAGAAGGGCTCTGGTAGCTCAATGGCAGAACACCTGCTTGGCATGCAGAAGGTCCCCGCTTCCATCCCCAACGGCATTTCCGGGTTGGGCTCAGGGGAAGACCCCCTGCCTGGGACCCTGGAGAGACACAAGACAGGGTACACAAGACAGGGCTAGATGGGCTCAAGGGCCTGATTTGGTCCAGCCTCCTTTGTCCCTCTGACATGCTGGGCCTTTGGCTGATTCTGCAGCCTGGCACCTAGATGTTCTCCTCAGGATCAGTGGAGCAGGTGAGCAACAACCCCTCTCTCTGTGTGTGTTTGTGTCTCTTAGGCCTGCACGTCCTGCTTCTGGAACATCTTATAATATTTCTGAAGCCGAAGGGGCGGCGTATGCAGTTAAAATGCTTCAGGAGGAAGGCAGGGGGCTCTGTTTTAAGCCCCGTGGTTCCTCTGGAGACCACCCTCGTCCGCCCTGCAGCCACAGGTAAGAAGGGAGGCCATAACACCACCGCTCTTCATGACACCATGAGCAACAACCCCTCACTCTCTGTGTGTGCGTCTCTTAGGCCTGCACACCCTGCTTCTTAAAGACCTGGTCGTGTTCCTGAAGCCAAAGGAGAAGTGGGTGCAGATGAAATGCCTGAGGAAGAAGACAAAGCAGGGCTCCTCTTTAAGCGCTCGTCTGTCCCTCAGCCGGAGGTAAGAAGGGGTGCCATAACACCACTACACATGATGACCCTGTAAGGACTCTTCTTCCATCTTGTCTATTTTCTCTGTTCAGATCCAAGATCATTCTTCCTGATCTGTGTTTTGGAGGAGACACCAGACATCTATGAGCTGGTGGCGTCCAGCCCTTCTGAGAGGATCATGTAAGATGTTTGCCTCTTATTCTCCCCTCTCCCCTGGGAAATGACAACAAGCCAAGCAGTTTAAACGAAGCTACAAGCACAGAAACAAGATGTATTTTTTTTGGGGGGGGGTGACATACATTAAGTGTCAAAAGGCAGGGTAAAGGTGTGTATTTATATATGTGTATGTTTTGTATGCATATATATTAGCTTTGAATAGCGTTGGAACTCCCTGGAGAAAGACGCTGCTGAAATAAATGTGGGGTTGCACTTTGGTCGCCTGCCTTGCAAACTGGCAAATCGAAGCCCCTCTTCTGCTCTCTTGGGGCTTTAAGAGCGTCTCTCTCTGTCTCCCTTCTTTTCCTGGCAGGTGGCTGCAGCATCAGGAGAGGGTGACAATGGCCACCAGGAAAATTGTCATTCTGCCCTGCAGGCAGCCCCACCAGACGTCCCCTCCCACGTGCACCCACCTGTGCCTTTCTGGTGAGAGAGACCCCCCCCACTCTGCATGTTTCGTATTGCCAGGCTGGGACACCTCCAGGCAAGGGACCTGGCTGGATTGTAGCCGACAGGGCAAAGGTGGGAGCCACATCCATGACAGCCTCATCTTTGGGCCCTGGGCCCTCTCACTGTCAGCAAATGGCCCCCAGGAGGCCCTCGGTTTGGAAGAGAACCGCTCCTGGGAGGCTTCTCAGCCGGGTGAAGGGGACGGACACCCCCCTTTGCGACGGCTGCCCTCCTTTTCAGGGGTCCCTAACCCCTTCCCTCTGGGCTCGCCTTTTTGCAGGAGATAGACAAGGAGCAATGGGAGCGCTAGACAGCAGAGTCTATTTTTTATAGTTATAAAATTTCATTAATGTATTTTTCTTCGGTTTTCTTTTGAAATACATGTGTGTAAAATCTAATCTATTTTCTTTTTCTCTGTAACTTTTAAAAATGCAGTAAATAAAAAATGCAATTTCTAAGGTCACGTGGGCTAAGGGCTCAGGAGTTATCCATTTGAAGATAATAAGCCCATATCTTATCTTGGCACTTTTGTGCCCAGCCCCCTACCTGCAGAAGTCCTGTGGCAGAGACCTAGGCCTAGGCTCAGTCACCAAAGAGGCCGGGCACCCATAACAAAAATGTTGAGGGTACCTGGGCCCCCAATGGACAGGTGCAAAGTCTCTGAGCAAACGGGACTTTTCTAAAGGCTCCTTCCAGGACCGGCGAGGGCAGAGCTGAGCTTCTGGCGACTGTAAAGGCCCTTCTTGCATTTCTAGATACGAGAAAGAAGAGATATGCTGCCGGTGCGGCTATCTCTCTCTCTCTCGATTTCTCCAATTTTATAGTCGGGGCACCTTGAGCAGTCCTGTTGTCTCTCAGTGTCTAATATTCTTTGCCTGACTGTAGCTTTTGCCTGGCCCAACCCCGGACTTAGAAGGGCTTGAGGGGCAAAACCCAGTTTCTGAAGGGTGTTCAGGACTACCAGCCCGACTGGAATTGATCGCAGAGGATCAATGGGGCTATCCCTCGGGGGAGCAGATTCAATGTCAGCCATTTGTAGATTGATGTTAGGCAGATGTTAGCCTCATCATCCCTGTTTGAGACACATCTGGGGACTTGTAGGAGAGCTCTAAGAAGTCTGGATTGAACTCTCCATTCATACCACCATTCATAGATACTTATAGTTTGTGACTTGTTCTAATTTGTGGCCTTGGAGTTCCCAGCTTCTAAGCTTTGGTTTCCGCCCAAAAGCGAGTATCTTGGTCTTTCGATAGTTGATTTTGAGACATTCAGATTCACAGTATGCTACGAGCTTTCTTAGTGCTCTTTTGAGTCCAATGGGGCTTCTAGATAGAATTACCACATCATCGGCATATAGCAGGACCGAAATATGTCGATTTGCGAGCTTCGGAGGGTGAAGTTCTGAGTCATTGAGCGCAGATAATAAATTATTTAAATAGAAATTGAATAGTAGAGGGGCCAATAGGCACCCTTGCCTGACTCCTTTAAAGGTTTTAATAGGGTCTGTTAGGTGTCCTAGGCAACTACACCTGACTCTAAGAGCCGTGTTTGCGTGCAGTGCCTGAATTAAGAGCAGAAGCCTTCTATCTATATTGGTACCCTGTAGTCTGTCCCAGAGTCTGGTTCTGGAGACTGTATCAAAGGCTGCTTTTAGGTCAACGAAGGCAGCGTATAGTGAGGCCTGCCCTCCTGATTTGTATTTGTCAATGAGATATTGTAACGTTAGACAGTGATCTGTCATGGACCTTCTGGGTCTGAAGCCCGCTTGTTCTATTGCCAGGATATCTTCATTCTCTAGCCATTCTGTAAACTTACTAAGGCGGTGCTTTGAGTAGAGTTTACTAATCACACTTAATAGGCTAATCGGCATATAATTCGCTGGGTCCCCTCTGTTGCCCTTTTTATAGATTGGGACTATTATGACTGTTCCCCATTCCCTTGGGTTGCGGCCAGTGTCATCTATGTAAGTAAAGAGGATGGCTAAGAAAGGTGCCCACCAATCCGCCTGTGCTTTTATCATTTCTGGCGTAATGCCATCTGGGCCTGGGGCTTTGGCCATTTTCAGTTGGTTTATATATGATTTCACTCAGTTACTGAAACTGGCGGCCATTTAGCCAGTTGTTCTATACTGTGGTGCCCCGCAAGACGAATGCCTCGCAAGACGAAAGGGTTTTGCGGTTTTTGAGCTGCTTCGCAAGACGAATTTCCCTATGGGCTTGCTTCGCAAGACGAAAACGTCTTGCAAGTTTGTTTCCTTTCTCTTAAAACCGTTAATATCCAGCGTGCATTGCTTGAAGAGGTGCAGTTGCGACTTGACTTCGAGGAGCAACTCATAGCACGCGATGTGGTAGCCTTTTTTGAGGTTTTTGAGGACTTTGGTGATTTTTGAAGCTTTTCCAAAACTTCTTTTGCAGCCATTTGGTAAGTTAAACTTTTAAAACTTTTTTGGGGGTTTTTGGATTTTGGGTTGGGGTGTTTCGAATTCAAGGACTTGGTGTTGGGGAGGGGTTTGCAAGAATCTGGAGGCTTGTGTGGTTTTTTTCTGCATTTTTATGATTTTTTGTGACCATTGGGCCACTCTGCTGTTGTTTTTTTTTAAAATTCTGGGTTTGAATTTCTGTGTGGTGGGTGGCTGGGGGAACAGTTGGGGAGGGGTTTGCAAGAATCTGGGAGCTTGTGTGGTTTTGTTCTGCATTTTTATGATTTTCTGTGACCATTGGGCCATGTTGTTTTTTTAAAAAAAAATAATTCTGGGTTTGAATTTCTGTGTGGTGGGTGGCTGGGGGAACAGTTGGGGAGGGGTTTGCAAGAATCTGGGAGCTTGTGTGGTTTTGTTCTGCATTTTTATGATTTTCTGTGACCATTGGGCCATGTTGTTTTTTTTTAAAAAAAAAATCTGGATTTGAATTTCTGTGTGGTGGCTGGCTGGGGGAACAGTTGGGGAGGGGTTTGCAAGAATCTGGGAGCTTGTGTGTGTTTTTCTGCATTTTTATGATTTTCTGTGACCATTGGGCCATGTTGTTTTTTTTTTAAAAAAAATTCTGGATTTGAATTTCTGTGCGGTGGGTGGCTGGGGGAACAGTTGGGGAGGGGTTTGCAACAGTTGGGGAGGGGTTTGCAATTTCTGTGTGGTGGGTGGGTGGGTGGGGGAACAGTTGAAGTTTTTGAAGACTTTGCTGATTTTTGAAGCTTTTCCAAAACTTCTTTTGCAGCCATTTGGTAAGTTAAACTTTTAAAACTTTTTTTGGGGTTTTTGGATTTTGGGTTGGGTGTTTGGAATTCAAGGACTGCTGCTGCAGAGGCCGGCGAGAGGAAGAAGGAGAAGGTGACGCTGGAAATGAAGAAGGAGATCATCCGGAAGCACGACGGTGGAATGAGTGTGACAGACCTCGCCAGGGAGTACGGGAGGAATCCATCGACCATCGGGACCATCCTGAAGATGAGGGAGAAGATCCTTGCGACTGATGCAGCCAAGGGAGTCACCAGGATCGTGAAGAACCGCCCAGCTGTTCTGGAGGAGGTCGAGAAGTTGCTGCTCATCTGGTTAGAAGAGAAGCAGCGTGCAGGGGACACAGTGACTGAGGCCGTCATTTGTGAGAAGGCCAAGGCCTTGCATGCAGACCTCGTCCGGGAACAGCCAGGAACCTCAGGCGAGCCAGAAGTCTTCAAGGCAAGCAGAGGTTGGTTTGACCGGTTCAAGGCAAGATCTGGAATCCACAGCGTGGTCAGGCATGGAGAGGCTGCCAGTTCTGATGTTCCTGCGGCTGAAGAACTGAGGGACATTTGCCAGAAGTGGAAAGATGTGCAGGCTTTTGCACAGCGGCACCACCCTGACAAGGACCTGACACGTGACCTTGCGAACACTTTTGATACGAGGGTCATGTCGCCTTTCAGGGAGGTGCTGAAAAGGCGGATGAAGCAGCAGACCATGGACAGGTTCTTCAGCAAGAAGCAAAGAGTGGAAGAGGAACCTTCTTCGAGTTGTCTCCCAGAGTCTTAGAAAATGTACTGTACACTTTGTTGATTTTTAAATGTTTTTCTGTCATGTTTAGAAACTTAATTTATTGTTCCTTCAATTTTTGAAATGCTCTTTACAGTATGTGTGACTTTAAAGAGCACTTAATAAACTCTTGTTGTACCAAATTTGGCTTTGTTTGGACTTTTTTTGACCATAGGAATGCATTGAAAATCAATTAATGCGTTCCTATGGGATTTCGTGCTTCGCAAGACGAAAAATTCGCTAGACGAAAAAATTCGCGGAACGAATTAATTTCGTCTTGCGAGGCACCACTGTATTATTATTCCGTAATGGAGGTTCAGCGTCCTCGTACAGAGATTGGAAGAATGAGACCCAAAGGTTAGGGGGAATTTGTGAGGTTAAGGGGGAAATAGCCTTATGGGTGCCAGAAACTACCAGTTTCCAGAATAGTGTCTGACCTTTTGCTTTTGCCGCACTAATTAATTCTAGCCAACATTTTCTGGTATAGGCGTTCTTTTGGTGGGTTATTAGGTCTTTATACTCTTTTTTTAGGGCATGGACGGCAAGATAGGCTTGCTGTCTGACAGAATTTTCAGCTGTGAGGGCAGCTTTGTAAGCATTTTGCAGGGCTTTCTTGCCCTCAAAGCAGGTGTAGTCAAACCAGGGTTTATTTGATGTTATTGGTTTAGTTGGCCTGTTCTCTGTGGTATTAAAAAGATGGGGTTTTTAATTGTTGGAGCAGGCTCTCATACTTGGAAACTGGGTCCTCAGGCCTAGGATTATTCCCAGAGCCAATTAAAATTGTACGTTCCCTCTCTCTCTAGCATCAGACAGCAAAGAGAACAAAGGACCATAGTCCCACTTCACGGAACACAGTAACACAAAAATCCTGTCTCCATCACTTCCCACTCTGTGGAGTCAAAACGTACACAGTCATGTGATAGACAACAATCCCATGACTGCAATCATGGAGCAGGAATTCTGACATTTCCAGTGTTTTGCTATTAACATTTTGGCCGCTATTGTTGGGTAAAGAAATACTCTTTGGTTTTCATTTTGGTTCCAAGATGGCGGCGCGTTCATAAGCTGCGGCTCTGAGCTCCCAATACCTCACCTACTCACGCACAAAACTGGTAAACATCGGGCTTGCAAGAAAAATAGAGATAACTAGAGAGTTTCAAAGGTCCCACTGTATACCAAACTGCACAGTAAGACCTCCAGGATCTCTATGGATTGTCATCGGGAGGGGGAAGTGCCAAAAGAAGCGAAAGAGAAAAGAGCAAAAGCAAAAACATGGCTGCAGAGCTGGTCTGTTAACCCGGCTTCGAAAAAGACCCATCAGACCAGCACTGCCAAGCGTCTCATCCATAAAATTGACGAATTACAGTTGCTGATGGCAGCAAACAAGCTTCTTCGTGAAAGCTGTGTGGTAATTATTACAGAAACTTGGCTACATTCAGCAGTACCGGATGTGGCAGTTGAGCTGATAAATTGAATAATTTATCGCTCTGATAGAAACAGTGATTCTGGTAAAGCTATGGGCGGAGGAGTCTGTATTTACATACACAATGGTTGGTGCGTTAACAGCAAAGTAGCTTACACGTATTGCTCCCCAGATGTAGAATTGATGGCAGTTACATGTTGGCCATTTTATCTGCCTAGACAAGTAACTGTCATAATTATTATAGCTGTTTATATTCCACCTGATGCTAATGTCAGTGCGGCACTTTCTAAGCTATATGACGTCATCTCCAGGCAACAGCAAATCCACCCAGAGGGTGCCCTTGTTGTGGCAGGGGACTTCAATCAAGCCTGCCTGAAGACAGTTTTTCCTAAGTTTGAACAGTTTGTGAAATTTCCCACTAGAGGACAGAATATTCTAGATCTTGCGTATTCCAATTTGAAACAGGCATACAGGGCAATCCCCTTCCCCCACTTAGGCTCATCCGACCATTCTTCAGTTTTTCTATGTCTGAAGTACATCTCTCTCAGGAGAATAATTCAGCCAGTTATAAGAAAAGTTAGAATTTGGCCAGAGGGTGCTCTTAGCTCCAGGATTGTTTTGAGAGCACTGATTGGAGTGTGTTTGAACATCAAGATCTGCACAGATACACAGATGCTATACTTTCATATATTAAAGTGTGCACCAATAATGTAACATTGCAGAGATGCATTAGAGTCTATGGGAACTGTAAACCATGGATGACTGCTGAGGTAAGAACACTCCTGAAAACCCGGGATTCTGCCTTTAAGGCAGGGAATATAGACATATACAGAGGAAAATTTATATTGCCAGTTCTTAACTGCTTCCAGGTCGATCCGCACAGGAAGTGACAGTTGAACTCCTAGCAGATAAACTTCTATATATTACACACCAGGTAGCCGAATTTGCGCTGGCAGCCAAGAAGCTCTGTTCCAGCTATGTGAATGCACTCCGGTTTTAAATTCAATGTTGTAAATTTCTTCTTTTTATGTTTTAAACTTCTACAGGTTAGGTCTCTGTAAAACGAGCATTGGAGAAGCCCATGGTCTAACAGTTTCAGTCACACGGACAGCATCTCTGCAGATATGGGATTTTTCTATAGCGATCTTCAAGAACAGCAGAAGTGAGAGCACAGAGTTGTGTCAGGGTGAATGCCTTATGGTATTTAGGCAGATGCAGATTGCTAAGATACGCCATAGGCAATAGATACTTGGCAATAAAAGAGGGGGACCTATCCAGATCTGTTTGGTGTTCTGTGTTTGTGATACGCTGTTTGATGGCTGATCTAGCCTCCCAAAAGCCCATTCTGAGCAATTGCTCAAGGGAAAAGCCCAGAGCTAGAATTTTGGTCATAACTGCCTGATACTATGCAGATTGGAATTCATCCTTGACAACAAAGGGAGGCAAGCCCAGTTAGGAAAAAAAGATAATCTTAGCCAATATTTGAGTATAGACATCTATACTCTTGCCTCTATGCTCAAGAGACCTGCTTCTAGCCTCAAGAGGGCATTGGTGACACATTTTGGGACCTGAAAGATTGATCTTAAAAGTTTAAGATTTAAAGTCCTCTCTGGGCTCCCCCTTTTCCAGGAGATAGATGAGAAGCAGTGGGAGCGCTACATGGTAGCCCACCCAAACTTTATCCTGGGAACACATAGAGCTTGGAGATCAGAAACGCCCCATGAAGTGCTGCGAAAAACCAACTATGTGAAATCTCCAATATACTAATTACACCTTCAGTGGTTTCGATGCGCTCCAACGATGTCAAATTTGGAAGGGAACCTAACTGGGCACCGTGTACAAGTTCGGCTATAAACTTTACTTCAAATAATTTCAGTGCTGCTTGTATATAATAGCTTCCTTTGGATCTGAAGCATTATGTATATTGTTCTTTTGTATTCTTATTCTCCACCCTTCCTCAGTCAGTTTGACTCTGGCCTTTAATATACAACAATTTATTTATCTCACAGCTAAAAAATAATAATGCCATCAATTGCTATAAATTGTATATCCTAATACTGTAAAAATGCATACTTTTTATAATATTTTATTTATTATTTACTTGTTATAAGTTATGTTGTTGTTTAAATGATGCAAATATGATTTAAAAATAAAACTTTGTATTCAAATTATATATTGCCTATTTTTTATGCCCTCTACGGCCAAATGTGTTGAGGGGTTTGTGTGTGTGTCTACACAAATGCATGGGGTGTGTTTGCCAAACTGGGTCTCTGCCCAGGTGACAGAAATGCTTCAGAAAGAAGACAAGGGGGCTCCTCTTTAAGCCCCATCGTCCCTATCGACTGCCCTTGTCCACCCCGCAGCCAGTAAAGATCCACTAAAAACCAGCTATGTGAAATCTCTGATATACTAATTACACCTTCAGTGGTTTCGATGTGCTCCAACAACGTCAAATTTGGAAGGGAATCTAACTGGGCACTGTCTAGGAGTTGGGCTATAAACTTTACTTCAAATAATTTCAGTGCTGGCGGTATGTAATAGCTTCCTTTGGATCTGAAACATCATATATATTGTTCTTTAGTATTCTTACTCTCCACCCACCCTCCCCATCCTCAGTCAGTTTGACTCTGGCCTTTAATATACAACAGTAATTTATGGTACTGGAGGAGACTCTTGAGAGTCCCATGGACTGCAAGAAGATCAAACCTATCCATTCTTAAGGAAATCAGCCCTGAGTGCTCACTGGAAGGACAGATCCTGAAGCTGAGGCTCCAATACTTTGGCCACCACATAAGAAGAGAAGACTCCCTGGAAAAGACTCAGAAGATTGAGGGCACAAGGAGAAGGGGACGACAGAGGACGAGATGGTTGGACAGTGTTCTCGAAGCTACTAACATGAGTTTGACCAAACTGCGGGAGGCAGTGGAAGACAGGAGTGCCTGGCGTGCTCTGGTCCCTGGGGTCACGAAGAGTCGGACACGACTAAATGACTAGATAACCACAACAATTTATCTACCTCACAGCTAAAAAATAATAATAGTGCTATCAATTGCTATAAATTATATAACCTAATACTGTAAAAATACATACTTTTATAATATTTTATTTATTATTTACTAGTTATAAGTTATTTTGGATATCTTGTTGTTTAAATGATGCTGGAAATCAATACAAATATTGTTTAAAAACAAAACTTTGTATTCAAGTTATATATTGCCTACTTTTTATGCCCTCTACGGACAAATGTGTTGAGGGGTTTGTGTGTGTGTGTGTCTACACAAACGCATGTGGTGTGTTTGCCAAACTGGGTCTCTGACCCGGGTGACAGAAAGCCTACTTTTGCCCCTGGGCACACCACCCACTAACAGCAGCGGTCAAAATAATTGTTTTAAAAGTGTAGAAGTGGTTAATATCAAACTATTCAATACTGTTTAAAAAAAGCTGGTTTCATAATTAAAAAGAATACTGTAAAAATGTGATGGTGAAATTAGGGTTCTTATTCCCCACCCCGTTCTCATAGGAGGTATGTCCAGCTAAGGACATCCTCAAGAGTACACTCATTGAAATTAATAAATTTAAGTTAATCACGCCCATTAACTTCAATGGGTCTAGTCCAAGTAGGACAAACACTGAATACAACACAATATTCTTTTTATAGTTTTGTTCTTTTGTATATAATTTTTATTTAAATTTTCTGTTTTACAATATAAAATACTCATTTTACATCCTTAAGATATCAATCATTTCCCTTCTTCTCTTTCCATGGTTCATTTTACTTATCATAAATCCCTGCGTATTTTACAAAAACTACACCAATCGGTTTTCCATTATTACATCCATCAAAAATTATTTACACAGTTGAATTTATCTTAATGCTGCCAGCGTTTTCAGCTGTACACAATTATTTCCCATATGGCCAACAAACGTTTGCCAGTCTTCTTTAAACGGATGTTCTTCTTGTTCTCTTATTCTATATGTCAAGTCTGCAAGTTGTGCATTATAGTTTTGTGCACTTGCTTCTGAAAGTAGTATTGCTGCGGCCTCTTAAAAGCTACGTTTTGGGCATCCTGGCAGCAACAATAATTTTAGATGACAAGGGAGAAACTATGGATGTAGAATAATAATAATAATAATAATAATAATTTATTATTTATACCCCGCCCATCTGGCTGGGTTTCCCCAGCCACTCTGGGCAGCTTCCAACGAAACACTAAAATACAATAACCTATTAAACATTAAAAGCTTCCCTAAAGCAACGGTCAGAGTCAGAAGAGCTGTCAAAAAAAGCAATATGGATTCTTTGGAGGAATTAATCATGATGATTAACGTGAATAATTATTAATAGCATTGATGATAATGTTTGGAGGAATTAATAATTGGAGGAATTGATAAGAAAAACGCCCCTTCCCCTCACTCCCGTGTATTTTAATCAAAAGTTCATAGCCCCCATTGAATAAGAGGGAGGCGGTTAGAGCAACGACAATAACTTCGCGCGCGCCAGCGGCGGCGGTTGGCCTGAGGGACAAACCGTCTTCGCCTCGACTTGGCGCGCTAGCGGGATCGGCGCATGCGCCGGCCGTTGCCCGCACGCGCAGACTGCGGGTAGGAGGTCGGTTGCGGAGGGGAGACCTTCGCCCAGAGGGGGAACTTTCTCCACACGCGCGCGCGCGCACACACACACTTCAGTTTTCCAGGTGCGCAGGCGCGCAGGAGGAAGCCGTTGCTCCGGGCGACCTGGCGGCCGGCCTTCTCCTCAGGAAAAGCTGAGGGGAGGGAGGATGTGGCGGCGGCGGCGGCGGATCCCGGCGTCGCCCGCCAGGCGCTGAGAGGGGGAGAGCGCGCGAGAAAAAAGGCCCATGGCGGAGTTCCTGCCGGTGCCCGGGCTGTTCCTGCGGGAGGAGCCGCTTCCCGGGCCGGATGCGTCCGAGACGGAGGCCGAGCTGTCCCTCAGCCTGGCGCGCACCAAGACCCGCTCGTACGGCAGCACGGCCACCGTGGCGGCGCCGCTGGCCGAGCGCTACGTGGAGCACCGCATCAGCGCCTGCGACACCCTGCAAGGCATCGCGCTCAAGTACGGCGTGACGGTAGGTGATGGCCGCGCTTGGCTGGGCCGGCAGGGTCGCTGGCGTCCTTGCTATAGGTATGGGTAAGAGGACGCGGGTTGAGGGGGGGGGGAGCGCCTGAACATGTGCAGAGTGCCGTCTTCTTCTGGGGCCTCCCACCACCAGAGTGGAAGAATTGCGGGATTGATATGCGAAAGCGAGCGGCCCCCCTTTATCTGAAGCATGTGCAGAGTGCTTCCCCCCCGCCACGTTCTCAGTGACTCCAACTGGATTCTCATTCGTATGTGAGTGTTAGGAAGAGTACGCTTAGAAGCGTAGAATTGTAGAGTCGGAAGGAACCCCAAGGGTCATCTAGTCCAACCCCCTGCAATGCAGGAATCTAAAGCATCCATGACGGATGGCCATCCAACCTCTGCTTAAAAACTTCCAATGAAGCAGAGTTCACAACCTCCCGAGGGAGACCATTCCACGGTCGAACCACTGTCAGAAAGTTCTTCCTGGTGTTTAGTGCTTCTTGTAACTTGAAGCCATTGGTTCGAGTCTTGGTCCCTAGATCCTTTTCACATGTACAGTGGTACCTCGGGTTAAGTGCTTAATTCGTTCTGGAGGTTCGTTCTTAACCTGAAACTGTTCTTAACCTGAAGCACCACTTCAGCTAATGGGGCTTCCTACGATTTCTGTTCTCATCCTGAAGCAAAGTTCTTAACCCGAGGTACTATTTCTGGGTTAGTGGAGTCTGTAACCTGAAGCGTATGTAACCCGAGGTGCCACTGTATTGCTAGTAAGCCAGATTGCCCCACCCCCCATTTTATATTTGTGCAGAGAGGGCCTTCCTCCTCTTCAAACTAATTATAGATAGATCCCCAGACATCTGTGACTGATGTAGTCTATGAACATGTACAGAAGGCTTTTCTCCCCCTGCCCTTTGGCTCTGCTGGTCCCTCAGGCACCTGTGCTTGATATGAAGAGATTGCTTCTCTTTGTGGGTGTGCTGAGCCCCAGGCATCTGTGATTGACAGAAGAATGTTTGTCTGAGCATGTACAGAGGGCCTATCGTCTCCCCTCCCAATAACTATCAGCCCCTTAGGCATTTGAGATTGATATGTGGACAATACTTGTGCAACAGGTATGCAGCCCAGTAACCCAAGTCAGCTTTTTGGGTCTCTGTGAGTGATAAGAAGTAAGTATGTACAGAGGGCCTGCCCTCTTCTTCCCCTGCATTAATTACAGATAGCTCCTGAGGCATCTGTGACAGATAAAAGGAGAACAATTCACTCTGAATATGTGTAGAGGGGATCCCACTACAAATTGCCCCTCAGACATCTGTGATTGATGTGAGAAAAATGCTTTCCTCTGAATCTGTGCGGTGTCGTCATGTCCCGTCCCCCCCACATGGATATCTGTAGATGGCACCTCAGATGTTGAGCTGGATGAACTTCTAGAATCTAGACAGGTGTGCTTGGAACTCCAGCACACCTGTCTTTAGCACTAAAGTTGTAAGAACGCAGGGAAGTGCCTTATGCTGATTTAGTGCATTGGTCCATCTATGCTCAGTAATCTCTACTGTGACAGTTCTCCAGGATTTCAGGCAGGAGCTTTTTCCAGCTCTACCTGAAGATGCCTGGGATTGAACCCGGGACCTTCTGAACGCAATGCAGATTCTCTACACTGCACTACTGCCCTCCCCCAAAGACATAATTGGGCAGCAGACAAAATGTCAGTGTTTCATGTGTAGCTGCCCTGCTGTGGTCACCTTTCAGCATGAAGAGAGTATCTTCACCATCATAAGAGGTACTACAGCCAGCACCTTAGGCACTGGTTAGGGACTTTCAGAGATACTTGAGCTCCAGCACCTCTAGTTTTAAAAACAAAGACATGGTCAGGTATGTTGCCCTGTGTAAAGAAAGTTTTCTTGGAGGATTCTGTGTGTAGCAGGAGAGGTGATGTTTGTTACACAACTGTTGTACTTCCCCAACCTTACTGAACTGTGATTCAGTTTGTTGACTTGGCTGCATGTCTTCCCTTTAGTATGAATTATTTAAAGATTCACCCAGATACAAAAGAAGGTGAAGTGGTTGTTGTGTGTGACAATACATTTTAGAAGCAATATCTCAGAGAAGCAACAAACAAGTGTTTCCCAACCTTTTCCCGACAGTGGCTCCCTTCCGACCTTGTTTCCTTCCTGTGGCCCCCCCATGGGCATGGGCAGGGGGGCAGCTTCCCCCCAAAAGTAAAAATCAATACAAATCAGTACAAATATGAGGTTCTGTTCCCCCCAAGAAAAGCTTGCCCCCCCCAACAAAAATCTTGGCTACGCTCATGCCCCCCCAACCAACTGGTAGAAAGGTAGCTATTTAAATGTTTTGTTTGTAAATAGAACATGTTTTATTTATAATTTTTTATAATTTATACAAAATACAATTACATAAAATGATAGGAACATAATGAAATATTGTTGAAGCAGAAGAACATAGAATCAGGGAGCTGGAAGGGACCCCAATGGTCATCTACTCTAACTCCCTGCAACGTAGGAAACTCAGCTAAAGCATCCATGGCAGATGGCCATCCAACATCTGCTTAGAAACCTCCAAGGAAGGAGAGTCCAGAACCTCCTGAGGGAGATCCATCTTCCATGTATTATAAAAAGTAAGCAACACTTATTTGACCCCAGTTATTTGACATAGAGAGGGAAACCTACAGATACAGTCCAAAAGGTGCACAGGGAGTTCTGTATATATGGGATAATTTTAAAAAGCAAGTGGTCTTCACTGACCTGGTGCAGAAAGATTTTGTCATCCAGAGAAGCCCTGGCTACCTATATAAAACACTATAGCCCCACAAACCCTTACTTGGTAGTAAGGCCCATTGAACTCAGTGTGGCTTTCTTCTGAGTAGACAGTTATTTACTACAGGCAAGTCAGCAGCACCAGACGACTCCGCTCGGCTGGGCGCTGTGGTGCATTTTACTCTGTGCCTTGCAGAGCCAGGCCAATGCTGTTGACAGGCCCTGTGCTCCTTGGCAACATCCAAAGGCCCTGATCCATTTGGCGCTGGGGTAGATTGCACCCTGCGCCTTGCTGAGTCAGGCCCAGGCTGCCAGCGGGCCCAGCACTGATTGGTGGCAGCAACAAACAGCTCCTGCTCTCTCAGCCCTACCTATTGCCACTCCACCCCTGCACTTACCTGACCTGGGGGTTCTGAGAGGAAACAAACGAGGACTGCTCCAAGAAAAAGCACACGGCAAAAAATAGTGCTACTTTTTTGCGGATAGCCAGCCAATCAGGATTTATTTTTATTAAAAGCGTGATTTCCCCCCTCACTTCTCACTTCCCTCTGTGGCCCCCAGCCTCGTGCTATGACACCCCCCCCCCAATTTACATGATTTTCACCTGTATCCCCCTTGGAATATCCTGGGGGGGGGGCAGCTGGGAAACACTGGTTTAAGGTGCATACCAACAATCCCTTGCAGTGTGGTTGGGGAGATTTAGGTGCAACTCCTGGAGTATGTGCTGCTACCAGGAGTGCAGGAGTTGTATCAACCTTGTCCTTGAAGAAGGTGGAAAAACCTGGAAACATAAGACAATTACTGATGTCATGGAATGGGTTACTAATAGTATTACATATGCTAAGCGAACTACTAAAGCATATTTATGAAATAAGCATTCACGCTACTGGACCTAATGGTCAGGGGTCCCTTTACCTTTCCCTATATATAATTATATATTTGCTACTTTTACTGAAATGAGAAAGTCAAGTTACACACATAAGTGCACTAATTTACCTGTTACATGGCATACAGCAGGACAATGAACCATCTAATGCAAGAGCTGGGAACTAGCTCACCAGCCTCCTGCCAAAAATGCCATCCTGGGAAGCAAACCGTGTTTTGCATAGTGGGAGTCAGCTGTTACAGCAATAACCCTGGCCAGTTCTGCCTCAGATCCCACCCACTTTCGGCATGCAGCTTCTAAACATTTGGTATTAGGCAATGTGACCCTTGAAGAAAGAAAAGTTCCCATCGCTGATGTAAAATGTTGGTTCATTAAAACTCATTGCTCAAGGGAGTTTGTTTAGAGATAGCTATGGGCCTAGAACTTTCCAAAAGCAAAGGCTTCTAGTTTTGGATCTTCTGTCTTAATAAGATAAGAAGGAGGTGTGCTTTGTTTATAGTTAATAACAGTTTGCAGTTTTATAACAGATTTATATAGCAATTATATAGAAGATTTCAGAGCTCAGGTATTGAAAGATTATAAAAACAGGAGGATAGCTCATGTTGGTACAGTGGGATGAACTTTCTCATGACAGGATAGCATCTCATGGAGCCAGGTGCTGGATTCTAGTACCTATGATGATTTCTCAGTCCCTGGTCCCCAGTATTGACTCATAATAACAATATGACCTAAAGTGCTGTATTTGTAGTGCTTCATCTCATTCCTATGGTTCAATATTTATATAGAAAAGCAGAAATTAACAAGCATGATTAATAGAAAGCTACTGATTTGGATTTAAGGGATGGGTGTAAATTAACATGTTTCATTTTAACCAGGATGTTAAAAAATCCTTTGAAGTTTTACATTTCTTGAGCCATGTGCTAGAGGAGCAGAAGGGAAACAAAATCTTGAGTTACGTAATAGCTTTATGTGCATTATTTATTAAGCTGTGCTGTGGCTGCTACATTTTCTTGCTAGCCCATAGTGAAAACAACGCCTCAGAGAAAATATTGTGTTTCTTGGTTGATACCACCCTACTTGAGATGATTCACATATATGGAGAAGCTGTTGCCTGATAGTGAAAAATATATAAAAACCAGTTTCAATAAACAAAAACACAAAACTTTTTCATACAGTTATGGAAATAAAAAAGAAAATGCAATTTAATTTCAGGGTTTTTTTATTTGTCTATTTAGAGCTGGAAATACAGTTTGTCTCCAAAACCTTTACTAATAACTTAAATATTCACATGTCTATGGTAGGCACCTGTTATTTCAGCTGTAATAGGACATAGGGCTTCATGCTGACGGTCAGTCTGGTTCCATGACTGTTAATTATAAGCTTTTCCTAACACCATCGTAGGAATTTTGGATGGCTGATGGTGTGGTGCAGTTAGAGCCACAGCTCTTCAGTTATGCCATCTTTAACGTTACTGTAGTTATATGATATTTTATGTTTATTACTTGATGAGTTAACTGGCAAATGAAGGAGAGTGGAAGGGGGATGTAAATAAGATGACAAGGCCCTCTTTCACACTTGTTTCTAGCAAGTGCTGGAAGGGGCACCAAGGCTGGCAACTAGAAACTCAAATAAGCTCTTGGGACCCCTAATTTTCTTTTCTTTTTTTTTAAAATAATGTTTATTACTTTTATAGATTACAAAAAGAGAAAAAAGAGAAAAAAACAGAAAAAAAGACAAAGAAGGAAAACAAAAAGAAAAAAAACCAATACAATATATAAACAATGCAAAACACAACCTAAACTCAAAAACTAAACATGTTAAACTAAACTAAACAAACCCCACTAAACTAAACAAACCCCACTCCCTAACCTTAGCCCTAAATGGAACAAAACAAAAACAATTTTAAAAAACAAAAAACAAAAAAAATACATCCACTCTTTTCCGTACTCTATCTTTCATTCCCTTGTTTCCTCGACCTCCTCTCACCTCCCTTTTTGTATTCCACTTCATTTAATTGTTTCAGCAAATCCTTTCCATCTTTTCTCCATTTTCTATCATATTGTAAATAACGTATTTTTTAACCTTATTTTCCATTTAAACTAAAATACTTATATATACTTATCTCCTTATAACATTCCTGCTAAGCCCATAAAAAGTCATTCCACCGTTTTTCTATCACTCATTAGTTTTACCATAAGTCTATATATAAACTTTAAATTTTCCAATCTTCTTCCACCATCTCCTCTCCCTGGTTTTGGATTCTGCCAGTCCGTTCCATCAATTCCATAAAGTCCATCAACCTGGTGATCTTATGTCCGAGGCTCTTAACTCTTTTCCAGGTCCCTTCTGCAGATCTTCTTCATTTTCTTTAATGCTAAAAAGCAAATCTCGGGGAAACTCCAACCTGTCAATCCTTTTCTTCCTTCTGAACAGATCAGCCAAATTTCCATAGTTAAAGCTACAGTTCATAAAGTATTTCAGGGCATATTTCAAGATTCCTCCAAGTCCAAAGGCCTCCAAAACTTCAATCTCCTCCAAGCCTGAGTCCATGTCCCAAAAGTCAATTAATCCCTGCATAGAGGGATCTTTCCAACTTTCCTTCTTTCGTCCAAGCTGGGGTCCATTCCTCAGAGTCTGACTTTTCCTAGATTCAATCATAGAAGGCCTCAACTTATAGTCCTCAATTTGCTTCTGTGAAGCCACAAATCTCACTTGTACTACTCCATGTTCAACTTTATATTCAACAACAGCAACATTCTCCTTCTCCTCCTTCTCCTCCACCATTTGTCCTGCCAAAATGGATTCCTGTAGCAAGTCCTGAATTATTTCTGTGTTGATGTTCGCTTTTTGACTCAAATTAGTCACTTTCTGTTCCAAATTATCAACTTTAAAAGTCATGTCATCCATCTTCTTGTGAAGCTGTCCCAGCGAACAGCTTATCTTACATAAAACAGTCACAATGGCCTCTCCTGTCAACATTTTTAAATAGTCCAAGGTCGCTCTCTGGTTCTCAAACTCCTTATCTGCAGCTGGAAATTCCCCAGTTACAGTCCTGTTACAGTTTCAAAAGCTCCCTCTAGAGGGAAACAGTCTCCACTTGTATCAGTTCTTTCAAGCAGAACTTCAAACATGAAAGATAAAATTTCAGTTACTTTTCCTCTTTTTTAAACGCAGAGAAGGACAATGGAAACAGTATCTTGCTCTTATTTAGCTAGCTGTCAAATCCGTTCTGTCAATTGCACTCTCTCCAAACGTCATCTGGCAGCCCGTTTCCCAGGTTCAGAGCAGTGGTAATTTGATTTTTCACTCTCTCCTGCAGGTTCACTAGGTCCAAGATTTACCCCTCTTCTCCTGCTTCCAAGGGGGGTTTTGTTTTTTAAATCGATGGAAATTTAATCCTTTGCCAAAAGCTTTCAAAGACTTTAACTTGTAACGTCTTTGCTTCAGTCTATTTACAAAAACGGGAGGCGGACTTCCTGTTTATGACCTCCCGCTTCAGTGCCAAATTAAAGTATTTAAAAATCCAATTTTCCAATTTACTCACGAGTTGTTGTTTATAATCGAATTTTCCACAGGAAAAAGTCAGCGCTCTCCGGCAACAGCAATGCGGCTTCACTCCGTGAAAAAAGCAGTCGATTCAAAGCACCGCGCCATTCACCCCACGTCGCTCCAGATCCCCAAAACCGGGTTTCCCCGCGAGTAGGGGAGGCGCAAAAGGTGCCAGCCGAATCCCACGTTCACAGGCTTCTCCCGCCTGTGGTTTTTAATGGGTCTCCGCCTCGCCGCGGCTGTCCAGACCCTAATTCTCACGAGGCGGATTCCTCCTGGTCAGAGGAAATCCGCCATTGCCGGAGGCGCTAACCCGGAAGCCCCCCCTAATTTTCATGTCCCATGGAAGATTTTGCATTAGGTGTCCTGGTTCATGACTTCCAGTTCCATTAATCTGCTGAATGAGTGAGAGATAACTTGCCTGGCTGCCTGGTATTTAAATTCAATTTGTGTTTTGCAGCATTATTTTCTTTTCTTTTTTTTTTTTTTAAATAATTTTTTATTAAGGTTTTAAACAAAGAAAAAAGAAAAACAACACACACAAAAAACAATACAAAACTTAACAATAAAAACATAAAACATAACAATTAAAAACAAACTCTCTTTTCCATTTCCAATTTTAAATTACTTATTTTCTGGACTTCCTCATACCTCCCTCTTTTGTATTCCAATCCACATTATTTGTCCAGCAGTTTCTTTTCCACTTTTTATCCCAATCTTTAATTTAATAAAATGTTAAAATATATAACTTCAACTTTTTTAAACCTAATCCTTACTCTTAATGTCATATAGCTTTAAATTTTTCCCTTTTATTATCAAATTTCCATTTCTTTAAACATCTTTAATCTTAATCTTTAATCTTAATCTATCCTTAACTTTAACCTGTACAGCTGGAAACCACTTATTTTCAATCCAACATCACTCTAACATTCCTTAATTTTGCAGTGTTTCTGAAGATAGTCTTTGAATTTCTTCCAGTCTTCCTCCATCGACTCTTCTCCCTGGTCACGGATTCTGCCAGTCATTTCCGCCAATTCCATATAGTCCATAAGTTTCATCTGCCATTCCTCCAGCGTGGGAAGTTCTTGTGTCTTCCAATACTTTGCGATGAGTATTCTTGCTGCTGTTGTTGCATACATAAAGAAAGTTCTATCCCTTTTTAACACCATTTGGCCCACTATGCCCAGGAGAAAGGCCTCTGGTTTCTTGGGGAAGGTATACTTAAATACCTTTTTTAATTCATTATATATCATTTCCCAGAAAGCCTTAATCTTTGGGCACGTCCACCAAAGGTGAAAAAATGTACCTTCAGTTTCTTTACATTTCCAACATTTGTTATCGGGCAAGTGATAGATTTTCGCAAGCTTGACTGGGGTTATGTACCACCTGTATATCATTTTCATAATATTCTCTCTTAAGGCATTACATGCCGTAAATTTCATACCTGTGGTCCATAACTGTTCCCAGTCAGCAAACATGATATTATGTCCAATGTCCTGTGCCCATTTAATCATAGCCGATTTTACCGTTTCATCCTGAGTATTCCATTTCAGCAGCAAGTTATACATTCTTGACAAATTCTTAGTTTTGGGTTCTAACAATTCTGTTTCTAATTTGGATCTTTCCACCTGGAAGCCAATTTTCCTGTCCAATTTAAATGTTTGCAGCATTATTTTCTACTTTTTGCAAGAAACATTATTATGGGGCACCAATAAGAGAATATGCCCAAAGGGATCATATTCTATTGTTTAATTTCATTATTGAAAGATATATTTTATAGTGTATATTTGAAAGAAGGGATGGTAAAGTTGCTGAGACATTACATTTAAGAAGGAAATGTGTGTCATGAAGCTGTTTGTAGAAAACTGATAAACAATCTTTACTTGAATCAGTAAACATAGTTTTATGTCTGTTTCAGATGGAGCAAATAAAAAGGGCAAATAAACTGTTCACCAATGACTGTATATTTCTGAGAAAAACATTGAATATCCCTGTTATATCTGAGAAGCCTTTGCTGTTTAATGGACTTAACTCATTGGAGTCCCCAGAGAATGAAGCTGACACCCCCTCTTCTTGTGAAGATGGACCAGTGACAGTTCAGGAAGACAACTCTTCACCCAGTCCTCAAGAGCCTGACAATCAGCTCCCTCCACCTGAAGAATTATCTGCCAAAGATTTTCTACATAGACTGGACTTGCAGATTAAGATGTCCAAGCAGGCAGCTCGGAAACTAAAACCTGAAGATAACAGGTAAAGAAAAAAGAAAACTGCATGCTTATTTAGACACATTTTGAGGGCTTGATGTGGATAATACTTAGAACAGTAGTATACAAAAAAGAGAGTTACCCACTAAAGCACAGTGCCGTTGGAAAGAAAATTTTGAGAATATTCAGGAAGTTCTAGTATTTGAGCTTCCATGTTACAGATTTAGTTAGGCAAATTCCAGATACTTTGATCAGCTCAGTGGCTAAAATTTTACACACACACACACACACACACACACACCCTAGAGAACTGAAGTAATTCCGTTTTTTTTATTATTATTAAATTTCACTTAGATAACCAAAAGAAAAAAAACAAAACAACAGTTACAGAAAAAAGGAAAAAAAGAAAAAATATCCATACATAACACAAAAATAACATAATAACAATTTCCGTTACAGTTCCTTGTCTTATTCCTTGAATCTTTATATCTTTACATGATTAGGTCTTTTCTCTCCACACCTATTGACCTCCTTCCCTCCTGATTTCAGGCTTCTTAATCAAAAATTATTTCTTTTTTCTGCAGCTAAGAGTTGTTATGGTTTGCACGTCATAAGATTTATATCAAACCTGCCGTAGTTTTTAAGTTTCTATAGGTTCCTTCAATATATGCCATAAATTTATTCCAATAGCTAATAAACTTTGTATTTTTTTGGTTTCTAATTTTTTGCGTCATTTTTGCTAGTTCAACATACTCAAATAATTTTGTCTGCCAATCTCTGACCGTTGGGGTATTTGGACTTTTCCAATTTTGTGCAATTAATATTCTGGCCGCTGCTGTCGAATATTGGAATAGTGTTTTATCCTCTTTTTTAATTTCATCCCCAATTATTCCTAATAGAAAGGCCTCTGGTCTTTTAGGGAAAGTGTATTTAAATATTTTCTTTAACTCATTGTAAATCAGATCCCAAAATTTCTTCATTTCCTCACAAGTCCACCACATATGGTAGAAATTGCCCTCTTTAATTTTATACTTCCAGCAGGCCTTATTTCCTGTTTTGTACATTTTTCCTAATTTTACTGGTGTGATGTACCACCTATACATCATCTTTTCTAAATTTTCTCTACGTGTGACGCGTGCCGTAAATTTCATTCCACAACTCCATAATTTCGACCACTTTTCATATTCTATGTTGTATCCCAGGTCCATTGCCCATTTTGTCATAACCTCCTTTATTTCTTCATCTTTAGTGTCCCATTCCAATAATATGTCATACATTTTGGATAATAACTTGGTTTTGCCTTCAATTATTTCAATCTGAAATTTAGATTTTTTCTCACTTATCCCTACTTTTTTGTCTTCCATCCATATTGCGTTTATTTGATGATACTGCAGCCAGCCTGTTAATTTGTCTTTCAACTCTTCATATATTCTCAATTTCCAGCCACTTTCTGATCTTATCAGTAGGTCTTCGTAGGTCAGTCTTTCTCCCTCCATATTTGCTTTTTTGGTTGTTAAATTGTCGATTGGTGATAACCACCAGGGTGTTTTCCATTCTAAAAGTTTTTTATTTTTCTCCCAAACTTCATATAGTGGCCCTCTAATAATATGACTTGAAAACCCTTTATGTACCTTTTCTTTATTTAGCCACAAGTAGGCATGCCAACCGAACCTATTGTTGAAACCTTCTAAGTCTAACAGGTCAGTGTTTTCCAAATTAATCCAATCTTTAATCCAGCAAAGGCAGGAGGCCTCAAAGTATAATTTCAAATTTGGCACCGAGAATCCCCCTCTTTCTTTTCGATCTGTAAGTAATTTGAATCTAATTCTCGGTCTTTTCCCTTGCCATATAAATTTCGAAAGAGTTTTCTGCCAATTCTTAAACATTGTGGAACCTCTAATCACAGGGATGTTTTGAAACAAGAATAACATTCTTGGGAGCACGTTCATTTTTACTGCCGCCATCCTTCCCGACCACGAAAGTTTCACTCTATTCCACGTATCTAGATCTTTTTAAATTTCCTTCCAAGTTGTCAAATAATTGTCCTGGATTAAATTTATATTTTTTGTAGTTAGCCAGATTCCCAGATATTTTATTTTTTTGGCCACCTTGATTCCATTCTGTATCTCTAATTTTTCTCTTTCGTCTTTTCCCAGATTTTTAGTCAGCATTTTTGTCTTTGATTTATTCAATTTAAAACCGGATAGTTTGCCATATTCTTCTAATATTTCCAGGGCCTTACTGACACTTTTTTGCGGCTCTTCTAGGGATAGCATCAAATCATCCGCATACGCTTTTAGTTTGTATTCTTTTGTTCCTACTTGAATCCCTCGAATCTTTTTTAAAAACTTTGAGAAAAGCAAAAGTACAAAAGACCAAAGACCTGTCCAGAGTTTAATCTTCCTGCCTTGCCCTGGTCTCAGTGATACTAATGAGATTGGCCTCCTCATCCACAATCAGATCATGGATGAGGGAGAACTTGTTCAGAATCAACCCACCATTCAACAGCAGCAGCCACAGCAGACCTGAGGGCTGGCACACAGCACAGTCACTAATTGCCTGTGCTATGTGTCCCTTCATGCACCAAACCTACCCTGAACCACTGTGATTGCCCCTCCGCTCTCCCAGCTCCTCCCAGGCACATTTCACCTCCTTCAATAAAAAAGACAACAGTTAAGATAATTGTAGCAGCCATCATCATCATCATTTATTTATTTCTGTTGTTGTTCAGTCGTTTAGTTGTGTCCGACTCTTTGTGACCCCATGGACCAGAGCACGCCAGGCACTCCTGTCTTCCACTGCCTCCCGCAGTTTGGTCAAACTCATGCTGGTAGCTTCGAGAACACGGTCCAGCCATCTCGTCCTCCGTCATCCCCTTCTCCTTGTGCCCTCAATCTTTCCCAATATCAGGGTCTTTTCCAGGGAGTCTCCTCATGAGGTGGCCAAAGTATTGGAGTCTCAGCTTTAGGATCTGTCCTTCCAGTGAGCACTCCGGGCTGATTTCCTTAAGAATGGATAGGTTTGATCTTCTTGCAGTCCATGGGACTCTCAAGAGTCTCCTCCAGCACCATAATTCAAAAGCATTAATTCTTTGGCAATCAGCCGAATAAAGGGTATTTATTTATACCCTTCCCACTTGACTGGGTTGCCCCAGCCACTCTGGGTGGCTTCCAAGATAATAAAAACACTGACTATCTGTTTGACGTCTGATTGCAGAACATTCCACAGGGTGGGTGCCACTACTGAGAAGCTGCCAGTTGCACCAATACAACTTGTGCACCAACAAGGCCAGGAGCAAATTTTTCACCCTTTTCTTCCCTTCTCAGGGGGATGACAGGGCTCTCCCTCTCTCTTCCTTTCCCTCCCACTCCAGAGTGTAGCAGTGCAGATTTTTGCAAGCATCTCTATGGCCTCATTCATTCTTGACCTTTTGTTAATGCACAGTAATTATTTCCTTGCTCAGGGCAGCAGTTCTTCTATTTCTTCTGTGCCTTTGTATTTTACTTTTGCCTTTTTTATTTTGATAAAAATTAAAGGAGTGCATTTAGCTTATTTTTAGAAATTCTTTTAGTAAAACAAAACACTCTTTGCGGAAAGGTTGCAATAATTTAGTTCAGTTCCTTTGACAAATGCAATCCTCCCCCCCATCCTTCTGTGATACAGTCCATTTGGCAGGTGGCTAAGTTTGAATTACAGTTCTAAAAATGACATTTGTTCTGCTCGATAGGGACACTGAAAGATATTTAATTTTATTCTTTTAATTTTATTTAATTTTATTTGTTGGCCAAAACCATCTTCCTTTTGTGATATGTTTTGCTGTTTTCTTAATATACGCAGGGTGTATGTATGCCATAATTCCATGGGATCATTGGGAGCATAGAAATAGCCTAGAATGTAGAGGTGGGAGCAGAATTCAGTTTCCTGACGTAGCTGAATATGATTTCAAATATTGTTGGAAGGACTTAATTGTCCTTGCCCCTGCCATGATTAGCAAAGCCATAATAAATTGTGCAAAGTAGCAAGAACTGCTGCCCAGAAGCAATCACTACTTAAGGCTGCAACAAATAGAAAGGTTGCAAGCCCATGCCATAAGTGCAGCTGAGAGACCAGCAACTTTTGCCATCTCTCCTGGAAGTTTTTCACCCCAGCTTGTCATTAGAAAAACTTGTAACTAAGAAGCTGTACTTGCATCTGCATATTTCTTATTTGCTACTGATCTATTTTTTTCCTTTTGTGGTATGTTTTTGTAGATTGTAAACCTGAGGCCAGGGATTATATTTTATTTCATTTTATGTAGACAACATATAAAGTCATACCTTGATTCTCTAACACCTTGTGACTCGAACGTTTTGGCTCCTGAACACCGCAAACCCGGAAGTAAGTGTTGCGGTTTGTGAACTTTTTTTGGAAGCTGAACGTCTGACGCGACTTCCAATTGAGTGCAGAAAGCTCCTGCATCCAATCGGAAGCCGCACCTTGGTTTTTGGAAGTCAAATGGACTTCCAGAATTGATAGCGTTCGAGAACCAAGGTACAGCTGTAGACTTCTCACTGTATACAAAATGCTTGTGGGCTCGCTTGATACATTGCTGCTCGAAAATTGTGAAGATTTCCTACAAGGAATGACCATTCTGCTACATTCCTTGAATGCTTTACTTTGTGGAGTAAATTTTATAAGCACCTGGAAACATTTTCACAAGCTTTCTTTTTTCTCAACAGGGAGGACGATGAGGAAAACTCCTATGCAACTTCTTCTTATCAGCAGCAGTAGAAGATGACTGAAGAGCTGGAATCAAAACTGTTCTTAAAGAACTAAATATCTGAGGATTCAAAAGCAAACCTTTTGGATTGATTTATTATCGTGTACTTGTTACAAGTCGTATATAGGTAATTCCACTATACTTGCACTAAAATTATTTGACCTTCGCCTTCTGCAGGCCAATGTCCTTTTACTATACATTAATAAAGGAAGTGATCCTTCCAAAACTAGTAATTGCCTTCGTATTTCCGCTATGAAAATATATCCCTGAGACAACTCTGAATCAGGATCGTTAGGAAACAGCTGTATATACTTATAAGATAAAGTGTAAGGAAGATTAAGTATTTATGATGAAAGTCATTATTATGGAGCCTTGAGATAGATAAGCCTGTCATGCAGATTTTGTGCATATCGGAGCTGATGGATACAGCTCTGAATATTTTTTTCTCCATGTGTGTGTACATGTGTCTTTATACAGATATAAAAATATGTATAGAAAGATATTTGTTCTTAAAATGAACCAGTTTTAACTGTTTTGGAAATCAGTTGAGATTTTAAAGTATGTATGGCACAATACCTTGCTCGGAGACTTTTTTAAACAAAGGGAAGAACCTTGGTAAAAAATGTATTTTTCTTTGTGTCAGGGTAATGTTCGAAACATAGATACTTGTGTGCAGATATATGTAGTTTTCATGTAATAAATGCAAAATGCACTTTAAGAAAGTGAACTGTCTTTGTTTTTCAGCCTATCTGTATAGAAAATACAGAATGTCTGGTGCTTTGCAAATACATTTCAAAAATATGCTTTTCTGTTTCATTTGAGTGTATTAAAATTTCCAAAGCTGTCAAAGTGTCTGACTTTTTTTCCTAACTACTGCAGCTTTATTTTAAATACATTAATTTTATGAACATAAGGAAAAATGAATCTATTGATTATGCTTTTTTATTCTTTATGCTTTCTGAAAAACTGAAATCAGAAATTGAATATCTTGGTTGTGGAAAATGAATGAGGATGTTATTGTATATGTCGGGGTTGGGGAACTTCAGGTTACAATATTCTGCCCCGTCTATTACCAGTGGTTGATTGCACCGGCACTGCAAAAATGGATAGAAGTCTCACCATTTGCTTGTGTCTGGAACTACTATGCATACAAATTATAAGGACCTTGGTGGGCACATAATTCAAGGCTTGTCTCATCCCTTTACAATACATCCATGTGACTTGTGATCAGGATTCTGAAAGATCATCTCACCCCTTATATATAAATTTGATCACTGTGCTCTGCAGGCAAGGGCCTCCTGCAGACACTTGTCTTATGTGGTCTTTTCTGCACAATATAGAAATCTGGCCTTCAGTGTTGTGGCACCTACCCTTTGGAATTGCCTCCTGTCAAATATCAGACAGTCACAGAGAGAATAAACACCATGGTGCATCTGCAGCAGCACACCAGATGCCTTCATCTGCCCCAGCTGCAACAAAGCATGTCTTTCCTGTATCGGTCTCCACAGCCACAGCAGGTACTTGCTGCAGTCTTGACTTCACCCTCAAAGTCACAATCCTCCATTGTCTCCTGAAACAGATTGATGTCAGCAAACATACCCTCTTTCAACACGCCTTTTAAGCGGAGAGCTTTCCTGGTCTGCATCTGTATTGGAATTGTTTTTTGGTATTTTAATTGTTTTACCAGTTAGTGTTTGCTGCCCTGGGAAGAAGAGTGGGATATAAATGCAATTAATTGATTAATATATGTCCCTATTTAAAATCAAGTGCAGTACTGCTATTCTTCGAAGGAACACAGCCATTCAGTGTCTCACAACAACCCTGAGGTCTGTTTTGAAAAGCAACCGCAAAGTTCTAAGGTTTTCATTTCAGAGATCCCTGCCTCCCCTCCCCCCCGCTCCTTTTTATTCAAGCCCAGTGAAAGCTGTTGCCATAAGGATTGACGTTGGCGTGAAATGAATCCGCTTTAAGTTCTCCCTATAGATTTCCTGTCAACTCTTCTTCACTTTCTTTGAAAGAGAAGCCTCCAATGGAATTGTTTTGTGCTTACCAGGGCCTGCATCTCATAACACCATGCAGCTTGAAGAGAACAATTATCCTAGTGCCCAAAGTAATGGGTGAACGACATCTTTCGTATTTGTTTTAACCTCTGGAAACATGTTTAAAATACTTTCACATGCATATCTAGAGAAATTCATGAAGCAGAGTGCCATCGATGGCATTCGTGGATGGAGACAGTAATGTATCTGAACACCAGGTGTTGGAAACCACAGGAGGTGAGCTTGCAGGTTTTCCAGAGGTATTTGGTTGGCCACTGAGAACAGGATGCTAGACTAGATTAGCCACTGGCCTCATCCAGCAGTCTCTCTATGTTCTGAAATAGTATGTCTTTTCTGCAGGTTTTGTAAGTTAAAAAAAAGGTAAAGGACCCCTGGATGGGTAAATCCAGTCAAAGGCAACTATGGGGTTGCAGCACTCATCTCGCTCTATAGGCCGAGGGAGCTGGCATTTGTCCACAGACAGCTTTCCACGTCATGTGGCCAGCAGGACTAAACTGCTTCTGGCACAGCGAGACACCGTGACGGAAACCAGAGCGCACGGAAATGCCAATTACCTTCCCACCATAGTGGTACCTATTTATCTACTTGCACTGGCGTGCTTTTGAATTGCTAGGTTGGCAGGAGCTGGGACAAAGCAATGGGAGCTCACCCATTCGTGGGGATTTGAACCTCTGATCTTCTGATCAGCAAGCCCAAGAGGCTCAGTGGTTTAGACCACAGTGCCACCCACGTTTTTTAAGTGGCAGGTGTGGGTTTGGGCAAACTTCTGAAATAAAAGATTCTGAACTCTTCTCAGAATGATGATTTCTGGGAGACAGACATACTATTGTAGACAATTGCATTCAGCTCATAGCGGGCCCATTTAAATTAAGGGACCCAAGTTAGTTATGTCCATCACTTTAAACGGATCTATTCTAAGCAGGAGTAGCATTGGCTACAAGTCACAGTTTCCACATTTTGTGCAGATCCTTGGATATAGCCTTTCTGTTCTTACTGGTACCTGATCCAACCTTAAAGAAATCAGTCGGAATAGCTTTCAAATAGGTTTTGTGTCACAAATAGGTTTTGTGTGTCTCGCAAAAAATGTGTCTCAAATGGCAGAGATTTCTCTCCACCCCCAATGCATGTTCATAGACGTCTAGAATAATTTTCACAGTACAGGATCATAGCCTTCAGAGAGGCAATGCACGAAAAAGAAGAAAACAAAAACCTGCGCCAATGTATCTTGTAGTAAAGCATTTAATAAAGTACAGTATCAGAAACAGGATTGTATTAGAAAAGTGTATTGTGAATGTAGTATACTTCTGTTACATTTGCCCGTCAGCCATAGTCTTAAATAGTGAAGACACCTCAAAATACCTAAATTCTAAAAGATACTTTGAATGTTAAAAAAAAAAATTAATGGTGCTGCGTGGGATTACAACTGGAGATGTACAGGATACATACTTCATTCCATGGAGGTGATAAGAGAAAATGCTTGCAAGCTGTGGTCTGAAAATTGCTACTAAAATGCTGTCATAGCAAAAGCCTCCAATTGTCAGGGTACCATATAGGGCATCTGCAGTGCTAATCGTGATGACCGAAATGGCTCACTTTGGCCTTCTTTTAGCGCAAGCCACAGCCCTTCTGCAGTGCAGGGTGATGGATGGGGCTGCCTCCTCTTCATAGCTGTCAGCTTACAGATTTGAAAATAAGGGAACAGCAGCCTCGAAAATAAGGAATCAGCAGCCAAAATAAGGGATTTTCAGAGCACAGGTATGTTCAACTTCTGAGCCCCTCCAAGCCATAGGCAGAAAGCCCAGCCAGCAGCCAAACGAAGCCTCAAGCAGCACAGCAACCCGGCAAAGGGGATGCAGCAAGGAAAACCACCGTCACCTCTCTGCTGGGAAGCGCTGAGCAAAGGCGAGTCCCCAGGCAACGCGGCCGATTTGATCGGCACAAGGCATGCAAGCTCCACCCCCCAGTCATTCTTAAACTCCTTATTGGGTTAGCAATGCAGCTGAGCAACGCAGCTGGAGCCTCCCTCCTCCCTGGCTGGCAGGGAGGGAGGGAGAGGAGCTGCTTCCTTTGAAACCCGGGAAATTTAAGGGACATCATCAATAAGGGACAGCAGCGGGACACAGCACTGGGATAAGGGACTTTCCCGCCAAATAAGGAACGGTTGGCAGCTATGCTCCTTTGCATTGTCATCTCACGCCATGAAAAGCCGTTGCGTTTGATGCAGCCTGACTGAGCCCGTGCTTAGAAACATGCACCGAACAAAAGCAGAGGGAAATGAACCTGCCGTTGTTGGTGCAACATTCCCTTGCCATTAAAAAGACACTGGGTTGTATCCAATGCAGTGCTAAGTCACTTAGTGGTCTCCTTGTTAACTGTGCTCACTGGTAGAGTGTTTGCTTTGCATGGAGAAGGTCCCAGGTTCAGCCCCAGGTGTCTCCAGGGAGGGCTGCTGCCAGTCAGAGTAGACCACACTGAACTGGATGGTCTGACTCAGTACAAGGCAGCTTCCTGTGCTCCAGTGCGTGTCAGAACAATGACATGGACCATTTCCTGCCAGCTCTTGCAAGTTGCTAGGTCAGGGATGGATCCATTCCACACAACTGGGCTGGCAAATCTAGGAAGCGCCATACATGGAGCTCCATTCTGTATTTTCCACCAGTCTTTATTCCACTTTCTCCTCTTTCTCTATTCCTTAGTAGGAACCACAAAGAACTTTGCCCTTTTATCCCTCTGTTCCCCCTCCTCTGCACACAACGTCTCTGCATCTCGACAGCTTCTGCTACAACCTTCACGCTAAGGACTTGCAAATCTGCTTCTCTAGCACAAGTCTTGCTAATTCTCCAACACATCTCTAATTCTCTTGTTGGAAAGAAAGCCTGGGGTCATCTTTACCGCCTTCCTTCATCACCTAAAATGCAAGCAACTTCTGCTTCTTGCTTCCAGCACCTCCAGGCTAGATCGGTTTCTTTCTATATGACTAGTGAAACTATTACCTGCATCTAGCATCCTGTGGTTAATGCCACCTCCTCCTATCACCTCCTTAAATCTTTCAAGTGATGCCCTATAGCTATCTGCAATCGAGTTCATCATCCCACATCCTTCTCTTTAAAACCCACTCTTATTTCTGCCCTATCGCCTCCCTCCGCTAAACTCAGGCTCCTTTCTTTTCTGCCCATTATGCAAAAGCTTGTTTGTCACCACTCCTGCTCCTACGCACATCTATCTTTGGTTAAAATGGGGAGCCTCTTACACCTCCTGTATCTGAGCCACATTCCTCTCCCTCTTTGGCATGCTACTCCCTACTCCTTTTATATATCTTCTCAAAATTAATCTTTTCAGCAACCCCAGCCACACTGTCATCTGACCATTGCCACCTAGCTATTCTTTTGGTGGGAAATTGCAGTCAGCCGTAACTATGAATGAGTGCTAGTTAATGCATGAAGGGGTTAAGATCAGAGAGGTCTATTCCTAGACTCAGACCACACCATCTCACCTCCTCGTCTCTCACTCGCTTTGTACCATGTAATCAACCAGGAAGGACTTGCCTGAGCTTGCTCCAACCTCAGACTGCTTGCTTGAAACCACCTTTCTGTATTTTGTACCCAGGAGTATTCCACTTGTGTTCTGCTTGCGGTTGCATGGAACAACACATGAATCAGAACTTTTGATTTTGTAAGTAAAGTATTTTAACCTTACTTAAGTGTGTGGTCTGTTCATTGTCAGAGGGATAGAGAGAGGGGCAAGCACAGCAAGCAGACGAAATGGGATATGAAAACAACCTATATTCCCATGCTATACTGCTGCTTAATTCTGTGACTGTTTTAAACTCCGCTGGGGAGTGTGTTAAGCCCTATGTTTTGAAGCCAGGCATCCAGCCAATTCTTTTGTTAATAACCCACACGTGGGTCACACAGATCTAACCCCCCACCCACTTTCCCCCATTCCTTTTTTCTTTCCAGATACAGTAAGTGGAGCTCCACATATGTGGTCTGCACAGTGTCTAGCACATGCAAACCACTACACAACTAAAGTAGTTGCCAGAATTCTACTCATAGCTGCAACAATCCCAGGAAGGCTTTAAAATGTGTGGCAACTTTCTCTTCTACAACAGGGGAATCTCTGAAGGTCCTAGTTCTGAGTATGATTTAGGGATGCAGGGGTGGGGGAAATGCAAGCTGTATTTTTCCTATCAAGGAATGTTCAGATACTCCTAGATAAGTGAATGGTAACCCAAACCCTGGACTGGGTGAATAAGTATTTTCTTTTGTCTGCCCTGATTCTTCAAACATTCAGTTTCACTCAATGCCCCATAGGTTCTATTATTATAAAAGGAGAGAGGGAAAATGTCTCTATTCTGCTTTCCACACACAATGTCTAATCTTATTTACTTCTAAGTTTGTTCTGGGTATAAGCTTTCGTGTGCATGCACACTTCTTCAGGAAGTATCTGAAGAAGTGTGCATGCACACGAAAGCTTATACCCAGAACAAACTTAGTTGGTCTCTAAGGTGCTACTGGACATTTTTTTAATTTTTTAATTTTTTTCGACTGCATCAAACCAACACAGCTACCTACCTAAATCTTATTTACTTCTATCGTGTTCTGCCTTATTCACATTTTTTTCTGAACTCCAAAGCCCCAGATATTGTAACTTTTCCTCGTGGCGGGAGGAATGTTTATTTCTTTTCTCACTTATTTCTTCTCTCTTTTAATACTCATCAAGCCATTTCCCTTGCGCAACTGGAAAGCCCATGTGTTGTTGTTTTATTGCATTGTTGTTTTTCCTTCCAACTTTTTACAGTCATGATTATGGTAAATCAGTTGTTCCCCAAAGCTGTGTGCCACAACATACCACAGTAGAACCAACACAAGAAGTTACCGGTAAGTAGCGAAATCATGAAAGTCCCCCCTGGACTCCAAATCCCCATCTGCAAAAGAGGCTGCCTGCTGCAACTCTGCATGATATCCAACTCTGGTCTTAGCTTTCCTCCCCAGCCAATCTCTGCTTCTGAAAGGGCAGATTATTCTGTCACAACAATTCAGGATATGTGATTGGATCATTCAGCTATTCCTGAGGCAGCAATGAGTAAACAAACAAACCAACCCCTGTGTTGCAAAATATGAGTCAGCAATATCAAAATCAACACAATGGCCAGAAACAATTACAATGTGAAAAACTTTATGGAATAATTCAAAACATCAAAACTAACAAACTGAAGTCTCTGAAAGTCCTTAAATGAATCATGGTGCCAGACTTTACCTGGTGGAGAGCAAGCTGTGAAGCTTTGTATAATCAGCAAATGTCCAATTCTGATGTCCAGCTCTGAACTCTGCTGAACAGTGTTTCCAGATAACAACTACTGTTTTGTTGAATTCTTCATCAGCCAAATAGTTCAACACTCGTAAGTAGAAAGATATGTAATTTCTTCATTAACCAATCTTTTTTCGAATAGATATAATATACATGAGAATGAAAAATATTCTGGAACAGTGCTCATGTGATCAGTGACTACATAATCACATGAGCACTGTTCCAGTTTTGAATTATTCCATAAGGTTTTTCACATTGTAATTGTTTCTGGCCATTGTGTTGCTTTTGATATTGCTGATTCCTAAGGCAGCGGCAGCAGAATAGCCTGTCCTCTGATGAAGCTGATCATTGTCTCTTTGCATGTGCCATTGGAAACAGGCATGCCTAGGGCAATTTGGAGGCACGTTCAAAATTCATTTAAGCTTTATTTTTTAAAAAGACATGCTTCCCACACACTGCATAACTGTATCTGATTAGGTGTAAGAGGGATATAGACCTGATAAAAGTATGCTTCATCTCTTAGACATTTGGAAAACACTGGGTTGCGTTCAACTTGACCAGGGTTTCCCAAACATGGGTCTCCAGCTGTTTTTGGACTACAACTCCCATCATTCCAAGCTAGCAGGACCAGTGGTCAGAGATGATGGGAATTGTAGTCCCGAAACAGCTGGAGACCCAAGTTTGGGAAACCCTGAAGTAAACCCACAGAACTTAACAAATAAAAGTTAGCCATGCCTATTAACTTCAGTGGGTCTCCTCTGAGTAGGACGAACACTGGATACAGTCCATTGTGCATGGCCATTCAATCTCCAACAAGCTTGAGGGTATAACAGCAATTTCCTTTGATGCAGGCCAAAAGTTCAAAACTTTGCATGGTCTGACTGGCAGAAGTGATGAGCAACCTATATTGATATTGAAACCTCTCATCCTAAGCACACTTCTAATTCTAGGCTCCTCAAATGCTTTGTCTTTAAATTTCTCCTTCTCCTCCTCCTCATAAATTAACAGCTATTTACATGTGCCATTAGGCTACTCACATCAAGAATTCCATTCTTTATACATGCAGAGAAATAACACTTATTAAAGAACTATGAAGGTGTGTTAATGACAACATTGCTGGTGTACCTGACCATAGCAATGCCGTGACAAAACAGCTCCTTCTCCCTGTAAGATCTACTTTAAAGGCTTGATGCAGTGTGTCGAAGATGTAGCAGCTACTCAGTGGCACACAGACAGGGACACAATACAGAATGCACCAAACAGCGAGGAAATGGCGACGTACAAATTCAAACGGGACCATCTTTGACACAAAATAATTGGAACGACAAATGGGAACCCGAATGTGAGATTTCTTAATATTTAGTTGCATCGTTCTCACCCTAATAATGCCCTTTGCAAATGCAGAGAGCGGCATCTCTACAAAGCCACTGAATGGTGGAACAAGTTGGCGGATGCTGGGCGTGAGGGGGAAGAGATATTTTCCAAAAGCATCCGCCTTCCCTAGAGGATGTCAAAAATTAGGCTAACGGCAACATGATGCCAGCATTTTACCCTGTTGACTAGAAAGTGGGCAGCAAAAAAAACCCCTGCCTTAAGTGGAATGGTTGATGCGCAGGGGAAAATGAAGATGCAGTCATAGTGGGTTGTGAACCAAGGCTTTTCACCTGGAAGAAATTCAGTACAACGCAGAGAGAATACTTTCTAATAATCTTGGGGTGAGAGGCGAGGGCAGGGAGAAAGGAGGTTGTACTAGGTGTGGGTGAAGCTCGACTAGAATTCCCTACAGCTTCAAGAGACGTCCCCTTTTCTGCTCTTTACAGGCTGCCATAGATACGTTTGATCACGTCTGCCTCTTCTTTATCCAGGATGCCCTTGTCCACGTAAGCGTCGGCTTGCTGGTCAATGAAGTCCCGCAGTTTAGAAAGATCGTAATCTGGAACACAAGAAAGGATTCATGCAGCAAGCCTCCTCTGAGTCAGGTTCTCCCAGTAAACATAACATTTTCATTGCCAAGGGGGGGTTTAAAAAAGTTTTTGCGAAGGTTTCCTAGCGCCTTTAGAAGTCCCCAGTTCTTTTAGCACAGCATAGTGTGGCAGCGAAGCCAAACTTCAACTGTGGTCCAAACCTGAGATGGTGGTTAAGCCTCAACTCCTTAACCACACCCTGTAGCCTAATTTTGCCCGATGGTCGAGGGATAGAGACTTTATTCAGGATCCCGGGTTCAGGTGACACACTAAGTCAAACCTGGACTTAGAGGTTGTGATGTATTCTGCTGAAAGGGCTGGGGAGCAGAAGAGGCAGTGCCGGATTTATGTATAAGCTAAACAAGCTATAGTTTAGGGCCCCACTCTCTTGGGGGCCCCAAAAAAATTAAAGGGAAAAAAGCTGGATGTACATTTCCAAAACATAAGATAAAAAACAAAATAAAACCTATATACAGCAACAGTGTTTTGTGTTTTGTAGGCTCCTATGATGTAAGTCATGGGACCCTCCTGCTAGCCTGCTACCTAAAATATCACTGGTTTGCTCATTTCTATATATAGGGTGCCTACATTCTGCATGTGCAAATGGCTTTAGATACCTATTAGGTCCATAAATTACCATATAGCATATAGGTAAAGGTAAAGGTACCCCTGACTGTTAGGTCCAGTCGTGGATGACTCTGGGGTTGTGGAGCTCATCTCGCTCTATAGGCCGAGGGAGCCGGTGTTTGTTCGCAGACAGTTTTTCTGGGTCATGTGGCCAGCATGACTAAGCCGCTTCTGGCGAACCAGAGCAGTGCACGGAAACGCTGTTTACCTTCCCGCTGGAGTGGTACCTATTTATCTACTTGCACTTTGACGTGCTTTTGAACTGCTAGGTTGGCAGGAGCAGGGACTGAGCAACAGGAGCTCACCCCGTCGTGGGGATTCGAACCACCAACCTTCTGATCAGCAAGTCCTAGGCTCTGTGGTTTAGATATATGTGGTTTATATACAGGATATATTCAACACAAAAACAGTGACAATTTGTTGTTGACAAAGGACAGCTGGACATATAAAGGGCCCCATTACCTTCAGTAGCTTAGGGCTTCATCAAACCTAAATCTGGCCCTGCAAACGCCTCTTCAGAGCACACCTGCACAGTCTCTGTAAGCCACAGTCTGGCTTCCCATGACAGGTAAATGCAGCATGTGGGATGTAACCCTACATTAATTTCCAGCCTAGAAATTGGCAGGACTCTCCTTCAATTTGTATATTCAGATCAGCGTACTGTGAAAATATCTGCAAACACAAAAGATAATGACCAAGCCATCACGTTTAGAGAAAACGGATAATTGCTCAGTTCATTTGTCTGAACTGAATGTGAAAAAGGCCTCCCTGTCACTTAGTTCACATTCATTGCAGCATTCGGCCCAACATTCCAGATGACAGGGGCAAATATATGTGGAATAAGGTCTTTGCAAATTTGCAGATTACGGCTAATTTGGTAAATATGTTTCACGGCACTCTAATAATTAACAGACAAAGCATGTCGCTTATCTCTGTTAAGTTCGGTGGAAAAGTATCGTAATGGGCACATTAACAAAAAAACAGCAATATCTTCCCATCTGCTGTCTCAATTAACACTGATGCCTAAGGAACACTGTTGTACCATTTCCCCAGGCGCGATCGCAGAGCTTTTCAGATTAATAATTCAAATACCATTGCCAAGTTTGTACTTGCTGTGCCATCTCATATCGCTCTCCCCTTTCCCCCTTCATAGAGTCTCCTTTCAGATTTTCTTCCGTTAACACTATACGAATCTACACTAGCATCCCATACAAATATAACACACTTCATTCTCAGAATTGTGTGCTCAAGTCTTTAATTTCATTTTGTCCCGGTTTCGTTTAATGGAACGATTAATGATCTGTGGTCAAATGTTTGTGGGGCACGGAGACCTAAGTCTGCAGGCAAATGCAAAACAGCAAAAACAGCACAAATCTAAATGCTGGCAGCCCAGTACCTTGAAATGAGAGTTATTTAGGGTGCAATGTTACAGCAACAGCTGGTTCCCATTGGGTCTGGTAGGGCAGAAGGGAGGGAGACCAAACGGTAGGTGGAGCTGGAGTCAATGACAGGCAGAGCCTCTCCCCTGATTGGTTGTAAGCCAGAACTCAGGCAGGTGGGACCTGCTGAGCTTGGTGGGAAAATAAACTGATAAACCAGCCTCCAGTCCAATCCTATATACATATTCACCTGGAGTAAGCCTTATTGAACTCAAGGGAGCCTAGCTCAGAGCAGGCATGCCTAGGACGACACTATCAATGCATGAGATAATTTTCTTTATTTTTCTTTAAATTAAACCATTTGTCTACCTGCATATAATTAAAAAAACCCACCATGAAATCAAGATAACAAACTTTTTATAAAAGAATGGAAATGGTTTATGGAATATTTACAAACAAACTGTCAACAGATAAGAACATTGGCAGGGTTATTGTAATAACCTGCAGTTTTATAAGAATATATATTTAAAGTAGATGAATAAATGAGCAAATTAAGTTAATTTGGATATGCAGAAAATATTAAAAAATAAATTTATGGAACCATAGAAATAGGGGGAAGGAAGTCAAGTTCTGAAATGTTAAAATGAATGTAAAATTATTGAAATGTATAAAACTGAATATCAATGTGTGTGTGATATATATGTAAATAACATGGTACATAATTTCCGTTGTGCAAATGTAGGTAGAGAACAACCTTAATTTCCTTTCTTGAAAGGAATGTTTCTTATTTATGCCAGCAAATCATCCCATAGAGTCAGTGGCATAGTGTGAGGTATGCACACGGGCGGTTGCCCCGGGCTCAAAATCACAAAAGAGTTTCTCCCACCCTACCTTCTTTCTTTCCTTGCTTGTTGTGCTTCTTTAGCCATTCTATGTTCTTTCTGATGGCTTCCAAATATGCCTCTGCTTTCCCTTCAAGAGCAAGAGAAAAGAGAAATAAAATTATTTAGGACCAAGTCCAAATATTCAGGGTAGCTATAGGCAAATAGAGATGGGGGTGGGAATCATTTTGGTTCTCGTTTAAAGCGAAATATACCAAATCCACTTTCCAATCTGAGATCTAAAACACAACTATCCTTCGAAATTCACACTTACAGTGATACCTTGGGTTATGTACTTAATTCGTTCTGGAGGTCTTTTCTTAACCTGAAACTGTTCTTAACCTGAGGTACCACTTTAGCTAATGGGGCCTCCCACTGCCGCTGTGCCGCCGGAGCACGATTTCTGTTCTCATCCTGAAGCAAAATTCTTAACCCGAGGTACTATTTCTGGATTAGCGGAGTCTGTAACCTGAAGTGTATGTAACCCGAGGTACCACTGTATATGAATTTTATGACGCAGTTCTCCAACCAAATTAAATGTTCACAAAAAGGCCTATTTTAGGGGGAAGTTATGCATAAAAATGAACTAATATTATTAACAACACATTTATTACGCACCCTTCACCATAAGTTCCTAGGGCAGGTTACTACAATCTAAAACACAATGTTAAAAATAACATGTAAGGACTATAACTTTAAAAAACTTATTACAATAAAATGGAATAAAAAGGGTGGGTCCTGAAAAATAACATACAAAAATGCATCAGATTAGGAGAAATTGCTTGTATAAATTTGTACGTGAATCAGAACTGCATACAAAAACATGTTTCATTACGAAAATGCTGAAAATTTTTCACAAGGATTTTAAAAGAAGGAAATTGCTGTAGAAATGTGGAATACTGGGATTACAACTGGAAACACAAACAGAACTGAGAAAACTGTGATTGGCAGATCTTCCCGTTCTTATATGCAATGATTCATTACAGCATGTCTTAAACACAATCTATCATTAGAATTTGGGAAGGTACATTTCAAAAGAAACTAGCTCTAGTTCAAGTTCAACATGTCCAAAAGGAAACATCCCAGTTCATATTTGCTCCTTTACGAAAAGAACTAGTTTGTTTCACAGTCAGTTCAAATTTACCCACATAATCCTTGGCATGCCCCCCCGCCAAATTCAGCATTCAGAATGTTACAAGCTGCTGCGCAATATAGACTAAGAAAACGTCAAAACACACACAAAGTGGAATGTAAATTATATAATTTAATTTATCCTCCCCCAAATTATGATTTTAAGCTTAAAGGTCTAAAGAGTCTCAATAATAAAACAAAACAAATACCCCCCCCCCACACACATAGAAGAAAATGAACTGGAAGATGAACTCATTCTAAGTTCTACCCCTAACATGAACTAATTCACACTCCTATCGCTCAGCAAGAATAGGAACTACTTTCGGGGATAGTTCAGAGAATTTTGAACTAATTTGGTGAATTTATTAAACCAAACCAGTCAGTTCCAAACACTGTTCTTAAGCTTGCAGCGTGGGTTGGGGAGCAACACTGAGATGGGTCTCAGTGCCACAGTCCACCCAGGGCCTCCTCATTTGCCCATCTGCCTCTGGCTGTACCATAGCCTTTTGGTTGGACCAATGTCATCACTAAGAGCATAAGAACACAAGAAAGGCCCTGCTGGGGCAGACCAAGGACCCATCTACTCCAGCATTCTGCTCACATGGCCAACCAGATGTCTATGAAAAGCCCCCAAGCAGGACCTCAATGCAACCATGTGCTTCAACTCATGATCCCCAGCATTCAGACACATACTCCCTCCAGCAGTGGAGGCAGAGAGAACACAGCCCTTGTGAATGGGGTAACTGTGCCCCTGAAGGACCAGGTGCGCAGCTTGGGAGTCATTCTGGGCTCATAGCTGTCCATGGAGGCGCAGGTCAATTCTGTGTCCCGGGCAGCTGTCTACCAGCTCCACCTGGTACGCAGGCTGAGACCCTACCTGCCCATGGACTGTCTTGCCAGAGTGGTGCATGCTCTGGTTATCTCCTGCTTGGACTAATGCAATGTGATGTGCGTGGGCTACCTTTGAAGGTGACTTGGAAACTATAGCTAATCCAGAATGTGGCTGCAAGACTGGGAGTGGCTGCAGGGACCATATAACACCGGTCTTGAAGGATCTGCACTGGCTCACGGTACGTTTCTGAGCACAATTCAAAGTGTTGGTGCTGACCTTAAAAGCCCTATATAGCCTCAGCCCAGTATACCTGAAGGAGCGTCTCCAACCCCATCGTTCTACCCGGACTCTGAGGTCCACCTTCGAGGGCCTTCTGATGGTTCCCTGACTGTGAGAAGTGAGGTTACAAGAAACCAGGCAGAGGGCCTTCTTGGTGGTGGCGCCTGGCCTGTGCAGCGCCCTCCCATCAGATGTCAAGGAAATAAGCAACTATCTGACTTTTAGAAGGCATCTGAAGGAAGCCCTGTTTAGGGAGGTTTTTAATGTTTGATGTTTTATTCTGTTTTAATATTCTGTTGGGAGCTGCCCAGAGTGGCTGGGGAAACCCAGCCCGATGGGCGGTGTATAAGTAAACTATTCTTATTCTTGTTCAGTTGCTGGGAATACCTCTGTGAGAGGTAAACTTCAGTGCCCGGGATTCTCTGAGGGAAAGAAGGTGGGTCAGACGTTTGGCAGCTGCCTGAGGTTGCCCAGTGGTGCCCTGGGCCTGGCAGAGAGAGCGTTCCTGGAGCCCAGAGCCCATTGGCTCCAGTTCTTGGCCAGGCTCTGACCTCACAACCAGCTGTGGAATCCTGGGGAATGTTTTGTTTCCTAGGAGGCCAGGCGAGTTATTTGAAAGGATCCCTGGGTCAGTTGAAAGCCCAGCCAGTTGGTTCAGTTAGCAGCCATTCAGATCACTTCTTCTGTTCTTGTCTTGAAAGCTGTTCAGATGGACTGACTGACTTTCTGGACATCCTCTGTTTTCTACCCCGATGGCACAATGTGCTGATGATTGCGCAGAAGGTAAAGTCATGGGAAAGAGGGGAGACATCCTGAAGATTCATGTCCGCACCACATGCCCAGTTTTTAAAGATGCTCCTTGGACCAAGGACCTTGGTTATTTGACCATTGCAAGTATCATGTTGGGTGTAATGTGAGCCAGCAATTTTCCCAGGGAGTTTTCTGATTAGTTTTCTGAGTTTTCTTTTTTTGTCACCATCCAAATTGCAGCAGAATTACCATCCTCCCATCCCAAATATTCAGGAGAATGCTCCCCCACCACCAATCTCACCGCCCACAAATAGGATGGTTCCCGGTACGTTTCTGAGCACAATTCAAAGTGTTGATGCTGACCGTTAAAGCCCTAAATGTCCTCAGCCCAGTCTCCGCCCCCATTGTTCAGCCCAGACACAGAGGTCCAGCTCTGAGGGCCTTCTGGCGGTTCCCTCATTGTGAGAAGTGAAGTTACAGAGAACCAGGAAGAGGGCCTTCTCGGTAGTGGCGCCCGCCCTGCGGAACGCCCTCCCATCAGATGTCAAGGAAATAAACAACAATCTGACTTTTAGAAGACATCTGAAGGCAGCCCTGTTTAGGGAAGTTTTTAATGTTTGATGTTTTATTGTATTTTTAATATTTTGTTGGAAGCTGCCCAGAGCGGCTGGGGCAGCCCAGTCAGATGGGCAGCATATAAACAATAAAATAATTATGATTAGTAGCAGCAACAACAACAACAACAACAACAACAACAGAGAGCCTTAACAGAAGAAGAGCCCTGCAAGATCAGGCTAGGAGCCCATCTTTCCACCAGATGCCTCTAGGAAGTCTGCAGGTGGGACCTCAGTGCAACAGTGCTCTTCCCACTGAGCATAACAGCCCTATCTGCTCCCCTCTATCAGCTCTCCACAAATGCAGTGCACAGATGTACATGGGAGCAGGAGCTGCTTAGAAAGTGAAGCCATAGCATGCAAAGTTGAAGAGGAAAGAAGGACAGAGTCAGGCAGCAGACAACAGACAGGGCGTTAGAAAAAAGGGAGAAAGAATAGTGGGAGCCGCGACTTAAATTAGTGCTTAAAATTCTATACCACCGTGAGTCATTGTGTCTACAGGGCAACCAGGACAAAAGATAACCTAATGTGGTCTCTAGTGGAATATAATAGTTTAATGGATTCTGATCGCTTAACTTTGCTGGAGCTTCACAGATGAAATCTTGCCCCAATTGTTCTGTGTGGCTCATTCCCTCAAGAGCCGGTAATTTGAAGAACAGGTGAATTAAGCGCTAGCAGTGGGATAATATTTTTTTGTTTTGCATAGAAAACCAGGCTATGGTGAAGAATGCAACAGCCCAACTCCCTCTGATTTATTATCATGCAAGTCCAGTGAATTCAATAGGGGTTGTGAATTAAATGGGAGTAGAGTTGAACATATGTGGTGAATTAGCTTTAAATAAAGTATGTATTTACCGCTTCAATGTCACCCAGGAGGATCTTTTGGTTTTTATGTCAATTTTCCGCCAGCAGATGTCAAACCTGCTATTCCAGAAATAAAGGCTAATTCCTGGGTTGCTGCTATTAAAATGCATAGCCAATTGGCAGCAGAATATATATAATTAGTCTCAACCTGTAGCAAATCATTTGAAATATGTATGGTATTCTGGTTAACTCTGTCAACTTTGCTTAATTAGTATGTAGACTATATACATGAAATTTGCATTTTTTAAAATAAATAAATCTATGGTTTCAACAAATTAACAATATTCTGATCATGGCGTACAAGACAGTCACTCAAAAGGAAGAAAGAAAAGCAGTTATTCACAAATCGGGTCCTCCCTTAAAGAGGGCACGTATTGCGGTGAGACCTGGACAGCCGACACCCTGTGTTGTGGGTGAGTACGATTGGTCAGCCACAACACCCAATTGGTAGGTCCCTCAAAGCTGGGTGCAATCTGGCCAATGGGGCACAGTCCAAATGGTTTGAGGGACCTATTTATGCCCATGCACGTGACCCAGAGCTTCCTCTTTCAGCGTGTGCATTCGGAACATCTGCCCACCTCTCCCTATATTTAGGGCTGTGCGCTTGACCTTGCTATGCCGTCTTGTGTCATCTGTCATTGAGACAGGGCATGGCAGGAATGTTCCCCACTTGGCTGATTGGCTGTTGCCATTTTGGTTTTGCCTGCCGCGTAGCAAATCGTCACAACTTGTAAGGTTGTGGATAGGCTCTGGTTCAGGTGACAGGGATGGGAGAACGCTCTCACCATCCCTATGTGAAGGGTATTCCGTTAAAGGAATCCAGGGACTCGATGGTTTGGTCAGCCCCTGTGAGGGGGTTGTGCCCGTGCCTGAGTCCAGGGTGACATTTGGGGGGTGGAGTTAGCCCGTGCCCGGCTTTCCGCTTATCCAGGTGTTCACCCTTGGCTGACCTATGCTGGTGCCCTGGGTCAGCACTACCTGCATGGCAGGGAGCTAGTCGAACCAGAGCCTATGCAACCAATCACTTTCTGCAGTCAATAAAGTTGTGGCCTAAATTCTGCCAAAAACCGAACCAAAATTTGAGTCATGTGTGAATTTATTTAGGGGGGAGGTTTCTGGGTCTGAACATGCCTCTATTATTTGGTGACTGAAGCTTTGAGGGCAGAGAGTTGCATAGGTCTTCTGAATGGCCACTATGCTTTCCCCAGAATGCCTTGGGTGGAGTGTGGTTCTGGGGCATTCGGGGGCAAATGGCAGCTGTTATCCCCCCACTCAAATATCCCAGAGTAGACTTCTTCAGGACGAGACCCTCCAGATATTATTGGCAGAAGCTACTTGCTGAGTGGGGTGGAGAGGTTATGCAAACTTTGTGGCAGATGAGTCGTCCTTGTTTACTGGGAGCGGGAAGGGAAGGTGCAAGCTGGTGGGCAGGTCAGCACATGGCAAACTCGCCAGCAGGCATGCCAGTTTGCTCTGACGGGAGAGCCAGCATGGTGTAGTGGTTAAGAGCAGTGGACTCGTAATCTGGTGAACCGGGTTCGATTCCCTGCTCCTCCACATGCAGCTGCTGGGTGACCTTGGGCTAGTCACACTTCTCTGAAGTCTCTCAGCCTCACTCACCTCACAGAGTGTTTGTTGTGGGGGAGGAAGGGAAAGGTGAATGTTAGCCACTTTGAGACTCCTTAGGGTAGTGATAAAGTGGCATATCAAATCCAAACTCTTCCAAACTCTTCTTCACCATGACCTCCCTGCCACCTCTAACTCTCTGCAAGCAACAGTGAGTCACTCGCTGCAAAATTTGCATAGCAGTTTTGCACCAAAAGGGAAACTGCTTCTAACTGCTTGACGGCAGCTCCCATCGAACACCAGACTCTTAACCTCAGGGTCGTGGGTTCGAGCCCTAAGTTGGGTCAAAGATTCCTGCATTGCAGGGGGTTGAACCAGATGACCTTCATGGTCCCTTCCAGCCCTACGATTCTACGACCATTGGCTCTGCTATCTGGGTCTGATGGGAGTTGGAGTCCGACAACATTCGGAGGGCACCAGGTTGGGAACAGCTGTCCTAGAATGTCTCCTGGATAAAGGGAGGGAGAGAAATTTTGGCCACCACCAAGAGGGATGCAGCTACTTTTTTGTGGCAAGGGTTATAAAACTGAGTAGAAAGGGAAACACAACAACAAAAGTCTGTTGCAGGGGTCAGCAACCTTTGTCAGCCGTGGTCCGGTCCACCATCCCTCAGACCATGTGGTAGGCCAGACCATATTTTGAAAAATATATATGAAAGAATTCCTATGCCCCACAAATAACCCAGAGATATATTTTAAACAAAAGCACACATTCTACTCATGTAAAAACATGCTGTTTCCCAGACTGTCCGCGGGCCAGATTTAGAATGCGATTGAGCCAGATCCAGCCCCTGGGCCTTAGGCTGCCTACCCCTGGTTTGTTGCAATTATAAGCTGATTATTATTTTTTGCATACACCCCTCCCAAGAGATTGGTCAAAGTGCCCCCCCCCCCACTCCTGACACCTGCAAATGGAGGAGCATTATTTTTGTATGAGGGCAGGGAATAAATTGTATCATCGTCAAAATCGCAGATCAGACATCACTGCCAAGTTTCTGTTTCGCCATTCTCTACATACGACTTTGCACAAGTGGTGATGTGGAGAAGGGATGTTGAAAGCCTCCACCTCATCCATCATATGGGCACTTTGTTCTGAGCCATTCAGGGGGCAGCATTATGCGCTGGAAATCGACTTGCAGACGTTGGTTTTTTACAGCACCTCTCATGTTACAGACCAATCAATATGCCTGGCCCAGACTATTGAGCTCACTAATGATTTTACGTTCTTAAAAAGGGATAGATGCAATTAGGTGAAAATCTTTAGCTATAGTGGTGCACTGAATGTATTGAATTTAGGTCGCAAAAGTAGCATTCGAGTCTGAAAGAAAAAATAAAGGACGCTAATTGCTCCGAATTCAGTATATCAACCCCAGTTATACTGCGTTGCTTAGACCAGAGGCTCAACATTGCTTTCCTGTTTCCTTCTGTTTAGGGCTAAAAGCATTAATCAATCATTTGATGTGATAATCTTATGGCTGATTTATTGTTCACGTTTGTGACCTGCTCTCCAAGGAACTCAGCACAGTTACTATATGTGAGGCCATTTACTCATTGCAACAGCCTCATGTCGTTGCTTGGGCACTGACAGCTGCCCAGTCAGACCTGAGAAATGGAAACCACAGGCAAGGGGTTGGAACCAGTCGATACTGCTGTTCTCCAGGCAAAGTCCCACCTTGACATGGAAGACTTTGAGCTCAGATTCAGAGGAGGATCAAAGTGCACAACTGGACCACAAGCTTAACATGAGTCAAAGGTGTGATGCAGCAGCCAAAAAAAGCTCATGCAATTATAGGATGCATCAACAGAAGTATCTTGTACAGATCAAGGGAAGTAATAAAAAAGGTAAAGGGACCCCTGACCATTAGGTCCAGTCGTGACCGACTCTGGGGTTGCGGCGCTCATCTCACTTTATTGGCCGAGGGAGCCGGCGTACAGCTTCCGGGTCATGTGGCCAGAATGACTAAGCCGCCTCTGGCGAACCAGAACAGCGCACGGAAACACTGTTTACCTTCCTGCCAGAGTGATACCTATTTATCTACTTGCACTTTGATGTGCTTTCGAACGGGTAGGTTGGCAGGAGCAGGGACCGAGCAACGGGAGCTCACTCCGTCGTGGGGATTCGAACCACTGACCTTCTGATCGGCAAGTCCTAGGCTCTGTGGTTTAACCCACAGCGCCACCCGCATCCACTCTATTCTACCTTGGTCAGACCCCACCCTCGAGTACCATGTCCAGTTCTGGGTGCCACAGTTTAAGAAGGATATTGACAAGCAGAGGAGGGTGACCAAGCTGATAAATGGTCTGGAAAGCAAGCCTTATGTCAGGGAACTGACATCAGAGCGGGAGGCGAAGGGGAGGCTCCTAGATGATGCTGGAGAAGGACCCAGCAGCAGGGGGAGAGGCGACTCAGTGGAGGGGGAAGCATTTAAGCGCAACACCAGGAACAAAAGTGGGCAGATGGGGAAATCAGAGAGAGGGCTCACGGACTCTTCACTGGAACTCAGTGAGGAGGGGACAGGTCCTCCGCTACCTACGCCCACCCTGCGCAGAAGGCTCCCGCGCAGTGAGAGGCGGAGGAGACTGGGTGTCAAACAACTCTTATGTTGGAAGAGATTCAAGAAACGCCCACTGACGGATTCTGCTAGTGACTGAGACAGTCATGATGAGAAAGGGCTGTGCAGTCAGAAAGGTTTAACAAGGCAAATTAGCCTAGAGAGGCACCAGTTTACGCACGAGTAACTCATACTCCACACCTTATGAGGAACACTTGAGAGTGCTGAGGATGTCTAAGCCTGGAGAAGAGATGACTGAGAGGTGATATGATAGACATCTTCAAATATCTGAAGGGCTGTGACATGGATGATGGAACCAGCTTGTTTTCTGCTGGTCCAGAAGGTAGGGCCCAAACCGATGGAGATTCTGACTAAACATTAGCAAGAACTTTCCCTGATGGCAAGAGTTGTTCGACTGTAGAATGGACTCCCTCGGAAGCTGGTGAACTCTCCTTCACTGGAGATTCTCAAACAGAGTTTGGATGGCCATCTGTCAGGGATTCTTTAGCTGTGACTCCTGCATTGCAGGGGGTTAGACTAGATGGCCTCTGGGGGATCCCTTCCAATTCTACAATTATATTCTTTTATGATTCTATACTGGTAGGGATGCACCTTGAGGCTCTGCTTCTAGGCTTCCCAGAGGCATCTCGTCGGCCACTGTTAAGAGACGAGGATGCAGGGCTCTTTTCACGTATGGTCTTTGGCAACCAGCCACAACAATAATTTCATTACAGAAGGTTTTGAAGACACATGCTGGAAAAAAACCCAGGGGCTGGATCTGACAATGGCAGCAGCAAGGACAGGAACCTCTCCTTACCTTTGGGCTCCTCGTCGTTTCCTGTGTTTTGTTCTTCGGCTTTTGTCGAATCCTTCAGCGTTTCGTATTCTTTTTCCATCTTCGCTGCTGCGGCTTTTGTGCTGTCGGCCTCTTCGGTGCTCTTGTCTGCGGGGGGGTGGGGGGGTTGAAAGCAGAAGGTTTCCCTGTATCATCTCAACCGCATCATTTCCTGAAAGCGCACCAGCTCACCCTTACGCACCGAGTGGAATTGGAAGCGCCGTTTGGCTGACTTCTTTCTGCCAGGAGTACATTAGGGCTGTGTACACACCGTGCATTTAGAACGTAGTCAAAGCACATGGCTAGAGTTCCCAGGTTCTTTGGGGGAAGCCATGCCTTTTAAAGGTGCTTTAACTTTATCTTGTGTGCAAGATAAATAGAATCTTGCACAGAGGACACCCCTCTCTTTAAAGGGCTTTTTCAAGTCTTGTTTAAAGATAAAGAAACTTCAGAACAGAGAGTGGAGGCTGAAATTGCCCATCAACACTGAGTAGTCCCCAGTCTTAGTAGGCATGGCAGCCACCTTGTTGGCCTCCCTCACTTTGGTGAGGCAGATTGTGTTTCTATTTAAACTACAGTAGTACCTCGGGTTAAGTACTTAATTCGTTCCGGAGGTCCGTTCTTAACCTGAAACTGTTCTTAACCTGAAGCACCACTTTAGCTAAAGGGGCCTCCTGCTTCTGCCATGCTGCCACTGCATGATTTCTATTCTCATCCTGAAGCAAAGTTCTTAACCTGAAGCACTATTTCTGGGTTAGCGGAGTCTGTAACCTGAAGCCTATGTAACCTGAAGCATATGTAACCTGAAGCGTATGTAACCTGAGGTACCACTGTACATAAATTATGTCTAAATGTGCGTCTTTACCTATAAATTTACAGAAATTATGTCTAAATGTGCACCTCTACCTATAGATTTGCAGGTGCAAATTTGCTGCAAACCTGTGTCTTCCGATGGCACCAAAATCTCTGCCTAGTAAAATGTTTATAGCTGCTATAAGGCAGGTAGAATAACACTGGCCACACTCTTGAGAGTCAGTAGCTCTCCACCATCTCAGACTGATGCTTAGCCAGCAAATCCACCTGAGATCCTGCTCACTGGAGATTGAACTTGGGACCTCCTTGGGGCAGGAGTAAAGGGTTGGCACCTATAGACACCTGCCAAGGCCAGGCCCCAGCAGAAGACCCTCTGCCAACTCCTGGAGTATCCTGGCCCTGCTGCTCCTGTCTTGCTGATTATGGCTGGATCTTCAGCTAAGCAAGTGGGTACTGGCAGGAACAAAGAGGATGATCAACAGCCCCATCTCATCTTGCCTGCTCTGTTAGGCCAACTCTGTGGATTGTGAGCTATGAGAAGTTGGGGCCATTCACAGAAATGAGCTCTTATACCTCTTAAATAGGCATTAAAAAGGTAAAGGTAAAGGGACCCCTGACCATTAGGTCCAGTCGTGGCCGACTCTGGGGTTGCGGCGCTCATCTCGCTTTATTGGCCGAGGGAGAAGGCGTACAGCTTCTGGATCATGTGGCCAGCATGACTACGCTGCTTCTGGCGAACCAGAGCAGCGCACAGAAACGCCGTTTACCTTCCCGCCGGAAGCTCCTGCTAGGTTGGCAGGAGCAGGGACTGAGCAACGGGAGCTCACCCCGTCGCGGGGATTCGAACCACCAACCTTCTGATCGGCAAGTCCTGGGCTCTGTGGTTTAACCCACAGCGCCACCCGCGTCCCTAAATAGGCATTACTCCCCCCATAAATAATCCTGGGAACAGTAGTTGTCAAGTGTGCTGGGAATCATACAACTGTGAGTGGGGTTTCCTAACAATTCTCAGCACCCTGATCAAACTACAGTTCCTAGGATTCTTGGTGGGGAGACATGGCTGTTAAAAGTGACATGAAACTGCTTTAAATTTATGGTGTGGATGTGTCCAAGATCCACTGGGAGCATCTTGGCGGGGATCTGCCACTGAACCTTCTGCAAGCAGATCATGTGTTCTGTTACTCAGCTATGCGCTTTGGGGAGCGATAGCTCTCAGGTAGAAAACCAACCCAAAGAAGCCAGACTAAGGCAATTGGAAAATTATGGGAATCAAATTACACCAGGGAATAGAGGATTTTCACGACAGAAGGCTTTTATTATTTAAATCGATTGGACAGCTGTGCAATAAGCAGTTGATTATATCTACTGGGAACAAAGCTATAAAAGCAACGCAATATCAGAATAAATAAATACCTGATGACAGCTTGTTTTTGGTGCTGGGCTTTTCGAGTTTCTTTCTTGTCTGTAGAGCTATCATTGCGTCCAGGTTTTCTAGAAAGTAGAAGCAGAAGATATTCATCCCTGCGCATTAGAACGGGCTTATATGAGGCTTGATTTGATGGGTTTGCAAAGTAATGAATTATTTCCTTGCATTGAGGAAAATACAGGTTTTCAGATGTTTAAAAAGCACATAGGATGAAAATAGGTAGATGGAAGTCCACAACAATTAAAATACACATGGAGATTCAATCCATATGGAAACGTATTACATACAAAAAATGTTACTCTAGGACTGAATCGCGTTGAATAGTATCTAACAGAAGATACATATTGAATTATTATTTTTGTTATTGTCTTGTCTTTATTTTTTATTTTTTGTTTGCCCCCCCCTCTTATCTTTCTTTTTAAAGACGTTGAGATGTATGGTTTCTAACTTTTATATTATTCGACTTTTAGAGAAGTTGTCAATGTATGTATTTGTTAACTATGTATTTATTTGCATGTTTGAAAATAAAATTAAAAAATAAATAAAATAATGCTGCGTATAAAATACCAAGAACCAAAAATGAAATCTATTCATAGACATGCCTGCTGCATTCGACAAAAGGCCAGTTTAATATTCTTCCGTTTTAACTGAGGAAGAGGGAATATGTAGCAGCAGCAATGGCCTGCAGTTATGCCTGCAGCCAGAGGAGAAATGAAAATGATTTCAGAAGGGGTGCATGGGGAATGGGGACTTCTATGACTGTGGGGAACCTTCAGACTCTGGGCCTGTCAGAGGCCTATGAGGCAATTTTTCCAAAACCACACCCACCTCTCAATCAAGTGACATCATTTCGAAGAGTGGGTGATGTCAGCTGATGGACGAGTTTGTGTTCAATTCTGTGCTGACTGCACACCCCCGTTTCCTGCGAAGAGCTGACATGTGCAGCCAGCTCCCCAGGATTTAACCCCTTGCTAATCAGTTGATGAGGGACGCGGGTGGCGCTGTGGGTTAAACCACAGAGCCTAGGACTTGCTGATCAGAAGGTCGGCGGTTTGAATCCCTGCGACAGGGTGAGCTCCCGTTGCTCCTGCCAACCTAGCAGTTTGAAAGCACGTCAAAGTGCAAGTAGATAAAGAGGTACCACTCCAGCGCGAAGGTAAACGGCATTTCCATGCGCTGCTCTGGTTCGCCAGAAGCGGCTTAGTCCTGCTGGCCACATGACCCGGAAGCTGTACACCAGCTCCCTTGGCCAATAAAGCGAGATGAGCGCCACAACCCCAGTCGGTTACGACTGGACCTTTACCTTTTAATCAGTTGATGAGAGGGGTTAAAACATGCTCAGTTCAGCAGATTCAACACAACCCCTTTCCTGATCACAAACAGATTATTGCATCAAAACTCGTGCTAAAACAAAGGTCCCCCCTACCATTTTAGCAGTGCCTTGCTGCCTGGAGGTGCCTTGAAGTCCCAGCTTAAGGCTTCAAGAAATCAAATCACCTGATGTCATTGCAATGTCAAGTAATTGACAGGTGCGTGACCCCGCTCACCTGTCAATTTGCCCTGCAAGGTCAATCCTGATAAGGATTTGGCCCACTGAGGCAAAAAATTCCTCAGTCTTGTTCTATTATAGCACCCTCTGCACTCACTAACTATTGTGCTCCCTTTGTACGCCACCCTGCCAATGAGAACAAGAGAGATCTTTTACCTCTGCACAATGAGCACAACATGATATGGGGGGCAGCAAACTATGGCCTTCAGACATGCTAACAATATTCTTATTCTAAAAATGTTGCCTTCAATTGTGAAAAAAAGAGTCAGTTTATATGGGGGGAAATTATATAGCAGGTTAGAAACCTACGTACTCTGCACTTTCTGAAGCAATACATGAAATGAAATACAGCCAGCCTTTGAAATCTGCAGTTCTGCAAATTTTGCATCACTTCTCCAGCCACGTTATGTGTAATAGAATGCATATACAGTGGTACCTCAGGTTAAGTACTTAATTCGTTCCAGAGGTCCGTACTTAACCTGAAACTGTTCTTAACCTGAAGCACCACTTCAGCTAATGGGGCCTCCTGCTGCCGCCGCGCCACTGGAGCACGATTTCTGTTCTCATCCTGAAGCAAAGTTCTTAACCCGAGGGACTATTTCTGGGTTAGCGGAGTCTGTAACCTGAAGCATATGTAACCTGAAGCATCTGTAACCTGAAGCATATGTAACCTGAAGCGTCTGTAACCTGAAGCATATGTAACCTGAAGCGTCTGTAACCTGAAGCATATGTAACCCGAGGTACCACTGTATAAAGGGAAAATGTGGATATACGTGGATGTGTTATTGAAAACAACACAGAATATGTATTATATTTGGGAAAGTTGATTTGCAAAGCTGTGAATATTAGGCAGAATTGCATACAAAAATGTATAGATACCAGGCGACATTTACACTGATTGATTTTCATGACGAGTTGTTGTTTTTAATTGCAAACAGATGTGGAAAGGTGGAGGAATGAACTGAAGATTGTAAAACCAAGAAACTGCGAGCAGCTCAAATTACACGACCCCTTATTATCACATTTTCAAATTCTGTATCCACAAGGACTAGAAACCAAAGCAGCTTCTACAAGGCCATAAAATAATAGTTTTTGCAAGGTGTTGCCACATTCTCTCTCACTATAGTGCAACCCCAACTTTATCTGCCGAGAAGCAATTTCTGTTGAGGCCATTTAGGTTTTGTCCCTGGCAGGATCACAGCGTCACTTCCCTAAAACTGTTTCCCCACAAACAAAATGCAGAACAAGATTTTCAAGCACTAAATGATGTCAAGCAAGACTTGCTACCTCAAACAAATGAGAACGGAAAGAGAAGCAACGCCAGCCGGCCCTGTTTCCAGCCGAGACTCTAAGTGCCCACCAGCTGTGGTCTGTGTGCACAATATTTGCTTTGAGTTATCCTAATGGGGTGAGTCATTCTGAGAAATGTCATAAGCAAGGCCAGTAGCTTAGCAACTCGGTGTCCTACTTGGGCCTTTAATGAGATCTGATGTCATTGCTAGGCCGGTTGCCTTGGCAACCCTTAAAAAAACCAGAGGAAGGAGTTGAGCTCATCAAGGCGACAACCTTTCACCCATCTGGACACCTATTTCTAATAGGGTTAATGAAAGGGAAACGTTGCCGCAGCTGAACTGCTTTTTAAAAAGCTTCCAACTTAAATAAAACAGCCTGGTTTGTCTTGGAGACAGCTCTGCAGGTTTCTAGTGATCTCCAGTGAATCCAATGTTTTGTTAGCCCAAAAATGGAAAACTCCCAACTAAAGAAGAATGGCAACTTGAACTGACAGAATATGCGCAGCTTGCAGGCTTAACATATAGAATAAGAGAACCAGAGGAACATATGTTTAGAGAAGATTGGAAAATGTTTATTGAATATATGGGGGGAAATTGTGCACACCTGAAAACATTGGCAGCATTAAGATAAATTCAACAGTGTAAATAAGTTTTGATGGATGCAGTAATGGAATACTGAATGGTTTAGTTTTTGTAAAATATGATATGCAAAGATGGGACGCGGGTGGTGCTGTAGGTTAAACCACAGAGCCTAGGACTTGCCGATCAGAAGGTCGGCGGTTCGAATCCCTGCGACGGAGTGAGCTCCCGTTGCTCGGTCCCTGCTCCTGCCAACCTAGCAGTTCAAAAGCACATCAAAGTGCAAGTAGATAAATAGGTACCGCTCCAGCAGGAAGGTAAACGGTGTTTCCGTGCACTGCTCTGGTTCGCCAGAAGCGGCTTAGTCATTCTGGCCACATGACCTGGAAGCTGTACGCCGGCCCCCTTGGCCAATAAAGTGAGATGAGCACTGCAACCCCAGAGTTGGCCATGACTGGACCTAATGGTCAGGGGTCCCTTTACCTTTTATGATAAGCAAAATGAACCATGGAAAGAGAAGAATGGAAGTCATTGATATGAGAAAATTAATTGGGGTAAGGAACATTTTTGACCCTGTGGGTCAGGTCTTTATCTATCCTGCACCCCATGGGCCAACTTTGACAAGGGATGAGGTGCACCCACCGGCCATCATCTGACATAATGATGAGTTATTAATTAAATTGTTGTTGTTGTTGTTGTTGTTGTTGTTATACTTATTACCTGCCTTTTCCCAGACGATCTGAGGACAGGGTACAGCAATACAAAATACAGCATTGAAAATAGTTTACAATCACCACTACAGTAGGTCCTAAAATATATGTATCTCAAGTGTCAAAGACCAGGGTGAAGAGGTTTATCCTTGGTATAAAGGGAAAGCTGTACAATGAAGGTGCCAAACACACCAGTGTGGGAAGGGAAGTCTGAAAATTTTTACACATCACTTGGGAAGACAGGTAAACTAATGTCAGTGTACTAGAAGAAGCAAAGATCACCAGTGTCAAAGCAATGATTCTTCAACATCAGCTTCATTGGACTGGTCATGTTGTGCAGATGCCTGATTATTGTCTCCCAAAGCAACTACTCTATTCCGAACTTAAAAATGGAAAGTGTAATGCTGGTGGTCAACAAAAGAGGTTCAAAGACTCTCTCAAGGCAAATCTTAAAAAATGTAGTATAGGATTTCCGGGTCAGCGCCATTGGTGAATGGCGGAGTTCCCCCGACCGGAGGAACGGGCTCCGTGGAAATTGGGTCTTCCCGCCGCGGCGAAGGTGGGGACCCGCTAGAAATCCCAGGCGGAGGAAGCCTGGGAACGTGGGGTTCGGCAGGGCACCAGAAGCGCCCCCCTACTCGCGGGGAATCCCATTTAGGGGCTCCGGAGCGAAGTGGGGTGAGAAGCGCGGTGCTACGAACTGACTGCTACTTTCACGGAGTGAAGCCGCACAGCCATTGCCAGAGAGCGCTGACTTTTTCCTGTGGACAATTGGACTTAAAACAAGTACCCGTGAGTAGAAACGGAAAATTGGATCAAGAAATTGTTTTAATTTGGTATCGAAGCGGGAAGGTGCAAACAGGAAGTCCGCCTTCCGCTTTTTTGTATATAGACTAAAGCAAAAATTTTGCAAGCTAAAGCCGGGAAGCTGTTAAAAAAGACTAAATTTCCTACATTTAGAACGACTGAAACCCCCCTTGGAAGGAGGAGAAAAGGGGAGGGGGGACTCTGTTTAACCCCAGCAGGAGAGGGAGTGAAGAAGGATAAGTTTCCACCGTCTCTAACCTGGGAACGGGGTGTCAGAGACAGAAACTGTTGGAGAGGTTCATTGACTGTGAACGTAACACTATGACAGTTAGCTAATGAAGAGAAACAAGTTGATTCTAATGTTGCCTTTTGCATTTTAAAGAAACAAAATACTTGAAAAACATCTGAAATATCTGAAAAATGAAAGTAACTTTCCTTTGTCTTAAAAAATAAATAAAAATGGATACAAGTAGATTGTCTCCTCTAGAGGGAGCTTGTTAAATTGTTGCTGCAGCATATTTGAGACCCAACATCTGTGAGATTAAGACTGTGGGAACAGTCTTTTCTGACCTTGAACAAAGATGAGCTGGGAGAAAGACTGGGTGCTTGCTTTATGCAAGACAAATGCTTTGCTGGAACAGATGCATGAGAAGATGGACTTGATGAATGAGAAAATGGATTTGACTGTTGTGGTTAATAACATTGATATAGAAATCATCCAAGAACCAACCTATCAATCTGTACTGACTGGGCAAGTGCAGATGACAATGGAGGAGGATGCGGCTGCACCTCAAATAGTACAAATGGAGAGACCCGAGGCCCTACAGGAGCATAAACCGCTGTTATTGAAGATTGAAGCTGGAGTGGGCCAAGGGGAGTCTGGAGATGAGGAGGTTCCTAGCTTTGGAGAGACTTTGAAATTTGATTTTAAATACATTTTGGATTATATCGAGGACTGTGGGGAGTGGGACTGTGGGGAATGGGCGAGCTGGATGAAGGGTGATGGAGACAATTTTGGGCTGGAATCCCCCAGAGACCTACTCCTCAATGAGAAAGGAAAGAAACTAAGACAGAGACCAACAAAAGACAAGGAAAGAGGCAAGCACAAACAAGATGAAGAAGAATTGCAGAAGGGACATGGAAGAGATTTAAGGGCCTCGGACATAAGGCTTCCAGGTTGATGGACTAGATGGAATGGACAATAAGGACTGACATGACCCGAGACCAGGAAGAAGAGACGCTGGATGATGATTGGAAGAGAATTTATAATGGAAATCTTTTATTTTTTAGAATTAGCTAATGAATATTAGGGAAAATGTGGGAATGAAACTATATGACTCTAGCAGAAATGATATCAGGAGCTATGTATATTTGAAAACTAAGATTTAAGTTGTAAGGTACTTAGGGGTAAGATAAGGTTTAATAAATTAAGGTAATCTGAATAACAGAATATGGGGAAAGATGGTAAGGATTTGTCGAGTTAATTAATAGGTTAAATTGTTAAGATAAATTTTATAACAAAAATTGAGAAAGATGGAAAGAATTTGCTGAAATAATTACTAAACTAGAACACAAAAACGGAGGTGTGAGGAGGTCAATGAAACAAGCAAATGGAAATTATGGATATGCAATTTGGGATTTGTGTTTTTTTTCTTTTTTCTTTTTTTTTACTTTTACTTTTACTTTCTTTTGCTGTATTGTATTTTGTGCTTTTCTCTCTTTTTTATTGTTTTCTTTTTTTGTATTGTAGTGTTGTTTTTTATTTTCTCTTTTTCTTGTAATTTTGAAATTATCAATAAATATTATTTTTTTAAAAAAAAGTAGTATAAACACCGACAACTGGGAAACACTGGCCTGCGAGTGCTCCAATTGGAGAACAGCCTTTACCAAAGGTGTCTTGGGCTTTGAAGACGCTCGAACTCAGGATGAAAGGGAGAAACGTGCTAAGAGGAAGGCACGCTTGGCAAACCCTCACCATGATCAACTCCCACCCGGAAACCTATGTCTCCACTGTGGAAGGACATGTAGATCCAGAATTGACCTCCATAGTCACTTACAGACTCACTGTTAAAACCGTGTTCATGGAAGACAATCTTACTTGGCTACAAGGGATTGCCAAAGAAGAAGACAACGAAGGTGCCAAACACACCTCTGTGGGAAGGGAAGTCCACAATTTAGGGGTTGCCAGAGAATTCCTTCTTCTGGGTCACACACCCAAAACGTCTGAGGGTGGTGGAACTGCCAAGAGCAGAGGTAGGCAACCTAAGGCCCGGGGGCCGGATGCGGCCCAATCGCCTTCTCAATCTGGCTGGCGGATGGTCCGGGAATGAGTGTGTTTTTACATGAGTAGAATGTGTGCTTTTATTTAAAATGCATCTCTGGGTTATTTGTAGGGCCTGCCTGGTATTTTTACAGCCAGTGTGGTGTAGTGGTTAAGAGTGGTAGACTCATAATCTGGGGAACCGGGTTCACGTCTCTGCTCCTCCACATGCAGCTGCTGGGTGACCTTGGGCTAGTCACACTTCTTTGAAGTCTCTCAGCCCCACTCATCTTGCAGAGTGTTTGTTGTGGGGGAGGAAGGGAAAGGAGAATGTTAGCCGCTTTGAGACTCCTTCGGGTAGTGATAAAGCGGGATATCAGATCCAAACTCTTCTACATGAGTAGAATGTCTGCTTTTATTTAAAAAGCATCTCTGGGTGGTTTGTGGGGCATAGGAATTCATTAATTTCACCCCCCCAAAAAAATATAGTCCAGCCCCCCCACAATGGACAGTGGACCGTCCCACAGCTGGAAAAGGTTGCTGACCCCTGGCCAAGAGGGCCTTCTTGCTGATCTTAACATCTGACACGGTCCATAGGGAAAGGGGAGGACTTTCAGGTACTGTAAATCATTTTTCATTTGTCCAAACAGTGAGCTGCAAAGCAGATCTTTTGCTTTACACTGCCATTGCTCCTCTCCATACATTTCCAGAGCTCTCCTTGCATTTCCCGAAAAGGCAGATATTCTTTGCAAAATCAACATATGCCTGAGAGGCACTTTGTCAGCGCACACTTGTTCACTTGTCAGTATATCTTGGAAGCAATATGCATCAAAGCGTCTGTAGCATTCAGTCATTCTTCGGAGAAAAGACCTGACATTTCCCACCCACTCCCCCTATGGAAATGTTTTTGCACTAGAACACAAATATTTAAATATTTGTGACAAAGATCTTCGTCATCATCATCATCATAACACAGTCTGTTTGGGATTGGCTTATATATTGTGTTTAGAGCAGCAATTTTAAGGAGAAATGTCTGTGGGAATGCTAAGTTATAGTCTTCAGTGGAGCAAATATTTTTTGCGGGCAGAATGCCAAAAATAGTTTTAATATTTTCCCCCTGTCAGGGAACTGACATCAGAGCGAGAGGCGAAGGGGAGGCTCCTGGATGATGCTGGAGAAGGACCCAGCAGCAGGGGGAGAGGCGACTCAGTGGAGGGGAAGCATTTAAAGCGCAACACCAGGAACAAAAGTGAGCAGATGGGAAAATCGGAGAGAGGGCTCACGGACTCTTCACTGGAACTCAGTGAGGAGGGGACAGGTTCCCAGCTACCCACGCCCACCCTGCGCAGAAGGCTCCCGCGCAGTGAGAGGCGGAGGCGATTGGGTGTCAAACAACTCTTATGTTGGAAGAGATTCAAGAAACGCCCACTGACGGATTCTGCTAGTGACTGAGACAGTCATGATCAGAAGGGGCTGTGCAGTCAGAAAGGTTTAACAAGGCAAATCAGCCTAGAGAGGCACCAGTTTACGCACGAGTAACTCATACTCATTACACCCCCCTAACAGTATAATGTATTTTACTTTGTTTTTATGTACGTTGCTTTGTAACGGCTTCACCTACAGAAATAAATAATTACCTATTTATATGCAATTTCCCTTAAGCTACACACTTTTTGCAAAGCAATTTCCCCTTTTCGGTAATACCTTGTAAGTCGAACAGAATCTGTTCCGGACGTCCGTTCGACTTCCGAAACATTCAACTTCCAAAAGGCGGCTTCTGATTGGCTGCAGGAAGCTCCTGCAGCCAATCAGAAGCCGTGGAAGTCCTGTCGGACGTTCGGCTCCCAAAAGAACGTTAAAAAACTAGAACACTTGCTTCCGGTTTTCGATTGTTTAGGAGCCGAAATGTTCGACTCCCAAGGCTTTCGGGAGCTGAGGTACAACTGTATATGTATTTATATGCACACTTCACCCCAGTAAACACATTTTTGGACAATGCATTACAAAATTCAGAGAACTCTGAGAATTTCAAATTTTGGCTATATTTCAGTTTATGTCTTGTTTCATAAAATGCGGATTTGCTAAGTTTGCCTTCCAATGCAAACAGAAGAGAATCCCCCACATCCTTAGCTGGAAGCACATGTGACAGCCGGTAATCTCTCAGGACCACTGATCTTCTCAGTGATAAAGTCAGCGAATACAGAAATTCTTGCTCACATGAATTCATGATTTAGCTGTTAGGAGAGAACAGCTCAATGCCTCGCCATATGCTATACATCCTTGACTCCTCTGCAGAAGGTGGGGCTTCCCCATCTTGGCAAAGTAGAGGAAAACATGGGGGGAGGAGAGGCATATGGTGACATCTGGACATGTCCACAACTACTCAAAACAATTCTCAGTTGCAAGATGGCCAGGGAATGGGCTTGCTGAGTCATGGGCGAAGGAGGAAGGTGTGATTCTGGTGACTAAGGCAGGCAGTGCAACAGCCAGTGGCTCAGCGAAGTAGGGGGAGTTGGGATGTAGATGGAGACATGATAGAGTTGTAGAATTGTTGAGTTGGAAGCGACCCCAAGGGTCCTCTAGTCCAACCCCTGGCAGTGCTGGAAACTGAGCTAAAGCATCCATGAGAGATGGCCACCCAACCTCTGCTTAAAAACCTCCTAGAGGGTTACCACCTCTAGAGGAGACCATTCCACTTATTACTTGCTTTTTCTCTAGACTAAGAAGTCTCAAATGCTGCACCCTTTCCTCATAGAAAACACTACGTTATATCAACCAGATCATCTCGCTCTTTATGCTGTTGACACTCTCGACAGACTTTGAAAGGTTCATGAGATGAGACTTGTCCTTGCAGAAGCCATGCTGGCTCTGCTTCAGCAAGGCTTGTTCTTCTACATGCTTGGTTATTTTATCTTTAATGGCACTTCCTGTTAGAATTCCTGCTTCATGATTGCAGTCATGGGATTTTTGTCTATCACATGACGGTGTATGTTTTGACTCCACAGAGTGGGAAGTGACAGAGACAGGATGTTTGTGTTACTGTGTTCTGTGAAGTGGGATTATTGTCCTTTGTTCTTTCTCTTTGCTGTCTGATGCTATAGAGAGAGGGAGCCATGTTGCAGTGCTCCGTGTGTGTTTATATGGTAAAAAAGTAGATTAACCAAAATGCTGAGTTGCTGAGGTCTGTCACGCAAGCTGCGAAGACTCTGCGGATCCCTAAGTGTGCCGATGTCTGTTGGCATCGGTCGCTGTGATGTTTGGGCTGAAGAAAGTTTTTGAAGTTCCTGAACAAACGACCAGGAGGGAGAGAACATGCCAGTTGGGCATGTGTCTCTGCCCGGGTCCTACTTGAGCTCCTGACACTTCCCACAAGTTTTTCCACTGTCGAACATCTCTTATTGTCAGAAAGTTCTTCCTGATGTTTAGTTGGAATCTCCATTCTTGTCATTTGAAGCCATTGGTTTGAGCCCTACCGTCCGGAGCAGGAGAAAACAGGCTTGCTCCATCCTCCAAGCGACAGCCCTTTAGATACTTGAAGATGGCTATCATATCTCCTATAAATGTGGCTTCAACAACAAAGTGTCTTCAAGGCTCAAAACAGGAGCCATTGGGTATAGGGCTTGGGAGTGATCTACCATGGATAGTGAATGCCCTATCCTCAGAATCGTCTTCTGCTGCAGAAGCAAACAGGGTGTGCAGCATGCAGTGCCATCGCCAGTCATTGCTGTGGGAAAGCTTAATAGAGAGCCAGTGTGGTGTAGTGGTTAAGAGCAATAGACTCGTAATCTGGTGAACCGGGTTCGCGTCCCTGCTCCTCCACCTGCAGCTGCTGGGTGACCTTGGGCCAGTCACACTTCTTTGAAGTCTCTCAGCCCCACTCACCTCACAGAGAGTTTGTCGTGGGGGAGGAAGGGAAAGGAGAATGTTAGCCGCTTTGAGACTCCTTAGGGCAGTGATAAAGCGGGATATCAAATCCAAACTCTTTTTTTAAATAATAAACATCATAGTAAAATTTACCTTCAATATACACACGCTCAAAGCATTTCACAAATGCAACATCCTTACAACTGCTGTGTGAGCGGGGGTCAGTTGGGGGAGGGCTGAAACTGAGAGACCGTGGCCCAAATTGCACCACGTACTCAGAACACAGGTTCTGATCTGGATTGTGGAGATTTCCCAATACATAGCACATGGCCTTAACCCACACTCCTGTTTTTATCCACACCTAGTTTTCTGCCTGCACTGGTATTCTTAAAAAATACCAGCAACCCCAGAACATGGTTGCCTTGGCTTTCTCCTTGTCACTAAATAAGTTAGTAGACACCCATTGAATGAAACTGGATTCTCACTTGGAAGGCTACTGACGGATTGGGCAACAGAGAAACAGAACCTTACAGAAAGCACAGACTGTGATGGGCAGTCATGACACCTTATAAATTTGTGCGCACACAAGGCTGATGTGCCTGCTTTTGTTTCCCCCCATTTTTTTTAATTGATTTTCCACATTTATAACAAATATAACCTATAAAAGACACAAAATGACGCACATTACAATACTAAAAGAAAAATAAAATAAAAATAAAACACATTACTTCTAAAACCCAAATTAACTTTCTTTGTTATCTGACTTCCTCAAATCCCCCCTAACTGAATTTCATTGTGACACCTTTGTAACAGTTCTCCAAGATGCTCTTTCTAATACAATTAACTCCTTCAATTAATTACCTTCATCTCTTTTCTTATTGGCTTAAATCCATATTACTATACAACATTCTTATTCTAATCCTAGGCCTATTTGATATTGATGTGCCTGCTTTTGCACATGGATGCTAGCACTTAAGAGAAAATGGCTCAGGGGGACAGAATGTGATTCTGGAACTAAAAGGTCAGCATAGGTTTCAGATTCAGAAGAATACAACTGCATATATAGCCTCAGTATCCTTTCAGTGAGCCTTGGATTTGCAGGCTAAGTCCTGCGCGGCTCGTAGTGAGACCTAATTCATCCCCTGAATGATGCTTGAAGACTGTTCTCCCTGGAGAGAGATCTTGCAAGGATGACATAATGCTGGGCCTTCAAATCCCAGACCAGCTGCTACCGAGATGTGCTTTTCAACGCAACTGTCTCTGCAGATTGTCAAGCAAGGAGCTCGAGAAGCATGTGATATGGTCTACTAAATGATTTATTGCCTTTAATGCATAATTCAGGTTCATAGCTTCAGCCTAAAAGTGGAGAGGGGGTGTTTTAATGCGCCTGTTCTAAAACCAGATAGTCTTGTTTAACTTCATAGATATTGCTGGTTGCTGCTACTACTGAGCTATGGTTGTTGTTTACTGCAGATTCCCTACATATAATCTCATAAGAGGTAAAAGGGGTGGTACCTATGTTGATTTGTCCTTGTCCCTAATCAATAATAAGTGATGGGTGATACTCTGAACCCCTTGCAGGAGGCAGCAGCAAAGATCCATGCTGATTACAAAGCTGCCCCTGAAAGAGAAGAGCTTGACAAAGTCAGAAATAGATTCCATTGTCTCTGACATGTCTGTCTGTCTGTCAGCAGAGAACCAAGATGAAGGTACTGATTCTCAGCAGGTTGACCCTTAACCGAACAGGGCATCCTGTCAACCTCTAGTGCCCCCAATAATTCTAATCCCCGAGAATCTAGTTTTCTTTGGAAATACCCAGATCTAACCTACACTTACTGGGCCATTGCCAATGATTGGAACATGGCTTGATGTCAATAGCCTTGCCTACTGTTTATTGGCCTCATGTGAATGGCTGGAATGTATTATGAATGACCTTCATTATGCATGCAAAACATTCTTCCACCAGGTCCTTGGCTTATTGACATCTGATGCCCTTTTAAATGTGTTGTGGGAGGGGGGAATTATTGGTTTGCAGCTGTTCTTATTTTTATTATGTATTTTGTGGTTTTTATATTGTCATTTCATGTTGTGAACTGCCCTGGGATTTATGGAAGAAAGGCATCATCATCATCATCATCATCATCATCATAGAAATAAGGAAATGATTGTAGCTTAGTGGTAGAGCATCTGCTATTCATGAAGAAGGCCCTAAGTTTGATTCCTGGCATCTTCAGTTAGGACTAGGAGAGACATCTTCCTGGAGCCCCGGGGAGCTGCTCTCAGTCAGTGTTTGCTAATCCTGATCTTTGGTGGAGCCATAAGCAGCGGCCACCTCTAGTGACCTCCATCACTCCTTATCCCAAGTGATTCCCAGCACTGAGGTCATCGCCTTTCCCGACAGATTTCTCATGTTCCAGGACTCCTGGTCTAGTTCACCCAACCTCCAACTGGGGAATATGGCCCATGACAGCCACCTTAGTATAGCAGAAAACGGAAGTGATCTCAGACTTGCATCACCCTCTATGGTATTTTCCAGTACAGTGGTACCTCTGCTTATGTACTTAATTCGTTCCGGAGGTTCGTTCTTAACCTGAAACTGTTCTTAACCTGAAGCACCACTTTAGCTAATGGGGCCTCCTGCTGCTGCCGTGCGATTTCTGTTCTCATCCTGAAGCAAAGTTCTTAACCCGAGGTACTATTTCTGGGTTAGCGGAGTCTGTAACCTGAAGCGTATGTAACCTGAAGCGTATGTAACCCGAGGTACCACTGTATCAAAAAATGCATATACTGTATGAGTGATTCCCCTGGCTGTTAATCCTGATCCAATATGGATTTTGGCAAATAATCCACTTTTTGTGGTTTACTTTTCAAGCCAGTGCTTCTTCAACATTATTCTCTAGGTATTGTGTGGGGCTTCCCTTTACCCCCACAGCAACAGTTCTCTGCCCAGCAGTCCACGCTCCCAAGGAAACGCACACATCAGACCTTTTCACAAATCACAGCAGCTCTGGCAACAAAGCACTTTGCTCCCCCGCCCCCTGCTATACCAAGCTCATATTCTCATGGTTTCTTAAGCCTCTTGAGAAGAATATCAGATCAGCGTTTTGAAGGTAAAAAATAGAGTCACTTTTCAACTGCGCTGCTAAAAATAGCCCAGCGGTGAAACAACTTGAAGCGTTTGAGAGAGTGTTTTCCTTCCACCACAGTTGACTGCTTTGATAGCAAACAACAATGCCCTGAGCATCACAAACTAGCAGAGCAGAGCAGAGCGGAGCCACAGCTGTGGCTAGGTTTTTCTTGGGGCTGGCTCACACATGCATGTTCATCATGCGCGGTTTGGGGATGCTCCTGGAGGCACAGGTGTCCTTGGTGCTAAGAGAGCCTTTTACCAGTTCCGGTTGCTAAGGCAGCTACGTCCATTCCTGGATGTAGATAGCTGACCACACTTCTCCATGTGCTGGTAGCCTCATGGGTTTGATTACTGCAATGTGCTCTTTGTGGGGCTACCCTTGAGGTTGGTCAGGAGCAGAGGTAGGCAACCTAAGGCCCAGGGGCCGGATCCGGCCCAATTGCCTTCTAAATCCAGCCCGCGGACAGTCCGGGAATCAACATGTTTTTACATGACTAGAATGTGTCCTTTTACAGTGGTACCTCGGGTTTCATACTCTTCAGGTTACATACGCTTCAGGTTACACACTCCGCTAACCTAGAAATAGTGCTTCAGGTTAAGAACTTTGCTTCAGGATAAGAACAGAAATCGTGCTCCTGCGGTGTGGCGGCAGCAGGAGGCCCCATTAGCTAAAGTGGTGCTTCAGGTTAAGAACAGTTTCAGGTTAAGAACGGACCTCCGGAACGAATTAAGTACTTAACCTGAGGTACCACTGTATTTAAAATGCATCTCTGGGTTATTTGTGGGGCATAGGAATTCGTTCATAGATTTTTTTTCAAAATATAGTCCGGCCCACCACATGGTCTGAGGGATGGTGGACTGGCCCCCTGCTGGAAAAGGTTGCTGACCCCTGGTCTGGAGGCTTGTAGCTGGTTGCATGTTGGGACAAACTACCACCAGCATCGCTTGTGGGATTTGCACTGGCTGCCAATTTGTTACTTTTGCAAGTTCCCAAGATATCAGACGTCCACTCCACACTCAGAGCAGGACTTTTGACATAGATACACCTGTTCTGCGGAATAGCATTCCTGCCAAGACATTTAAATTTCAACAAGCTTTCCAGCTGGGCGACATGTTCTCAGCCATGTGTGTCTATATTGTATTGTATTTTCTGCTGTTGTTCTGTTTTCTTTGCTGTTATTTGTGTTGTTTTTAACCTTTCTCTTGTGCATTGCCTTGGGACACTTGTGTGGAATGCAATTTATAAAAGGAATCATCATAATCACCCGACTACTCTAACAGTTAGGAATGACTTGTATATGAGAACGGTATACTGCAGGTCAAGCAACAGACAGAACTCTCACATAGCCTCCAACATGGTACTTCTCAATGGACTTGGTTCACACATTCCACCACCAGTCATCTAGTTCACAGTAACATGGGCTGAAAACTTTGCTCCTGCAAAACGCACACCTTCCCCTTTCATCGATAGTTTAGGAGGCCTGTGAAAGACTGGGGGAGATGTTTGTGTACTTCAAGCGAGAGCACAAACCATGGCCGTCACTCTGATTTGGCTTCATGATGGCCAAATTGATTGGCCGCATGATGCTGGCTGTGTGATCCCTGATTGGTTGGATCTTACTGTAGCCAAAGAGGTGACATACACTGTCATAGCAGCTGAACGGATACGAAAGGCAAGGAATAGGAATGGTACAAAAAGATGAGGTTTAGTCTGCTCAGAATCCATGTCTGCTCAGAATCAACTCTTGTTGATTTCAAGGAAACTTACTCCCATGAGACTGCAGTCTAAACCCTTGCAATTTTTTTCACCATTTGGAGGAAGCCATCTAACATCACATCATGCTACTGTTTCTCCCTGATGCATCACGCGTCAGGGTATCTGTTCAGATGTTTGGAATCTGCTGGGTACTTGCAAAGTGGCTTTCCACCCACTGGCAGAGGAACGGGGGGTGGGCGGGGGGAGCGCACCACCCCTGGCACCATTGGGGAGGGGGGTACCATTGTGGCCTCCCCCCCGGACATGCGTCGCGACCTCCCACAACACTGGACGCCATGCCTCCGTGGCCAGTGCACCACGCCTCCAGGATGCACGCCACGCCCCCGGGACGCATGCTACACACCTGGGACGTGCGCCAGTCAAGCCCTGCCTGCTCTCCGCCCCCAGTGATGGAGCATGCAGCCTTGCCACTGTTGCTACCCACCCAAACATTCTGAGTTGCCAAAAGGGTTGCAATCCAATAAACCCACTGAAGTGTGTGGAAACGTTGCCGTATATTCAGCAACAGCAGGAATTTCATTCCACCCCCTCCCCACCATGCGGTACTGCCTCTCCACCAGGCTGCCTGACAGAATGCTTTCTAGTGTGTACTTCCAGCCCTGGCCAACACTTTGTTTCCAAATCCATCTAGATCCCATTAAGGGCAAACTGTTGGGTTTGGAAAACACAAGCGATCAGAAGCAGTTCCGATGACCATGGGCTTCAAGGGCTACTACTGAATGGGAACTAAAACTGATCACAGGGAAATGTCATAATACTTCAAGGTCCTATTCACCAAGAACTGGAGATAGTAGCTCACTTTATACAGTGGTACCTCGGGTTAAGAACTTAATTCATTCAGGAGGTCTGTTCTTAACCTGAAACTGTTCTTAACTTGAAGCACCACTTTAGCTAATGGGGCCTCCTGCTGCCACTGCGCCGCTGCCATGCAATTTCTGTTCTCATCCTGAAGCAAAGCTCTTAACCTGAGGTAATATTTCTGGTTTAGCGGAGTCTGCAACCTGAAGCATCTGTAACCTGAAGCGTCTGTAACCCGAGGTACCACTGTACATGTAGTGAGTAATAGCAGGAAAAGAAGATCTGAAATATAGGTTTCCTATTGGAAACCTTGCAGTCAAGAAATGCTCTGTTGTTGTAGAGCATCAGAAAAATGAATGTCCATTCCAGCTTCTTTCCGTTTCTCATTTTTTCTGGTCATAAGTTCAGTTTTTTTAAATCCTCATGAAAACTTGTCAGTATTTTGGTATCAGCTTCTCCTCATATACACATTTTAGTATACAGTTTTGACTCAAACACACATTTTTGCATACAATAGGCTGCATTTTTGGTACACATTTTCTGGATGAAGAACTGCATCACAAAATATGAAGTAGTGCGGATTTTGAAGGATTGATATGTTTCTGTTCATGTACAGGTTCGAACAGTGCAAATTAGGTAGTTTCTCATTGAAATGCAAACAAAATAAAATACCTCCCACCCCAAAGTAAAAGGCCAGTGAAATGAACAGCCTTACAGTAGCTTATGGTGAAGATCTGTTCAGGTTCAGTCTCATTCTGGTTGAAATCGCTTCACACTATGACCAAGAACAGAGAAACCCGGCACCTCAACACTACTTACAATGAATTGCCATGAAAAGGTCACTGATTTTACAGGAACCAGCCCCGATGATGAGCAAATGATAGTATAATCACCAGTATTCATGGCAAAAAGGGAGGAACCAGGGCCGGATTTAGGTTTGATGAGGCCCTAAGCTACTGAAGGTTAATGGGGCCCTTTATATGTCCAGCTGTCCTTTGTCAACAACAAATTGTCACTGTTTTTTGTGTTGAATATATGCTATATGGTAATTTATGGACCTAATTGGTATCTAAAGCCCTTTGCACATGCAGAATGTAGGCACCCTGTATATAGAAATGAGCAAACCAGTGATATTTTAGGGAGCAGGCTAGCAGCCGGGGCCCATTACTTACATCATAGGGGCCTATACAATACAAAACACTGTTTTTTAAATCTTATATTTTGGAAATGTACATCCAGGTTTTTTTCCCCTTTAATTTTTTTGAGGGGCCCCAAGCGATAGCTTGTTTAGCTTATACGTAAATCCGGCACTGGGAGCAACGTTCTTACAAGGAGTTAGGAATGTGTTCTTACCTAGATACGAAACACCTTCTTCTGGTGTGATTGTTCCATATTTCACCATCATCTTCACAAAGTCTATCAAAGTCTTCATGATCGTTATGAGCGTTTCTTTTTCTTTGGCTTCTTTCTCTGTGTTGAAGAGCAAAGCACACATGTAAACATTGCACAGGTTGTGGAAAGTTAGGGACATGATGCCCCCCCTTTAACTTCAACTTTCAACATGAGATCCTCTTAATTTTTTAGTCATGCATGCCCACCTCCCCACTTTTCTCTTGGGGGCAATCTGGTTTCAGGGAGGAGATCTTCCTCTGCCTTTAGTCTGTTGGTTCCCTTTGCAGATGGCACTTTAATAAATGCACCTTCTGAAATAGGAATACCCTCTTCTACAAAGGAGGTCTGTCTCCCTTTACCGCTGGCCTCCCTTCACTCTATCTTCCTCTCCAAAAGACAACAGTATTAAATCTGTTGCTGCAGCCCATTTCAGATCAGGATACAACCCACTTTCGACTCCAACCCACCAGTAGAAGACCAGTATTCCAAAATATCTAGGTCCCAGCTCGGAAGGTCTTTAAGGCTGTGGTCGTATACATGCTCTCTCGTGAGTATGTTCAATTCAAAAGAAAGGGGCTTATACCTGAGTGTACACAAGTCCCAATCAGTTCAATGGAACTTGCTCTCAAGTAAATGTAATCTCTGTAGGCTAACCAGCCTCATATAATAACCAAGATGCTCAAGTCTAAAATGCATGAGGGGGTTAATGCCATATTAGTATTGTTTTATTATTTACTAAATTTGTATACCACCCTTCATCCATAGATCTCAGGGCAGTGCACAGCATAAAAATACAAGATAAAAACACAAAATACATAATAATAGTGTTTGTGAACTCTGCTGCTGCTCCACACTCCAACCACATGGCTTCTTTCTACTATCCATCCTTGTGTTCTGATACAAATAATTTAGGAACTTTCACCACTTTGGAACTAACCCATGTTTCATGATTGTTGTATGCAAAAGCATAGGAATCTGACCTTTGAAGGGTTTGTAAGTAAACCATTTTCAACTTACCAAACTGGCTTTTTCTATGCTAGGGGAAGTGGGAAACTTTGGAAGGAACTTGGGAGGCCATATTTTAAAGGTCTAACAACCTGTATTTCCATGCTTTACTTTGCTGCTTATTTTGTGATTTCAAATCTCTCCTGGGGTTCTCTACCAAAGAGTACTTGCCCCAAACATTCAGGGAATTGTCTTTTTATGCCTATTTTTCTTTCTCTTCCGGCAATCTCTAAGGTGCAATCTGCAGCCCTGTAAGATTGCAACCTCCCATCCATTTGCAATGGAGTAAGCCATAGGGTTGCACTTTATAGATCAGAAGGACTAAAACCACAAAGGAGGTCTGGGAGCCAAACAGTAGCTTGTCATAAAACCTGTAAGATAGCATGCACATTTTCCTCTTTTACCTTTCTTCTTTCCTTCCCACTATCATTCATTCATTGCATCTAACTCCCACCAGGTTCTCCGAGGAGCATAAGGCGTTGTACATCATTCTCCCCCTCCTTCTTTAACCCCCATAACAACTCTGCCAGGTCAGCTAAGGCTGAGAGACAGTGACAGGCCCAAAGAGACCCTTGTGAACGAGTGGGATTTGAACCCTCCTCTTCCAGGTCCTATTCCAGCCTTCTAAGCACTATACCACACAGGCTGTCTCTGACTTTCCTTATCTCTGCTGCTCTCTCTGCAACAGACTGATCATCCATCCCAACTATACATACACAAAAGGGATGGATGAATCTTTTGTTGGTCCATGTCAGTTTTTCACATAGTTCATAAGTCTGCTCCATCCATTTCTGTAGCTTACTGTAATCCTTTTAATTTATTTTTTTAAAGTGCATTTTTTTCATGTTTCCCCATAAAATAACATGTCATATGCATTTCAGCATTTAAAATTATGACTTTTAATACATATTTTTGCACTCTCTCTCTCTCTCTGTTTGTTTTAGCCAATAACTGTTTTGCAAAATTTAGAGAAGTGCAAAAACTGAAGGGTAGCTGCTTTCCGGCCCAGTGATTATTCCAGGAAGTGCAAATCAGGCCGGCTTGATTAAAAATGCAGACTGAACAAAGGCCTATGACATATACATTTGCATTAGCAGCATGAAATTTGCCTACCCTGGCAGGGACATCTATGCAGGAAGCCACCTGCGTGCAAGATGACTGAAGGGCACTTTAATACAGAGCTGAGTAGCCTGTCATCAAGTGGCGAGAGGTGGGGAAAACCACTCAGCCTTGGCAGGAGACCTCGCTAGAAGAGCTTCAGAACTGCCACAGCCACTTGTTTTAAAGAGAGAGAGAAAAGGCACCGCTTCCCATTTCTGCACACGGTTGCAATTCCAGGAGCCTCTTCTGCATCCTGGCTTGATGCGGGCTGACGGGACAAAAGCAAGAGAGCTGTGTGGATGGGATGGAGGAGCGGTGACGTACAAGTGACAATGACCTCCCTGCTGAATTATGCAAAGGTTCAAAGTGCTGCTCTCCTAGGTTGGCCACTGGAGGCACTTTGGCCCAGGGATAAGGAAGAGGTGGCTGATTCTGTTGCATAATCTTAACGATGATATGCTGGAACATCAACGGCTGCAGAGATTGTGAGGGAAGGGCTGCAAGTGCAGGAGGGCAAGCATCAATGTCCCCTCAGTGGGCTCATATGGACTGTTTGCCAGGTTTGGAACAGCTGGGGTAGCCTAGAAGTGATATTCAATGGTGCTAGAACACTAATATTCAAAAATTTGCAGAGCTATTTCCCCTAATTAAAAAGCATTTTGGGGTGTTATCTTCATGAATACATGCATTTTAATGCAGATTTTATCCTGGCATAGGCAATTTGGTAGCATCTTGGTTGGCTGGAGAACTGCATTGCAAAATTCAGAGAAGTGTCAATTTCAAAGGGTGGGTGTGCTTTCATCCATGTATTCTTTTGGGTAGGTTCAGCTTTAAATGCAATGGAATTGAAATTCTCCCCCATCTCTAGCCAGAACAAGGCATTTTGCTGCCGGAAACACAGCCCTAATGAAGGGTAAGGGTGCCATCACTTAAAAGGTCTTGCTGCACCATTCAGACATCAAGTTCCTACCTTCATCACTTCCCCTCTGCCCCATGTGCTGCCTGAATCAGGGGACTTGCTTCACCCCATTACACAGTTTTGCAAGCCTTGGAAATGCTATGGCCTTGATAGGTCTCTACCATCCATTTTTTATTAAAAAAACACACACATTCACATCAGCGTATAGGCAGTCGGTGTTCCAGAAAACCAAACGTCAGAAAATATTTCAACCTGTATGAGACTCACCTGTGTTGAGACTCTTCAGAAGTTCATAAAAGTTAGGGAAATACTGGAGATCTTCAAAATTATCCTCGGGAGGCAGTTCGTTTCTTCTTTCCAAGATGTTGGAGGAAGTCCAGGTATTATCCAGTGTGTCATCTTGATCAGTATTTTTCGTAGCCTCCATGTAAGACATTAACAACAGAAGTGTGTAAATATGGATGCCCAGTGGTGGCTGGTGCCCATTGGGACTGATAGGGTGGAAGGCAGGGAGGCCAACAGTAGGGGGAGCCAGAGCAAAGAACAGGCAAAGTCAACTCATTCTAATTTTGTCCCCATCCTTCCTTCCTCCTTCCTGCTGATTTTTACAAGGGCACCGCTAAGGAGGAGGAAGCTGATAGTCAGGACCACCCTCTGGACTGGTTGCAAGTAAGAAGAAAAGCCCATCTGGCTGTCAGCTTCTTTCTCCTTAAAGGTAAAGGGACCCCTGACCATTAGGTCCAGTTGCAGGTGACCCTGGGGTTGCGGCGCTCATCTCGATTTATTGGCCGAGGGAGCCGGCGTACAGCTTCCAGGTCATGTGGCCAGCATGACTAAGCCGCTTCTGGCGAACCAGAGCAGCGCACGGAAACACCGTTTACCTTCCCGCCGGAGCGGTACCTATTTATCTACTTGCACTTCATGCTTTCGAACTGCTAGGTTGGCAGGAGCAGGGACCGAGCAACGGGAGCTCAGCCCGACATGGGGATTTGAACCGCCGATCAGCAAGCCCTTGGCTCTGAGGTTTAACCCTGCATCCCTCCTTCTCCTTAGCAGGTTCCTTAATTCCAAAGGCTGGCGATAAACTCCAGGGACCCACCCTCACTTTCATGCACAGCTTGTGAGTGCTCAGAGGCACCTGACTGGCCACTGTATTAAGCAGATGGCTGGACTAGAGGAAAAAAACTGGCAGGTTTTTAGATTCCTACAAATACTTGATATATTGACAATGATAATAACACCTCTTTAATTTGCTCAGTCCCCGGAGCAAGGGTCAGTGAGGGGGTCTATTTGTGCTTTTCAGGAAGTGGGATGAAACTGATAGGCATTACCATGTTTTCCTCCTTTTTTTCATTGGGATTACTCTCTGCTCTGTTTGGAATGTCACCAAGATCTTCAGATGCCTTTTCGCGATCGTTTGCTTCATTAGCAATGAGCTGCTGCAAGACTTCAGCCACCTCATCCTCCAGTGTGTAGGCCTGGCTTTCTGTGATCTGGGAAAGACAAGGAGAGTAGAGCTGAATTATCCATCTCCCTTCAGGTCTGCAAATTGTTTCACGCAGGGACATCTGAAGAATGAATTAGGGAGACTGGAACATCCATTTCAAATTGAATTTGCAGGTTTCCCTTGGAAATCAATAGTGTCTAGTTTGATGCAGCTGATGGTTTAATTGTGCAGTTTGAAGCACTACCGTTGGCTTAAGACGATGCTGAACATCTGCCACAAGAATTCGTAAGGACAGTCAGAGCTTCAGGAGGTGAAAAAACCAGCCTGCCACCTCTCTGAATAAAGTCCTTTGGCATCATATTTCAGCAATGATAAGCAAAGCAAATCAATTTAGACTTCAACTCAGCTGGTTTAAATAGCCTGGTTTTATTGAAGTCAATAGTACTATGCCTTATATCCAGTAATATTTGCCCTGCAGATTATTCTTTTATATATATATTGCAAGTCACTCTGTAATCCGCAGCCTTGGTTGGGGATTGGACCTTTACAGGGACTGTTTCTCACATTCTTGTGTGATCCCTCCTCCTTCTGGGCTTATTTGCCCATTATAAAACCTTTCAAGAACTTGGCATCTTGCATTGCATGGCTAAGCTTCAAATAGCCAGTTTAACTGCAGGGTGAGATTGATGCAAATTGAAACCAGTGCTCAGAGCCCAAGCTCTGCTTCAAAAGAACATCCATTTGTTTCAGGATCAAACTATTCATTCAGTGCTTTTTTAAAAATAGCAGCTAAGACTAAAATAAGAAAGGGGGGGAAAACCAGGCATAATAGCATAAATGAACTGGTGCCCAGAAACTTACGAGTCCCAGATTTAGAAGCTTGGAAACGATCTTGTCAAAGACTCCCCTGTCATTTTCCTCGTATATCCTCATGGCAATCTTCTGAACGATGTCTTCAGCTGTTAATGGCGTACCATCAAGTTGGTGGAGTCCATCTGGATCATCTGAAAGTATCACAGGTTGACCAAGTGATGCTCTACTATGTTTGATGAGTTTATCTTTTGCATGGGTAAAAACATTAGGTGAAACTGGACTAAGTTATTCTAGATACTTTCCAGTATGAGAAAATGACTGATGGTGAGAGAAAGACCACAGTGTTGATGGCCTGTTCTGACCCCCACCATTTGTCAACTTTGCAAATACAGGGGACTGCTAGATGCTCAGGTCTGGCACAGTCAAATTAATCTTTTGGGTGCAGAAAATCTCATGCCACCATCTATCAACATGGCTTTGTGCTTTCTGCTTGATGAAGTCCATCCATCAACTGAAAAAAGTCTTAAGAAATAAGGGCTTTTTAGCTGTCAAAACAAACACCCACACAAGTCTAAGGGGACATGACAGAAAAGTATGTAAGCATGAATGATATCAAGAGATTCATTGTCTCTCAAATAATTAGAACTGTAGGGTTACTCAATTAATTCTATTTGCAGTCAGCTGGGAAGGGGAAGAAATTGGATTCAGTTCACATTTAAATTCACATTTGCCAAATTTGTGCTTTCCAAAACTATGCAAACTGAGCAGTTGCCTGCTCTATGGATGTGAAGGGAGCAGTATACATAAACTGGAACTCCATAGACAGCCGTCATAGATAAATGAGGTAACTGTGCCCAAGAGGAGCCTGTGATAAAATGTTGCCATGAAGAGCACTTCTCTTCAGGATGTTCCACTCCTTCCTCCCTGTCTTACGTTCCTCTCTGTTTCAAAAGCAAGCCAGCATTCTAAGGCTATTGAGTATGCTCCATTGAGCTGTTTTTAGCATCCTTCCTCTTGGGTGTTTTTTCTACGGGGTTTTTTGGGTGCATCGTCAAAGCTTAGTGGGACGCGGGTGGCACTGTGGGTTAAACGACAGAGCCTAGGGCTTGCTGATCAGAAGGCTGGCGGTTCGAATCCTCGCGACGGGGTGAGCTCCCGTTGCTCGGTCCCTGCTCCTGCCAACCTAGTGGTTCTAAAGCACATCAAAGTGCAAGTAAATAAATAGGTACCACTGTGGCGGGAAGGTAAATTGAGTTTCCGTGCGCTGCTCTGGTTCGCCAGAAGCGGCATAGTCATGCTGGCCACATGACCCGGAAGCTGTACGCCAGCTCCCTCGGCCAGTAAAGCAAGATAAGTGCCGCAACCCCAGAGTTGGCCACGACTGGACCTAATGGTCAGGGGTCCCTTTACCTTTACCTTTACCTTTACAAAGCTTAGAGTTCTCCCGAACCTGCTGGTACTTTCTACTCTTATGCATGGGTGTTATTTGAATAGCTACACAAGCATCCAGAGAACTGAGATTGCTTTTATCATATATAATATTTTGTGTTATCAACATTGTCTTAATATATTGGCAAAACATAATGGCAAATTCACAGTATGCAATAAGACAAGGAGAGTGTTTATGGAATAATGATGCGCTGGAAGAGGTCCGTTTTGTGCCATCTATAGTTCCGCTAGCATATGAAGATTACTTTGCATTTGGAAGCCATCCATGAAGACAGGCTGGGATCTGGCAATGACTGGGATGTTATTCCTGCATCAAACTGTGCTTGCAGACTTGCCTGGCTTCTGGGGTGTGAATTTGCAACAGCCAAGACCAAGGCTTCTTAAAGTTTGATTGGACTGAACCCTCCCCAATTTTACCTCAAGTGTTGATCTGACACTCCCCTCCATGACACCAGTCCCAAAGGATAGAAGGCTAAACCATAAATGGATGAACCGCTTTGGTCACATCAATATGATTCTAGGGTTTTCTCATAGGCTGTTTCTGTGTGATATACTTTGCTGTGGTTTGCATTGTTTATGTCGTTTATGTCCTCTCCCATGTGAAACCATATTATTCGTGGCATCCTGAAAATGACTCTCTGTCTACGCAGTAGTAAGGTCAGGTGTCCCTGGGCATTTTCATGGGCTGAGTACCCCAATTTATTTATTTGCTTTCTAAAAATATGTTTTTCCTGCCATATCATAAAATATCAGGGTGGTGCACAATGTTAAAACATAAAACTTTTTCTTTCTTTCTTTCTTTCTTTCTTTCTTTCTTTCTTTCTTTCTTTCTTTCTTTCTTTCTACACACACACACACACACACACACACACACACACAATCATTCAGCTGACTGGCTAATCAAAAATAAAAATTAATCAGCTGTAAAGTCCTGTTGGCATAAAAAAGTCTTCAAGCGGCACCTAAAAGTCGAAAGTGAGGATGCCTGCTGCATCTCTGCAGTGAACAGTGTTCCACTGCAGAGTGGTAACACTAAGGGGTCAATACATAATATGGCAAGATTTGCTGGCTCAGGATGCAAGGGATCTCTAGCTCTGCCAGGCTCTGCCAGAATTAAGTCCCCAACTCCAGTTTAGCGAAAGATACACAGGCAAAGCTGGCCAAGGCCTGTTTAAGTCCCCCAAAGGAAGCAGGCTTAGAGAGGGGAGACCTAGGCTGGATCCTAAGCCTGGTCATGTGATCCAGCAACCCAGTGTGAGATACTCTTTTAAAGGCTTGTTTCCTTTCTGCCAGGCTTAGGCAGAGCAGAAGCCCTGCTGCTAAGCTGAGTTTGGATCTGGCGTAACTTCACACAGGCGTCATTTACACTGGCTTGCTTTGCATCACCTTCTTGAGCGTTGGATTGCTCCCTAAATGCTCAACTTCCAGTCAGAGGGCTGTGTGCAAATAGTATTGAAAATGGTATTGCGTATGACTGCCCCAACAGCATCACGAGCACAAAGAAGCATGAATGAAATGGACGTCCAGAGAGGCCCTATCTGCAACATACACTCAAAACACAAGCTTGGTGTATGAAGACTAATGAATTTACCTTGATATTTATAGTCCGGGCTGCTTTTAGTGGAGTCATAATCATCAACCAGCCTCCGGCTCTTGGTGGAATCTGTATCCTCGAGGGCAAGCTGTTGGTCATACAGGGAGCTTCTAATTGATTCCCTTTCCTTCTCCTTCCTCTCTTTTTCTGCTGCCAATTTGAGCAGGTTCAGGTCATCGGCAAATGAGTAATTTCTGAATTCCGGCTTGTTGTCTGGAAGACGTACAGCACAGGTGCCCAATAAACCATCTCATACCTCTGAACAATCAGCAGTATGTGTGTGCAATGAATAAGGGGAAGAAGCACAAAATTTACCTGTAGAGGCTGGCTTTTTCATTTTATCCGTCTCTGCCTCAGCAATCTGTTTTGGGGAGAAAGATAGTTTATGGGTATATGAACGCACCGTCTCTGTTGCACTGGAATGAATCGTGTGTAGCTCTTTTCCTCCAATTTATTTCTTTTAACCTATTGGAACATGCAAAACTGCCTGAAGCTGAGTCCTTCTAGCTTAGCACTGCCTGGCACTGGCTCTCCAAGGTCTCAGGCTGGGAACGTTCCCAGCCTTACCTGGAGATGCTAGGAATCGAACCTGAGACCTTCTGCATGCAAAGCAGATGCTCTCCCATTGAGCCACAGCCCTTCCACTTCCCACCACAGCATCTCTTGTCCTTTTCCCAGGAGGTGATGGAAGCATTTCCCTAAAGAAAAGATTCTGGGCTAGACCCTTTAATACCAATTTGTGCTCTTTTAATAGAGAATTTCCTTTCTGCCTTTCTTTTGTGGGAAGCTGCTCTTTTTTGAAAATTGACTTGGGTTGGGGGCATTCAAAGCTGCAACCCTCTGCACACTTTCCTGGGAGTAAATCTCATGGAATACAGTAGGACGTCCTTCTGAATAAACATATCAAATGGCATAATTTTATTGACTGCTGCGAGACATCACCTTGCCAACAAAGGTTCGTATAGTTAAAGCTATGTTTTTCCCAGTAGTGATGTATGGAAGTGAGAGCTGGGCCACAAAGAAGGCTGATCGACGAAGAATTGATGCTTTTGAATTATGGTGCTGGAAGAGACTCTTGAGAGTCCCATGGACTGCAAGAAGATCAAACCTATCCATTCTGAAGGAAATCAGCCCTGAGTGCTCACTGGAAGGACAGATCCTGAAGCTGAGGCTCCAAGACTTTGGCCACCTCATGAGAAGAGAAAACTCCCTGGAAAAGACCCTGATGTTGGGAAAGATTGAGGGCACAAGGAGAAGGGGACGACAGAGGACGAGATGGTTGGACAGTGTTCTCAAAGCTACCAGCATGAGTAGCTTTGCGGGAGGCAGTCGAAGACAGGAGTGCCTGGCGTGCTCTGGTCCATGGGGTCACGAAGAGTCGGACACGACTAAACAACAACAATAGTCCGACCCACCCACCCACCCTGGCGATGTTTTGATACCGAAGGGTTTTTTTGTGATTGGCATCTCTCAAATTTGTCAATTTTAAATTTTTATTTAAAAAACGTGTTTGGGGATTTTTTTGTTGCTAATTTTAATGATGAAAATTGAGTGATAAAAATGATTGAAAACAGTATGCAACAGCTGATGGGAAAGCCTTTTGGAAGGCAGCCTTGAGAACTACAGCTTTTGCCACACCCACTTTCGCTCTCTATGCCTACCATGATATGCAGCCCTTGGAGGCTTGGGTGTGGGTCACTGCGGCCCTCAATCTGCCCCCCCAAAGGGCTAGGCGCCACTGGCATACATCAAAGGTCACAAGGATTATTACTGCATAATGTTTAAGTTATCAAAAGTACAGTGGAAAGGTATAAGAAGGCATGAAGAACTTAGCAAGGTACACAAAAACCAGAACTTAGGAAGGTACAATAACTAGAGAGAAGTGACATTTGAGGCTGGAATATAAGTATAAAACTATTACTAGAGGTGTGGTAATTTGAGGGGATTCTGCAATCTGGAAGGTGGGTATGTTTAAATGGGAACAGGTGGGAATAACCTTGATAATGATAAGAGAAGGCATCATGACCACATTTGACATTTGGGTAAAACATTTCTGGGAATGAGAAGGAGAGAAAGGGGGCCAGTTCTGAAAATTCAAATATCTCTTGCAAGAATATATATCTGTTCTTCTGTTCCGCTCCCCCGCCCCCAAATGTGGCTCTTTAATTTCTTCCATAAATCCTGCTTACTTTCACTCTTAAAATGACTTTGCTGTTCGGTTCAAAGGGTGGTCAGTATACCACGGACCAGGTTTTGCCCTGTGGGAGGGATTTGTAGGACTAGTCAGGAACACAGCCTGTCCATTTTTAAAGCCTCTGGGTGTAATATACTGATAGGGTTGAAAATGAACTGTGACTTTTATAAGATGCAGTCGTATGTTGGAAGTTGAACGGAATCTGTTCTGGAAGTCCGTTCGACTTCCAAAACGTTCAGAAACCAAAGCGCGGCCTCTGATTGGCTGCAGGAAGCTCCTGCAGCCAATCGGAAGCCGCAGGAGCCCCATCAGACATTCGGCTTCCAAAAATAGTTCTCAAACCGGAACACTCACTTCTGAGTTTGCGGCATTCGAGAGCCAAAACAATCGAGAACTAAGCTGTTCGAAAACCAAGGTATGACTGTGCTTCGAATGCAAGCTGGAACAGAGAGAGTGAGAGACAGGGAGCCATTGTGGGGTAGTGGCCAGAGTGGTTGTACTGAGGTCTGGGAGACTGGGGATCTAGACCCCTCACAGCTATGAAGCTCACTGGGTGACCTTGGGTCAATCACAGTCTCTTTGCCTTAACACCAGGATTGTTGTGAGGATAAAATGGGGGGGGGGGGCCATGTACACCACCCTGAGCTCCTTGGAAGGGAGAGAAATGAAATAAATTGTGTGTGTAATAAATAAAAGAAAGCCATCAGGCTTTAAGATCTATTGATTCCATCTGGGTAGGAAACTCTAGTCCTTGGAGACAGGGTACACTTGATCAGCCTGGTGGGAGATTAGGCACCTCGTGCTCAGAAATACTTTTATTTATAACCTTGTTTATGTCTCTTTAAAGAAGGAACATGACACTAAATTCACATGGCTGAAAGAAGCTATGAAGGCTAGAAGGTAACAGTTCTTGAAAGAATCCCCCCACCTCCCTTATATACTGTTAAGACATTGCATATCCAGAGGTTACAAGCATCTGAAATCAATACAGAGTGAAGCCAAGATATAAATTATTGTGTTCAGGGTGCTCTGGAGCTTTTCATGTTGCTTAGGACTAGATGACCGTAGGGGTGCTTTCCAACTCTGCAATTCTATGAATCTATGAATCTAAGTAAGCCATGTTGATCACAGTGGGACTTACCTCTGAGTAAATATGGCCTGTACGAGGCAAATTCTCAGGATAAGTGAAAAAGAATGGCGCACTATTGGATTTCCCTGCTATATGTGTCTACTAAATAATTTGTAAGTTGTCATGACAGAAGACACTGGCTGGGCTAGAAGTGAGCTCTGGAAACATGTGCTTGTTTGACTAGTTAAATGGTTTTCTTCTTGAACTCTAACTAGCCTGCAAAACATTCAAGAATCTTAGGAAACCTTCAGAAGACTAGCACAGTTATTCTGTCACGAGCTTTTAGCACACCAAGAGTCTACTTTATCAGATTCATTCCTCCAATGAATTAGTCTGCCATCCTGACCCCACTTAGCTGGGAGTAAGCCCCATTTGATTCAGTAAAACTTACTTCTGACTAGACGTGGTTAGGATCGCACTGTTACATTTCTTACCTGCTGAAAGCTCCCACCACAAATAAGGCTGCAATGACTTGCTTGGGTGTAAGAGCCATTGAACTCTGAGGGCTTACAACCAAGTATATTTGTACAAGTTAGTTGGGATAATTATTAATCTTTATGTCAACATGAGACTTCACCCCCACCCCCCACTAGTCTTACAACAGCTCACATAGCCTACCATTCTTCCATTCATCTCATCAAACTGTTGGCATTCTCCTGATAATTAAAAGCAGGGCTATCTGCAACAACTTCAAAGAGAGTTTGTATTTTACATGTCTTTAGATTAGTTTTTATTTTTATTATTTTATTTAATTTTTCATTCTCTTGTTTTATCATTCGGGTGTTCACCATCCTGGGCTCCTTTGGCTGGAAGGGCAGGATAGACACTTAATAAATAAATAGACACTGGTTTTACCTACCTGTTCTTCTAGTGGTCTCTCTACACTTAATTCTCTGTTGTGTAAAGCTTTATCTAGAAAAGACACACACATATACATATAATTGTGGTATGCAGTCTCTCTCTCTCTCTCTCTCTCTCTCTCACACACACACACACACACACACTAACAATAAACAAGTTATAGTATTAAACAATCTACCCTTAATACCCTGCATGTATTTAAACATCAGTTCCTGGGATATAAATATTGAAGATGCTGAAGCTAAATCTGTAATCCTATGCATACTTTTCAGGAGGTAAGCCCCACTGAACTTCTGAGGAAATATGCATAGGATTACATTGTACGTCACAGAAAGGAAGGAGGGTACAGTTTGCCTGGTTCCTGCCTTTGTTTAGGAAATTAGCCTTGAATATCTCCTTCACGCTGGACTGTTCCTACGTTTTCTCAAGCAGAAAACCAACACACACACGCATAAAAAAGAAAAACCTCACATAAGCGCTGGACTAAAATAGCAGTAATCTAATCGGATTGGAATAATCAAGAGCTTAAAAGATTTTATGACATTCAGAGCAATCCCCACAAAGAGAGACGTGGAAAACTGCTGCACTACAGATCAGGCTGTCTCAGAATACACTCCAGAATGAAGAAAATCTAGCATAAAAAAAGAGAATACACATTCATTTCCTTCCAATTATCTGGGGTGGGTGTGGGTGGGTGGAAGAGAAATATGCCATTTTGCTTGTTACCTTGGCACACTTATCCACCTTGTTCAGCTATGACCCTTGGCAGTGGTTTCAAAACAGAATGGCGTGTAATATGTAAATAGTCACTAGAGGAAACTGGATCAACTTGGTTAAATAAAATAAAATAAAGTGTCCCAGTTCTCACAGCTATGCGGGAATGACTGATCAGAAGAGATGACCCACCTACCCAACACTGGGAAGTTTCAAAATAGGGGCTATGCCTTTTAAAATAGATGCTATACCTTTTACCTTTTAAAATACCTACCTCCTCTAGTGCCCTCGGGCTTGGGGAATCCATGTGCCTGGCCTACAATCAGTGCCAGCACCGGTATCAATAAAGACAGCTTGAGAAGCATCCTCCCGTGTGTTAGGTCTTCTTTGCTGCTCTGACCTTGGCTTTGGAGAAAGGTTTGCGGCAAAACCAGAGAGGAGAGGATCCCCTGGCTGCTTCAGCAAGATAAAAAAATGCTTCCCTCCTTTCTTTCCAGCAGGCTTTGTGTGTCTATGCCTCCCTTGGCGGACCTAGACTGAACCCAACTGGCAGCGGTACCTCGCCCGCCGCAATGGGAGCTGTCCAGCACTCTTGGTGCTGAAATCACAGGAGCCGCAGCTGCAGCTCACTGCTCCGGGATAAGGCTCGAGCCCTTATTGCTCAGCCTCCTCCTCTTCTTCCCTTGCCCTGATCGATAGGCGAGCGAGGTCCTTTCCCCGCTGAAAGCTCCGGACAGGGGTGGGAGGAGAAAGAAGGGGAGGAGATCGGGGAGGAGAATGGGAGGGAGGGGGGCTGCGGATGTGGGAGCATGCGTGCACCACCTGGACCTACACGCAGCTCCCTAGCCCAGCCCAGCCTGTTGGATAAAGCTGCTCTATCCGAGCCAGCAGCAAGCCTTGAAATCCACAGGCAGGGGATTCCTGCCTCCGGAATTGCATGCATACAAAATCTCCACCCACAGAACGCCCCTGTGCCCATTCCAAGCAGAGGAAAAGGTCAAGAGCGTCGACGGTGATCTATATCTCTATTCTGCAAGCGGCATCTGTTTAAGTGATGTGCAAGGCATATGATTCACATTTATGACGTGCAGCAGCTTGGCTTCCCAATCACAAAGGCTGGAGAGTGAGAACAGCATTGTTTCATCTGTTAGGCGATTTATTTATTTTTTAAGGGGGAAGGCTGTTAAGGCAGAATCTGGGATCCTCAGCCAATCTGGTGAGCTTTCTGGAGAAAGACTCCATCTGCAGACAGTATAGAAAAGCAAGTTGTTGCAAAGAATGGGTTTTCCCTTGGCAAAATTCAGACCCGTTGCAGCAGCAAGCGAGCATAATAGCTAAATCACCACCCCCACATTCCTCCCTTCTGCACAGAGCAGTTTCATCTTTCCTGAGCTGCAGGGCATGATATATCAGTTTAGCCACAGTTCACCTTTTATCGTCTATCTTGTGAAGAGCAGAAATGTGCGTGCATACACAGACATACACACATGTTTGAGAAGTGAAAAAAGATCTTTTTAAGGCTTCTTTATGAGTTTTCAAAGATCAGGATCAGAGATGTATTTTAACAGTAACCAGAGAGTCTTGTGGCGCCTTCAAGGCCAACAAGTTTATTGTGGCACAAGCATTTGTGGACTGCAGTTCACTTCACCGGATCCATGAAGTGCTACAGGTAGACATGCACATTTTTTGGGGTGTGTGTGGAATGGCAAACAGTGGGAATACAGGGAAAAGAAACACATAGAAATGCAGACACTAATAATAGGTTGCTGCTTTGCTTCTGGGCCCAATTCAAGGTGCCGACATTAGTGCTTAATGCCCTAATCTACCCAGGTCCCAAATACCTGAAAGGCGGCCTCCCTCCCTACAGACCTTCTTGGGTGTTAATAGTGGCAGAGGGCTTCTTATTGGTTGTTCCCCTGCCCTCAGAAGCTTGGGGTGAAGGAGGCCCAGAAGAGGGCCTTCTCCGTTGCAGCTCCAAGTTGTGAAACTCTCTCCCCACAGAGCTGCATTTGGCATTTTCATTATACAGCTTTTAATAAATACCAAACACACCCCTTTTAAAGAACCACCTTATTCTGTGGTTGTAAGTTGTTTTAAACTGCTTTTAACATTGTGTTTTAATTGTTGTAACCTGCCCTGAGACCTAAATAATAATAATAATGATAGCATGAGTTTGTCCAAACTGCGGGAGGCAGTGGAAGACAGGAGTGCCTGGCGTGCTCTGGTCCATGGGGTCACGAAGAGTCGGACACGACTAAACGACTAAACAGCAACAACAACAACAACAACAACAATAATAATGATATATTTTATGTGGTGAATATTGTAACATAACTCATGGGGCCATCTTGGTAGTTCCAGGAGCTCAGAGTCCAAAATCTTATTAATCAGCCTGAAACCTTAGCTATCTACAAACATATTTTTTTTGTGTGTGTGTGTGTTCACGTGTGTGTGCACAAATGCTTTCACTCTTACTTAGTTATGAAGAAAAAGTTATGGCACTTTGCACATAGAAACTGTCTTTGAACATATGCCTGGGTTTGCTCAGAAGGATACTTTGTACATGCTCAATAGTGAACTTGTTACAGCTTCATATTTATGGTTGAAGGTAGTGATGGTGTATTCTGGCTTTCTTACTATCATGCAGATTACAAAATGAGAATAGTACATTGTGGAATCTGAGTTCTGTTTTAAGTCCTAGAAAATCCTCATAATTGTACTGATAACTGAGAGATCCCAAAGCTTCCTTGGCGTGGCCACCTTTAGTAAGGTATCACTAGAAATCGGTCTAAACCAAAGATACTGTATAATACTGAGACAGAAAACCAGGCAGATCAATTTCCAGGCCCCATGTGGCATGGTTTTCCTTCCCATCATTGTGCTTCTAGGCTAATGATCCTGTAGCTTTAAATTAGGTTCCCAAATTTGCTAACACAATCAAAAAGAAATTTGTCTCCCACAGCTGCCTTTCCTTCTTCCGCTGTAATTACTCTATGCTCTTTTGACAACTCTTTATTCCTAGCCCAATGCTGAGCAATAAACCTTCCAAATTCAGTCAATTATGAGCGGCCGAAGGCAAATTAATGAATTGCCACGGATCTGCTTGTGCTGCTGCCATGATTCTTGGGCATTAAAAATAACAAAATCAGGAAAATGAGATGAATAACATTGAAATAGGGGGAATGTAGTAAGCCTGAGGGTCAGTGTGGTGCACTGCATTGAATGCTGCCTTTCGACCAAAAATACATTTTAAAAGTGCTATATAGAGCATTTTGGGATGGCACTGGACAGTGAAATTTAGGTTCCTCAGAACTGCAGCTCTCATTTAAGAAAGCGGACACACACACAAAACAAGTTTCCAGCACTAGTGGCTGTGGAGATGCGTTTGGGGGAGGTTATTGTAATCCATTTTCTGCTTGTGATGGGTGCAGATTTGTTTACATACACTGAGCTCCTCTGTTTGCAAAGGCTTCTGTATTCATCTCAGTGGAGTAAACAGTGACATCCATCCAAAGGGCTGCACACACCAAGAGACTCCTGCCATTCAAATTAATTCATGGGGCTCGTAGGAAAGGAACTCTTAGGAATCCTATGAATGACAGGCTGAGAATGGATAGTTGTCACACAGAGTTGAAGGTGGTTTGAAAGGGAGATGGTTGTTAATGAGGAAGTCTACACTCATCCTATGTTTCCCTCTAATAAACAGGGGCTGCATGGTTCTGTTGTCTTTTCCAAGACTTGCAGTACCTGCTTGACCAGAGATGATACTGTGACCCCAAAAATATTGGTGTGTTCCAAAGAAAAGGAAACATCCCTCAAACCATTTTCAACTCTCTTTAAAAACAACTACTACCGTATGTCTCTAGGCTAAATCCACAAGAAAACCCAGTCCAGACAGCAAATTTAATTTTTTTGCAATTTGGAATGATGTTCTGTGTTCTTGCTGGAGCCTCAGTAACTGTTTGACCTGCCAGTAGGTATTATGAGACACAGCTCTTTGACTCAAGAGGAAAGCTGTGGTTGTACGTTTCCAAGCACAATTAAAAGTGTTGGTGCTGACCTTTAAAGCCCGAAATGGCCTCAGTCCGGTATACCTGAAGGAGCGTCTCCACCCCCATCATTCTGCCTGGACACTGAGCTCCAGCACTGAGGGCCTTCTGGCAGTTCCCTCACTGTGAGAAGCCAAGTTACAGGGAACCAGGCAGAGGGCCTTCTTGGTAGTGGCACCCGCCCTGTGGAACGCCCTCCCACCAGATGTCAAAGAGAAAGAAAATTGTAAACATTTGAAAACGTTTGTAGGTTTGAATTGAAATGCTTTGTAATGTGAAAATAAGGAAGTGCTTTACATATAAGGAGGTAATTTTCATAAAAAAGAAGAAGATTTAAGGTAAAAAAGTGATTATAGAAATGCGAGAATTTAGTAAAAGGTGTTTGGAAGTCAGAAAGAGGGAGGGAAGGAAGTTGATGCTCTGTCTGAGCAATGCTTTATGTTATAGATTTGTGTAATGACACGTAATTAAATATGGAAAACTGAATAAAAATTATTTAAAAAGAAAAAGGGGACATCAAACAATTTATGTATACTTAAATTCCACAAAACAGTAGCATACCTGTTCCTTATAGATAGAATCCATTTTACTACTTTGCCCTTTCAACTCCTGATCTATCCATTGTGTTCATGGATGAGGTTGTTTTCATTTATGGTACTTTTTGTGGTTCTGACACCTTGCGTATTTGCTAGATACTGTAGCTCTCAGTAGTCACTGTGCTGGGAAGCGCGGTGGGAAATGCAAAATATCACCGTTCACATCATTCTCTCTTACCCAAGAATTGCTTAAAAGCAAAGAGCAAGCAGAGGACCTGCAAGGATGACCGGGAAAGGAATAACGCACTGCCCTCGCAGCCAGTTTTTGAGTGCTGGAAGGAGGAGACCGCCAGATGCAGCTGAAACAGCAGCCAAGCAAAGCAGCTGAATCACAATAATGGGAAATTGTAGCAGAGTTTCAAGTTTTTGCGGCAGCCTCTGACAACCAGATTTCCCAGAGGGGCCAATTTAAAGCAAAGCTGAGTGCACAAGGCCAAGCCAGTTCTCTGCCACACCACACGCGCTTGCCGCTTGAGGTGTACTCACAGCTGAAAGCATCGCACACGCACCATTCTGTCTTGGAACAGAATGAGATTCTCCATGCGCTCCTCTTCCCTCCTGTCCCAAAACAAGCGAATGTCTTAACATGCATATTTTACATCAGTGCTTAAGGTCTTAACCTACGTATTTTAATTGTTTTATATCTGTATTATTTACCGTGCTCTAGTTTATAGAGTTTAATTTTAACCTATGTATATTTGCATGTTCTCTATCACGGTATATGTCCGTGTTTCTGGTCTGTGAGCGTAATAAATTGATTCATTCAGCAGCGAGAAGACTGCCTTCCAATGGAAGTCCAGACCCCTGCAATGCAGGAAAAGCTTCTGAGGCATCCATGAAAGATGGCTTGCCTGCCTTCCTTGTTAAAACTATACCAGGGGATAGGACTTCATGCCAGTTTAAGTCTCCCCTGACAAGACAGAAGTACTGTTTTTGGGGGACAGGAGGCAGGCGGGTGTGGAGAACTCCCTGGTCCTGAATGGGGTAACTGTGCCCCTGAAGGATCAGGTGCGCAGCCTGGGAGTCATTCTGGACTCACAGCTGTCCATGGAGGCACAGGTCAATTCTGTGTCCAGGGCAGCTGTTTATCAGCTCCATCTGGTACGCAGGCTGAGACCCTACCTGCCCGCAGTCTGTCTCGCCAGAGTGGTGCGTGCTCTAGTCTCTCGCTTGGACTACTGCAATGCACTCTATGTGGGGCTACCTTTGAAGGTGACCCGGAAACTACAACGAATCCAGAATGCGGCAGCTAGACTGGTGACTGGGAGCGGCCACTGAGACCATATAACACCGGTCTTGAAAGACCTACACTGGCTCCCAGTACGTTTCCGAGCACAATTCAAAGTGTTGGTGCTGTCTTTTAAGGCCCTAAACGGCCTTTGCCCAGTATACCTGAAGGAGCGTCTCCACCTCCATCGTTCTGCCCGGACACTGAGGTCCAGCGCCGAGGGCCTTCTGGCGGTTCCCTCACTGTGAGAAGCCAGGTTATAGGGAACCAGGCAGAGGGCCTTCTCGGTAGTGGTGCCCACCCTGTGGAACGCCCTCACACCAGATGTCAAAGAGAAAAGTAACTACCAAACTTTTAGAAGACATCTGAAGGCAGCCCTGTTTAGGGAAGCTTTTAATGTTTAATAGGTTCGTTTTAGTGTTTTGCTGCAAGCCGCCCAGAGTGGCTGGGGAAACCCAGCCAGATGGGCGGGGTATAAATAATAAATTATTATTATTATTATTATTATTATTATTATTATTATTATTCCCCTTCAAGAATGCAGCGGGGAGGTAGGATGGGGACAAAATCAGAATTAGTTGGCTCTGCCTATCATCGGCTGTGTCCCCTCCCCACTTTCTACCCTACCAGTCTCCATGGGTGCCAGCCACTCTTGGACATTTTCTAGCAGGAAATGGTGGGCCAGTTGCTGGTTGCCCACTTGGGCTGATTTTAGTCCAGGAGTAGTAAGTTGCTGACCAATCTTTTGTTAGATTCTGCTTGAGGAACAACCTCACTCACTGTATCCAGGATCCTGGCTTATACTGAGTGAAATCACTGATCATGGAAGAAAGTTCCTACTTCTTCATTTACTGCATAGTTATTCTATGGATCTCATTCCCACAGGAGTCAGTGATGGCCACCAATTTGGATGGCTTTTAAAAAGCATTAGACCAATTCATGGAACAGAGATGACAGCTGTCTTCTGCCTCACCGTTTCTGAATACAAGTTGCTGGAAGCCACAGGAGGGGAGAGTATTCTTGTGCTCGAATCTTGCTTGCTGGTTTCTCACAGGCATTTGGTTGGCCACTGTGTACTCTTAAATTATTATTTTAAAAGTTGTGTCGTGGTGCCACCTTCTGGCTCCCCGGGATCTATTCATGAGGAGCGTCGGCAATATTAACATGATGCGCTACTGTATTCTCAAGTTCCAAATGCTACCAAAATCACAACAATTCATGTATCTCTGAGGCAAAGGGCTGTTTTCGGTCACAGTGCAAATTCTAGGAGACCTCTTCCTGTGGTTGGGTGATTTAAATGTTCTCCTAGCCTTTTAACAGACTGGGAAACATGAAGTGGGGACAGGAAAACTGTGGTCCTCCAAATGTTTTCAGACTCCAGCTCCCATAATCTCTGATCACTGGCTATGCTGTCTGGGGCTGATGGGAGTTTGAGTCAACATCTGGAGACATGGATTCTTCATGCTTGATATAAAGGCTCCCCTAGGCAATGATTCCATGCCACCCTAATGTACTCGTGTACATTTACATACTTTATTGCTGGATCTTCTGATATTTTGGTCCAAGTCTGGTTTAACGATCCATAAGAGGAGAGAGCAGCCACTTGCCGGGAACTGGCAGTTGAGTATGCACTGGGGGAAGGGGGGCTGGAGTCTGACTTGGGGGGGGCAGTGATTTGTGGGGAACTGTACCAGCCAGAAGACCAGGAGAGTCAGAAGGAGAGGACTCTCCAACTCTGGAGCACAGGATGGGTTGGAAGAAGAGGAGGAAGAGTCAGGCAAGTGAAGGGCTGGGTGCTTTCCCATCCTCTCCTGCACCACTGTCTCCCAGAACTACGAGGGGATTGAAGAGGGAAAATAAAAGGAAGCTTCCACACAGGCATAGTCTCCCCTGTTGCTGCAAATGCTGTATAGAGCACAAATTGGGGAATAGCTGCCTGGACGTTAGACTAGTGTGTGGGGGTATTCAGACAATAGAGTTAACTATCTGCTGTGTGCATTCCTTTGGTTGGGGAATGACCTTGACAGCAGCTATAAGTCGGTCATCTTCAATTAGCACCTGGACCGTAGACTGAGCAGGCACATGGGTGACATGAGGTGCTTCCAGACTGTACTCCCCCCAACTTCCATTTCTGGTTTGTTACATCGAATGCTACATCTGGCTGTTTTTACATAATGGTCTGTTATCACTAATTATATTTCTTGTTCTCTGTAAATAAAGTTGTAAATGTTTATTTAAATCCTGCCAATGAGTCTATTTTTTGTTGTTGATTCTGCAAGTATGTTGTAAAGGGTTCCTATTCTTTTCCAAAATCGCTATTGTCCTTTTCATGCAATTTGTCCGTTAATTTGGCCAGTTCTGCATAGTTCATCAGTTTTTCTTGCCATTGTTCTTTAGATGGTATTTCTCCAGTCTTCCAGTTTTGTGCTATTAAGATTCTTGCTGCCATAGTCGTGTATATTAATAATGTCCGATTTTCCTTTGGCATTTATTGTCCTAGAATACCTAACAAAAAGGCTTCTGGTTTCTTCACAAAAGTTAATTTAAACATTTTTTCCCCAATTCATTATATTTCATATATTTTTAAAAATAATCTTACAATCCCATCACATGTGATAAAATGTTTTCAGATGGGATTAAATCAAGTGCTGGGATAGCTCAGTCAGTAGAGTGTGAGATTCTTAAACCTAAGGTCGTGGGTTTGAGCCCCACATTGGGCAAAAGATGCCTGCATTTCAGAGGGTTGGGGTCCCATCCAACTTACAATTCAATGATAAACTTTGTGGTGCTGTTACAGCTGATGGGGAGGCTCTTCTCCAAAAGATCTTATTGCAAGAAGGAAAGTGACCAGAAAATGCACTGCAAAGTATAGATAACACTTGCTTTGACACAAGGTTATCCAATCACCTGCTTAACAAACAGCAGAGGTCTTCTAACATCTCCACAAACTTTGTGCAAACAGATCTAGATGAATGTTCAATAAACAAATTGTCTAGCAGCCCAGCTCAGCATATGTTCACTCAAAAACAACAAATCCCACAGAAAGCAATAGGGCTTTCTATCCCTAGTGCTAAGTTTGATTTGTTTCAAAGAATTTCCCATAAAAACTGCAAAAAGACCAATAGGAATTATAGTGTGGTGGCACCATCCTTTAGAACTCCCTCTCATTACATACCAGACGTGTATTAGATGACACAGGGTTTTGTTCTTGATTTTATTGCCTTTTAGTGGGCTGGGTCTGTTTTTATATACAGTATGGCTAGAATGATAGAATTGTAGAGTTTGAAGGGACCCAAAGGCTCACCAAGTCCCAGCACCCCTGCAATGCAGGAATCTCAGCTAAAGCATCCATGACAGATGGCCATTCAACCTCTGCTTTAAAACATCCAAGGAAGGAGAGTCCACAACCTCCTGAGGGAGACCATTCCACGGCCAAACAGCTCGTAGTGTTTGGAAGTATTTCCTGATATTTAGTAGGAATCTTCTTTCTTGTAACTTGAAGCCACCGGTTCGAGTCCTACCCTCCAGACATGGGTGTAGACAAAGTTGTTGAGCTTTTTTAGGAGATCACCTGCCCTGCCCCCAAAAGCTGTTGGGGGGCAGGCATCTGCTGTGGGGTGGGTGGGTGGGTCAGAACCACAGTTAATAGCGTACTTTCAATGCTCCCCTGCCCATCACCCCTTGGCTATGCCCACGCCTCCTTGAGATATTTGAATATGGCTATCCTATCTCGTCTCAGTCTCCTTTTCCCCAGGCTGAACACCCAACCCCTTCAACCAATTTCTTACAAGGCTTGGTTTCCAGAGCCTTGGTCATCTTGGCCACCCTCAGGAGCAGGAGAAAAACAAGCTTGTTCCCTCTTCCGTGGGGCAGCCCTTGAGATATTTGAAGATGGCTCTCCTATCTCATCGTTTGTGTAGTTGTCTATATCCTAGTACTTATGTATTTTAGGCTCTTCTTTCTTCTCTTTAATGCACAGTTTTTGTAAGCTGTTCTGAGTTTCGTTTCTGGGATGGGGAAAAAACCTAATAAATAATAACAACATTTTCATTTGTTGAGATTTGTAAAAATGTTACATGGAAAAATACGAGAGACATTACACATACTTCTGTAAAACAAGAAAATCTTTAATAAATAACAACAACAACAACAACAACAATAATAATAGAATATGTGTTTTTGGCAGTTCTATCCTCCTCCTCAATGCCTGGTTTTTGTAAACTGCTCTGGGTGCTGTTTCTGGGATGGGGGAAAAAACCCCTAATACAGTCATACCTCTTGTTATGTTCGGTTCGGGTTACGTCTTTTCAGGTTGCGTCCCGCGGCAACCTGGAAGTACCGGAAAGGGTTACTTCTGGGTTTTGCCGCTCGCGCATGCGCAAAACCGGTGAATCGCAACCTGCGTGTGCGCAGATGCGGGTTGTGTCCCTTTCAGGTTGCAAATGGGGCTCCGGAATGGATCCCGTTTGCAACCAGACGTACCACTGTAAATAATAATAATAGCACATGTGTTTTTGGCTGTTCTATTCTTCTCCTTAATGCCCGGTTTTTGTAAGTTGCTCTGAGTTTCATTTTTGGGATGGGGAAAAACCTAATAATTAATTAATAATAATAATAATAATAGATAAAAATAAAAATAGCACCTATGTGTTTTAGGCTGCTCTATCCTCCTCTTTAATGCCCGGTTTTTGTAAGCCGCTCTGAGTTTCCTTTTCGGGGTGGTGGTGGGGAAATCTAATAAATAATAATAATAATAATACTGTAATAATAATAGATAAAAATAAAAATAGCACTTATGTGTTTTAGGCTGTTCTATCCTCCTTCTTAATGCCTGGTTTTTGTAAGCTGCTCTGAGTTTCATTTTTGGGATGGTGAAAAACCTAATTAATAATAATAATAATAAAAGATAAAAATAAAAATAGCACCTATGTGTTTTAGGCTGTTCTATCCTCTTTAACGCCCGGTTTTTGTAAGCCGCTCTGAGTTTCGTTTTCGGGATGGGGGAAAAAAACCTAATAAATAATAATAATGTCAGAATAAAAATAAAAAGGATAAAAATAACTTCTCCCCGCAGCGCCTGGCTCTCCCTCTAGATCCCAGCCCGGCCGCCTCCTCCTCCGCCTCCCTGCCCGGCGCCTTAGCCCTCCTGGAGGCGGCGAGCGGCCTTCTCCGCCGACCGAGGCGGCCCGGAAGTGCGCGCTGAGGCGGCAGCGGCGGCTGGCAGGCCGGCGTCTCTTCTCCCTGGGCCGGGGCGTCAGGCTCGGGGCCTCCTCTTCCGGGCTGCGACAGCGGCCCCGGGCAGCCGTGGCGCCGGCCCGGGCATGAGCGACGTGGTGGAGCGGACGCTGAGCGCCTTGCCCGGCTTGCTGGGGCAGCACGAGCCGGGGGCTGGGCTGGGCGGCGGCGGGGGACCCGGCCGGAGCTCGGCCACCTCTCGCCTCGGCGGCCTCATCCGGAGCATCACCGCGCTCGCCTCCAAACATGTACGCGGGGCTTGGGGCTGCGGGGCCTGGTTTGCCTCCTTGGGAACCGGCGGGGCTTTGCTTCCGAGTAGGCGAGGCCTTTGCTCGGCTTCCACCCGCAGCCGGGCTCGGGTCCCTTGTCAGCGCGGAGGAAATCTGGGGGATGGGTAGGGTGCGGCGAGAGTGCCTCTGGGCATGCACAGAGTGCCCCACGGTGCTCCTCGCCTCAGGACGCGGCCGAGGGCGAGCCTCCTTCAGCAGCGTCCTCGGAAGTTTGCATGTATGAAACGGCTTTGTTTTGGCAGCGTTTGGGTGGCAATATCGTGATGTTTTACGTGGCTTTTTAATTATTATTCATTCATTTATTATTATTTATTGAGTTCATATACCGCTCTATACCCGGAGGTCTCAGGGCGGTTCACAGAAAAGATCGCAGCGTCAGAATAAAAACAACCCAATAACAGAATAAATAACAGAATAAAAATCAGAATAAAAACAACCCAATAACAGCCCCCCACCCAGAAAAGAGCCACATTTTAAAAGGGTGTACAGGATGTCAAACAGATTATTTTATTATCGTTTACATATCATATTGTGGAAGTTTATGGAGTAATTTGCCAATCTTGGGGAATTTTTTTTAAAAAATAAGATGCTTGCAACTTTTGAGGTGGGGAACGGTTGAATTAGGTTTTGTGGATTAGAAAGAGAGTTTAGTGCAGTAAAACAAGCACATCTTATCCGCTGTTATCAGTAGTGGGGTGGTAATTTTTTTGTTTTTAGGGAGTGCTTCTTTCTTTCTGCCCCTGACTGGCGCAAAATAAAGAATTTGAGACCAAAAAACAAAAACAAAAATCAAGGTGGGGGGAGGTACCCCAGGGTGTGTGCAGATGGAGAATATGATTCTAGGTTAGGAGGAATCCAAAAAGGGAATCCCTAGTTTATCAGGGCAGCAAGGGCAACTCGTCCTGTTGATCAGATGTGGGGCACTTAAGTTCCTGGGAGGGTTGCAGGTTTGAGGCCAAAGAAGGAAGAATATGACCTGTTAGATAGCTCCCAGAAAAGCAAGTATCTTAAAAAAACCTAACAAGATTGGAATGAACATTGCAAATTTGCAAACGTGACCAGGATGCTCTGTTTCAGCATTTCATACTGTCAAAACTGGTTATTTAAAAAGTTTGGTTCTTCGAAGTTTAGCCGTGATTCAGGCAAAGTTAGGCATTCTTTCATGCGCCTTGATTTCAGCGAGAGTTTTTACCAGTGCTTTTTTCTGGGAGGACGCAGGGGTACGCATACCCCTAAACATTTGGAGAATCTAAGTTTGGCCTCATTGAGGGGCAGTATTTCAATATGAGTAGGAAAATGAGAGTACCCATAAACATTTTTTTTAGGAAAAAAGCACTGGATCTAGGCATGTGTTTAACTTCCCATTGACAGCAGAAAATTGTTAAGGACATTATGGTAGGATGCATCAACAGATATGCAATAAGAGTATTATTATTTTTTTAAAAATGAAATATTGTGTTGCATTGTGAACAACTTTTTGACATCTAGATGGTGTGCTTAAAAAAACAGACCCAACTATATGCGGAAGTCCAATGTAATTGTATACACTATTGATGTATAGATGTCAAGAAAATAGGAATATTTTTTGGCTGACATATGTGACAAAGTGCCTTTTGTTTTATAGTTTTATGTCTAGTGAAGTAGTAAGTATTTACAAAATGCTTTAAATTTTTTCTTTACTAGGAGGAAGAAAAACTAATCCAACAGGAATTAAATAATTTAAAAGCAACAGTTTCTGCACCCACTACAACACTGGTAAGTTGTAAAAGAGAAATGCCAATTCTGCCTGTCCTAGCGTTTGAACGATTTTTGCTCGTGGCGTATATGTTCCATGAGATATTCCACTAGAGCAGGGATGGGGAACCTTTGGCCCTCTTGATGTTGCTGGATTGCACCTGCCATCATCTACAACAGTAGAGTGTTGGTTTGAGGCTGGCAGGGAGTTGAAATCCATCAACATCAGGAGGGCCAATGGTTCCCCATGCCTGTTGTTGCTGCCACCCGTCTTTCTTGAGAGACAATGGAGTGTACCTCCAGGAGTGAAGTCAAACTGCTGCACCGAAGTGACTTCCACGGGGCGCAAGCCTGGGCAGTGTGCATGGAGGTCCTGGGCCCTCTTCTTGGCTTTGCTGATGGAAAGCAAAGCAATATGGCTCCAGCTTGGCTGCAGGAGTTGCTGAAAGGCGCCATCCACCCACCTTAGGGACTACACTCCAAATTTGTGTAGGACTTACTCCTTAGACTTTACTTCTCCCGCAAGGCATCAGAGGTTTAGGATCAGAGTTTAGGACCAGAGATTTAGGATGAGATCTACAGTGGACGCTTGGGTTGTGAACGTGATCCATGCGGGAAACACGTTCGCAACCTGCAGCGCCGCGTGTGCACACGCACGGGTTGTGATTCGGCGCTTCTGCGCAGGCATGACCACCGAAACCTGCAAGTACAGTGGTACCTCGGGTTACTTAATTCGTTCCGGAGATCCGTTCTTAACCTGAAACTGTTCTTAACCTGAAGCATCACTTTAGCTAATGGGGCCTCCTGCTGCCGCCGCGCCGCTGGAGCACAATTTCTGTTCTCATCCTGAAGCAAAGTTCTTAACCCGAGGTAATATTTCTGAGTTAGCGGAGTCTGTAACCTGAAGTATATGTAACCTGAAGTGTATGTAACCTGAAGCATATTGAACCCGAGGTACCACTGTAACCCGTTCTGGTACTTCCGTGTTTTGACGCGTCCGTAACCCGAAAAAACGCAACCTGAAGCGTCTGTAACCAGAGGTATGACTGTAGTTAGACCTACCCTAAGCTATTTATCATAGTGGTGCAGTGGGACCTCTCTTGAATCCTATAGCTCTCCAACTGATGAATCTTCAGAATAGGATTGCACTCACTGTAATGTTAAAGAAAAGCTTGAAAATGGGGGGGGGGGGGGAGCTTAACGGAATCACAGCCTTAACCAGAGCAGGATTGAATAGTGAAAGTGCTCCCATGATTTTAAAAAGAAGATACCAGAAGTGGTCCTTAGTCTTTGCCATCTGTGGGTAATAGCTCCCGTGCCACATTCAGATAGTAGCAAATAATTGCTTCTTCTTTTATTTTTTGGTGTTGTATACAGCTTGCTAATTGTTTGCTGGAATTCATTAGCATTGTTAATGTTGATGCTCTTTGTAGAACTAGCACTTGAGAAGCCCACTTATTTCAGTTTGTGATTTGCTTCTTGCATTTCAGAAATTGATGAAGGAATGCATGGTGAGGCTGATCTATTGTGAGATGCTGGGCTATGAGGCCTCTTTCGGATACATCCATGCCATCAAGTTGGCACAACAAGGAAACCTTTTTGAGAAAAGGGTCGGTACGTATTCCAAAGCATCACGTGACAGTATGCTGCTCATCAAAACTCATGTATAGCTCTGGTTGTCTTAGGACTGTGGCAGGTTCACTGGAACGCAAGAACTGAGCAGGTTGGTCCATAATAAGTCCTTTACTACCCATGATTTGTGGGATGCGGGTGGCGCTGTGGGTTAAACCAGAGCCTAGGACTTGCTGATCAGAAGGTTGGTGGTTCGAATCCCCGCAACAGGGTGAGCTCCCGTTGCTCGGTCCCTGCTCCTGCCAAAATAGCAGTTCGAAAGCATGTCAAAGTGCAAGTAGATAAATAGGTAAGGTACCTTCCGGCGGGAAGGTAAACGGCGTTTCCGTGCGTTGCTCTGGTTCGCCAGAAGCGGCTTAGTCATGCCGGCCACATGACCCGGAAGCTGTACGCCGGTTCCCTGAGCTAATAAAGCGAAATGAGCGCCGCAACCCCAGAGTCGGCCACGACTGGACCTAATGGTCAGGTGTCCCTTTACCTTTACTTACCCACGATTTAATTATGGATGATGGAGCCCAAAGTGGTAGATCATAAGAACTAGGCAGTACCTCCAGATTCAGTGAAGTCTTCTTAAACAGAGGGTGGAGCACCACCACCTATTTATGGGTAGTTTCTTCCTGCAGAGAAACATTAACCACTCCTTGGCCTATAAATCTTGTCCCGCTAGCTGGAGAAGCAGGCACCTCCCCCCACATCCCCATGGGCCAAATTTTAAGTAGTCAGTTTTATGATAGTATAAAATGCTGAAACAAAGCTTGCAAATCCGCAAACTTCCTTTGCTGTAATGCAGTGTTTCCCAAACTTGAGTCTCCAGCTATTTTTGGACTACAATTCCCCTCATTCCTGACCACTGGTCCTGCTAGCTAGGGATGATGGGAGTTGTAGTCCAACAACAGCTGGAGACCAAGTTTGGGAAACACTGCTCTAATGGACTAGGTTTTGCTTTTCACTGTTACTCTCCAGTAGCTACCCTTGTGGCATACTGTTGGGAGATTCCAGAAAGGCAAACTAATATTAAATATTAATATTAAAATAACTAATATTTATCTTGGCCTTGGCCCTGTATACTTGAAGGAGTGTCTCCACCCTCATTGTTCATCCCGGACACTGAGGTCCAGCTCTCAGGGCCGCCTGGCAGTTCCCTCACTGCGCAAGGTGAAGTTACAGGGAACCAGGCAGAGGGCCTTCTTGGCAGTGGCGCCCGCCCTGTGGAACACCCTCCCATCAGATGTCAAGCCGATAAATAACTATGCAACTTTTAGAAGACATTTGAAGGCAGCCTTGTATCAGGAATTTTAAAATGTTTGATGTTTTATTATATTTTTATATGTATTGGAAGCCACCCAGTGTGGCTGAGGCATAAAGAATAATAATAATAATAATCATATTAATAGTAGTTGTTTTCATTATTGAATAGTATAATAATATTTTTTTAAAAAAAACCAATTTTTGCCTTTTTGTTTCTCAGACAGTTTGTTATTTAGATTTTCCAAAACACAAGCATTTTGTGTTTTGGGAAAACCATAAGCTGTTCTGAGCTTGCAAGTCAGAGCATGACAGAAATGGAATACAAATAATTTGGAACACCTGATATAGGTTAATCTTTCTTTTCTTTTAGGTTATCTGGCAGTTTCTCTATTTCTTCATGAAAACCACGAACTGCTGCTTCTGCTTGTGAATACAGTTGTGAAGGTAACAGTTTTGTGGGAAGTTTGGAGGTAAACATCACACTGACCTCAGGCCTGAGTTGTTCTCCTTTAAAAAAAGAAAAACTTTAATTCAAAACCCTCATATGATGTATTTATTAATAAACTCCTTTCTTCAATCTGTTATATCCGAAAATCAATAAAATGTGGTAAAAAACCCTCGTTTCCCAGCCAGGACCTTAAGAAGAACACAAGGGCAATGTGCAAGGTTGTTTCTGCTTGTTCTTAGGCCTTCTCAGTTCCCCCCTTCTGGAAGGCCTGAAGATCCTTGGTGAAATTCCTTTCTGAGAATCCCAACGGCTCTCCAATGGCTCTCCATAGTGGCATTCTGCATAGTATGACGGGCTGTCATTGGAGAATAAAATAGGTTACCCCCCACCCCATTCTTCATTCTTCTCTGTATGTGTGTGTGTGTGTCTGCCTGTGTCTGTGTCTGTGTGTCTTCTAATTGCTCTTTTGTGATTGTTAAACAAAAACCAAAATGGCTTCTGGCTCCTTTCCTCATCATATTCAGGTAGATTATTTGGGTCTGTGGGACTTTTCTTTTGAGTACAATGCAGCTATTGAGACACATAATTTTTGTGTTGGTTCCTGCAACCCCTCCCCATTCAAAAAAATCTGTTCTAAGCCCAGTGACAATCAAACCAGTGCTGTGGGACTTTTTTTGTTGTTGATGCAAAAAAATAAAATCCAAAAAGAGAAAGGTTTAGTAATTATTCATTTAAGACGTTTATTAACGCCCCACCCTTCAGCCAAAATAACTCTGGGAGTGGCTTACAAAAACCAGTACTAAGACAGTCCTTGCTCTAGCTCGTAATCTAAAATGACACGGCATGCAAGGAAAAAGGAATTGGGCAGGAGGAGGGAAAAGCAAGCTCATCAAGTAACAGTTTTCACAAAGCAGTTACATAGTTTTGTCAGTGGGGATTCTGGCTGTCTGGAAGAGCAGCAGCTTTTCGCTGACGTTAGTGGTGGTTTTGTCTTGATAAAGAGTGGTCTCTTGTTGGAAGCACTCTTCTCCGCCATCCCCCAAGTTCAAGAGGAAGGCAGGTGACAATATCCAGGCCAAGAGGACAGGGCAGCTCTTGCCACACAGTTCTTCTCTCAGGCAGCAGAATCGATGGTTGAGATCTCTCAGGAGGAGACTCGATGGTGTTGTCCCCTGTTGTCAGTGGTGGTTCCCCTTCCTAGCCACACTGCTCTTCCACTTGAAATTGCAGTTCCAGGGAACAATCTTATTCTTGATCCACTTGCTGAGAGGCTGTGGGATATATAGCAATGCCCCCTGCCCCAATGCCCTTGCCACATGAGATAATACAGACACGACGTCAGACAGGTCTGCTGAATCAGGCCAGTGTAGTGCAACATCCTGTTCTCACCGTGGCCTATGGGATGTGCAGGTGTAATGGCACAACAGCCAAGATGGGACAGAGGCCTGGACCAGGGATGTGAGTTGGTTGGAGGAGGAGCAGACTTTCCAAATCCTGTACCCCTTCAGGTCCTGGTAAAGGTAAAGAGACCCCTGACCATTAGGTCCAGTCGTGACCGACTCTGGGGTTGCGGCGCTCATCTCGCTTTATTGGCCGAGGGAGCCGGCATACAGCTTCCGGGTCATGTGGCCAGCATGACTAAGCCGCTTCTGGCGAACCAGAGCAGCGCAAGGAAATGCCATTTATCTTCCCGCCAGAGCGGTACCTATTTATCTACTTGCACTGGTGTGCTTTCGAACTGCTAGTTTGGCAGGAACAGGGACTGAGCAACGGGAGCTCACCCCGTTGTGGGGATTCGAACCGCCGACCTTCTGATCGGCAAGTCCTAGGCTCTGTGGTTTAACCCACAGCGCCACCCACGTCCCTTACTCAGGTCCTGGACATGCTCTCCAAATAGCCGCAAAAGGAGGTGGTCACATGGGTTGCTAAAGAGGAAGTGTGAGTCAAAAAAGGCTAATCGCCCCACGCAGGAGCCATAATATTGGCTCATGGTTGGTTCACTGTCCTATACCCAAAGCCGAAGAGCCTCTCCCCACCTTTTGTAGTATGATGCTGTAGCTTGGATTCAAACCTGGCAAATTTGAGTCTTAACAAGAGTGTTGATTATGGAAGTAAAAATTGTAAACAGGTTCTGTTTGTTTGTTTGTGTTTGTTTGTTTTGAAAGTACGGTGGTACCTCGAGTTACAAACGCCTCAGGTTACAAACGCTTCAGGTTACAAACTCCGCTAACCTGGAAGAGTTACCTCGAGTTGAGAACTTTGCCCCAGGATGAGAATGGAAATCGTGTACCTGCGGCGCAGTGGCAGCAAGAGGCCCCATTAGCGAAAGCATGCCTCTACTTAAGAACAGTTTCAGGTTAAGAACAGACCTCCGGAATGAATTAAATTTGTAACTAGAGGTACCATTGTGCATTATGAGAGATCTTAACTTGAGGGGGAAGTTAACGGCTTTGTTTTCATGTGTCTTGACAGGATTTGCAGAGTACTAACCTCCTGGAAGTGTGTATGGCTCTGACTGTGGCAAGCCAAATCTTTCCGCGGGAAATGATTCCAGCTGTCCTTCCGCTAATAGAAGATAAACTTCAGCATTCAAAGTATGTCTTTGCTTACAAAATTCTAGGAAACCTGAGTTCAGTTTCAGAACTGTGATATAAGCATGGATCTTAAGATATGTCTGGATGAAACAATAGTATAGTTGGCTGCCAATCAGGTGCACTGATTTGTCTCTTCTAGGGAAATTATCAGAAGAAAAGCAGTCCAAGCGTTGTACAAGTTCTACCTTATTGCTCCCAACCAAGTTCAGCACATCCACGACAAGTTCCGGAAGGCACTTTGCGACAGGGATGTGGGAGTTATGGCTGCTTCGTTGCACATCTATCTCCAAATGGTGAAGGTGGGGATCTTAAACAGCAACAGCACTGGATAACCATGTACTGCATCGAAAAACACCTAGCAGCACACTTGTTCCACTGGGAAATTGTTTTGCACCAGTGGAATTTCTTTGCACAAGAGAGTGCACACACAGCTGCTGCTAATTTTATTGTGCAAGAGACCCCACAATGTGCCATGCGACAAGTTTCCACTAGCACAGGGGCGGGAAAGCTTTTGAGCTCCATTTGGCTCAGGATCAGCCTTGTGGGCCAAATTTTACAGATGGACGGGACAGCCTACCTTCCATTTACATGATGTCACATGATTGACACATGGATGACCCCCGCCTGCCTCTTAAAATCCCTTGCACAGGATTCCCAAGTGCCTGGCAGCCAGCTGGGAACATGCAGCCGCTTCAAATCCTTCTTTGCTGTTTGCAAAGCGCTTTCTGACAGTCCCCTTTGCTCATGTTTCAGCCTCTACGGGGTCAATGGCCTTAAGCCCTTTGCAAAATTGCCCTTTGAAACACCTGTCCCCCTACTTTGGACATTGATGTTTAAAGGAAAAGAGGTACAGCAGCTTCAAAAAGTGCTTTTTGCAAAGGGTTTTCAGGCAGCTCCTCCACCGCTCCTGTTTGAGCCTCTGGCAGCTGGAACAGCAGCATTGGGGCTGTTTAAAGAACTTTGCAAAAAGTACTAAGTAATTATTTGAAGTTGCTCTGCATTTATTCAAGTCGGGTGGGGGGATCCTTGCTCCTCTTGCCCACCTGCCTGCTTAAAGGAGAAGCTTTGAGCTGTTTCAGAGTGCTTTTGCAAAGGGCTTTAACTCTCACCATTCAGCTCATGAATGGGGATTAAATCCTGTTCCCTGTTTGGGACGGTGTGGAGCCAATGCAGTATTAAACTGTCCTCCCACCAGCCTGATGGGCAAGTGGATGTGGTCTGGGGGAAATGGCATTACTGGCCAAATAGGGCATCTTGATGGGCCAAGACTGATCTCCTGGCCAGAGGTTTACCACCCCTGCACTAGTGCAAATGTTGACTTGGATTCCACTTGTGGACATCATTACAACTCATCAATGTGCAAGATATTTTGCCAGCAGACATAGAATGCTGGACACTGCACAATATGACCTGGGCTTATGCCTTCAGTGAAGTGACCAAGAGAAACCTTAACTGTGCATCAGCATTGCAGCATTTCTGTCTGCTCAGGCCAGTGTTTGTGCACTTCTGACATATTATTATACGAAAAGCTGCCTTCTACTGAGTCAGACCATTGGCCCATCTCATTCAGTATCGCTTGCACTGGCTTGCAGCAGCTCGCCAGCGTTTTGGCTAGGGTCTCTCCCAACCCTAGCAGGAGATGCTGGAGTTGAACCCGGGACCTTTTGATGGGCGTAATGAGTTTCTTTTGCACATTTTTGTGCTTCTTGGCTGTATTTTATTTTGATTTTTAAAATAGGGGGAAAAAACATTGCATGAAAAAGCAAGGAGAGACAAATGAGTAAGTGAAACATTAATAGCTTTTGTTTCTGTTTCTATAAGGTCTCTCTGTGTTTTGTCTCTTTGTCTAGGAAAACTCTTCTGGATACAAAGACTTGACTGGCAGCTTTGTCGCTATTCTAAAGCAGGTAGTGGGAGGAAAACTCCCTGTAGACTTCAATTATCACAGTGTGCCAGCTCCTTGGTTACAAATCCAGCTTCTAAGAATATTGGGGCTGCTTGGAAAAGATGATCCAAGGTAGACTTTCTCTTCTTGGCTTGAACTTTTCAACAGTTCACGCTGGTCCCTCTCACTTTGTTACCGTACTCCCATGAAACAAAAAATAAAACAATAAGTTTTGCAAGGGGCAGGGTTTGCCATCTGTTCCTCAACCGTTGACGCGGCTCATTCTTTGCGCTGCTCCAGTAATGATATGAAGGTCCCCCCTTAAAACGATCATAAGGGGTGGTTGGACTACATGACTGAGATCGTGAGGCTAATTTTGTGCTAAAAAACATTGTTCCTTCTCTCTTTGTAACAGGACCAGCGAATTAATGTATGATGTTCTGGATGAATCTTTAAGGAGAGCGGAGATAAACCATAACATTACGTATGGTAGGTTACAGCACATTTCCTAAACGAAGGATATAGGGCAGATTTCAGTGCCTGAACTAACCTTTGCAGGAAGCGAGTCTGGGGAACTAAGGCGGATAGCGGTGACAAGAGATGAAATTCTAGGCTTGCCATCAAAAGACATGAGAATACCTGAGAGATCATTCCGTAAGCAGACTTTCTGGGTGATTATCACTGTTGAGCATTAGCAAGCAGGGGAACTCAGAAAAGAACCTCAGAAGGTCTTAACACATGGATTAATGTGGTCCTTTAAAGGTACCCATACATAGATCGGAAGGTAACTAAGGGTGTTTCAGAATGTAAGAAATGCATTCCTGAAGCAGCTAGCCTATCCTTCAAATACATCCAGTAGAAATGGAACATGGAGTGCTAGAAATATAAAAATCCACATGCTCAGGAGTGCTTTCAACAAAGGCCACAGCACCAAAGTTCTGATGTCTCTATAAACTAATGAGACTTGTTTAATATTCATGTGCCTATTTGTTTTTACAGAAACTATCATTTTCTTTTTCATTGATCTTCTTGCAGCAATCTTGTTTGAATGTGTCCAGACAATTTACACAATTTACCCTAAATCTGATCTACTTGAGAAGGCCGCCAAATGCATTGGAAAATTTGTCCTGTCGCCTAAAATTAATTTGAAATATTTGGGTAAGTTCTCCCGATTGTCACAACCCTGTGCGTTTGATGCCGAATGCCCGTGTTTTCAGCTTGCATTCTTTGCAGTAACTTTTCTTTCTAGGATTAAAGGCCCTAACATATGTTGTCCAGCAGGATCCTGCCCTAGCACTGCAGCACCAAATGACAATAATTGAGTGCTTGGATCATCCTGATCCCATTATTAAAAGAGAGGTAAGTGGAATTTTAACAAGCACAATCTTTAGTAATAAATTTCAAATTGGTATTCTCTTAATATTGCTCCCCCATTGTGGGGATTTGTGATATTTACTGTAAGAATGACAGCTTCCCATGTTTGTGCGGGATATAATGTGCATATTAGATGGTTTTGAAAGAAGTTATCATTCCTCTTTAACTTCTGACATAAAGATATTGAGCAAAATGAAAAATGTTACCTTTAGACTGATTTAGTGCCAGCATAGCAAGATACCCATCTGGAACTAATGACTACTTTTGTATCTGGGAGTGTACTGGTCTGTTCTTTCCATTAGGAGTAGCCAATCCATGAATGCAAAATAAAAATGAAATAAAATTGTTAGTATAGATTGGGTTTCTAGCTGAAAAGAAAAAAACCCTTGTGAACCAGAGTACATGCAGATTTCTAGGTGAGGTTGTCGCCTGCAGTCCAGTCCAGTGGTACCTTGATTTGCATATGTTTTGGATTACAAACATGTCAAACCTGGAAGTGCGTGTCCCGGTTTGCAACCATTTTTTTGGATTACAACCCATTTTTTTATTATTACGAACCAATTTTTTTTGGAGACCCCAATGGCGAAAGCGTACCTTGAGTTACAACCTGTTTTGGTTTACAAATGGACCTCCGGAACAGATTATGGTTGTAAACCAAGGTAACACTGTATTCCATGTGTGTTGTGTGGACACAAGCACATGCAGTTGCAAACTTGTGTAAAAAGGTACAGTCATACCTCGGGTTGAAGTAGCTTCGGGATAAGTATTTTCGGGTTGCACGCTGCGGCAACCTGGAAGTAACGGAGTGCGTTACTTCCGGGTTTCGCCGCTCACGCATGCACAGATGGTCAAAATGACATCATGTGCATGCGCAGAAGCAGTGAATCACAAATCGCGACCCGCGCATGCGCAGGTTGCATTCGCTTCTGGATGTGAACGGGGCTCCGGAGCGGATCCCGTTTGCATCCAGAGGTACCACTGTAAAGGTAAAGGGACCCCTGACCATTAGATCCAGTTGTGGCCGACTCTGGGGTTGCGGCGCTAATCTCGCTTTATTGGCTGAGGGAGCCGGCATACAGCTTCCGGGTCATGTGGCCAGCATGACTAAGCCGCTTCTGGCGAACCAGAGCAGCTCACGGAAATGCCATTTACCGGCGAAGTGGTACCTATTTATCTACTTGCACTTTGATGTGCTTTCGAACTGCTAGGTTGGCAGGAGCAGGGACCGAGCAAGGGGAGCTCACCCTGTTGCGGGGATTCGAACCACCGACCTTCTGATCGGCAAGTCCTAGGCTCTGTGGTTTAACCCACAGCGCCACATGAATGTCTCAGCAGCGTGATTTCTGAAGTTCCCTTGCTGATGCATATGCATTTTTCAGTATGCTTACTTCCTTGTGTTTCCTCAACCAGAGCTCTAACAGGAACCATTTCTGTTGTTTCTATGAGGGAGTTCATGCAGGAAACGTTCGTTCTTATGCATTTCCTTTATGGTTCCATGTTAACCCATTCTTAAAGCTCTGTAAATGTTAAGATGCATGGTACTTGTTTATTCAGAGCATGGCTTTGGTCATATTCACAACCCTGAAGCATGTTGCTTATTATGCTGCTGTTCTGTTTGGGGACAGCTAAACATTGGCATGGTTAACGTTTTTCTTTCTTCAGACATTGGAACTACTGTATAGAATCACCAACGGGCAGAATGTCACTGTCATAGTACAGAAGATGCTTGACTACCTTACTCAAAGTAAGGAGGAGTATACCATCATCAACATAGTTGGCAAAATAGCAGAATTAGCTGAAAAATATCCTTTGAATGCATCTGGAATGGTTACGTCATGAGTGTATTGCTTCTCCTAAATGTGCATTAGTAAGCTTTAAGAAAACACTGCAGAGAATTGCTGTATGGTTGTGGAAGTTCAGTTTTCCTTAATGTTTCCTGACACATATGCTCCTGACAATGAATGGTTCATCCAGACTATGAATGCAGTATTTTCCGTAGGAGGAGATAAAATGCACCCTGACATCCCAAACAGCTTCTTGCAGCTCCTTGCTGAAGGTGAGCATAATATACAAAATTAAGTAGCGGAAGTAGGGAGTAGTGTCATTTGTCTTTTATGGAGAAAACACACACACACACATCGCGAAAGAGAAATATATTGTGATGTCCTTTCTAGGTTTTGAAGATGCAAAGGAAGATAGCCAGCTGCGACTTCATGCTGTCCAGTCCTATCTTGCGCTGCTAGAGGATGAAAATGCAGTTTATCCACAGAAATTCCTTCAAGTAATGAGTTGGGTAAGAAAAGACACAGATTAGAAAGGAAAGATGGGAATTGTAGGGGCGCGGGTGGCGCTGTAGGGACGCGGGTGGCGCTGTGGGTTAAACCACAGAGCCTAGGACTTGCTGATCAGAAGGTCGGCGGTTCAAATCCCCGCGACAGGGTGAGCTCCTGTTGCTCGGTCCCTGCTCCTGCCAACCTAGCAGTTCGAAAGCACCTCAAAGTGCAAGTAGATAAATAGGTACCACTCTGGTGGGAAGGTAAACGGCGTTTCCATGCGCTGCTCTGGTTTGCCAGAAGCGACTTAGTCATGCTGGCCACATGACCCGGAAGCTGTACGCCGGCTCCCTCGGCCAATAAAGCAAGATGAGCATCGCAACCCCAGAGTCGGTCATGACTGGACCTAATGGTCAGGGGTCCCTTTACCTTTACCTTTATGGGAATTGTAGGTACAGCATAGGCAATTGAAATTTGAGTTGTGATAATATTTTAAGGGAAGTTGAGACATGGTTGTCTGTGTGTAAATGGTCATTTGTTTCACACAGTGACAGGATGCTGTTCTTTTATTTAGCTGTCGGCAGGGGGCATCATTGGGCCAAGGTTAAGCGCTTCATAATTCCACTGATTTCACTGTGAGACTTAAGCATGTGTTTCCGCTTCTCACACCTCCAGCATTAAATTGCCGAATTCCCAGCATGGCTGAAAAGTGATAAACTGAAACTAAGAGGGCTGCTGCCTTGCTAGAGGAGTGGTCTTCATGCTTTTCTAAGAAGCTTGAGTTTCCAAAAAAAGGAAGTCCTTCTGTTTTGCACTGATAAGATTAAAATTTGTGTGGTTTTTATTTTTTTAAGGACCAGGAACAAGAAGGTTTGTGAGAAAACCCCCCAAATCTATTTTTTTTAATATCCTTTGTTTCATAGATCATGATTTTTCAAGGGCTGAGACAGTTCTTTCACACCTAGGGACAAGTGTTTCTGTGTTTGACAGCTGCATGCTTAATTATTATTTTTAAAAATAAATTATAACAATCATATGCCACCCAATAAAATGTGACATTTTTAGTAACCTGTTCCATGATCAGTTTTCAGTATGGTTGGCAACCTGTGGTTTTTCAGTAGATTGCCTTGTTTTTACTAGACAACTACATTTCTGAGGTCAGCTTGTATGACCAATAAGAAACAAGAAGTTGCCTTATACCAAATCAGATCATTGGTTCATCTGGCTCAGAATTGTCAAGACTGACTGGCAGCATCCCTGCAGGACTTCAGAGAGGGATTGTGTGAAATCATTATGCCTTTTGTAACTACACTGTGACTTGTTTTTAACTTTGTTTTGAAAATATTTGCTGCTGAATGTTCTCAGTGGGACTGCAGTCATGTACTTTGAGCTGTGTTAAATTCTGCAGACCTAGGACTTTGACATTGAAACCTGCTTGTTTCCTCCTCTGGGTCCAGTAAAATTTCTTTCTGCCATTCTGGGTTGCTTAAGAAAGTTTTGAGGATAAAAGTTTGTGTTTCAGCTCAGGTGTCGGCTTATTGCACATCTTATTAATTTATCTGCAAACTCTGTGGGGTTTTTTTGTTCTGAAATTCAGATTTCCTTCTGCACACCTCAGTGGCTTTTTCTACGCCCTTGACTTTTTCTGTGCTTTTGCACAAATGCAAGACACGGAGACGAATTTTCATTTCCTCATTGCTCATAGCCTTCATATGCTGATCATGGTGTTTATAACTGTCCTCCGACAGGTGTTGGGGGAATATGCGTACCTTATGAAGAACGTGGATCCAGAAGTTGTCTTGGCGAGTTTGCATAGGATACTTAGGAACAATGCCTCTCCTGAAACCAAAGCCTGGATCGTGGCTGCAGCCACTAAAATAGCTTCTCATACCACCTGTTCAAAAACTGTTGAAAAACTTATCATGGAATTCAGTACCTCCTTGGATACTTGCATGAGGCAGTATGCCTTTGAATTAAAGCATCTGTATGAAAACAAAGAATTGATGAAGCAACTGTTTCCTGTTGATGCTAGTTGCAAGGACGTAGTGGTGAGTTAATGACATCGCATCTCTGTGTGTGTTGTTGCTTCATCCTTGGGATCTGAATGTTTCTTCAGAACACAGTGGAGAGGAGAGTACCATGTTTCTAAATCTTGTGCAAACATTACAGACAGTTTGAACCTATATAGAGGCATCTCACTTCCACTGTGAGTAGCAAGATCTCATAGCCTTTTTGAATAGAAGCTAATGGATAATGTTCGGCTTTTATGTCAGGCAACATGCTAGGATTGCTCCCTTCTGATTTCTTAACTGCACCAGTGAGGCTGGGGTGAAAAAAAACACTCACTTGGAGTATTTAATTGTTATAGTAGTTAAGAGCAAATTTAGATGGTGGGATGGTATTTTCTTAAGAGGCTGATAACTGAATAATCATCACCTTTTGACCTCTCCCCCTAATTCATTGCAGGTAGATGCTTCCTTATCTTTCTTAGATGGATTTGTAGCAGAAGGACTGGATCGTGGTGCAGCGCCATATAAACCTCATCACCAAAGACAAGAGGAGAAGCTGTCTCAGGAAAAAGGTAACTGCGTGTTTTCTTTTCCTGCAAATGCTAGCCAGTATAGTCCTAGGACAAGCATATGTTTAATGTGACTGCATGGAAAGTTTAGGGGGGAAACTCCCCCAGTGGTTTTGCACCTTGTTCCATGATGAGTATGCATCAGAGAGACAATGCCTTTTTGGGGTGGGGGGGAGGTACCGTATTTTTCGCTCCATAAGATGCACTTTTTTCTTCCTAAAAAGTAAGGGAAAATGTCTGTGAGTCTTATGGAGCGAATGTGTGGTCCCTGGAGCCGAATTGCCCAGGGGAGAAAAAGCAGATCATGCTCTTTTCTTTTTTTTTGAAAGAGGGAAGGGGGTGTTGAAAGGAAGCAGCTGATCGGCAAGCAATCGGGAGGGAGATAAGGTTGCTGGTAAAGGAGGCTGCCAGGGGAGGGGGGAGGTAAAAGCCCATGGATCCTTAGGATTTTTGTGTTGGGTCACCCCAAATTCACCATCAGATCCCATAGCTTGTCCATGGCTATAGCCTGCACCAAAAAAATCACACATCCACTGTTTCGTGGGGCGCAAAAACGTGGTTACAAAGCACGGATCCACATGGATTCTCAGGATTTTTGCATTGGGCTACCCCAAACTCACCGTCAAATCACATGTATGTGGCCATAGAATGAACCACAAAAATCATACATCTACTGTTTCGTTCAGAATAGTTTTTTTCTTGTTTTCCTCCTCTAAAAACTAGGTGTGTCTTATGATCAGGTGCGTCTTATGGAGTGAAAAACACGCACCTTTCCCCCCCCTTGCAATTATCAGCATGCATGGCCAACATTTTGGGATTGGGATGAGATTCTGTCAAATATGTTAAGTTACAGATCTAGACAGGGATAGGTGGTCTTTCAAGTAAGCTGCTCTCAAGCTTTTCAGGGCCCTACGGTGTTGGCAGTGTGATTTCCATAGTAGCCAACCTATGATCCTGCAATGAAACATGCTTTTACCAGACCTCAAATATTGCAAAATGCAGACACTCATAAGAACAGCCTGCTGGATCACTCCAGTGGTCTGTCCAGTCCTGTTCTCACAGTGGCCAAGCCACTCTCCACTTCATGAATTGCTATATGAATTGCTCCATGACGAGCAGCTATTGGAGTTTGCCTTCCCCATTAAATGCTTGTTGCTCTTTAATGTTTAGTCAAGTGGTTTTAAATGTGAAGAATAGCTTGATTATATTGTATAGTCTATTGCAATATTTGATATGCACATCTATTTAATAAAGATGCTTTCTGTTAAAACTGGTATTTTAGAACTGTCGCTTTTGTAGGCCTCTTTTCAGAATAGATTCCGTCTTGAATTCAAAATGTGCTGTATTTCTGAAAAACACAAGGGTTTCACTAATTACTGGTATTTAATATTAAGATGCTGAATGTGGAATATTCTTGTCAGAACATCATCATCAGTGACGCAGATTACAGGAGAGGCAGGCTGTTCTCTAATATTTTTAAATCTGGTCTTCTGTTTTGATGAGTAATTTTCCATCTTTTCAGCTCTGAATTTTGAACCTTATGGACTATCACTTTCCCAGAGCTTCTCAGCGTCTGGTTTTACTGGCAGACAATCTCCAACTGGACTTTCTCTGGGGTCTGACATCTCTGTTAATAGTGCTGAGACTGGACAGAAGGAGTGAGTATCTCTTATCGCTTCAGCAATGACTTAATATGTAGTTGAGTTCCCTGTCTGTTCTTATCTTGCTATTTGTATAGGGAAATGCTGGCTCTGCGGAAAAAAGCAATTGCCTTTCTGGCCTAGTAAGCAAAAATGCCATTTCACCAACAATAATTCATTGCTAGGTTGGCCTCTCCCCCCCCCCCCCATACTGCATTAGCTGGATTGTATTAATTCACATCACATCTGCATTTTATTTAATATTGAAATGAAATGCATAAAGTCCCAGGGTTTAACACCTGAACTATAAGCTGCATTTAGAATTTTAGTTCTGTAAGATCCAAACTTCATGGGAAGTCTATGATTTGGTTCCCCAACACTTTTTATTTAAAAGTAATAATAATAATAATAATAATTTATTATTTGTACCCCGCCCATCTGGCTGGGTTTCCCCAGCCACTCTGGGCGGCTTCCATAGAAACAAAAAATACAGTAAAATATCACAGATTAAAAGCTTCCCTGAACAGGGAATGCCTTCTAAATGTCAGGTAGTTATTTATCGCTTTGACATCTGATGGGAGGGCGTTCCACAGGGCGGCCGCCACTACCGAGAAGGCCCTCTGCCTGGTTCCCTGTAGCTTTGCTTCTCGCAATGAGGGAACTGCCAGAAGTAGCTGTGTTGGGCTCTCAGTTATATTGCACCTGCCATGCTGAGAGCTGACTCTTCTCCTCATGCTATTACAGTGGTACCTTGGGTTAAGAACTTAATTCGTTCCGGAGGTCCGTTCTTAACCTTAAACTGTTCTTAACCTGAAGCACCACTTTAGCTAATGGGGCCTCCTGCTGCCGCCACGCCGCCAGAGCACGATTTCTGTTCTCATCCTGAAGCATGGTTCTTAACCCAAGGTACTATTTCTGGGTTAGCGGAGTCTGTAACCTGAAGCGCATGTAACCTGAAGCGCATGTAACCTGAAGCGTATGTAACCCGAGGTACCACTGTATTCTTGTTCACCCCAGTGGGAAAAATACAGTGTTGTACCCAACTGAGTTCTACTCAGAGTAGGACCACTGAAATTAATATACCTAAGTTAGTCATGCCTATTTATTTTGATGGCTCTACTCTGAGCAGGATTAACTTTGGCTGCAACCCACAGATATCACAAGGGGCAACCAATTAGGTCAGGCTTTGCCAACCTGGTGCCTTCCAAATGTTTTGGACTACAACTCCCATCATCCCCAACCAGCACTGGATGATGGGAGTTGTAGTCCAAAAAAAACAAACCTGGAGGGACCAGGTTGACAAAGCCTGGATTAGGTTACATCTTCAGCTTGTTCAACATAGGAAAATTGGGTTTCTGAAAGACTTTACAAGAATAGACTGACTCTTCGGAAGCACTTTGAGTGACTCCTCCTGATCACTGTGTTGACTTTTCCTGATTGCAAATTCTTTAGGGCCAACAGTCTGAAGCTAGATGGAGTGAAGAAACTATGGGGGAAAGAAGGCTACCTCCCCAAGAAGGAAAGCCAAGCAGAAAAAGAAGACAACGCCAAGTCTGTTCTGGAAGGCAGTCCGTTTGCAGAGCATATTGTTGGCAGCTTTCCATTCCAACCTGAGCAAGAAATGACTGGTCCCTTGGAGGGAGAGGAAGAGAAGCGTCAACTGGCGTCAACACTCTTTGTTGGCTTAGGGTCTCAAAGCAGCATCAGTCTGGTATGGCAGCTAATTGCGTTTCATAGGAGGGGCTGGGCCACCCTTTAAAGGATATGTCCCCAAACTTCCAAGCATGTGTTCTGAGCTCTCACCCTGCTTACTACACATTTTGTGACATGTGAACAGGGTCCAAGTTTGGAAGATCCATTATTTTTCTTTGGTGTGTTCAATAGTGCGTTCTCCTTGAAATCTGTCCCCCGGCCTGCATTGCAAAAGTATTTTGAAGTTGAGGGGAGTTGCGAAAGTAGCAATCCGCTGCAGGAGCCAGCTGTTCAATAAGAAAAAATCCAGGCAGTCTGTTGAGTTTGTGCAACCCCCTGGCGTACCCCAAAGATTCTGCTTGGATTCTGGCTGAATGCCTGAAAGTCCCTCCCACTAAGTGTGTTCATGCAAGTCCCATGATTTGCATCTCTTGGCCTTCTACAGTTTGGAAACCCCCTTTTTTCCACGGAAGAGAAACATTAGCCAAGTACATGCCTTACTGTTTCCCTTTTCTCTGTGGCTTTTTATATCCTCCACCAGTTTAACAGCCACAGCATGGATATTAATATGCAGGATTAGCATCCCAAAGGGGTAAGATTGTATTGCCTTGTTGCCATGTTGCAACAACCAGTGACCCTAAACGGCATGTGAGTTAACATCCCCTTTGCTGAGTAAGTTGGCTTGACCTCCCCTGACATGAGTCCTCAGAAAATCCTTCCAAAACTATGAAAGCAACACCTGTACAGTCGTACCTTGATTTTTGAACAGCTTAGTTCTCAAACGTTCTGGCTCCCGAATATTGCAAACCCGGAAGTGAGTGTTCCGGTTTGTGAACTGTTTTTGGAAACCGAACATTCAATGGGGCTTCCACAGCTTCCGATTGGCTGCAGGAGCTTCCTGCAGCCAATCAGAAGCCGTGCTTTGGTTCCCAAACATTTTGGAAGTTGAAAGGATACAAAGGTACGAGTGTATTTTCTTATTCCTGTAAGACACTGGTCTTTCAGTTAATAGGCTGGGATCCCATAACTGGCTTGTGCCCCTATCAAAATGTGGGTGGTGATACCACTACCTATATTTTTTTTAATGTTCCAAAGAGAAGGGGAGTGAGAGGGGAATAACAGAGTGGAAGAAGAGAGAGCACACAGAAAAAGGAGAAAAAACACATATGATCAAATTAAGACATGCTGAGTCCCTGAGCTATGCTAGGTTTAAGAGGCCCTGTAGCAGTACGTCTTCACCACCTCTGGTGTGTATTCTAACAGAAAGGACAATGACAATAGAAATAGTAAAGTTTTATATTTCCATTCATAGAGGTCCATAGGCGAGGCAGCAACTAACAGTCTGTCTAAAGCATATTTTGCAATAAGACAGTTTGCATATGAAATACCTTCACATGGCAATACTTTATGATTTCCTACTTAGCATATGTGAAAATGTTTAATTCAGTTTGTTGTATCCTGCCCCACTTTTTTTTTAACCAATTATGTAAAATTTGAAATTTGTGGGTCGGGGGGGAGGTGTGTGCATTTAGAACCCCATCATAATCTGAAGCCCTAAGATGCAACTTATTCACCCTGTGCATAAAGGTGGCTCTGGAGTCTGAAAAAGTTGCAATGTACTACCTGAAACAGTAGGCTGTACCCAAATTTGTGTGTTCCCCCCTCCTTCCCTGAATTAACATACATTTTCTGTGTCCTTTTAAAACTAAGATGGGCAAGCGAGACTCCACAGCTCAGAAGCTCCGAAGGAAATCAAAAACAAGCAAAACCCAAAATAGTGAGGAATCATCCAGTATCGAAAGTGCTGCTGGCCCTTCCCTCTGCTCTTTTCCTGATGGGATATCTAGGAACAAGAACATCTTCCAAAACAATGGACACCTAAGATTAAGGAAATCTTCACTGAGTTCCGCTGGAACTTCTGAATCAAAGGTGGTACTTGATAGGTCTCATTCTCTGCCGGAAGCTGAACTGAATGAGAAGCTTTTGGGTCACAGACTTTCATTGTCCTCTCTGTTTGCGGATGGCAATATGGAAGTTTTCCAGCCTTCTCCAAGTGCTCAGGCTACGGCCCCCCAGCAACTCTCTTTGATGCCTTACTTACCAGAAGAAGCAGCCAAACACCCTCATTCGGAAATCGTAGAGCTCTGCAGCAACGAAACACTGGTTTTGTCCTCTTGTAAAATCTGGAAAGATGACTCTGTCCTACTCTTCTTATTTCTTGCCAACAAAAGCACTTGCATACTTAAAGCTGTGAATCTGGAATTTGAGCACGCAGAACATTTTAAGGTAACATGAGCAGTAGCTACAAGTTGGACCACATAACTCTTTGGGTCCCTTCTGACTCTACAGTTCTGTAATTCTATTAAGTTTACCACTGCTTTTCCTTTAAAAGAAATCTTGGCGGTGGTGATATTAAAATACTTGTAAACCTCTTGGCTCTCCCCCCCCCCTCCTGTTTTATTGTAGATTTCAGAAAGCCTTGGTTGCCACTTCGCTGCGGTAGAAGCTCAGAGCATGGAAAGCTTCCAGACGTGTGTCGAGATGGAGGGGCTGTGCTCTTCGGAGACGCTCTCTGGGTCCATCAGTTACTTTCTAGAGTCTGATGCACTCCTCAGATTTTCTGTAACTTTAGAACTGTTGGATTTTATCAGGTACCTACGCGAAATAGCTGGGAACAAATGAAGTGTTTTAAAGCAAATATTAATTTGAATTCACTTGCTATGCTTTATCTTGTTTGTAATATTTTGTCATATCTCATGCTTATGCACACACACACACACACACAGAGAGAGAGAGAGAGAGAGAGAGAGAGAGAGAGGCTCTTTTGTTTCTCAGACTCTTCATTATCAAAAACTTGTGGTGCTTCCTAGGTAATTTGAAACATATGAGTGTAGAGAGGAGAGGGCATGGGGGGAAAAATCATTTAAGGGTCTTCCCCACTCTAAAAGTGGAAGGGAAACCATGTCTGTTTCTCTGGTACTTCTGATCTCCATATGCATGTCCTCAGAGTGTAAAAAGACAACTTGTAGACTGCCTTTTTGCTGTCTCAACTAGATCCCATATCTGTGCTAGAGGATGTCAGTCCAGTACATTTAAGGAACAGCCCAGCTGACAATTTTAATGGAATCTTGTTTAGGTTGACAATTTCAGGCTGCAGGATAGTGTGAAAATACTTCATGGTGGGGCAGAAAGTTTTGTTTTCATTGTCTTCTTGGGAACAGCTTTCTCTTCTAAGTACATATTGCAAAATCTGCTTCTATTTCATATTGCATTTTCAGGCCAATGAAAATGAGCACTGATGAATTTGGAAAACTGTGGCTCTCCATTTCGAATGATGTCAAACAAAACCTAAAGATGACATCATCTCAGGGATCTTTGTCAGCCGTCCTAAGCATTTTGCAGCAAAAGCTGAACCTACATATAGTTGATATCATAGGTAAGTAGCTTGGGATTTCTTTAGATTTGTATCAAGGATGATCCTAGGCAGGCAGTGAAACAGGCCAGTTATAACCAGGGTCAACCCTTGTTCACCAGAAGCCAGTTCTCATTTGCAAGGTGATGACCCTATTATCTTTGTCACAATGTATTTTGATGATCTGCAGGATACTTCGTTCTTGGAAAGTGGACTTGATCACACCAACTGCGTGCCAAAAAAACTGGTTCTTAATTGATCACATTGTCTTGTGCCAAACCCAGACTGATTTTTTTTTATTGATAACCTGCTTTGTACAGAACTGTAGGAATGTATTGTGGATGAAATTACGATGACATTAATAAGGGAAAAAACCCAATTTTTCCTCCCTTTAGGTAGTGAGGGAATAGCATCATGCCGACTGCTTCCATCCGTCCCCTGTTTACTGCATTGCCGTGTCCATGCTGGGATGCTGTCGCTGTGGTTCAGATCCCATTGTCCGGCTCTTCCAGACTGTTTACTTTATCAGTGTCAAAAGGTGATGGAAGAATCCTGAGCATCGTGGAGAAAAGGAGCAAAACCCTCCTCTTCTAACCTAATGGAAAGAAGGACGTGTGTGATTGTGCCAGGGGGTTACCAAAAGAAAGGCAACTCTCACCCTCCTTGTCAGGAGTGAAGTTGCATAAGTGTGCACCCTGGAGGGATGACAGGTGATTCTGCTAGGAGCCTGCCTCCCCCCCAAATGCTCAGGGTCAGTCAGTCACTGACAAGGGACTAAGTAAAAGTATAGGTACTTTTATGCAAGGTGTTATGCAAGGTATTTATTTTCTGTTATGTACTTGTACAGGTCACAGCAGTTTATTCATAAGATCAGCTACTACTTGAATTCTTTCATTAACGTGGCTTATGGTGTAAAGGAACTTCTTAAGCCTTGCCTACTGTTCCTGTGGTTCATGATGGGGGTTTTTTGGGCATCTTTTATACCAGTTTCGCACCAGTATTGCAAAAGCAGGCACTCTGCTATAAGATAAATCTCCACGATTGTCCCATGGTTGTAGGCTGAGTCATCCTGTGACTCAGCAATAACCAGCACGTAAATGCCAAGCTTTGGAAGCACAAGTCATATCATTGCACCTCGCAACAGCACTGGGGCTGCTGTTTTGCAATGATGAATACCTGCCTTTAATAGGAGGACTGTGTCTTATTCTGAGGATAGGATACAGTTTCTTAAGAATGCAGCTTCAGGCTGTGAGCAGGACTCTGTAGTTTAGCACAGGACTGCAATTAGCGCCATCTGTGTACCTAGAATCTCAGTTTTCAGTGTTTAGGCTCCAGAGACCACCTCGAGAGGCTCATGCATGAATCCATCAGAAGTTTTGACCTGTCCTTCCTCATACTGCATCAGTAGCATCGCTTAATTGTACTGATTATTTCCCATGGTGATCACATGGCACATAGATCTAACGCTTGCACTTTTGCATTATAATACAAGCTGGAATCAAAAGAGCTACACGACATATTCCACATGGCCAAAGACACTGAGCTTGTGTTCCTTAAAGAGCAGCTCTTTGTGCTATCTAACAAGATAATTCTGCTTTTGAATATCCTCCCAGATTCATTTTGTGGCGTATCATGGTGGTTCTGCTATTTAAACCAGGTGTGTGTGTGTCATAGTTCCCACAGAGGTTGCCCTTAAAGGGCAGACGAAAGTACAAAACCACCCATAGCTATCTTTTGTATATTTGCAGCAGGTTTTACAAAATATGGTGGATTGTATCCATTGATAATCCTACTCAGCTCATTGAAGTTAATGGGTGTGACTAACTTAAGTTCCTTGATTTCATTGGGCACACTTTATGTATTTATTTATTCTATGAAATCAATATCCTGCTTTTCAATTCTGTGACGAATTGTCAAAGCAGCACATATAAAACATAATACCATGCCATCAGATCCAATTATTAAAGCTAGATTAGAATAGTAGCAAAAAGACAAAATCGAAACCAGAACAGGAAAAATGATCGGGCAGATTCGTTATGGAGGTTTTGCACCACTGAAGGATTATGTTTGAATAGCACTTCGTTTTTATCCATAGGCATGAACGGCAGCCGTTGTCTGTTGAATTCAAAGATACCACTAGAGTAAAGATGGATATCGGCTTGCTGTTTCTGGTGGCTCCAAAGTCTAGAGTAGGACTAGCATTGGACCCATTTTTTCCATAGGCATGATTGGGTAACCAGAGTGAATCTGGCACATGTATACAGCAATAAAATGGCTTTGTTTGCAGGAAAGTTTAGACATACGTAGCATCTCCTGACTACTTATCTCTGCTGTATTTTAAATACTAGTTGTTGTTGCAGCAGAACAAAAACATTGCAAGTGGCTGACATTTTCCCATTCATTTGTTGTGATACTTTTTGCTGTTCAGTGAATGAGAGAAATGGGACCTTTCAAAGGTGCAGCACAGGGCACCTCCTCTTAAAAAAAAATATGATATTAGTTATGAAGCTTTTTTGATTTGTAGCCCAGGTTTCTAGCTCTTACAGCTGAGTGTGAGAATTAACACAGTTGAACCAGCATTTCAATATGTTTGATTCTCGGTGGTTTTATAACATTTTTGAAGGAGAGTAATTTTCATCAGAAAATTCAACCAGGAAACCAAAATTTTGATAGACTTATTAAGATTGACCACAGTCCTAGTAGTGTCAAAGTGTTGCTCTTCATATTAAATTGGTCAGTTTTAAATAATCAATGATATTCCCCACACAGTCCTTAATCTGTAAAGTGAAAAAGTGATTTTTCTCTTCAAAACAAAGCTTGCCTGATTTAGATCACCACTATTTTTATAATTGGCGACAAGCAGGCATGATTTGGACTTTCTGAGTTGTAAAATTACAATTTTTGATTTCCCAAAGGCTAAATTCCCAGGCTGAGATTCCATAAGCACGAGTGCTTTGACACACTCTTTTAATGTCTTGCTTCATAGAAATCCTTTGGAATGATTCCAGTAGAAGGAAATGGATACAGGAAAATGTTAGGGAAGGATTTCAAATCCATGTGTATTTTCAGATATGTAGTTAAGGAAAACATTAACATTCAACATTTTCACTTGTCTGCAGTGCCAATGTAATGCCTCTTCAACCCAACGAAACACTGGTGTGTGATTTGCATTGAACTCATGATCGTACCCCATCTGCTTTCTGATACGATAATTATTGATTAGGTTGAAAAGAGTGCTGTTTTTATTATATGCATTTAAACATTCTATCTCCCATCTTAAAATGCTGCTCAGAGTTGCTCTCAGCTTGTTTAAAAATCAGTCAATAATTAATAGGTGATGGCTTGTATCCACTGTAGTGCTAAGTTAAGGTCACAGTTCTTGTTCGGCTGGTATAACGAGTAAGAAACCCGCAAAATGGTACCCATCACTGTGAACATGACAATGAGAGCAAGGGTTGACACTCTACTGGCCTACCAAACATTGTGCTTCTCTACATCTGGAGAAAGGTAGATTCTATAATAGTGTGCTGTGCTGTGGTCATCAATATAACAGTGGTGAGCAGTTGGCCGCCACAAGCTTTGGCGCACAACAGCTTTAATTACATAATTTTTATACTGCCCTTCAATGTATGTTTTTAAAATGTGTGATTTACAAAAGTTAAGGTTAGATTAAAAATACGATAGGATAAGTCACCAAATAACTCCCAAACATCCGTGATAAAAGTCACCTTTGACTAGGTAAAAGCTCCCTCTTGGAATGATAAGACTCGTTCCTTCCAGAACCTCGGGAGAATTTTCTGTATAATGCAGGAAAGTGTACCATGCGAGGGCCATGTTTGGGGGAAATGCTGAATGCACATGAATAGTGCAACTTTTGTCACATCAGAGGAAATGCAAAGGGGAGAGCCAGTTGCACTGTGTTTTGGAGACTTTGTAAATGAGCTCTGTATTGTATGAAATGTAAAACAGTAGGAGAAGACTGTTGCTCTGCGGGTGGCAGGAGGCAGCTGGGGAGAGGAGAGGAGAGGTTTTCTGCAACCTCCTCCAGATTGTGCAATGCTTTCCTGCAGTGTTCTTACATGGCTCCCTTTTGTAGACACACGAACTTGGAAACACCCTCCCCACATCTGTCATTTGAGACTTATTAGAGACTCTCGCTGTCCTTAGGTTGTCTTAAACGTGTGTTGACGTAAGTTCTGTTGCGCTGTTTTTCGATTTTGTATGGATTCTTTTCACTTGTAATGTGCCTTGTGAGTTTTCCGTTGAAAGGTGGCTCGTAGGTATTGTTAAGCAAGTACAGCGTCACACAGCCCATGAGATCCCATCCAGTGACTGGGGGACAGCGGAGAAGGGAAGGGCCGATTTTGTCAGCTGTCTCAGCAGTGTCCAACTACAGCCCCTCTCCATTCCCTTCTATGGCGTACAGCAGGGGTGGGCACTTTGAGGCCCTCTTGACATTGATGGCTGGTCCACTAGGGTGAGTGGGGCACTGCCCTACTAGCCTCAGCCTCCCCCTCCACCCCATCGGTCCACCTTCTTATATCTAGGGTGGCTTTGCCTGTCATTGATTCTAGCTTCACCCAATCCAGATGGTCACCAGCCTCCAACACCTTCAGATTTTATTGGACTCCAACTCCCATCAACCGCACCCAGCAGGGCCCAGTGGTCAGGGATGATGTGAGTTAGTCCAGCAACATCTGGATGTCCACAGGTTGCCTTTCCCTTGCATGAAGCAAAGCTGCAATATGTACTTTCTGGAGGACATGAGGATACAGGATGCAGAAGCACAGAGTGACCAGTCAGCAAAAGCTGAGAGACAGGTATTAAGTATAGCTGTTTCTCTCCTTTCTTCCAATGATGTCTGAATGGAGGGATTCACTAAAGTGCACTAAAATATAGCTCTTAAAAACAATATTCAGATATTAATGTATACTCATGTTTACTTTATGCCTCATGGATGTAAATGGAAGCCTATATTTTGGAGAAATGAATAAATAACTCTGGGAACTTTCCTTCCATGTGACTGTTAACAGCGTGCATCAGATTTAAAGGCTAGAACTGAGCAAAACCATGGATGCTACAAGAGCTAGCAAAGCTACCATTTCTCTCCTATGCAGTTTTCTACCATTTCCATCAGGTGGTGTTGGCATGATGTTAAATAATAGCTATGGCTTTCACACATGTACATGTGCTGAGTTCATTTTTTTAAACATTTTGTTTGAAATCTTAAACTCTTTTACTATTTATCTGTCAGTATGCAGAATTTAAGAGAACAATCAAACTTGGTTGAAAATAAATGGATTTGCTTACTTTTACCTGTGGTGTGATCTCTTTATTTTTAGGTTCCCTCCAAAAATGGTTTATTTTTGTTCTGGTTAACCAATATTCTTCGTAGAAAGCAGCAGTTGGGTGGCCACGACCCTCTTAAATACCTTCCCCAAAAGAGGGTGATTGAGACAATGTGACAATTGCCATAGGCAATGTGCCAAGGGAGGGCTCCTTTAATACTTGCACTACCTCTTACTTAGGGACGCAAGTGGTGCTGTGGGTTAAACCACAGAGCCTAGGACTTGCCGATCAGAAGGTCGGCAGTTCGAATCCCCGCGACGGGGTGAGCTCCCGTTGCTTGGTCCCTGCTCCTGCCAACCTAGCAGTTCGAAAGCACGTCAAAGTGCAAGTAGATAAATAGGTACCGCTCCGGCAGGAAGGTAAACGGCATTTCCGTGTGCTGCTCTGGTTCACCAGAAGCTGCTTAGTCATGCTGGCCACATGACCTGGAAGCTGTACACCGGCTCCTTCGGCCAATAAAGCAAGATGAGCGCCGCAACCCCAGAGTCGGCCACGGCTTGACCTAATGGTCAGGGGTCCCTTTACCTTCTTAACTTTACCTCTTAGTTAAGAATCAGGGATGTCTCAAGCTTTGAGCCAATGCACAATTGCATATAGGTAGCCCCAGGTTCACTCCATGGTATCTCCAGGTAGGGATCTAAAAGTGAAAAGGCTTCAGTCTAAAACCTTGGAGATCCACTGCTGGTTGGTGTAGACAATATAGATCAGTGTTCTGACTAATTAGAAGGCAGCTGCCTTAAGGCAGTGCAATGTAGCATAGCGATAAGCCCCGTAGGAATGGGTAAAATAATAAAACCATGCTGGAAGGTCTGGCAAAAAAGAAAAGGGAATTCACCAGGTGACAAGACAACATCATGGTTGGCACCAGCTGACCCTCCCTGGAAGAGATATTGCACAGATGGGGAGTCACAGTTGAAAAGGCCCTGTTTGTAGTCATGGCCAGTTGAGCTTCAGCCGGTAGAAGGATTTACAGCAGGGTCTATGTGTGCAGTGGTGAAGTTTTGGGCAGCTCATGTTGGAGAAGATGGTTCTTTGGATAGAAACGAGCTTTCAGAGAAATGGAGATTTTGCCTACAGTTCTGATTTTAACTATACCTTGGTTCTCAAACGGCTTAGTTGTCAGACAAATCGGCTCCTGAACGCCGCAAACCCAGAAGTAAGTGTGGTTTGCGAACATATTTTGGAAGCTGAACATCCGACACGGCTTCTACTTGAGTGCAGGAAGCTCCTACAGCCAATCGGAAGCTGCTCCTTGGTTTTCAAACAGTTCTGGGAGTCGAATGGGCTCCCGGAACAGATTAAGTCCAAGAACCAAGGTACCACTGTACTTAAAAAATAAGAAACTCTTCAAAGAAGGTTAGAGGAAATAACTGCAGCAGATTAAAAAAAATCCAAAGGAGATATAGTTTAATCACAAATCATTTAATGCATAATTTCTGATAAACACATGGCACACTTTTTGAGTCTGACTCAAACACTACTGAAATGATTGTTTTGCATGTTAACCCACCAATATAAAAGTAAACGATGAATATATAGCATATGCCAGCATGAGACACGCATAATATTTTTGCCTCCCTTTTAAAGGCTACTCAAGTCTTTTATACATATAAATAACAAGACATTTGGCTGTTTCCTTAAAAAAATAACCAGATTTGAAGCTCAATGTGTGCAAAATATAAACATCTCTCCTTTTTGTGCTTCCTCCCTGGAGCAGCCTCCCTGCATCACTGCTGGGGAAATTGGCTTATTGGAAGTAATGGTGTCTATAGCTCTCTAGCTATTGGTGGAGCCCATTTCCATCAGCCCCAGCCATCATGACCAAAGGTCAGGGATAACGGGAGTCCATCACCATTTGGAGGGCCGCAGGTTGCTGATCACAGTGTATAGAATTGGCCAGATTGAGTAACTGAAAAGGACCCATTTTGCACACAATACCAAACCATAGTTGTGTTAACACGAACATGCCTAAGCCTTGCACACCCCTCTTCCTCCTCCAGCGTAGCCACATGAAGCAGCATCCACTTCTATTTTTCGCTAAGCGCAGTTTCCTGTTGCCTTCAAAAAGGGAGGACTCTGCTTAGTTTAAACTATGGTTTCTTAAAATGAATTATGGTCCTGCATATTATGCTTTGGTATGTTGACAACAGGCCAACTGGTACTCTCTAGTTTTTAAGGACAGTTTTGCAGTGGGTCACTGAGCCAAATTTATTTTGACACACCTGTGAAACAACAGTTTTCAAAGTGACATTTTAACCCGTCTTTCCTTTTAAAAATTCGTTTGATGTGTGATTACCTTGGATGTATAATTTCTGTCCTGGTTTAATAAAAATCTATTGAAAATTAATAAAAATTAGTTTGATGTGTGATTACCTTGGATTTCTGTCCTGGTTTAATAAAAATCTATTGAAAATTAATAAAAATTAGTTTGATGTGTGATTACCTTGGATTTCTGTCCTGGTTTAATAAAAATCTATTGAAAATTAATAAAATAAAAATAACCATACTCTTAACTAACCAGAATTTGCCCTGTTTAGATGTAATGTTAACTATGATAAGTGAATAGCAGAAACCACAGGTTTTAAATCTCTTTGCAGGTGTACAGAAGTGGGAGCCTGAGGCTCACACCTGCTCATTCCCCTAATGTTAAACCATGGTTTAGTGTTACGTGCAAAACAAGCCAATTCCTCTTTGTATTTCTCTGATTTGACAAAGAGCTGATCTTCTTCCCCAAATTACATTATCCAGTGAATGGACACGGATGCAAAATGGAAACTCCCAATGAAGCTACCAGAGACAAGTGACTCGTGGACAATCTCATCAAAGCCAGCAGGAGGGTACGTCATTGTGGATTTTACTCTTCTGGTTGCCAGAATAGATCCTGTGTTTAATCTTAGAAAACAATTGTTATGTATTTGCTGCTATGCGGCAATACGCCTTTGTAGTTTCTTAAGCAGCCATTGTACACCCGCTTACCTGGGAGTAAGCCCAGCTGAACCCAGTGAAACTTATATCTGTGTGGGGATGTCAGAGAATTCTGACGAAAGCAAAAATGGGAGCAGAAATTGCAAAATCTCGCTTTTTGCTCCCTATCCAAAATTGGAAATAATCTAGTGAATGCCATTGACCTTTGCTGCTGTTTTCGCTTTCAGTTTGTGAACCATGCATAACTGATTGTGCCCTTCCCTGCTTTGCACTGCAACGAATGGGGTGGAATAATGTAAGGACAACATAACTTACGTAATTACGTAACTTATGCAATTTTGCCAAAGCAGCGTGTGAGCTGGATGATGTCATTTTTGGTGGGTGGCAAATTGCAGCAGAGCAGAAACACTGCTTCATACAACAAATACAGGGCAGAAGATGATGAGTAAAAGGGAAGGCCAGATAGTGGTATAGAAGATTATGCATATAGAAAGTAGATAACAGAACTTGGGGCCATCCAACAATTTTTGGAAGATTTGGGACTGATGAAAGAGACTACATAATTAAAATTACGAAATTTGTTTCCATAAGATGTAGCGAAGGTCACCAGTTCAGACCGCTTGCAGAGAGGATTGGGGCTACTGGCCACGTTCACTCACCACGGTGAGAGGCACTGCTCTGAATGGCAGTTTGTGGGGGCCAGTGGGGAGGGTGCTGTTGCTAGTGGGCTTTCTTCCCATAAGCGTTTGGTTGGCTGCTGTGAGAACAGGATGCTGGACCAATGGGCCTTGGGTCTGATCCACCAGGGCGCTTATACTTTTTGCAGATTAATATGGAAATGGGATGGAACAGATAAGCCAAACCGTGCAAACCGACTAAGGATCAGAAACATAGCTGTCAACTTACAGATTTGAAAATAAGGGACCAGCAGCCTCAAAAATAAAGGATCAGCAGCCAAAATAAGGGATTTTCCGGGCACAGGTATGTTCAACTTCTGAGCCCCTCTGAGCCAAAGGTCGAAAGCCCAGCCAGCAGCCAAACGAAGCCTCGAGTGGTGGTTCCCACAGCGCAGCAACCCGGCAAAGGGGATGCAGCAAGGGAAACCACCGTCACCTCTCCGCTGGGAAGCGCTGAGAAAAGGCGAGTCCCCAGGCAACGCAGCCGATTTGATCAGCACAAGGCATGCAAGCTCCACCCCCCAGTCATTCTTAGACTCCTTATTGGGTGAGCAACGCAGCCAAGCAACACAGTTGGAGCCTCCCTCCTCCCTGGCCGGCAGGGAGGGAGGGAGAGGAGCTGCTTCCTTTGAAACCCGGGAAATTTAAGGGACATCATCAATCCTGGACAGCAGCGGGACACAGCGCTGGGATAAGGGACTGTCCCGCCAAATAAGGGACGCTTGACAGCTATGATCAGAAATAGACGGATCCGTCGATTCCTAGTGGGTGTAGGCCTTCAACGATATCGGTTGCCAGTTTAAGGCAGAGGATTGTAGGGGTTTTGTTTTTTTCAAATGAAGCTTTTGAAACTGAGTGTCCATTTCTATGCTTTGACAAGCAACAATCACAAGCTCTTCGGGCAACATTTTGGACAGCCTCATTCCTTGCAAAGCCCAAGGACCTAGAGAAACATAGATATATAGGAAAACACAGAGCTGTATATGGTACAGAAACAACAGAGAGACACCAGGCTTTGTGGGAATTCTGATTCAACTGTGGGGAGGTTACTGACATCACGCTTAAATTCGGGAGTGAAGGGACGAGCCCCAAAATCACCCCAGTTCACTATGTTCTTCACCCCCCGGCAATGCACACCCTTATGAATAATAGCTTCGACAATGCAGAATTTGCACAATCTTTCTGCGGCACCCCATTTAAGAGTCTTTAAGAGATTGGCACAACTTTTTCATTCCTTTCTTGGTATAAAATGCTGACACCTTTAAGAGAAGCAATACTCCTGCTTTTGTTGTGCTTTGCCCCCAATTCCTGGCATATGGAATTATTCTCTGTTTGGATCATGTGCTAAAAAGAGATTTTCAGTTTTAAAAATAATGATATTCAGAGCCCATTCTTTCCATTTCACCTTATGGGTTTCATTCTTCTACAATATAAACGTGGGCATGTTTGCTCGATGGCATGGAACTTCAGGTTTCATTTTTGGCACATCAAACTGCAACCACAACACAGCAATAATGAGATCATGGTATGTAATCATTTCCCTCCCCATCACAAATGGCCTTGCATCATAAAATGCTCAGTTTATTTGTGGTTTGAAGTGTGGCTTGCTTTGCTTTCCATTACAAATGCTCTGGAATGGCCTGGTTCACACATAATACTAAACCATGGTTAATGTTAAATGTTAAACCATGGTTAACACTAACCGTCATTAATAAAACCATCATTAAAGTGGAAACATCTGGCAGATGGTCACTTAAGCCTTAGTTTATTACATCTCTCTATCAAAGAGACACAAGCCCAGAAGAGCTGCTATTTACCAGTAGTTACAGTTGTGTACCTTTTGAGCGGTGATGACTCCATATGCAGCATTAAGGAGGAGGTGTTCGGCTGGGTCCACATGTAACACTAAGCTATGGTTTACAGTAACCATGTTTTATAAACCAACTACAGACCTTGATTAACAAGCAACTTTTAACCATAGTTAATAAACCATAGTTAAGCTGCTGGGCTCATGCATAACACTAAGCCGTGGTTAAAGAAACTGTAGTTTAACAAACCATGGTTTAGTGTGCAAACCAGGCCATTGTCTTTTGGGATTATGCACAGGAAGCTAACAGTTGGTCCCAACTCTCTGGTTACATTTCTTAAGTGAAACTTGTGTAGTTGCTGTTTTGTTTTTGTTTTTTTAAAAAGGGCAAAGTTTCAAAGGATTTTCTCATCTAGCAGTTTGTTGATTCCATCACAGATCTTTTTGAGGTGTGGTCGGCATTCCCCATCAAGGCTATAGAGAGCAGTGAGGAACTCCACATTTGCGAAATGGTCGAAGACGTGATTGATTCGCGCATGAGACCTGGCGGTCAGGTGCCGTTCCACGAGTTCGTGAACAAGGTCTTTGCACTCGTTCAGGAGTTCCGAGAGGACATTTTTATCGAAAGTGTACTCCACCTCGTAAAAGCTAACAATCGTCATGGCCGCTTGGTTCAGCTTTTTGCGGAACTTCTCGACAATCTCCAGCTCTTCGGAATTGAACTGATTGTTTCGGTAGAGGATCCCGATTTTGATGGCCACTTTGATCAAGTCCCTCATGATTTTGTGGGCTTCCTTCTTGTTCTTCATGTGCTCCGTGGTCACTTTGTATAACTCGTCAAAGATTTCGCTGCTGGTGTCATCAATCAGCATGTTAGCCATGGTCTTGGTGGCCATTTTACTCAAGATCTTTTTCTGGGCTTGTAGCGCAAGGCTCTTTGAACTGAAGTTTTCGGGACCTAAGGGTAGTGGGCAGGGTGGGTGAGTGGGGGGGAGGGAGGGATAGGGAGAGATGGAAAGGGGGGAGAGAAGAAAGGAGAGAAAGAAAGGGGGGAAGTTATCTTTGAATAATTTGCAGTGAACATTTCACAGTTCAAAGTGCCATTTACTAAATCATCTATCTGTATCTATATCTATCTATCGATCTATCATCTATCTATCATCTATCTATCTCTATCTATCTATCTATCTATCATCTATCTATCATCTATCTATCTATCAATCTATCTGTCTGTCTATCTATCTATATCTGTATCTATTTCTATATCTATTTCTATATCTATATTTATATCCACATTGTTCTGTAATTTATAATTATTATTAGAACAGATTTTGTCAGGTGGCACAAGATCCAAGCCCCATGGCAGGTTGCCAGGAACAGATAAGACAAGTGAATGTAACGTACAAAACTGTAACTCTTATTAGGGGGAACTGCTTGGCAAAAAGTGTGCAAAAGGGGAAAATGTGCCTTTGGGGAGATATACCCCTCAATGTGGAGGGTTTGACTCGATGAGCTGTGGGGTCCCTTCCAACTCTACAATTCTATGAGAAATTCATATTAACGTTTTCCCATGAGAACTAAAAAAAAAACCTGATCTGGAAATGTGCAAAACTGAACTTAAAAGACTGGAAAAGCGAGAAATTGAGAGATAACTGAAATTCACAGATCCATCCATCCACCCCTAGTTTGTACTATGCTAGTGTTGCAGAAGGATAAAGGGGGGAGGAAATACGTTGGCTCTTCAAGCCATATGCTCTCCCTCCTATTCAAAGAGCAGCGAAAGCCTCTGGAGAAGTAAAAATAAAAAAAGCTGCAGTAGGCGGTGAGAATTGGCTCAGAAGCAGCAGAACGGGCCAAAAGCCTGTCATAGACAGCATGCTGACCCTGCTTGCTGAGAGGAGAAGTTTGTTTTGGTCACTGTTGAGTGGCAGGTAGCTGCGTTGGGTCTGTTAGGAGGAGTTGGGTCTGGGGAGCAGCATGGTGGAGTGTGTTTGTGAGGCTATCCAAGAAGTCACAATACGGCGCTGCTTCTATCAGAAGCACCTAAAATGTTTCAAAGTCATGAGTGAGTTCCTGAATTCCCACAAAACCATTATTAATAGAGCACTGATCAAATCAGGTGTTAAAAACAGCTGGGAATGTGGGACCTGCAATGCAGGACGCAATTCGAGCCTCCCAGTCCAACGGCTGTGCAGTCCCTGCAACAATGCCCCTTAGGCATGGGTAGGCAAACTAAGGTCCATGGGCCGGATCAGGCCCAATTGCCTTCTGGATCCGGCTCACGGGCGGTCAGGGAATCGCTGAATGGATCGCCAGTGCACACACATTCCTTCCCTCTCCCTCCCTCTCCCTTCCATGGCAGCGCCTCCTCCTCCTCCCTCCCTCCTCCTGGCTTCTCCCTGCGCTGCCTAGAGGAGGAAGGGGGTTGGGCTTTGTTGGTGCCAGCAGCAGCAGCGCTTGAGCGGCCGCCATTTTAAGCAGCCCCTCTCCGGAGCCCTTTCGCTCGCCACTCATCGTCCCTCCGCTGCCGCTGCCAGCCCCTGCTGCTCGCAAAACACAGGTAAGCAGCCACTGGGGCTCGTGGTGCTCATGAATCATTTCCCCCCTCAATATAATAATAATAATAATTTATTATTTATACCCCGCCCATCTGACCGAGTTTCCCCAGCCACTCTGGGCGGCTCCCAATCCAGTGTTAAAAACAGTACAGCGTTAAATATTAAAAACTTCCCTGAACAGGGCTGCCTTCAGATGTCTTTTAAAGATAGGATAGCTGCTTATTTCCTTCACATCTGAAGGGAGGGCGTTCCACAGGGCGGGCGCCACTACCAAGAAGGCCCTCTGTCTGGTTCCCTGTAACCTCACTTCTCGCAATGAGGGAACCGCCAGAAGGCCCTCGGCGCTGGATCTCAGTGTCCGGGCTGAACGATGGGGGTGGAGACGCTCCTTCAGGTATAGTCCGGCCCCCCACAAGGCCTGAGGGACAGTGGACCGGCCCCCTGCTGAAAAAGCTTGCTGACCCCTACCCTTAGGGATGGAGAGCTCACCCCCTTGCCTTGCAAATCCCTCTTGAGAATAGTATGCATGGAAGTGCCCTTGCAACTTCTTTAAGAAAGCTGATAAGCTTCAGACACTGTCTGTGCTTTGCTTCTCCAACGCAGCTGCAAAGTTCTGCCTGGAGAATTCAAATGGAGAGGCCAATTTTGCGTTTACTGCCTGTTAATTCTAAAATAGCCCAGTATCTTTTTTTTGACTAGGGGGTTGAGGGTGGAGTGGGATGCAGACACAGCTATGGTTGAAATGATTCATCTTCAGCACATCTTTGACAATCTTAAAACAATGAGGGGAATTCTTTTCTGTTTTTAAGAAACAATTGCTGTCATTAATAAATGGTGTGCTCCAACCATGAATGCAAAATAGTTTCAATCAGACAATCCTAACCTTACAACTTTTTGTCACCTTCTCAGCACTGCACGAGTAATGGCAATTTGGTTTTGTTTGGGAGAAGGGACAGGTCTGTTAATAAAAAAATGTCTTAAGAGAGCAGCAATGGATGTACTAAACCACTCAGTGGGTAGTTGGGTCAAGGTAGGCCTATGGCTAATGGTTTTTATCCAATGCTAATCGCACTCAGCCCCTTCATAGATCACTGCCTTGCCGTGGCGAAAGGGCCTGAATAGCTCCAGGAAGCGATGAGCTATGCCGTGCAGGACCACCCAAGAGGGACAGGTCACGGCCGAGAGTTTAGATTAAATGTGATCCACCTGGAGAAGGAACTGGAAAACCACTCCAGTATTTTGCCAAGAAAACTCCATGGACATAAAAAAAGGAGAAGCTTTGAGAAGAAAGTGAGAGTCTCCAAGGCATGCTCTGGTTCATGGGGTCACAGAGAGTCGAACACAACTAAGATGACTAAACAACAAAAAATCGCACTCAGAGTAAACTTAACTGAAATTAATGGGCCTAAGTTAGTCAAGCAATGTGCTCTTTGTGGAGCTACCTTTGAAGGTGACCTGGAAACTACAATTAATCCAGAATGTGGCAGCTAGACTGGTGACTGGGAGTGGCCACCGAGACCATATAACACCGGTCTTGAAAGACCTACATTGACTCCCAGTAAGTTTCACAATTCAAAGTGTTGGTGCTGACCTTGAAAGCCCTAAACGGCCTCGGCTCAGTATACCCGAAGGCGTGTCTCCACCCCCATTGTTAAGTCCAGACACTGAGGTCCAGCTCCGAGGGGCTTCTGGCGGTTCCCTCACTGTGAGAAGCGAGGTTACAGGGAACCAGGCAGAGGGCCTTCTCGGTAGTGGTGCCCGCCCTGTGGAACGCCCTCCCATCAGATGTCAAGGAAATGAACAACTATCTGACATTTAGAAAACATCTGAAGGCAGCCCTGTTTAGGGAAGTTTTTAATGTGTGACATTTTGATGTATTTTTAATCTTTGTTGGAAGCCGCCCAGAGTAGCTGAGGAAACCCAGCCAGATGGGTGGGGTACAAATAATAAACAAACAAACAAACAAACAAACAAACAAACAACAATGCCCACTAATTCCAATAGGTCTACTCTGAGTAGGACTAGCATTGGCTACAACCCAAGAGCTACAAGTTTCCATTCTATTCAACATCCATTGTGGTCATCAGGAGAGTTATTTCTAGGAGAGTCCAGTCCATAATAATAATAATACTAAAATACTACTACTACTACTACTACTACTACTACTTTATTATTATTAACACCCCACCCATCTGGCTGGGCTTCCCCAGCCACTCTGGGTGGCTTCCAACAAAATATTAAAATACAGTAATGCATCAAACATTAAAAGCTTCCCTAAACAGGGCTGCCTTCAGATGTCTTCTAAAAGTCTGGTAGTTGTTTTTCTCTTTGACATCTGGTGGGAGGGCATTCCACAGGGCGGGCGCCACTACCGAGAAGGCCCTCTGCCTGGTTCCCTGTAACTTGGCTTCTCGCACTGAGGGAACCGCCAGAAGCCCCTCGGAGCTGGACCTCAATGTCCGGGCAGAACAATGGGGGTGGAGACACTTATGGGCGTGGTAGTCCATAAGACAGGGCATTCTTGGTATAGATACCTCCTTGATGTAACTCCCTGCTGGGGAGTATTTGATCTGTTCTCAACAGCAGACATTTTAAACAAAAGTTGAATTTTTTTATTTCTCCAGGCATTTGGATAATAAAGGGAAATTGCTTTGGGTACAGTTCCACAGATACGTGTCATTTCCTGTGTTGTGGTCTGATTTTTATGGTCCTGATGATGCTTTTATTATTGTGCGATTGCTTTATTGAATTTGTGTTGTCATTTGTCCTGTGCTCCTGACTGGAGGATGTGTGGGATATAAAAACAAGGAATGCTGATACAATCAAAGAACTGTAGTGTTGGAAGGGAATCCAAGGGCCATCTAGTCCAAGCACCTGAAATGCTAAAAAAAAAATCCCTGATCACCCAACCTGTTTAAAAACCTCAAATGAAGGAGAGTCCACCACATTCTGAAGCAGGCCATTCTACTGTTGAAAAGCTCTTACCATCAGAAAGTTCTTCCTAATGTTTAGTTGAAATCCCCTTTCTTATACTGTAATTTGAATCCATTGTTTTGGGTTGTACCCTCTGGAACAGCAGAAAACAAGCTTGTCTCCTCTTCCATGTGATGGCCCTTCAGATATTTGAAGATGGCCAATGTTGTTGGACTCTCATCAGCCCAAATTGACAAGGCCAACGGTAATAGAATCTGAAGTCTAACACCACCTGGAGGACCACAGACTCCTCGTCCCAGAGCTACAGGCATATTTTTCTATACTCCTGTCCTTCCCATCTGTGTACATTTTGTCCTGGACTTCCACCAGCTGCGATGAAGCCCAAAAGCTCAGAAAATGCCTGCCAGATACGCTCAGAGTTATCATGGACACAGGCGCTACCGTCCCTGTATAATTATAGAAAGGCCAGAAATAATATGCAGTCTTCTTAAAATTCTCATCTTGAAATGGAATCTTCTTAAAATGTCTTCTTCCTCTCCCCCACCTCGGATTGTAAACGCAAACTCCGTGAGCATCTGCAAGATTCTCAAAATATTTTGCTTCCAGATGGCGAGAAGGGAACGTACCAAATTGTTGCCGATCTGGGGAGGGGCGAGTGGGGCTCGACTATATTATCTGCATGCAAATATGCTTTTAATAAATGCAGGTCCTGCACGTATGCAGAAAAATGCGATGCACAAAGAAAGTCCTGGGTTTCTATTCCTAGATCTGAAAATAAGACTTGAACCCTTGTACTGTGAGCTATGTGCATTTGGAACATCTGTTAGGCTAGATGGTTTCTAGAATTATTTTTGGATGCTAGGCATAAGTTATTGGCAGATGTAAATTGCTTATAGCACAGAGGAGAATGCAAGATAAGCCCTGGATCACCTCCTTGTCCACTCATTCAATAACCACAAAACGTCCAACACTTGGGGCTTTGCAGAGAAGCTAAATTCATAAATGGAAATCATAATCATAATCATATGTTATTACTTATACCTCACCCATCTGACTGGGCTGCCCATGCCACTCTGGGTGGCTTCCAGCATAATATACAGAAACATAATGAAATATCAGACATTAAAAACTTAACGGCTTGTTTTCACCAGATAAGAATCTGACCCATTGCTTCTTTCAGAGACTTGAATAGTCTACAAAGACTTTCAGAGACTTATAAGACTTTCATTTGGTTCTATGTTTTCAAGAGAATCCATCAAGAGTGCGTATTTTGTGACTTTCAGAGATTTAAAGATTTTTGTTTATTTGGTTTTGCAGGGAGTACATTTCATATATTTCATACTGTTCAATGCTCTGTATAGATTATATAAAGAGTTTACACTGACATCGTATTGTTGTACTTGGTCATCGTGTTGCTTTGGATATTACTGATTGTGCTAAACTGCCTGCATGTGCTTATTTATGTATATCCTGCTCATCCTCTCATTGGAGTGATAAAAAAATTAAAACATCTTCTATTCTAGTAACAACAATAGTGATGCCAACTGAGAAAGATCTCAGAAGGCTTGCTGAAAGAGGAAAGTCTTCAGCAGAGGCTGAAAAGACAAGCAAGATGGTACATGTGTAATAGTCAACAGGTTTATATGACTGGTTCTGTCCCCGCACCTCCATTCTGGCAGACCTGTTTAGGGAAGTTTTTAAAGTTTGATGTTTTATCATGTTTTTAATTTTCTGTTGGGAGCCGCCCAGAGTGGCTGGGGAAACCTAGACAGATGGGTGGGGTATAAATAATAAAATTATTATTATTACTATTATTATTATTATTATTATTATTATTATTATTATTATTATCTGACAACTGATGGGAGGGCTTTCCACAAGGTGGGTGTCACTACTGCGAAGGCCCTCTGCCTGGTTCCCTGTATCCTTACTTCTCATCCTTGGAGCTGGACCTCAGTGTCTTGGCTGCTGGATGAGTTTATGAGAAGTGAACATGGCTGTTTTTTATTAATAAGGGATCATTTCTTTGCATTCCAGATACTTGGCGTTTTGACTATGCTTTCCTTTGCATTAAATGGAAAAATGCAAAAGGTGTACGTGTGGCGGATTCCGACCACTTCTGCCTGATCCGTTTATTGAATATTCACCCTGGTTTGGTTGCAGGGAGGTTAGCCGAAAAAATATTATCTCACAACTTCCAGAGCATTTCCCCATCACATTCCTTGTTGCAAAAAGTCTGATCTCGGAGGGAAATGGTTTCGTTGCACAAGACTGCTAAATCAACCCTAACAGTCCAACCTGATTTTGCTGTTCTGTGGTTGAATCCCACCTGAAAATTGCAACAGCCTGGAACTGCCCAAATGTTGAGGCAACAAAGGGTACACCCAGCTCATTCTTGGCCTTTACCCGTCATTGGGTATTTACAGAGAACACATAAGATAAACAGAGATGTTTTATGCTCTCCTCTTTGGCTGGAAATATACAATTATTGTCATGGCGACAATTGGCGATCGCCGCCTAGTCTGTTAGTTGACTAAAACAACCCACCCTTGGCTGAAAATAACCTGTTTTAATAGCTGAATCCTGCTCTTTGTGAAAATATTTAAATGCTTTTAACATTGCTGTAACTCGATGTTGATTTGGAGAGTAAACAAACGTCCGGAAGAAATATGTCCCTCAAAAGAACAGAGTGCAATAATTTTAACTAGAGTAAATAATGTTGATGAAACCTTTCTCGGTGCACTGGGGAGAAAGGCCCGGGCAATGGCTTGCAGTAGACTAAACACACCACCCACAAGCCTTTGTGCAAACTGGGAGCAGGGTGCTGTCGCTAGAAAGTTGGGCAGTGACCTGTGGGGGATAAAAGAGGATTCAAATGACTGTCATGTAGCTTAATTGGTGCTCTTGGGCCTGTCTGGAGATACACAGATTTGCCCATTTTGGTTTCTCTCAAGTTCTGATTTTTCCTGTCTTATGTCCAGTTCTCCACATTTCTGCATCAGTTTGCAAAAAACAAACAAAAAAACCTCATGAAAATCGGTCAGCATTTTAGCTTAATTTCCCCCTTATATGCACATTTTTGTATGCAATTCTCTCTAACGCATTTTGGCAAACAGATTTCCTTAATGAAAGGCATTATTTGCACGTTAACTTCACTGATAAATGCTTTTTCCTGCACACTTTCCCCTGCTGTGTGGATTTTTGTAGACGTCTATTTGGAACCGCATCACAAAATTCAAAGAAGGGCTAATTTCAAAGGATGGCTGCGGTTTGATTTGCACATTGTTTTGAAAAGTGTTGAGCCGAATTCTCCTCCATCCTCCATCTGTTATACAATCACAGGGCCAAACTGCATGAGATGCCTGTGACCAACTGCACAGTTGGCTTTGAAAAAGTATATTTCAGATGCAAAGGGGGGCTCTGATCCAGATCGGGACCTTGGTGTGGAGTTAGAAATGTATGGTAATTCCTGGAATTCCTGGTGTGAACTAACTTGATCTGCACTTTCCCAGCTAATTAATTATCCTTCAGATGTCATACATCCCCAGATTTTCTGATGCAGTTCTTGGCTCAAGGAACATACCAAGATGCATTAAAGGTGAAATACATACATGGAAAAAACCTGGCATTTGTATATCTATTTAAATACAATTTTTCATGCAGATTTTCCTCTCAGTTTAGATTAATGAGGAAATGGAACTTATGACCAGAGGAAACAAACATCTATCTGACTTTTAGATGTTTGATGTTTTATTCTGTTTTAATATTGTGTTGGGAGCTGCCCAGAGTGGCTGGAGAAACCCAGCCAGATGGGCGGGGTATCATCATCATCATCAAACCTTTTATTGGCATCACATCCAAACATCCAAAACAAATCAATACAGAATTACCACTTCCCCAGTGGCACAAAACATTTGCTAAAAGAAAGGAAGCAGAGCAGTCTAGGGCAGGGTATAAGTAAACTATTCTTATTCTTGTTCTTGTTCAGTTGCTGGGAATTGTAACTCTGTGAGAGGTAAACTTCAGTGCCCGGGATTCTCTGAGGGAAAGAAGGAGGGTCAGACGCTTGGCAGCTGCCTGAAGTTGCCCAGTGGTGCCATGGGCCTGGCAGAGAGAGCGTTCCTGGAGCCCAGAGCCCATTGGCTCCAGTCGTTGGCCAGGCTCTGACCTCACAACCAGCTGTGGAATCCTGGGGAATGTTTTGTTTCCTAGGAGACCAGGTGAGTTCCTTGAAAGGATCCCTGGCTAAGCTGAAAGCCCAGTCAGTTGGAGCAGTTAGAAGCCATTCAGATCCCTTCTTCTGTTCTTGTCTTGAAAGCTGTTCAGGTGGATTGACTGACTTTCTGGACATCTTCAGTTTTCTACCCCCATGGCACAATGTGCCGCTGGCTGCGCAGAAGGTAAAGTCATGGGAAAGAGTGGAGACATTCTGAAGATTCATGTCCCCACCACATGCCCAGTTTTTAAAGATGCTCCTTGGACCAAGAACCTTGGTTATTTGACCATTGCAAGTATCATGTTGGGTGTCATGTGAGCCAGCAATTTTCCCAGGGAGTTTTCTGATGAGTTTCCTGAGTTTCCTTTTTTTGTCAACATCCAAATTGCAGCAGAATTACCACCCCATCCCAAATATTCAGGAGAATGCTCCCCCACCACCAATTTCACCACCCACACATAGGATGGGGAATTCTAGGAGATCATTTTTCACTCAACCCTAAAATAAACACCCCACCTCTGTAGGGATCCTACCTGCACCCTTGGGTGCTCTCTTCATTGGGTCCTTCTCCCTCCCAAGGGTAGCCTGGAACTTTTGAGTTCTCGAAAATGGCCAGGGGAGAATTTCTCTCCCAACAAGACCCAGAATAGCAGTGATGGACTTTGGGCTCTCCAATTTCAGTGGCCCTGTGCAACAAAGGCACCCCCGCCACCGTCTCTCATGCTCTAATCTACAGAGCCCAAGAAAGAACAACAGTGGTGCCTCGCAAGACGAAATTAATTCGTTCTGCGAGTTTTTTCGTCTTGCGAATTTTTCGTCTTGCGAAGCACGGTTTCCCATAGGGTATTAACGGTTTTAAGAAAAAGGAAACAAACTTGCAAGACGTTTTCGTTTTTTGTCTTGCGAAGCAAGCCCATGGGGAAATTCGTCTTGCAAAGCAACTCAAAAAACGAAAAACTCTTTCGTCTTGCGCGGCATTCGTCTTGCGAGGTACCACTGAACCTGCTTTAGCTGTGTGTTTTCCAGACTCTGCTGGGATTCGGCTGCTACCTGACGTTCCTCCCCTTCTGCCCTCTTTGCACAGAGCTGCTTATGATGGAGACCTCCCACCTGAGATTGCTGCACGTTCTTACTGTATTATTTTACCAGCGAATGTATAAAGAGAAACTCCTTTCGCAGGAGGAGCTGGCCCTCACCTCCCCCAACCAAAGAGGTCCAGCGCTGAGGGCCTTCTGGTGGTTCCCTCACTACAAGAAGCCAAGTTACAGGGAACCAGGCAGAGGGCCTTCTCGGTAGTGGCACCCGCCCTGTGGAATGCCCTCCCATCAGATGTCAAAGAGAAAAATAACTACCAAACTTTTAGAAGACATCTGAAGGCAGCCCTGTTTAGGGAAGCTTTTAATGTTTAATAGGTTATTGTATTTTAGTGTTTTGTTGGAAGCCACCCAGAGTGGCTGGGGAAACCCTGCCAGATGGGCGGGGTATAAATAATAAATTATTATTATTATTATATTAAAGAGAACATCTTAAGATCCACAGAAAGGCTGCTTCCCCTCCAGACCAGCCCCCATTCTGTGGCTGGCACTGGCCTCTGCTTCTTCCTGGGTGGGCCAGGACCAGAAGGAGACATCCCTTGCCTCGCCCCCGGTGCCCCCACTCAGGGAAGGGTCCACAGTCGGAGCACAGCCTCCCAAGAGCTCTGCAGCAGGTTCAGGCCCAAGGGGCCGAGCCAGACATGCAGCCTGTTCTCAGGGGTCCCACAAGCAGCAGGGCAGGAGTGCAAGAGAAACACCCCCCAGGAACAGGGATTGTTCAGAGGCACCCACTGACTTGCGCATTGGAGGATGGAGGTGGCGGCCAGTTGCTGCCTCTCAGCCTAACCTACCTCACAGGGCTGTTGTGAGGATTAAATGAGGAGGGAATCCATGGACCCCCTCTTAAGCTCCTTGGAGGAAAAGGTGGGGTGTAAATGACATAAGTAAAGGAGACACCTGGTCTCTCCACCACTGAGAAAGTGGTATTCAAAAAAGAGCAGGCTGTTTCTGCCCCTCTCCTGTCCCTGCTGGGGTTATTCTTTATTCCCCCACTCCTGTTGCCTTGCTCAACCTCCCCTCCTGTGTATCTCTCTCCCCCCCACCCCAGTTCTCTGTCAGGGCCAATGAAGGAACTCCAAGACCAAGGGCCCCTCATTCAATAACCTTCAACTATCCCATATCATCAGAGCCTATGCCTTCTGCTCTGCAAATCTTACAACTAAAATCTTCAACTGGGTTATAGAAATAAAGATAGAACAAGACAGAAGTACTGTTTTTGGGGGACGGAGCGGGCAGGTGTGGAGGACTCCCTACTCCTGAATGGAGTAACTGTGCCCCTGAAGGACCAGGTGCGCAGCCTGGGAGTCATTTTGGACTCACAGCTATCCATGGAGGCACAGGTCAATTCTGTGACAGGGTAGCTGTCTACCAGCTCCAACTGGTACGCAGGCTGAGACCCTACCTGCCCACAAACTGTCTCGCCAGAGTGGTGCATGCTCTGGTTATCTCCCGCTTGGACTACTGCAATGCGCTCTACGTGGAACTACCTTTGAAGGTGACCTGGAAACGACAACTAATTCAGAATGCGGCAGTTAGACTGGTGACTGGGAGTGGCTGCCGAGACCATATAAGACCGGTCCTGAAAGAACTAAACGGCCTCGGCTCAGTATAACTGAAGGAATGTCTCTACCCCCACCGTCCAGCCTGGACACTGATGTCCAGCTCCGAGGGCCTTCTGGCGGTTCCCTCACTGCAAGAAGTGAGGTTGCAGGGAACCAGGCAGAGGGCCTTCTCGGTAGTGGCGCCCGCCCTGTGGAACGCCCTCTCATCAGATGTCAAGGAAATAAACAATTATCTGACTTTTAGAAGACATTTTAGATGGCAGCCCTGTTTAGGGAAGTTTTTAATGTTTTACCTTGTTTTAATATTCTGTTGGGAGCTGCCCAGAGTGGCTGGGGAAACCCAGCCAGATGGGTGGGGTGTAAATAAATTATTATTATTATTATTATTATTATTATTATTATCCACCGACTTCAACCCATCCCATTCAGGGGGTGGGTCTGCAGAGGAGTTAAATGCCCCCTGCCTTTTTTTCTGGCTGAAAACTGTACCTCTGAAGTTGCTTTTTACTGTCCCTTCAGAAGGATGATTCTCAGGGGGTAAATGGTGCAGGAGGAAAGCATTAACCCTTCTCCCCCCCAGATTAAAAGATGTGTTTGACGTCAGTGTCTAGGGTGATACGTACTGGCAGGATATCAAAGATGGAGCAGAAGCACCTGCCAACATTATGTTGCTAGGCTGGTGGTGTATTTTTCGTAGGATATAAAAAGCTGCCTTATAGTGAGTCAGGCCATTGCTCAGTGTTGCCTACAATGCCTGGTTTTCAGACAGGGCTGTTTCCTGCCCCGACCTGGAGATGCTACAGACTGGGCTTGGAACCTTTTTCATGCAATGCAGTACCAATGCATTATGGTCCTTCCCTCACCGCCCGACTTATACCTAGGGATGGGGGAGACATTCAGTTCAGTTCACATTTAAAGCAGGGTAATTTCTAAGATTTGCAATTGCGTGGCGAGTTCCCGCCACCCCCCTCAGAAATAAAGACACGAGACACAAGAATTTGAGTTAATGGGTCAAATTAGGCCACAACTTTATTGATTACAGGAATTGAGCGGTATTGGCTTAGGCATTGGTCCTAACAACTAACCGGCTTCAGCCTGCTTGCTTGAAGACCGGTAAGGGTTAACCACCAGTAGAGGGTGTCCCGCTGATGGTCGTCAACTGGGATCTCCCCCGAGGTCACCGCGCGGGGGTGTGCCGTGGGCCCACACCTCCATAGGCTTAGGACAAGGCCACACCCTTTACCGGACTACCCTTTGATTTGGGGGAAGGTGATGGCGCTTTCTTCCCCCCCTTCATCTGCATAACAACACAATAGTACCCCTACCAATGCCTAACCGCCAATCGAGCCCAAGCTCGTCGCCAATACCCTCAAGCCTGTAACCAATCCTTAATCCCTGACATAATATTGTTCAGCCAAATATCATTTCCAGCATCCGAAAGATGCACGCCATCACCTTGGCTAACTAATTTCTAAGATTTGCAATTTCCAAAACAACATAAGCACTGAAACACAATATGAAGATGGAAAGAAGATAAAAGTCCTTGCCAGAGAAGAACGGCAAATCAAGTTGATGGATTATGCCGAAATGGCTAAAACAGGCATAGGCAAACTTGGCCCGCCAGATGTTTTGGGACTACAACTCCAATCATCCCTAGCTAGCAGGACCAGTGGTCGGGGATGATGGGAATTGTAGTCTCAAAACATCTGGAGGGCCAAGTTTACCTATGCCTGGGCTAAAATGACCAGAAGAATCAGAAATCAGGAAGACCAAATTTTCAATAAGGAATGGGGAAAATTTATAATTCATCTTAAAAATCATTGTTTTTAAGTTGAAATTGTTAGCAGGATTGTAATAGCACTTGCAGTTTAATGGTGAATTTTGGACACAATGGAGAGGTAAAAGATTTGGATTATTATAAAAGATGCAGGAGGAAATGATTAACAATAGGACCCACAAAGGGGAGAAGGGAAGTCTAAGAGATTCTTTGGAATCTTGTTTCTATGTTGTATGTTGCATATGTGGCTGTAAGATTTTAATCTGAAAAACCAAATAAATTTATTTTTTAAAAACCCCAATATGAACAATATGACACCCAAGATACTTCAAAACTCACACCTATCTGATTTTTTATGTGCAGTTCTCCAACCAAGGCTTACAGAACTGCACATATTAGTGGGAAATGTGTATGAAAATGAATGCATTTGTGAAAATAATGTACAAGAAATGCATTACATTAGAAGCCGCTTGCAAAAATGCACGCCCTAGTCAAAACCACAGAGAAAAACGTATCTTTTAGCGATTGTGAAGACCTCTGAAAGGATGTCTCCAAATGGTGAGAATGGGAGATAAAGTATCAAATGCAATTCGATGCAAGCAAGTGAAAAGTGATGCATGTCGGGACAAAAACAACTTAATTTCACAGCGGTACCTCAGGTTAAGTACTTAATTCGTTCCGGAGGTCCGTTCTTAACCTGAAACTGTTCTTAACCTGAAGCACCACTTTAGCTAATGGGGCCTACCGCTGCTGCCACGCCGCTACTGCGCGATTTCTGTTCTCATCCTGAAGCAAAGTTCTTAACCTGAAGCACTATTTCTGGGTTAGCGGAGTCTGTAACCTGAAGTGTATGTAACCCGAGGTACCACTGTATACGCTTATAAGGGTCTAAACTGGTAGTGCCTGGGCAGGAACGAGACCTTGGACAGCTCTGTGAAGATGTCGCCCAAATGTGCGGCTAGGAATCAGATCTCAACCCTCTCCTGTAGAATGGGCAAGAACGGACACTGCTTTCTGCCCACACATACTGTAAGTGCTCTTAAAAGTTCCGTTGCCTTTTAAGGAGTGGAAACGAACCTTTTTTTAAAGAAAAAATTGGTCTTGCAATGGCACCAGCAAGGGTATCATTTATCAGTTGGAATCCAAACCCCGGAAAGAATCTCGAGACATTCTTACTCATGTTGGAAAGTGGAATATTTCTCCAAGGCTCAGAAAATAAATCTGGATCTGCAAAAGTATTACAACATCCCCACCACCCCTAATATAAGCAATAAACCTTTTACAAATCTAATTTAAATACATTTCAGCCAAGTAATAAGCCAGCAGGCGGCAGGTTTTCTAAGCCTTTGCAAGCAGTAAAACTGCCACATTCTGTGGGCAAAGAACCTCAGTTTTTAACAAGGCTTAATGGGCAGAAGTTCATACAGCTACAACTACAACTAATCCAGAATGCGGCTGCTGGATTGGCGATTGGGAGCGGCCGCCAGGACCACGTAACACCAGTCCTGAAAGACCTTCATTGGCTCCCAGTACGTTTCCAAGCACAATTCAAAGTGATGGTGCTGACCTGTAAAGCCCTCAACGGCCTCAGCCCTGAAGGAGCATCTCCACCCCTGTCACCAGCCCCTCTTCCTTGTTTTAACTGGATTATCCAGGGACTGTGGGACCTTTTGCAAAATGCCTTAAATAAATACACAAATAACAAAGAACAGAAGAACACGCACTGTGTCAGTTTGCCCTAAGATGCTTCTATTTATTTTTTTATCACTGCACGACCCCACCCATTGCATCATGTCTATTAGACTGCTTGCCTGTAGGCAGCTGAGAACTGCTTATCTTTTAATATACGAACAGTGCTCAGAGATGTTTTACAAGTGTTTAGCAGTGAGGACAAGCGCAAAGCACATGAGGAAATTCGGGCAGTCTGCGATGCTCTTGGGCTTTTCTCCCCCCCTCCCTTTCAGGGGAGCTGTTCTGTCCTATTTGGAGTCTGGAAGGAAACTTTGAAAAGTAGCAAAAATAGCGAATTTTCCTTAGGCCTGGAGCTTGAACAAAGCAGCGACAGGCAAGCTGACAGAAAGGAGGCTTCCAAAACAAACTTTGAAAGGAGCAGGCATTGAAAAAAGGGCGGCTCTGATGCTGTCAAGACTGGGCAGCAACGCTGAGCTTCAGTTTTCCACCCTGCAAGCCAGAGAGAGGCTCAGCCTCTTCTCTCCCCCAAATAAAAGTCACCAGGTTCTTTACAGGATCAGCTTCAAAGGGAACTCGCTGAATAGGGCAGCAAAAACCAAGGACCAAACAGCTCCCAGAGTTTGGCAAGGAGAGGAGGAAGGGACGACCAGAGCAACTTGGTAACAAATCTCTCAGCCCCACTCACCTCACAGAGTGTTTGTTGTGGGGGAGGAAGGGAAAGGAGAATGTTAGCCGCTTTGAGACTCCTTTGGGTCGTGATAAAGTGGGATATCAAATCCAAACTCCTCCTCCTCCTCCTCCTCCTCTCCTCTAGTATTGGGTTAGACACAATCCCACTTTCTTTGCTAGCCTGCAAAGGTTTGCAAGCAGTTGTACTGCTCTGATTCTATCAGTGCATGCCCTGTCCTTTCCCACTGAATCTGCCTGTTCCATAAGGCTTTGGGAAACGGATTGCTTTTAATGTGAAGGTAAAGGTGAAGGGACCCCTGACCATTAGGTCCAGTTGTGACAGACTCTGGGGTTGTGGCGCTCATCTTGCTTTATTAGCCGAGGGAGCCGGCGTACAGCTTCCAGGTCATGTGGCCAGCATGACTAAGCCTCTTCTGGCGAACCAGAGCAGTGCACGGAAACGCCGTTTGCCTTCCCGCCAGAGTGGTACCTATTTATCTACTTGCAGTTTGATGTGCTTTCAAACTGCTAGGTTGGCAGGAGCAGGGACCAAGCAACGGGAGCTCACCCCGTTGCGGGAATTCGAACCGCGACCTTCTGATTGGCAAGTCCTAGGCTCTGTGGTTTAACCCACAGCGCCACCCGCATCCCTTTTAATGTGAAAGGGCTGGATAATTGTAATTATCTGATCCTCCTAAACTCCCGCTGCCTTGCGGGAGATATTCGGAAGACTCCAATTCGGGACTCCAATTCCCAATGACCATGGGTGATGGGAGTTGCAGTCCAGCAACCTCTGGAGGGCCACAGATCCCACACCCTTGGTTCAATTCCTGTTTTCAAACTTGAAAAAACTCCTGAAAGAGTCAAACCTTGGTTCTCAAACTGCTCCGTTGCCGAATGTTTCAGCTTCCGAACGCCGAAAACCCAGAAGTAAATGCTTCTGTTTCCGAATGCGCCTCAGAGGTCAAACGGCTTCTGAGGCGTGTTTCTCAGTTTCCCCCATTGAACTTGTTGACAGCCCTTTGATCCTCGGTTTTTGAATGTTTTGGAAGTCGAATGGACATCTGCAATGGATTACATTCAAAAACTGAGGTTCCACTGTATATGGTTTTACTTCTATCAATGTCCAATTGTTTTTTAACAAATGTCCCCCACCCCCTGTGTTTTTAGCAGTTCTCAGTTTTACCTGTAAGCCACCGTGAGTCCAGTCAGGGAAAAAGGTGGAGCATAAATAAATATATGATAAAAAGGTAAAGGTAAAGGGACCCTTGACCGTTAGGTCCAATTGCGGACGACTCTGGGGTTGCGGCGCTCATCTTGCTTTACTGGCCGAGGGAGCCGGTGTACAGCTTCCGGGTCATGTGGCCAGAATGACTAAGTCGCTTCTGGCGAACCAGAGCAGCGCACAGAAACACCATTTACCTTCCTGCCAGAGCGGTACCTATTTATCTACTTGCACTGTTGTGCTTTCGAACTGCTAGATGGGCAGGAGCAGGGACCGAGCAACGGGAGTTCACCCTGTCATGGGGATTCGAACCATCGATTCAAGCCCTAGGCTCTGTAGTTTAACCCACAGTGCCACAATGTTCTGCAAATGTTCTGGTTTATTTATTTTCCTGTCCCACTTTCACTGTGCTGCAGCACCAGAGTGACCCTCCAGATGGCAACCATGTGGTAACTTTGGGGGGAAATAAAGCAGAACGGCAGGGTGTGTGTGTGTGTCCAGTATAAATCTGTCCCTAAAGCACCATTATTATATCAATGATATGTTCCAGAATGTACACCTGCAAAACAACCCAGAACACCAGTTCTGGAGGAACCCCACAACAGTAGCAGAAATTCTAAAACCCAAACTCATTCAGGTTTTATTTTTCATCCCTTTCCAATAAATCCCCAGATTGGAGGGATAACATATGCAGAATACGGCAAACGCTAAAAAAAAGGTTTTTAAAAAAGAGCACAGGAAAGCTAAAATCCAGAATCCAACTTTCAGGGAACCTGTCCCCCTCCCAATTCCTACCCAGAAAGTTTTCCCTCAGAACAGTCTCCATGTCTTATGACATTATTCACCTGGTCCCCTGACATCTGCTTCCCCCCCCTTTCGTTAAGCCTCAATGATAATTGTACATATTTGACTAAACAGCTATGCTTGGTTTTTTCCTAAACCAAACCTTATTAGGCCATGTTTATACCGAACACCCTCTAGAAGACGCTATGCCGTTTTCATTCGCCTCAATCTATGTCTTGTTTCCGTGATCAAGAAGCTAAACAGAGACATTTGAAAGGGAGAAGAGGGGGAAAAACCCCAGCCCATTTAAAAGAACTACGGCCAAGTTCAAAGTTTTCATACTAACATATCCTCTATTTGCATTTTCTGGAAACAACTGAAGACATTACTGAAGACAGCAAGCTTTTCCCGATGAATGAATGGGTCTCTGCCACTCCCTGTATTGTTTTTTAATGTATCTCATGTTCTTTTGAATGCTGTTAATAATAATCATTAATAATCATAATATTTTGGTGATTGTCCACCTTGTGGGAATGATTTCCACCTTAACCCACCTGCGGGTTGGCCCTTGTGCAAGAAACAGGCAGGCTTTGGGCTCGTGAGGTGCGCTTAGATTTGCGACCATTACATCTTTACGATCTAATTGAAAGTTTTATTGGCTTTCCTTTCCCTTTTTGTTTCCGTGCAGGATGCGCCTGCGACAAGGCGAGATATGGTGTAAAGCCAATTTGCAAAACAGGACGGGGAAAAAACAAATTCTATTTAACGTTAAAGATTGCAAGATGAGAGCAGGAGGAGGAGGAGGAAGAGGAAAAGCCCCAAGCAATGGGGGCAGAAATTATAGTACCATAAAAGATATCGAGGAACACTGGAAGTTGAGAAACACAAGGACAATTCAGGCATCGTGAACGGAATCAGGAAGGCCTACTCAAAAGGAGGCGAGATGGAAAAGGGACTGAGGTCTCTGCAGATCCTCACTTACAGAGTGGGGAGGGGCAGCAGGAGATCCTGCCCCAGTAAATTTTATTATGTGTCTCCCCCCCTGCTTCCACCCACTCACAGGTCCATCTTTAGCATATGCGGTGTCAGGATGCTAAGATCCGCCCAGCGCCCCCAAATTTAGTTTAGCCCCTCCCCAGTGCCGTTGTGATTGACAAGCGCCGCTGCCACTGTGTGTGTGTGTTTAGTGGGTGTGGGGGAGGGTTGTGCTGCTCTCTCCCCCACCTCACCCTTCCTGCCCCCAGCCAGGCCGAGCTAGTAATACAGTACAGACAACAGTAAGCTTTTCTTGACACGGTTCATGGTGGAACTCTGGGATTCCCCCTAGAAACTGTAGTGATGGCCACCAACTCGGATGGATTTGAAAGGTGTTTAGACAGAATCATTTAGGACAAGACTATCAGAATGGCAAGGGACGCGGGTGGCGCTGTGGGTTAAAGCACAGAGCCTAGGACTTGGCGATCAGAAGGTTGGCGGTTCGAATCCCTGTGACAGGTTCAGCTCCCATTGCTTGGTCCCTGCTCCTGCCCACCTAGCAGTTCGAAAGTACGTCAAAGTGCAAGTAGATAAATAGGTACCACTCTGGCGGGAAGGTAAACGGCATTTCCGTGTGCTGCTCTGGTTCGCCAGAAGCGGCTTAGTCATACTGGCCACATGACCCGGAAGCTGTACACTGGCTCCCTCAGCCAGTAAAGCGAGATGAGAGTTGGCCACGAATGGACCTAATGGTCAGGGGTCCCTTTACCTTTACTTTATCAGAAAGGCTATGCTCTACCTCCACATTCAGAGGCAGCAAGGCTTCTCAATGCTGGAAACCAGAGGAGGGGAGAAAGTGCTCTTGTGTCGGGTCCTGTTTGCAGGTTTCTCAAAGGCATCTGGCTGGCCATTGTGAGAACAAGATGGGAGGGAGTTCCCTACTTAAATGTGTCACCTGACGCCATTGTGATGTCAGGTGATTGACAGGTGGGTGACCCTATCCACTTGCCAAACTTGTGTATTAGGATAATACCTGGGAAGACAGGCAAACTAATGCCAGTGTACTGGAAGAAGCAAAGATCCCCAGTGTTGAAGTGATGATTCTTCAACATCAACTTCGTTGGACTGGTCATGTTCTGCGGATGCCTGATTATCGTCTTCCAAAGCAACTACTCTATTCCAAACTTTAAAATGGAAAGCGTAATGCTGGTGGTCAACAAAAGAGGTTTAAATATTCTCTCAAGGCAAATCTCAAAAAATGTAGTATAAACACCGACAACTGGGAAACACTGGCCTGCGAGTGCTCCAATTGGAGAACAGCCTTTACCAAAGGTGTCGTGGGCTTTGAAGACACTCGAACTCAGGACGAAAGGGAGAAATGTGCTAAGACAAAGGCACATTTGGCAAACCCTCACCTTGATCAACTCCCACCTGGAAACCTATGTCCTCACTGTGGAAGGATGTGTGGATCCAGAATTGGCCTCCACAGTCACTTATGGATTCACGTTTAAAACCGTGTTTATGGAAGACAATCTTACTCGGCTATGAGTGAGAAGAAGAAGATTAGGATAATAAGAACACAAACACCGGCATTTTATTTTCTTTCCCCCCATCCTCACTCCCTTTTTTTCTTATTTTGTCACTATCTTTTTATAAATGAAATATTAACGACAACATCAGTTGGGTGGGTGGGGAGAGAGGCAGGTCAAATCTAGTTCTCCACCACCTCTGATTTCCCATGATAGAAGAAGGCTAGCGAAAAACAGGGCTTGGCTCAGCACCCTTCCTCCTGTGAATCATTGCTCCACAAACGCTTTCCGATTAGCTTCTCGCAATTCAGAGGTAGGACACAAATAAACGTTGACGGGGAGGGAGGCGAGAGACGCCCAGAACTGTGAGCGCTCCGGCCTGCCAGCTAGCCAAAGCAGAGAAAGCTGTGGGGAGGGGGAGCGAAATGGGGTGGGTGCTTTGAAAACGTAGTATGGGGAACTGGCTTTGAAAAAAAGAAATGGTTATTCATTGGTTCATTCATGAACTTGCCCCGCCATTCAGAAGATTTGGCAGGGGAAGCGGAGGGCAGAATAGGGCCTCGGCTCGGCCGCTGCATAACGATGACCAAAAATCTGTTTCCATCTTCTCGAAGCCAGTGGGTCTATTTCACCTTCATCTCTCTTGCAATATTTCGAGACTACCCAAATGCCAAGAGAAAACAAAAAATCCTGACCTGCGGTTCTAAAGAGAGAAGCAGCCTTTCCTACAAAGGCACAGGCAGTTGCTAAGTTGCTCCCTAGACCCCCCAAGATAGATCAGGTTTCGGGTTTTCTTAGTGACTGGGCATGTGCATTGGAATAAGACTTGGATTGTTCTTGAAGGCAAGCTGCCAGCCCATTTCCCTACACTATAGCCACCTTTTTGGCCGACAGAGGCTCTTTGCTTGTAGCAGCTGCCTACCAGGCAGAAATCCAACAGGACCAGCTTCCCCAATCCAGTGATGGGGCAAATCTGGATTTCCTGCATGGTGGGCTGTTTGCTTGTGTTTAAGAAGCAGCATCTGTTTCAGAGAAGTGGTGGTCTTTCTCTACAGGATGACCAGGCAGAGAAGCCAAAGCAGAAAATGAGGGTAAACAGATGCAATCAAAAACTCCTGCACATTTTAAAATATTTATGCTGAAGACAGAATTTTAATGGGTGCAGCTGGGAAGGCTGAGATATTATCTCCTGCAAGGCTATTGAAATATACAAGAATCTCTGCATTGGGTCCCTCTAGATTTGAAGCCAGGGTTTTGGACTCATGGCCAAGGTAGCCAAAATAAAAGTAAAAAATAAATAAATAACAGTGCAGACCTTCCAAGTGTCCCTATTTTCCAGGGACAGTCCTGGATTTACAGAAACCATCCCGGTTTCTGATTTGATCAAAGAATGTCCTGCTTTTCCCTTGGACGTCCCTATTTTCACTGGGGAAATGTTGGAGGGTATGGAGTTATGTGACCCCCAAGCCAAGGGTATAAGTAGCTATACAGTTGGACCTTGGAAGGCAAACAGAATCCGTTCCAGAAATCCGTTCAACCTCCAAAACGTTCGGAAACCAAAACACGGCTTCTGATTGGCTGTAGGAAGCTCCTGCAGCCAATCGGAAGCTGTGGAAGCCCCATCGGATGTTTGGCTTCCAAAAGTAGTTCACAAACCGGAACAGTCACTTCCGGGTTTGCGGCATTTGGGAAGCAAAACATTCAAGAACTAAGCTGTTCAAAAACCAAGGTATGACTGTACAGTGGTACCTCGGGATACAGACGCTTCAGGTTACAGACGCTTCAGGTTACAGACTCTGCTAACCCAGAAATAGTACCCCGGGTTAAGAACTTTGCTTCAGGATGAGAACAGAAATCGCATGGTGGTGGCGCGGCGGCAGCGGGAGGCCCCATTAGCTAAAGTGGTACCTCAGGTTAAGAACAGTTTCAGGTTAAGAACGGACCTCCAGAACAAATTAAGTTCTTAACCCGAGGTATCACTGTACATTCTTTGGAAGACGTCAGAAAGCAGCCTTTTATAGGGAAGGTTTCTTTTAAATTTTTATTTTTTAAAATGTTTTATTTTGTTTTTATATATGTTGGAAGCCGCCCAGAGTGGACAGGATATTATTATTATTATTATTATTATTAGACATACCTATTTTCATTGAAGAAATGTTGGTGGGTCACCTTTAAGGCCAGCATTTGCTGGAATGATTGATGCACATACCACAAACTTAGGCATGTACGATTAAGGAGGCTTAAAGTGAGGGGGATAAATGCATGTCTCTCTTATCCTAGATTACATTTCAACCACCCAAAATTCAGAGGGTTCCATACATACACAAACCCTTTTCTATCTAGGCAACGAAGAGGCATGGTCCCGATCCAAGAATACATTCCTCCCAGACCGAACACTCTAGGAGTGTGTCGATCAGGGTGGCCCAGGTAGAGTCTCCATGGCCACACAGAGAGGCCCAGACAGACCCACTCCTGTCCTAGTGTCACAGGAGACAACGAGGAAGCCATCTTGGACGAGCAAAATCATTCTGTCTCTCTCACTCGCAGCCAGTTTGCTAACAACTGCTGAGGGTTTGAGGTCAGAGACTGAAGAGAGCAAGAAGCAGGACACGGCTTTTATTGAAAGGGTATTAATAGATTTCCACGTTACGGTTTTGATTCCCCGTCAGGTCTGTTTTCCTTCCTCCGCTTAACGATGTAAAAGCAGGAGAATCTTAAAGAAAATCAATGACTATTCCATTCTGCATCTGATTATAATGTCAAATAGCTTTTAGGCGCTGTGCAACGAAGCCGCCCGAAGTCGTTTTCGTTGGCTATGGCCCAAAAAGGAAGAGTTTGCAAGAAATATTAGAAGCAGATAAGTAACCTCCTGGGACAGCTGTCAGAGCACATGTTGAGCATGCAGAAGCACCCAAATTCAATCTCCTTTAGTAGAATTGGGAAAGATTCACTTCTGAAACACTAGAGTGTCAATACCAATCAGCATAGAACAGGGGTGGAGGACCTTTGGCCCTTCTGATATGGCTGAACTACAACTCCCAATAGCTCCAGTCAGCATGGTCAATGGCTGGGGATGATGGGACTTGTAGTTTAGCTTGGTGGCGGCAGCAAGGGTTTCCTTCAACCAGCATAGATGATACTAAGCCAGATGGACCAGTGAGCCAACCTGATATGAGACAGCTTCCTACAGGCCACGAGAAAGTGGAGAGTTGTTGTCCTTAAGGCACAGGGGGAAGGCACAGCTGTAGCTTGACTTCCCCCGTGCAATTCTGAAACATAAACTGGGCGAAATGTCCATGCAATTACAGCTTGCGTATGTTGGACTAGCCCCCTGTTGCCCTTTCAGCTTCCGAGACATCCTCTTCCTAGTCTCCCTCTGACCACAGAGCCTAGGACTTGCCGATCAGAAGGTCAGCGGTTCGAATCCCCGTGACGGAGTGAGCTCCTGTTGCACTGTCCCAGCTCCTGCCAACCTAGCAGTTCGAAAGCACATCAGCGCAAGTAGATAAATAGGTACCACTCTGGCGGGAAGGTAAACTGTGTTTCTGTGTGCTCTGGTTTCCGTCACAGTGTTCTGTTGCACCAGAAGCGGCTTAGTCCTGCTGGCCACATGCCCCGGAAAGCTGTCTGTGGACAAACGCCGGCTCCCTTGACCTGAAAGCGAGATGAGTGCCACAACCCCATAGTCGCCTTTCACTGGATTTAACCATCCAGGGGTCCTTTACCTTTTGTCCAACCACCACTCGCAGGGCTCTTAGCCTTCTTCCCTGGGGGTTCTCTAGCTGAGAATTCCTCTGAGTCCAACCAGTCTGTGAGGATATTTCGAAGCCTACTTGGGACTGGGCATTGGGAGGAAGAAGAGGAAGACAGCATAGATTTACAACAGGGGCTTGTGGGAGGTTGCAGCTCAGAGGCAGATGAGGGGGAAAGCTGGGAAATAATGGGAGAACCAAAGCAGCAGCTGGTTGACACGTTGCCACTAGAAAGCATTCCAGACCCTCCATCTCCCAGAAACCGTCGAGCCTTAAAAGTAGGAGAGCAAAGAGCTCAAAGACAGAGGACAGAGCACCTGAAGAGGAGATGATGAAGAAGAATGAGGAAGTGGGAGAGACGGGTGTATGTGTGGAGATTCACACGGGACACCACCATTATCCAACAGGCTGCGTTCTATAACCTCTCTCTGTAAAGTCTGAAATAAAAAAGGACGGTAGGAAACCCTTCCTTGTCTTTATACTTTCCTGGGCAACCAGCCAGGAGCCGCTGACAGCATCCTGACACTTGGAGATTGTGAGGATTGAACCTGAGACCTTCTGACCATGCCAGCTGCACCCAATGGACAAGGCAGAAAGGCACAGGGTTATGTGCAAAGTAGCCCCAAGTGTAACACCCCATTTCCAGCTTGTTCAATGGGCCTTCTCCCTCTCCCCTAGCCAACCCCTGCAAGATTTTCTAGGGGGACCCCCCAAAAAACCTGGAGCAGATTTGGTGAGGAAGAGAGGCACATACAGGCAGGAGAGCTGGGAGGGACGTTCCATGGAAATTCTTAGACTGTTGGGACATGTGAGTTGGCTACCATCCATGATTCCCTTCCTGCCTTGTGCAGTTCTGCGCATTCAATAGCCTCATCTGAAAAAGTCACCAGATGTGATGAGTTCTGGTTTCATGTAATGAACAGTGGGACTGCTGCTCTCTGAACCTGTTTGGCCTTTTGGCTCTGTTCTTTTCTTTTTTCCGAAAAAGAAAGAAAAGAAAGTAGTCTTTTTAAATGTGTTTGTGGGAGTGGGGGGTGGGTTATTGGTTGGTTCTTGTTTGTATTATGTACTTTGTGGTTTTATTCTGTATTTTATGCTGCGAACCACCCCGAGAGCTTTGGATGAAAAGCAATATACAACTTTAATAGATAATTATAATAACAATAGTCACCCTCATTTGCAGAAGAAGCTTTTTCAAAAGGATATGTTTGCAAAAACGCCGTGCAATTGCCGATTGTTCCTTTCCCTACAGAACAGGCTGCGTTAAAAAACAAAAAAAAGCAGGAAAGCAGGAAAAATATTAACAGACCCACTCGAACTTACTTAATGGCTCTTTCAAATGACCTTCTGGAAAGATATTGACGAACGCTAATAATGTCCGTCATAAAATGTGAAGCATTTGAAGTAGATTCAATTCCACCCCCCTGGCAAACAGAGTATCAGGCTTCCCCCACACACTTGGCAATCAAACCAAACACCCCATCTTCTTGCTCTCGATGCTTCTCTGCCCACACTCTCATGCGCACAAATCAAACTACAGAGATTCCCTCGGGCGAATCAATCTGGCTGTATTTTATTCTCTGACTAGGAATACACCAATTCACTTTCCGCAGGTAAACGTGCATTGTGGGAACAGTAACACATGAAATGCTCCCAGCTCAGTGGCAGAGCAACTGCTTGGCATGCAGAACATCACAGGTTCAACCCCTGCTGTCCCCTGTTAGAAATCCTGGAGGGACACTTTGACCACAGGGGAGGGAGACAAAGCAGATTCAATGTGTTTAAAGGCAGATCTACCAAAGCCTAGGGCTTGCAGATCAGAAGGTCGGCGGTTCGAATCCCCGCAACAGGGTGAGCTCCCGTTGCTCAGTCCCAGCTCCTGCCAACCTAGCAGTTCAAAAGCACATCAAGTGCAAGTAGATAAATAGGTACCACTCAGGCGGGAAGGTAAATGGCGTTTCCGTGCGCTGCTCTGGTTTGCCAGAAGCAGCTTAGTCATGCTGGCCATATGACCCGGAAGCTGTACGCCGGCTCCCTTGGCCAGTAAAGCGAGATGAGCACCGCAACCCCAGAGTCGTCCACGACTGGACCTAACAGTCAGGGGTCCCTTTACCTTTACCTTACCAAAGCCACAGTTTCAGAAACAGAGTGATAACGGAAACATGGACATCCTGCAAAATCTGTGGTTCCTTGAATTTTGCAATGCAGTTCTCTAGTCAAGTAATGTGTACAAAGATGCACATTGTGGGGTAAAGTGTGCAGACCAATGTATGCAACAACAAGCAAAAAACAAACATTAAATGAGAGGGAATTGCTTTGCAAAAATGGGTATCTGCTTCGGAAGGTGTCAATGGATCGACGCCTGGCGGAATGCATAGCACTGCAAATTGGTCTTCTGAAATGTTGACGTGAGAAAGGCCCAGTTGCATTCAAACATGTACACAGTAGAAGAAATTCATACTAAAATGCTGGTGAATTTTCATGAAGACTGTTTTTTTCTTTTTCTTTTTGAATGCACACTGCTGTGGAAACGTGGAAAACTGAACTGGAAACTGGAAAAATGAGAAACAGAGAGAACCCAGAATTTACAGTCACCTTTGCTGATCTGCCAAGTTGGTGGAGACAGAACCAAACTAGATGGACCAGAGATCTGACTCAGTCTAAGGCTTAATAGCTCAGAATAAAGGAAGAAGATGAAATGCTTTTTTCATACATCGCCTCTCCCCACTGTACCACGCACCCGATCTGTGGCCTTTTTCTTTGCTGCCATCATTCCCCCTTCCCACTTTCGATCTAAATTATTTCAGTCCACCTACGCAGGGAAGAAATGTGTTGACTGGGTGCGCTCCATCAAAAGCTCTTCCCGCACAACCGTCTCTGACGTCAGGACGAAAGTGCACCTGACTTTGAATGTGTATCTGCATCAAATGCGCAGAGAGTTGTACTTTTAAAATGCAAATTCTATCAGCTCAAAGGTAGAAGGGGCTGATAATTAATGGGATCAGAATAGGCATGGGTTGGGGTGGAGGGGGGATTTAAGCCTCCCTTCCCTTGCAAAAGTCCTGAATCCATCTGCTGAAGCTGACTTTGGGGTGAAATCCACAAATAGTTATTATTAAGCCAGCAAGGTTTAGTTGACTAATTAAGTCAGATGAGTAAGTTAACAGTTCTGCAGTTAGGGAATCTCTAACACAGGCATAGGCAACCTCAGCCCTCCATATGTTTTTGGGACTACAACTCCCATGATCCCTAGCTAACAGGACCAGTGGTCAGGGATGATGGGAATTGTAGTCCCAAAACATCTGGAGGGCCGAGGTTGCCTATGCCTGCTCTAAGCCCAGTGCTTCTCAAACTTTTTTCTCTGGGTCACACTTTCAGAATAAAAATTTGCTCGTGTCACACCAAATATTTTGTTGCTAAGAAATGCATTGGGAAACAAAAAGAAAGAACTTGATTTATAACACAGAACACAACTACTTTATAATAATTATAAATGAGCCTCTTACAGATGTACCTTAAGTATGTGTACAAACTCAACGAAAAGTTATATTCGGTCTAATTTGAGACAAATGAACTCTCATCTCCTCACCAACGCAAAGAAGCCATGCTCTTGCTTTCATTTTGAAAAGATATATATCCATATTCTGTATGCATATATATATATATATATATATATATATATATATATATATATATATGATAAAGGACCCCTGGACAGTTAAGTCCAGTCAAAGATGACAATGGGGTTGTAGCACTCATCTTGCTTTCAGGCAGAGGGAGCTGGTGTTTGTCCATAGACAGCTTTCCGGGTCATGTGGCCAGCAGGACTAAACCGTTTCTGGCACAACGGAACACCGTGATGGAACCAGAGCACACGGAAACTTCCTGGCGCAGTGGTACCTATTTATCTACTTGCACTGGTGTGCTTTTGAACTGCTAGGTTGGTAGGAGCTGGGATAAAGCAATAGGAGCTCACCCCACAGCACAGATTTGAACCGCCGACCTTCTGATCGGGAAGCCCAAGTGGCTCAGTGGTTTAGACCACAGTGCCACATATTATACAATACAATACTAGGGCTGGGCAATATTTGGTTTTCAGCATCACGCTATATCACCAGCTAAACATAACGACAAACTGATATATCACAATGTCTGAAAAAAGGATGGAGTACCATAGAGGCATGGGCTGGCTTCACTGTTTCCCCCCCACAATGTGATTTTTGCATAGCACACAAACACACACATCATGATTTGCGATATATTGCCAGGTCAAAAAATTATGAAACTGATATCACAATACGGACTTCAAACCGATTTTGGACGATGTATCGATATATCACACAGCCCTATGCTGTACTGTACTATATTATACCGAAATGTTTAAATCAGGGGTCAGCAACCTTTTCCAGCCGTGGGCTGGTCCACCGTCCCTCAGACCATGTGGTAGGCCAGACTATATTTTGAAAAAATAATAATGAACAAATTCCTATTGTTATGTACTGAAGTTCTCACCCTGGGCCAGCAGGGGGATACTGTAGATAGTTTTCACTCTGGTCCACGTATGCAAATAAGGAAGTGAAAGTGACGTTCAGTGATTGGATAGTTACAGAAAGTTGTTACTGTTGCTTTGTAGTTGAGCTCTATATAAGCAGGTTGGCTGAACTCTTCAGCCTAGTTCTGTTCTGGGCCTGTGAATAAACAAGAGCTGTTTGAAGAATCGCTGTGTCGTCTGATATGTTCACCCACAACTTAACACCTATGCCCCACAAATAACCGAGAGATGCATTTTAAATAAAAGGACACATTCTACTCATGTAAAAACACGCTGATTCCCGGACCATACGCGGGCCGGATTGAGAAGGCGATTGGGCCGCATCCGGCCCCCGGGCCTTAGGTTGCCTACCCCAGTTTAAATGTTTTTTTGATTGTCCCTGAATCTTCCTGCCACACTTGCCATCCTCTCCTGCCACACCAGTGTGGCAGGCCACACCTGAGAACCACTACTCTTGACTTTGTGCTCAACAGTCTTACCGCCTTTACCTCCTTTAGAAGATGCATAAGTTAATTCAAAAGGCAGTGAACATTCCCCATGGCTTCTGCAATAACAGTACCACCACAGATTCAATTCTGCATGTGTATGTGTTGGAATAAAGAGGGGCTGCCAAGGAAGAGGGCAGCAACCGCCCCCCCCATATTGCTAACACATATAAAAATTGCAGCTGCCAAGCGCTATCAAGGCCACATCTGCACCTATATCTAAAACATTAACACAACACTTTAAACAATGATGGCTCCCCGCAAAGCATTCTGGGAACTATAATTTGCTCAGGGAGCTGAGAGTCGTTAGGAGCCCCCTATTTTCCTCTTGGAGCTACAATTCCCTGAGCTGTTAAGCACCCAGTCCATATCCCCAGGGAACCAATTTCCAGGGAATTGTTGTTGTTGTTTAGTCGTGTCCGACTCTTCGTGACCCCATGGACCAGAGCACGCCAGGCACTCCTGTCTTCTTCTGCCTCCTGCAGTTTGGTCAAACTCAGGCTGGTAGCTTCGAAAACACTGTCCAACCATCTTGTCCTCTGTCGTCCCCTTCTCCTTGTGCCCTCCATCTTTCCCAGCATCAGAGTCTTTTCCAGGGAGTCTTCTCTTCTTATGAGGTGGCCAAAGTATTGGAGTCTCAGCTTCTGGATCTGTCCTTCCAGTGAGCACTCAGGGCTGATTTTCTTCAGAATGGAGAAGTTTGATCTTCTTGCAGTCCATGGGACCGTCAAGAGTCTCCTCCAGCACCATAATTCAAAAGCATCAATTCTTTGGCGATCAGCCTTCTTTATGGTCCAGCTCTCACTTCCATACATCACCACTGGGAATTGGAAAGGACAATTGCAACGATGTACATAAAGCGCTTCAAAGAGTAAAAGAAGAAAAGAGGATCTATAAATGCTACGTGTTATTAAACAATCACGAGCAAATTGTTTAATATCTGTTTCTGGGATGCTTACTGCGGAGTGAAAAAATATATCTCTTTACAATAGACAAATGAGCACTTCTTCTTTTTTTTAAAAAAAGGGGGGGAATTGTTGAAGTTTTGAATTATGGCTTCTATTTTTATGCCAGAGTTGCAGTTAGTGCCAAAGAGCTAAACAGCCTGAATCAGAAGCAAATGAGAGGGCTGGAAAAACATTACTCATTCCTCTTTAGCTGCATTGTTCAAAGGGGAAACAGGAATTCCTTCTTGTTCCTTTCGCCGCTCCCCATCTGACGCGGCACAATTCATGGTGTCAGAACTCATCTAAATTGTCTTCAGTACAGTTCGTGAAAAGATGTCAATAGTGATTAAGGTAACCTAGCTTTTAATCCTGCAATGTTCTTCTCAAAGGGGTTTCGCTAGTATCAAATGCCCACCGCGCCGGGGGGTTAGGGCTAGTGTACTCACCTCTGGGGGTGGTGGTACCACATTGGCACCACCATCCCCTCGTAGTGTGACCCCTCCATTTATGAGATATTAGCAGTACATCTTTAGAAATGGTTCTGCTCTTTTTAAAGAGTTTGCCTTCTTTTTTTTTTTATCTCATAAAGGTAAAGCGACCCCTGACCATTAGGTCCAGTCGTGGCCAACTCTGGGGTTGCGGCGCTCATCTCGCTTTATTGGCCGAGGGAGCCGGCGTACAGCTTCTGGGTCATGTGGCCAGCATGACTAAGCTGCTTCTGGCGAACCAGAGCAGCGCACGGAAACGCCGTTTACCTTCCTGCCAGAGCGGTACCTATTTATCTACTTGCACATTGATGTGCTTTTTAACTGCTAGGTTGGCAGGAGCAGAGACCGAGCAACGGGAGCTCACCCCGTCGCGGGGATTCGAACCGCCAACCTTCTGATCGGCAAGTCCTAGGCCCACAGCGCCGTTGCCCCAAATTGTGCAGCAGCTTACACATCTGTTAAATGAATAAACAACTTTTGCTCAGAGTAGACCCAATGAAATGCATGGGCATGACTCACTTAGCCCCATTAACTTCAGTGCGTCTACTTCGAGTACAACTTAATTGGGTACCGCCTGTGATCAGTGACTGGGCAAAATCTGGTCTGTGGATGATCACCTATTGCCCTACTGAGTACTAACAGGGAGAAGAAATAGAAGAATTGTGTCGCTGACATCTATTTATAACTTTCTCTTCAAGAAGATAATCTTCTGTTCTTTCTTTTTTTGTTACAGGCGCCACCAAAACGAACAAGATTATAAGGGTTCATAGTGGTTAAAGGAGAGACCTGAAATTTGCAGTATTATAGGTTGTAACAGAATTAACTGGATATTTCCTAACAATACGACTATTTGGACTAATATAACAATAACAGCTGGTGTGGTATAGTGTTGAGGGTTTTGGACTGGGATCAGGGTTCAAATCCCCACTCAGCCACAAAGCACACCAGTCATTGCCTCTAAGCCCAGCCTACCTCACGGGCTAGTTGCGGGAATCAAAATGAGGAGGGGGGGAGGTAAAGGTAAAAGGACCCCTGACCATTAGGTCCAGTCGTGGCCGACTCTGGGGTTGCGGCGCTCATCTCGCTTTGTTGGCCGAGGGAGCAGGCGTATAGCTTCTGGGTCATGTGGCCAGCATGACTAAGCTGCTTCTGGCAAATCAGAGCAGCGCACGAAAACGGCGTTTACCTTCCCGCCAGAGAGGTACCTATTTATCTACTTGCACTCTGATGTGCTTTCGAACTGCTAGGTTGGCAGGAGCAGGGACCGAGCAACTGAAGCTCACCCCGTCGCAGGGATTCGAACCGCCGACCTTCTGATCAGCAAGTCCTAGGCTCTGTGGTTTAACCCACAGCGCCACCCGCGTCATCCGTGGGGGGGGGAGAGAACCATGTAAATAATAAAATAAACATTTTTTTTGTCGTCCCCCCTTTCCTCCTTCTTTCCCTTCTCTCCACTGCTCTTGCTAATGAATCTTTATTCTCTAATGTGCTAATGAATTTTCACTGTCAGATGGCTGATGAATTTCCTTACTTGCAGATGGTGGTGTGATGATTAATTTTATGCTCCTACAGTATATTAGCTTTTACGTACCAAGTACTTATTTAACTATTTAATTTACAGTTTTGTTTCAATCCCCTTTAAGTGAGTGAGCAGAACTAGTTCTCTGAAAGGAAACGCACACAAAAAACAACACATTTTGGGCCCCCATAAACAGATTAAGGAAGCTGAGTCCTAACTAGAAGGGGAAAAGATGGGGAAATCTAGGAATAGGAATCTTACATGGTAAAACAGGAATAGGGAATATGTTTCAGTCTGAGGGCCACAAGGAAAGAAGCATTCTCAGAGTTCAAATACACATTTCAGCCAGGCAAGAGCACTTGGGGGACAATGAAGGGTCAGTGAAGGCTGTGGCTGGGGAGAATTCCAGGGCCAGACAATGTCTTGGGGGCCACCTTTGGGCCATGGGTCTGAGGTTCCCTGCACCTGTAGTCTTCAGGAATTGCAGACCTTTAAGAGATATGTGGGGGACGCGGGTGGAACTGTGGGTTAAACCACAGAGCCTAGGACTTGCCAATCAGAAGGTCGGCGGTTCGAATCCCTGTGATGGGGTGAGCTCCTGTTGTTCGGTCCCTGCTCCTGCCAATCTAGCAGTTCTAAAGCACATCAAAGTGCAAGTAGATCAATAGGTACCGCTCCGGCGGGAAGGTAAACGGCATTTCCGTGCGCCGCTCTGGTTCGCCAGAAGCGGCTTAGTCATGCTGGCCACATGACCCGGAAGCTGTACGCCGGCTCCCTTGGCCAACAAAGCGAGATGAGCGCCGCAACCCCAGAGTCGTCCGTGACTGGACCTAATGGTCAGGGGTCCCTTTACCTTTTAAGAGATATGTGGACATATGGAGAAAATGTGGGACAAGGTGGGAAAGAAATCTTAAACTAGGATCACAGTAGAAGAAAAGACAATGAATGGACAGGCAAAAAGGAGAAAAGATCAAAAGTTAGAAGGAGGAGGAACCTAGAATTTCCACAATAAAATACAAATGTAAAATAGCAGATGAAAGCAGTCTGTCACCCTTGTACAACAAATCCACTTTTATAGAACAAAATGGGATGTTTGCAGTTAGGAAAGTGATGGGGAAATCCACTGAAAAGCATTGGGCTGAATGAATGATTAATGGTACGACCTGAGGGCAAATCAGGATGGATGCTCCTTGTCATATAATTTGCCTCTAAACAGATCCGAATGAATGTTCAGGAAAGGCCGGATGTGGTCCAATTGCCCTGTAAGCGTTGTACAAGCAAATCTGGATGAATGCTCATGTCAGCTGGAGGAGTCCTTAATGGTAACACAGCACAGAGAGGCAAACTAACCCCAGGAATGCATTTGTTTCTTTAAAATGGATTGTGAGGATTACGAACCTCCGAGAGCAAAAGGGTCTTCTGCGGTTATTCAACTGCTCGGCAGAATCTATTTGCTGTAGAACAGCCTGCGGTGGCTTATGAAACTTTTCCCTCAATATGCTGCCCACATATTTTACAAAACACTTTTGAATTGTTGTGCGGCGCTAAGTCAATTCCTTTCAGCCAGGCTTCCCCTCCCTCCTAACTGCTTTGCTGACTCATGTGGCTGAATGTTAACACAAAATAAGTGTAGAAAAATAAATAAGAGAGTGATCAAAATGCAAACATGTGGAGGCACCCCTCCTTTTTTTAAATTGCCACCATGAAACATGAATAAACAACCATAAACCTCCCATAAAGCTTGGAGCTGCTCCCTTTTGAAGAAAGGTTACAAATTTGAGGCTTTTTGTTTGTTGAGAGAAAGGGCAAGTATCCCATGTGGGGAGAAAACTGTTGAACTGGGTTCCAGCTTGCAGGCTTCCCATAGGCTGGGTTGCATCCTGCGAGAATAGATGCTGGCTGATGAGCCTTTGACTTGGTCTAGAGTCTAGACCATGGGTAGGCAAACTAAGGCCTGGGGGCCGGATCTGGCCCAATTGCCTTCTAATTCTGGCCTGCGGATGGTCCAGGAATCAGCGTGTTTTTACATGAGTAGAATGTGTCCTTTTATTTAAAATGCATCTCTGGGTTATTTGTGGGGCATAGGAATTCGTTCATTCCACCCCCCTTCAAAATATAGTCCGGCCCACCACAAGATCTGAGGGACAGTGGACTGGCCCCCTGCTGAAAATGTTTGCTGACCCCTGGTCTAGACTCTTCTAATGTTGCTTCCCTCCCAGGACTAACAACTGACTTCGGAGAGATTTCCAATGGCAACACAGTTTGTGTGACAGGGTTTAGAGGGAGAGCATTTACCCCCCGCCCCGTAGGCTGCAGTCCTGATTAAATGCTCTAGTATCAAAATTTATTATTATTATTATTATTATTATTATTATTATTATTATTATTATCATTAGAATTTATATACCACCCTATACCCAGGGGTCTCAGGGCGGTTCACAGAATAAAATCAAGATATAAAACCACAAAATACCTAATAGAAATAAAAAACAACAACCCAATAGCACACCTCCCTCACACAAAAAAACACATTTTAAAAGGGCATAGGATGTAAATCGGATCAACAAAAGGCTTCGTTAAAAAGGAACGTTTTTGCCTGGCGCCTAAAGGTATATAATGAAGGCGCCATGTGAACTTCCCTGAGGAGAGCATTCCACAGAGGGGAGCCACTGCAGAGAAGGCCCCGTTCTCGTGTTGCCACCCTCTGGACCTCTCAAGGAGGTGACACATGAAGAAGTCTTGCTCTGGTGAGCAACCTGGCTACTGAATTCTGCACCAGCTGAAGTTTCCGAACCGTCTTCAGAGGCTGATACATTAAATGCAAACATACAAATACACACGTCACCCCCTATATTTCTCACGTACAAGAGAAAGGTATCCGTACAAAAGAAACTCTGGTGAGGAAAATACTCTGTGGGTGGTAGGATCTTCAAAACAGCCTACTGTGGACTGAGCAACACATTTCTCCAGAAATGTCTGGGAGAACAATCACAAATATTGCTAGGACCACTGATATGCAGGGATGGGAGGGGGCGAGGTCAAATTCAGATTGTATTTTTGAAGGCGAACCAACCTAATTTGCACTTTCCTAGAAGAACGCACAAACCTGAACCCAGCCTTTCCAAGTTGCACTTGGATTTTACAGGGCTGTTCTCCAGCCAAGTAATGTGCATATGTGTGTGTTGGGAGGGGGAAGGTGTAGAAAAAATTAGATAAGTTTGGGAGAATAACATACAAAAAATACAGGATGGGTATTCTGTGGCACCTGTAAAAGGGCGACTGAAGTGAGCAGGTCAGTGCATCTGGCTGCTAACCAGAAGGTTGGTGGTTCAAGCCCACCCAGGATTATCAAAAAATAGATAAGTTGGGGAGAATAATAACATACAAAAAATACAGGATGGGTGGGTGGCGCTGTGGGTTAAACCACAGAGCCTAGGACTTGCCAATCAGAAGGTCGGCTGTTCGAATCCCCGCAATGGGGTGAGCTCCCGTTGCTCAGTCCCTGCTCCTGCCAACCTAGCAGTTTGAAAGCACGTCAAAGTGCAAGTAGATAAATAGGTACCGCTCCGGCGGGAAGGTAAACGGCGTTTCCGTGCGCTGCTCTGGTTCGCCAGAAGCGGCTTTGTCATGCTGGCCACATGACCCTTATGAGGAACGGCTAAGGGAGCTGGGCATGTTTAGCCTGGAGAAGAGGAGGTTAAGGGGAGATATGATAGCCATGTTCAAATATATAAAAGGATGTCACATAGAGGAGGGAGAAAGGTTGTTTTCTGCTGCTCCAGAGAAGCGGACACGGAGCAATGGATCCAAACTACAAGAAAGAAGATTCCACCTAAACCTTAGGAAGAACTTCCTGACAGTAAGAGCTGTTCGACAGTGGAATTTGCTGCCAAGGAGTGTGGTGGAGTCTCCTTCTTTGGAGGTCTTTAAGCAGAGGCTTGACAACCATATGTCAGGAGTGCTCTGATGGTGTTTCCTGCTTGGCAGGGGGTTGGACTCGATGGCCCTTGTGGTCTCTTCCAACTCTATGATTCTATGATTCTATGATTCTATGATTCTATGACCCGGAAGCTGTACACCGGCTCCCTTGGCCAGTAAAGAGAGATGAGCGCCGCAACCCCAGAGTTGGTCACGACTGGACCTAATGGTCAGGCGTCCCTTTACCTTTACCTATTCTGCAGCACCTGTAAAAGGGCGAGTGAAGGGATCAGGTCAATGTGTCTGGCTGCTAACCAGAAGGTTGGTGGTTCAAGCCCACCCAGGTTTATCACCCTTCCAGCTCTATAATTCTATGATTCTACGGTTCATACAGAAGAGGGTGATAAACCACTGGCTCTGTCGATGTTCCTGAACACCAGCTCCCATTAAGACCCAGCCAGCACGGCCAGTTTTCAGCTAGGATGGGTGTTGAAAGGACAGGGGTTCGCCACCCCTCTACTAGAGTTGCTGGATTCACAGACTCACAGAATTGTAGAGTGATTCTGGCCATCTAGTCCAACCCCCTGCAATGCAGGAATCTTTGGCCAAAACATGGGACTTGAATCCACAACCCTGCGTTGAAGAGTGGAATGCTCTGTCAACTGAGCTACCCCCAACTGGATTGTCACCCCTCAAAAAAAAAAAAACCCTTTGCAGCTGGCAAACAAGATGCCAAAGTCGAGTGGAATTTAACTAAGCACTTTTTAAATTTATCCCAATAACTTAAACATAGCTCTCTAGAGGGACACGCCATCCCAGGAAAGGAAATTCTTACACATGGGGAGGGAAATTCGGTAAAGAAAAGCCGCAAGTGTCCGTTCTGCGTAAGAGAAAGACATAATTCGAAAATGGTTTCAATTACAACCCCCCCACATTCAAAAAAAAAAAAAAAGGGACGATGAGAATGCTGGTCATAAAGCATGTTAAACGGTTTAAAGAAAAATGATTTCTTAGGCATTGCAAATTAGATAATAAAAAGCACTGGACAAAAGAAATAAATTATGCCGTGGCTTTAGAGCCTTAGTTATGATAATAAATAACGTATAAATCCGATACTGTGTTTACTGGCAACGTTTTTCTTCCCTTCCCCCTCGCCCCCCCCCGCCCTCTGATCAAGATGAGATGATCCATCATGTAATTTAATCACCGTCATCATCATCGCCGTTTTTCGTGCCAGAAGGAAAGAGACAAAAATTGCTCGGAAGGCTGAGGCTGACAATGGACAGAATCCTGGGACAAGGCAGATAATGGGTTGAGACAACTCTGCTGCTGTGTGCAGACTCTGTCTAGGCTTCCAGCTGTCAGGCTGTCACAGGCTTCATGCCCATGGACTTTGGCTGAAGTTCTCCCAAACCCGTGTGTGTGTGTGTGGGTAAGGGGTGGCGGCGGTGGGTGGCAGGGCACGGGGCCAGGATGGAGCCATTCCAGCTCCGAGATGCGATGCAGCTGAAACGCTAATTACATGCAAGCTCTCCCCGACTTACACAGCAATTTTGTAATTTGAGCACCGGGTTTCGTAAGGGCAGGAGAAGCGCCGTAACATAAGGCTTCTCCTCCCTCTCTTGTGCCTGTGCGCGCGCGCACACACACACACACACACACAAACCGTAAGCTCTTTTCAGATACCACGCTTCACACTTTGCCGGGACAGCGTGGGTGTCGCCGGGTTAGCAAATACGCAAAGCGTATCATGATATATGCAACGGTTGCCTAAGCATCTCTTAGCCACGCTTTAGCAGAGGCAAGAAGCAATTTTAAAACAAGAGACACATGCCAGTCGAAAGCAGAGCTGGATGGGGTCAGGCCTGGCTCTCCACCCTTGAAATAATTTGCTGTCATTTTCCTGGGCTGCAATCAAGAACCCCCACGTGCAAAATCTGCATTAGGGAGAGCCAAGCTACACAGTAAGTGCTTGCTTTTAAAAGGGTGCTTACAGGCACCCTTTCCCTGGGAAAAGTAGCTATATGGGATAGCAGACTCTCCAAATGTCCCTATCTTCCAGGAACAGTCCCAGATTTACAGAAGCTGTCCTGGTTTCTGATTTGATCCCGGAATGTCCCGCTTTTCCTTAGGACGTCTCTATCTGCATTGGAGAACTGTTGGAGGGTATGGAGTTACGTGAACCCCAAGCCAAGGAGATAAGTAACTATCCCCCATTGTTCTGCCCGGACACTGAGGTCCAGCTCCGAGGGCCTTCTGGCGGTTCCCTCGCTGCGAGAAGCCAAGTTACAGGGAACCAGGCAGAGGGCCTTCTTGGTAGTGGCACCCGCCCTGTGGAACGCCCTCCCACCAGATGTCAAAGAGAACAACAAATACCAGACTTTTAGAAGACATCTGAAGGCAGCCCTGTTTAGGGAAGCTGTTAATGTTTGATGCATTACTGTATTTTAATATTTTGTTGGAAGCCGCCCAGAGTGACTGGGGAAGCCTAGCCAGATGGGCGGGGTATAAATAATAAATTATTATAATATTATTATTATACGTCCTTTGGAAGACTTCAGAAGGCAGCCTTGTATAGGGAAGTTTTTTTAAAAAAACGTTTAATGTTTTATTATGTTTTTATATATGTTGGAACCTGCCCAGAGTGGCTGGGGCAACCCAGTCAGATGGGTGGGGTATAAATAATAGAATTATTATTATTAAAGAGCATGTCTCTATTTTCATTGGAGAAATGTTGGAGGGTTCAGAATTCCCTATCTGTTCCCTGGCACTCTCCTCAGCCCATTCCCGCCAGGTCAGAACCCCTCACTGATCCTGCTCCACAAACTGTTCTGGGACAGAAATAATGCCTCTTGGTTGCCTAGAAGAATGAGGAGGTGTGTGTGTAAAAAGCTGTCTTTTGCATGGCTGGAATGCAGCCTCCCGTACAAAGTCATCCATCCCCCCCAAAGCTGCTGGCAAGAAATATTGCAGGTGATGCAGGTGAGCTAGGAGAAGCAGGAGCCCAGGTGTTTCTGGCAGGAGACAGACGCCGCCTTGAAGCTGGCACTCCCACGAAAGTGTCGGGTATGTAGTGACGCAGTTTTATGCGGTGGGTGCCTTTCCAGAGGTTTGATATGGGGCAACAGCTTCCTTAGGCTCAGGCAAGCAAACTCCACAAGCCAAGGTGAGCTTTTGAGGTCACAGTCTCCAAGCCACTCCATCAGAAGAAGAGTTTGGATTTGATATCCCGCTTTATCACTACCCGAAGGAGTCTCAAAGCAGCTAACATTCTCCTTTCCCTTCCTCCCCCACAACAAACACCCGGTGAGGTGAGTGGGGCTGAGAGACTTCAAAGAAGTGTGACTGGCCCAAGGTCACCCAGCAGCTGCATGTGGAGGAGCGGAGATGCGAACCCGGTTCACCAGATTACGAGTCCACCGCTCTTAACCACTACACCACACTGACTCCTGTTGGTGAAGCTACCTGCCAAGGCATCTAGCTGGGAGACTAGCTGCCGCCCTTGCATTTGCTGCTGTGGTAGTGGTGTTTTGTAGTGGCATAGTGGGGGGGAACATGGGGGCTGTGGCCCAGGGCACAACTTCTGATGGGGCACAACCAGGTGCCCCCACGCAGGTGCCGGCTTCCATGAGTATCCTCACCCTTCCCTGACAAAAGGTGAGAGTGTGCGGACAGAGGGACACAGGTGAGGGGCAACCCCAGCATAGCCTGTCCCATGCTCCTCTCCCTGGGCGTCAGGGAGATTTGCCTGCCAAGGGCCACGTCGGCCAGCCAGGCTCCCCCCTGCCCACAGGCAGGCAGGCAGTGCAGCTTGGTCCCACTTGGCTCAGGTGCAGGGGTGTTTAGGTGGCATTGGCGGGTTGTCTGCCCCGGGCTCCAGCAACCCACGCTACACCACTTGTGTTTCACATGCTGCCGCCTTGGTGGATGACCCTGCAGAGGCATCACGGCTTCCAAGAGTGGGCCAACTCACACTCCTTGCTCTGGGCCACAGAGTGATGCATGATGGGGATGAGGGGTTTCAATATCTGTGTGGTTGGGTGTTGCTGGCACCACGCCTATTTGTTCCAGCTGTCGTCCTGGAGCATGTGCTGTGTGCTTGGGTCCCTGATTGGCTGCCCTGAGGTGGGCGGGGCCACTGGGCCTGCCGGGAGCTGTGCGTGTGGATTGTGTGGTGCGGCAGAATTGCTGGACTTGGGTGCAAGTTCTGCGGCACTTGTAGCTCCTTGGATGCTGTGGATTTTTGCACTGACAGATCTATCTCCCTGCTTTGGACTCCTCTGTAAATGAACAAACTGCAATCCATGCTGCCTTTCTGCCAAAGCACTCAAGGCCGTGCGCAATTTCAGATAATGGCTTCTAGTCTGAGAGACACGATGTAAAAGTGTGGGTGGCTGGGAAGGAACGGGAAGAGAAGAGGAAATTAAGCGAGAGGCGGGCGCCGCATCTTTCATGCGCTTACATAAGAAAGGCATGTCATGGTCAGGAGTAACTTTCAGCGCTGGGAGTCAATTCTAGGGTAGGAAGAGTCAAATCGCAGGTGGGCTCAGCCAGGTTTGTCCTGCCATTTGTTTTGGAGTCTTGGTTGCCATGGAGTGCTTAGGGGAAAGGGCGATTTGTTGTTGTTGAAAAGAAATGAGAGAGAGAGAGAGAGCGCTTGTGCCTTGGATGCTGCTAAAGAGCCACAATACGGATAGTCACATTTTCCTAATGGATGCCCTTGAAAACAATGCTGGGTCAGGATACTGCCCTGTTCCCAGGGGCATCCTGTGCCAGGAACGCAATGCGGCTTAGCCATCATAAAGCGGTGGCAAGGCTTTTCGTTGAAGGAAAAGAAGAAAAGTCCTTTTAGAGGCCATCCCAAAACCAGAGGTCCTTAAAATTTGCCCACTCTGGGCATTAATGGGTCAGAAAAGCCCCGCTGGATCCAGCCCATCTAGTCCAGCATCCTATTCACACAGTAGCCAACCTGATGACTCCTGGAAGCTCACAAACATGACGTGAAGCAACAGGAATTCTCAACAACTGGTATTCAGAGGCATTCTGACAGCGCGGCATAGCCATTGCAGGTAGTAGCCATTGATAGCACTAACCCCCATGAATTTGCCTAAAACTCTTTTAAAGCCATCCGAGTTGGGAGCCATCACTAGTTTTTGTGGGAGTGAATTCCATGCAATGTGTGAAGACGTCCTTTCTGTTATCTGTCCCAAATCTTCCAATATCCAGCTTCGTTGGTACGCCCCTAGTTCTCCTATTAGGAGAGTACAATCATACCTTGGTTCTCAAACGGAATCTGTTCCGGAAGTCCGTTCAACTTCCGAAAACATTCGGAAACCAAGGCACGGCTTCTGATTGGCTGCAGGAGCTTCCTGCACTCAATTGGAGGCCACAGAAGCCGCGTTGGAAGTTCGGCTTCCAAAAATAGTTCGCAAACCAGAACAGTCACTTCCGGGTTTCAGGCATTCGGGAGCCAAAATGTTCGAGAACTAAGCTTTTTGAAAACCAAGGTATGACTGTAGGAGAAAAGGACCTCCCTTATCCACCTTCTCCACAGAGTGCATGCAATTTTCCGGGGAAGGGGGCATTTTTGCCACACCCCAAACCTTACGAAATCTGGCACGGCTGAATACAGTGGTACCTCGGGTTAAGTACCGTATTTTTCGCTCTGTAAGTCGCACCAGACCACAAGACGCACCTAGTTTTTGGAGGAGGAAAACAAGAAAAAAAATATTTGGATTCTCAGAAGCCAGAACAGCAAGAGGGATCGCTGTGCAGTGAAAGCAGCAATCCCTCTTGCTGTTCTGGCTTCTGGGATAGCTGCACAGCCTGCATTTGCTCCGTAAGACTCACACACATTTCCCCTTACTTTTTAGGAGGGAAAAAGTGAGTCTTATAGAGCAAAAAATACGGTACTTAATTCGATCCGGAGGTCCGTGCTTAACCTGAAACTGTTTTTAACCTGAGGTACCACTTTAGCTAATTGGGGCCTCCTGCTGCCGCCGCGCTGCCAGAGCACAATTTCTGTTCTCATCCTGAAGCAAAGTTCTTAACCTGAAGCACTATTTCTGGGTTAGCAGAGTCTGTAACCTGAAGCGTATGTAACCTGAGGTACCACTGTACTTCAGCCTGACACCAAAGAAGACTTAAGATGCACAAAAGGAGCTATGCCCTTGAGAAGCCTGCACGTGCGGGTCTTGTATCCTCAAGTCACTCGGGAGTCTCTTAGGCTAATCCACCTCTGACCTCGCAGGCTAAAAGCCTCCAGCATCTGACAGAGGAATGCTGCTCTCAGTCTCTCAGCCTATGGGCTCCTACATATTGAGCATTCCTCTGGATTTGCTTGCACAAAGTTTACGTGGAAGTTAGATTATATCCGGTCTTCCTTGAGCATTCATTTCTGACCTGCTTACAGGGCAGTTGGACGACAAGCACAGTGCCGGATTTACGTATAAGCTAAACAAGCTATGGCTTAGGGCCCCACTCTCTTGGGGGCCCCCAAAAAATTAAAGGGAAAAAATCCTGGATGTACAGTTCCAAAATATAAGATAAAAAACAAATAAAATAAAAATAAATAAAACCTACATACAGCAACAGTGTTTCGTGTTGTGTAAGCTCCTATTTGTTATGTGCAAATGGCTTTAGATACCTACTAGGTCCATAAATTACCTAATAATAATAATAATTATAAATTTTATTTATACCCTGCCCTCGCTAGCCAGAGCCGGGCTCAGGGCGGCTAGCACTATTAAAATTACAGTAAAACAACAACAACAACAACAACAACAACAACCAATTTAAAATACAGGTTAAAATGCAATTTAAAATGCAGCTTCATTTTAAAAGTAGCCCATAGATCAAAACCATAAGGGGAGGGAAACATAAGGGTCAGATTGAGTCCAAACCAAAGGCCAGGCGGAACAGCTCTGTCTTGCAGGCCCTGCGGAAAGATGTCAAGTCCCGCATATAGCATATATTCAACACAAAAAACAGTGACAATTTGCTGTTGACAAAGGACAGCTGGACATATAAAGGGCCCCATTACCTTCATTGGTTGAGGGCCTCATCAAACCTGAATCCGGTCTTGGACAAGTATCATTCACCCCAACTCGTTTGAAGAGTGCTTACAGAATTCCCATTAACGTTTCATTCATCCCAACAATTTTGGGTGCATTTTCCATGCCACTTTCCAAACCACAAAAAGTTTTATTGCTCAGATTTGATGACATAACGCTTGAATCCACTTTAGCTCTCCAGACCTGTGTTCCTGAACCCCTCCCTCCTAGTGACTCTGCCACGGTGGTTCTGGCTATTACTACAGAAACCAGCTCTCAAGGATCTTTTTGTCCCTTTTTTCTGTTTTTGCCTTCAAGCAGTGACTGACAGCATAACAATCAAACATTCCCAGAAACCCGCGTATTGTACTGAGTATAGTAAAGACGTGGGCGAGCGGAGAGCAGCGTAAAAAAACTGCTCTCAGAGAAACCTGCTGTGTGGTGGCAAACGAATAACAAGCCGTTAGCAAAACCATTACTTTATTTTATTTCGATGAAGGAAGAGTAAAACGATTCAACAACATGTGCTGCTCCAGACTAAATAAACACTTAAGGGTCAAACCGGACATGACGTTAAATTATTATTATTATTATTATTATTATTATTATTATTAATTTAATTTATATATTGCCCTATCCCCGGAGGTCTCAGGGCGGTTCATGGGGGAAAAAGCAAAATATAAAACCACAAAATATATAATCAAAATGTAAACACCAACCTAATAACCCCCTCCCCCGAAAAAAAACACCCATTTTAAAAGGGCATAGGATGCCAATCAAATCAACCAAAGGCCTAGTTAAAAAGGAATTTTGCTTGGTGCCTAAAGGTGTATAATGAAGGCGCCAGGTAAACTTCCCCAGGGAGAGTATTCCACAGACAGGGAGCCATTGCAGAGAAGGCCCAGTTCCTGTGTTGCCACCCTCCGGACCTCTCGAGGAGGTGACATATGAAGAAGGGTCTCAGAGGATGATCTCAGGGTCCAGGATAGGTTCACATGGAAAGAGGTGGTTCTTGAGGTATGGTGGTTCTGAGCCATTTAAGGCCTTATAGGTCAAAACCAGCACTTTGAACTGGGCCCGGAAACTAATTGGTAGCCAGTGCAGTCGGACCAGGATCGGTGTAAGATGCTCAAACCGTCTTGCTCTGGTGAGCAACCTGGCCGCTGAATTCTGTACTAGCTGATGTTCCCAAACCGTCTTCAGAGGCAGCCCTACGTATAACGCATTGCAGTAATCTAACCTTGAGGTTACCAGAGCATAGACAACAGTAGTTAGGCTATTCCTGTCCAGATAGGGGCATAGCTGGGTCACCAGCCAAAGCTGATGGAAGGCACTCCGGGGCACTGAGGCCACCTGGGTCTCGCGCGACAGCAAAGGATCCAAGAGGACCCCCAAGCTACGAACTGGCTCCTTCAGAGGAACTGTAGCCCCATCAAATGGAAGCAACCTCCCACCCATCTGGTCTAGGGAACCACCCACTAACTGCCTCTATCTGGATTGAGTTTCAGTCTGTTGGCTCTCATCCAGTCCATTACGGAAGCAAGACACTGGTCCAGCACTTCCACTGCCTCACCTGCAGATGCAAAGAAGAAAGAGCTGAGTGACATCAGCATACTGCTGACAACGTACTCTGAACCTTCGGATAACCCCACCCATTGCTTTCATGTAGATGTTAAGCAACGTGGGGGATAGGATCAAGCCCTGTGGAACCCCACATTGAAGGTCTGATGGGGCTGAAAGGCATTCCCCAAGCAACACCCTCTGGGAACCACCATCCAAGTAGGACTGGAACCACTGCAAAGCAGTGTCACCCGCCCCTAGTTCAGATAGCCGCTTCAGAAGGACACCATGGTTGATGGTACTGAAAGCCTCTGAGAGGTCGAGGAGAATTAACAGGGACATGTTTCCCTTGTCTCTCTCTCGACAGAGGTCATCACACAGGGCGAGTGTAATGAGTATGGGTTGCTCGTGCGTAAGTTGCCGCCTCTCCTGGCTATGTTGCCTTGTTAAACCTTTCTGTCTGGACAGCCCTTCACTTCGTGGCTGCCTCAGTCGCTAGCAGAATCCGTCAGTGGGCGTTTCTTAAACCTTTTCCAACATAAAAGTTGTTTGACGCTAAGTCTCCTCCTACTCTCCCTGCGCGGAAGCCTTCTGCGCAGGGAGGGCGTGGGTAGCGGAGGACCCGTGCTCTCCCCGCTGGTGTCCGGTGAAGAGTCCTGGAGCCCTCTCGCCGATTCCCCCGTCTGCCCCCCTTTATCCCTGGTGTTGCGCTGATTTGCTTCCCCATCTGCTGAGCTGCCTCTCTCCCTGCTGGGCCCTTCTCCAGCATCATTTGAGAGCCTTCCCTCCGCCTCTAGCTCCGATGTCAGTTCCCTGACAGCGAGCAAAGCAGTTTCTGTGCCAAAACCGGACCTAAACCCTGACTGAAATGGATCCAGAAAATCAGTTTCTTCCAAAGGTGCCTGGGTCTGGTCTGCGACCACTCGCTCCAGAACCTTGCCCAGGAAAGGGAGATTAGCAACTGGCCGGTAGTTAGTTAGGTTTTCCGAATCCAGGAGTGGTTTTACCGTTTTACCACTGCCTTCATCAAACAGGCAGGGACCACCCCCTCTCGTAAAGAGGCATTGAACACCCCCCCTGACCCAGCCAGCTGTTCCCTCCCTGCTGGTTTTTATCAGCCAAGAGGGGCAAGGGTCCAGGGTGCAAGCAGTCGCCCTGACCAATCCGAGCACCTTGTCCACGTTCTCCAGCATTTAACAGGCAAGATTTAAGATATGCAAAGATCAATTATTAAATAGGATTGTAGCAAGCAGAGAGGTGCTAAGGAAAACTGTGCCTGGTAGTTGTATTGGGAGGCAATCTCCCATTGGCACCATGCTGGTGGGTGGCAAAAATGGGAGGAAAAAATGGAGTGAGTGTGGGACGGACCGAAATTTGAAGAGGAGGAAGGGGAGAAAAGCTCTCTGCAAGTGAGGAGCTCAGCCCTTCAGAAAGAGCTACCTCTTCCACCCTTCTTCAGTCGTCCTTCCCAGGAAACCCTAGGAATTGTAGTTCTCTGAGGGGAACAAGTGGTCTACTAACAACCTTCAGCACCCTTATCCAATCACAGTTCCCAGGATCCTTTGCAATAAGCCACAACTGTTTAAAGTGGGGTGCTACGTCATTAAATCTATAGTGTCGACAGGGCTTTACAGCTACAGGCTCCAGCCCCAAAGCTCTCTGAATCTTCATTGTGTGGTTCAAACAATAAGACTGTGTGAAAGGATGAATATATTTCCCCCTCTAGTATTATTATTATTATTAGTAGTAGTAGTAGTAGTAGTAGTACAGTGGTACCTCAGGTTAAGTACTTAATTCGTTCTGGAGGTCCATTCTTAACCTGAAACTGTTCTTAACCTGAAGCACCACTTTAGCTAATGGGGCCTCCCGCTGCCGCCGCGCCGCCGGAGCATGATTTCTGTTCTTATCCTGAAGCAAAGTTCTTAACCTGAAGCAAAGTTATTAACCTGAAGCACAATTTCTGGGTTAGCGGAGTCTGTAACCTGAAGCGTATGTAAACTGAAGCGTATGTAACCCGAGGTACTACTGTAGTAGTAATAGTATTAATTTTATTTCTATACTGCCCTATACCCAAAGGTTTCAGGGCGGTTCAGATAAAGTATATCTTTAACTGGAAGAACACACTCGCTTTTGGTTATGCAGCCGGTGGGCAGCCGGTAATGGCAGAGTGAAGGCCCAATTGTGGGACAGAGCCAACACTAAAGTACAATAGCAGTGTGTGTACGTCTATGTGTTTGAATGCTTGCTATGGAAATTGTAGTGTCACGAGTACCTATTTTCATCTTTGAAATGTCAGAAAGCCTGCTACGCATGCAGAGGTACCATGACAGACCCAACAGGGAGATTTTATGAGAAATTCTATCCCACTGCCAATGTGTTAACAGTGACTCATTTGATTTGTTCACTACACAGGGAACTGACCTGGGAGGAAAAACACATTTCTCCATCGGCTGGCTTCCCCTCCAACCTTATCTGTTTTCCATCCATGGAAAACAGCTGGTTTATAGTTTCTCTGTGAAACAGAGTTCCGTCGTCGCACCAAAAAGCCCATGCCCACTTTTCATCTGTTCCAAATTAGCTGGAAGAGTCAGAATACCACCCACGATAAAGGATTTCGCACCAGTGGAATTTGTTCTTCCTTGGGGACGTTTACCACAAGACTGAACAAAGGGAGCTATATCCCATTCTAGCTTAGGGAAACACCAGAGTACAATTAATGCGATCTCAACTATTTCCACTATTGAATTCAGTGGGGTTTACTCCCAGGCAAGTAGGGTTAGGATTGCAGCCTTAGGATTGCATCCAATGTTTAAATTCATGGACACAACTAACAAGGGCCCAATCATGTCAATGGGGATACTCTGAGTAGGACTTAGCAGGCTACAATCCTGAGAGAGAGAGAGAGAGAGAGAGAGTATCAGGCTTTTATTTCCTATTTATTTAAGGCATCTTTCTTTTTCTTGCTGTTTAGATGAGTCCATTTATTGGTGCAAATGTTTATTTAGCTAACAAGAAACCGCCTTTCTAAATCTGAATCCTTGCAATTGACAGTGTCTTAGGGTGCCATATGCAAGATGTTTTTTACCCTACAAGGGAGTTCTCAACATTTATATGTAAGTGTAAAGAGTCCCTTCTTTGGTCACCTATGGTGAGTAAGACTCACTCTCAGGGAGGAGGCAAAGAAGGTGAAGACATCCTTTTTATCCTAAGTCTTTTGAGACCTTTTGAAGGTGAAGAAAAAGAGTCTAAATGTCCCAGAAGTCGGTTTTTGTTTTGTTGTTAACTTTCAACACTTCTTTTCTGCAATATGAGAAACTGCACACCGATTCAAATCAATGGCCCATATAACCCAAAAGTGTCAACACTGAATCGAGATGGAGGGCCAAAATGTCACTTTGGTGCAATTTTGCCCATTTTTTGGGCATAGGTTCAGCTGCCTCTCATTGCCAAACTCAGCATGAGAGTTCCTGAGGTGGAACTGCAGATTTTATCAATGTTTGGATAGTGGGCGCCATTTTGAATCAAGTTGGTGGACCCAAATGTGACTCTGGTGTGAATTTGTCCATTTTTCGCAAAGTTCCGGCCTCCTCTTAAGATATTCTCGCCAAACTCAGCACAAGGGTTCTGAGGTGGAATGGCTGTTTTAGTTGATGTCTGGGTACTGAGTTCCATTTTGAATCAACATGGAGACCAAAACATGGTTTTGGCTGACTTTGCCCAAATTTTGGCGTGATGGGTCAAAACTCACAAATTGTACTACCCTTTTAAAACTCACAATATTCAACAAATTCCTGGGCAGTGTTAAACACCCCTCACTAGTAGGAACTATAACAAGGTGGTGTGCAACATAACAATAACACAACAATAACAACATTGGTAAAAACATTAGTAACAATAAAAACAAGTATCCAAACTTGGAGTAGAGCCACTGAAATGAATAGACCCGAGATAGTCATGCTCATTAATTTCAATGGGTCTACTTTGAGTAGGACTTGCACTGGATTAAACCCACTGGTTAAAAAAAGGAGAAACATTCCAAAGACCTGTCTGAACAATACATTTTTAAAAAGTAAATAGGGATTATTCTTGCTGAACGTCTATTGGCAAGGAGTTCCACAGGGCAGGGTTTGCCATGCTGAAGGCTCAGACCCTGGTAAAGGATGACTGAACCTCAGGGGCATTGGGGACCACCAAAAGTCTTCCACCAGATGATCTCAGTGATGAAGATGGAACATGAAGAACCAATTTGCCTAAATTGTTTAAGGCTTTGTGAATTAACACAAGAACTTTGTGTTACAGTTGGCAACCAGTGAAGCTTTCCCAGCAAAAGGAGTGACATGTTGCTAGTGACCTGATCCTTTGAGGATCCTGGCCGCTGGCTTCCACACTAGTTGCAGATTCCGGACCAGATTCCACTGCAGTCAATAACCCTGTGTTTTATTCTGGGCTGTCAACATCTAACAAAATGGCAAGCACACGGAGAGCCTTTAAATCAGGCGTTGTCAACCTGGTTCCTACTGCCCACTAGTGGGAGTTTCAGGATTCTAGGTGGGCGGTAGGGGGTTCTACGGCACAAGCTGAATCCTCCTTCCATCGAGCACTGGTGGGCGGTAAGCAAATTTTACCATCAATAAAGATGCATTAGTGGGCGGTAGGTATAAAAAGGTTGACTAAATGGTGGTCTTTAAATGGTGGTCAGTGCATTGGTAATCTTAGAATTAGACTACTGCAATATGCTGTGGCGGGGGCTATCCTTGCACCTGGTTTGGAAGCTGCAGCTTTCGCAAAATGCATCTGCTAGGGTGCTTAGCAGGGTACCCAGTTCTGCACCAGCATCGAAAGATCTGCACTGGCTGTCTCTTATACAGTGGTACCTCGGGTTACGAACTTAATTCATTCCGGAAGTCCGTTCTTAACCCGAAGCGTTCTTAACCCGAGGTGCGCATTCCCTACCTAGGCCTCCCGCAGCCCCGGAAGAGGAATTGCATTCATATCCCAGGGCAAAGCTTGCAACCCACGACACCTACTTCCAGGTTTGTGGAGTTCGTAACCCAAGGTACCACTGTAGTTTCATGGACCAACACTCAGGCTGGTTGAAACCTTGTAAAAGACAAAACCGCCCCAAGTTAGCTATGCTCTTGTTAAACACAAATCTTCGTCAGGCCACCTTCACAACATCTCTGAGGGCACTTGCACATCACACCCAACTGCGAGACACTCTTTCAGTGCCAATGAGCCAAATCCCCAACATTATAGCCCAGTTTGTACAGCAAGAGAAACTTGATCTCAGGGCTGTGGGTTCAAGCCCCACGTGGGGCAAAAGATCTCCAAATTTCAGAGGGTTGGATTAGATGAGTGGCCTGGTCCCTTCCAACTTTACAATTCTGTGATTCTATGAGCAGCCTTTGCAGTAGGCAACCTTCCTTTAGAGTCTGGCCTAGAATTGCTCATTTCAAACTCTTGGCTGACTTAAAGGTAAAGGGACCCCTGACCATTAGGTCCAGTCGTGGACGACTCTGGGGTTGCGGCGCTCATCTCACTTTACTGGCCAAGGGAGCTGGCGTACAGCTTCTGGGTCATGTGGCCAACATGACTAAGCTGCTTCTGGTGAACCAGAGCAGCGCACGGAAATGCCGTTTACCTTCCCGCTGGAGTGGTACCTATTTATCTACTTGCACTTTGACGTGTTTTTGAACTGCTAGGTTGGCAGGAGCAGGGACCGAGCAACGGAAGCTCACCCCATCGCAGGGATTCGAACCTCCGACCTTCTGATCGGCAAGTCCTAGGCTCCGTGGTTTAACCCACAGTGCCGCCTGCCTCCCCACCTTGGCTGACTTACACCTTGCTTTATTCCTTTATTGTCCTCAGCATTCAAAATTCACCAAATGCCCCTGCTTGCAACCAAGTGAAGATGCCCGGGTGCTGGGATGGCGGCGTCTGACATGATGGTGGAGATCATGTGGTGGTGGTGGGTGGGAATCCTTGGAACCCTGACTGTTTTCACACACTGGCAACACATTCTGTAGAATTCCACCCATTATATTTTATATGCCCAATCAGACTGAATTTCAGAAACAAAAAAAGTTGTATTGAAAAACACGGCTTTTGGGCTGCCTGGCCCCAAAATGGCAACTAGACATTCCATGTTGGTGACTGCAACCCTGGTTTAAGGAGCCATTTGACACCTAGCTTCTATATCTGAGTTTCTAGCACTGCCACAAGGCCATAGCTGAGTGGCAACATCAGCTTTGCATGCATAACGTCTCAGATTCCATTCCTGGCATCTTCAGGTGGGCCTGGGACAGACCTCCATCTGAAACCCTGAAGGGCCACTGCCAGCCAGTGCAGGCAGCACTAGCTAGATGGACCAATGGTCTGACTCTCTAGAAAGGCAGCTTTCTAAATCTGACATGTTTATTATTACATTTCTATCCCGCCTTTTTTCTCCAAGGAGTTGGAGGTGGTGTACATAGTTATCTTGCCCTCCTCATTTAATCCCCACAACAACCCTGCGAGGTAATAATAATAATAATAATAATAATAATAATTTATTATTTATACCCCGCCCATCTAGCTGGGCTTCCCCAGCCACTCTGGGCAGCTTCCAAAAAATTTAAAATACTATAATACATCAAACATTAAAAGCTTCCCTAAACAGGGCTGCCTTCAGATGTCTTCTAAAAGTCTGGAAGTTGTTGTTCTCTTTGACATCTGGTGGGAGGGCGTTCCACAGGGAGGGCACCACTACCGAGAAGGCCGTCTGCCTGGTTCCCTGTAACTTGGCTTCTCGCAGTGAGGGAACCACCAGAAGGTCCTCGCAGCTGGACCTCAGTGTCTGGGCAGAACAATGGAGGTGGAGACGCTCCTTCAGGTATACTGGACCGAGGCCATTTAGGGCTTTAAAGGTCAGCACCAACACTTTGAATTGTGCTCGGAAACGTACTGGGAGCCAATGTAGGTCTTTCAAAACCGGTGTTATATGGTCTCGGCGGCCACTCCCAGTCACCAGCCTAGCTGCCGCATTCTAGATTAGTTGTAGTTTCCGGGTCACCTTCAAAGGTAGTCCCACGTAGAGGGCATTGCAGTAGTCCAAACAGGAGATAACCAGAGCATGCACCACTCTGGTGAGACAGTCCGCAGGCAGATAGGGTCTCAGCCTACATACCAGATGGAGCTGGTAAACAGCTGCCCTGGACACAGATTTGACTGAGCTTTGTGGCAGAGGGGGGATTCGAACCCTAGTCTGCCAGGTCCTAGTCTAGCCCTCTAACCACTACACCACACTGGCACCTGGATGATCCACATGACCAACTGGGAGTGGGGGAAGACTACCTCAGTCAGGCTGCAAGGCACCCAAATCATGGAGGAAGCATGGAGAGGTTTTGAGGGCAAGGAAGGCTAATTTGCGGCTCTCCAGGTGTTACAGGACTCCAAAGGTCATCAGCCACAGCCAGTAAGGCTCAGGTATGAGGGAAGCTGCAGTCCAGTGAGATCTGAAGGACTGTAGGTTCCGCAGCTGCCTAAGTGGTCAGATTCAGAACAGGTTACATGAAAGCAGGCGGTTGGAGGGAGTCTCTTTCAAACTGCCAAGGAACCGCCAACATCCCCCACACCTGGAATCATAGAATTGTACAGTTGGATGGGACCCCATGGGTCATCTGGTCCAATCCCTGCAGGGCAGGAAGCACAGGTAAAAGCTTTGGCACAGGAAGTGGGGCTTCCAGGCACCTCTCAAACAAATGCTGACACTGCTCAGAGATAGAGCAGATGTTTCGGATGCCTCCTTGCCTGATGCCGGTCAGTGCAAGACAATACTCAGCTAGCTGGAACAATGGTCTGAGTCCATTTAAGGCTTCTTCTCCCTTTGTTGCTTGTGCCTAAGTTGTGAGGTACAACACGAAGCAGCAACTTCCAGCCAGGGAACATATTTGTGGTGTTTTGTTTTGTTTTGTTTTTTAAAAACTCCCACTACCACCCATCTTCCTTCCAAACAGTCCAGGGCAGCACACATTTTCCACATCACAACAGCCCTGCAAAGTAGGCCAGGCTGAGACATTGTGACAAGCCGAGGCTCACCCACTAAGCTTCATAACTCAGTCGGGATTTGAATCCAGGGTTCCACATTAGGTACAAAGTAGGTAGCTCAGCCTGGATAGCTCGGCTGGTTACAGCATGGTGCTGATAACGCCAAGCTGGATGGGACATATTCCTTCCTTGTGAGGGGTTGGACTAGAGGATCTTCAGGGTCCCTTCCAACTCTACAATTGTGCAATTCTACGAGATTGCCATGCAGTGATGGTCACCGACCTGAATGGCTTTAAAAGGGGAACAAACACGTCATGGAAGAGAAGGTGCTGCTACGGTCATGAAGGCTATGTTCCCCCTCCATTGTTAGAAGCGCTATGCCTCTGCAGAAGGGACTTTTTATCATATGTGGTAGGAAGGTAAAGAAGTTTTAAAAAATTGGGAAACGATATATAATGAACTGAAGAAAATGTTTAAAATGACATTTGTTAAAAAACCAGAAGCATTTTTGTTAGGGATTGTAGGACAAGACCTGCCAAGGAAAATAAAGAATTTATTTATGTATGCAACAACAGTGGCAAGAGTCTTGATAGCACAAGGATGGAAGAAGAATGAGGAACCCCCCCCCCCCCGACAAAAGAACAGTGGCAAGAGAAATTGATGGATTATGCAGAACTGGCTAAATTGACATACAAACTACGAGATAAGGACAACTGTGACTTTAAACAAGAATGGGAACTTTTTACAAATTACTTAAAAAGACAACAAAATGAATTGGACTCCTTGGCAGGTTTTGAATAAACATACACAAATTTATTGATTGATAGCATGGCAGATAGATAATGTAGGAGTTGCATAATTTTATAACATGCAGAGAATAATATGTGTTGAGAAATCAGAGAGAGGAGCTGAGGGAAGTCTCTGGGGGAGAGGAGGGAGGGTTTGGGGGTGGGGAAAAAAGGGGAAAATAATGAATATGATATGTTTTGATAAGCTGTTATGTTGAAATTGCTAATAAAAACATTTTTTAAAAAAGAAGCGCAATGCCTCTGGGTTCCAGCTGCTGGGGAGCACAAGTGAGGAAACAGCTTGTTGAAACCAGGTCCTGCCTGTGGGCTTTCCACAGGCATCTTGTTGGCCACTGTGAGAACAGGACGTTAGACTGGAGGGGTCTCTGGCCTGATCCAGCAGCGATGCGAACCCCATTGCTGCTGTTCCATCAGAGACAACTAATTGCATATCCGGCAGAAATTCATTCTGCAGGCAACGGGTTGCTCACATATCAGAATATATCCTCTTGTTAGCACAGCCTCCACCCCGTCCTTTCAAAACCCTCTGTCACCACGCGACTAACAACAACACCGTGCCTCTCTGAGCATGCACAGAGTACGTCCCTCCTCCCAACCCAGCCGCCAAAGACCATGCAGGAACTCTGAAGAGATGCAACCTTCCACAGAAGACCCGCCCACGTCCAACTGAACGCGGTGGTGATGGATATGATTCATTCAGGGTGCAAAAGAGCCGGGGGTAAAGGTACGAGTGCCGCTTCCAAGCCCCTCTTCTTTCTAGCAATAACCCGAACCCCCTCCCCAGATCTTCCCAGTTTGCGGTGGCTTGGAAGTGGGCAAGGACACGCGCGCGCCCCAGCGCCAAATCAACTGCCTGCCCTTTTCCTCGCTGGTCCTCCCTCGTGGCAGCAGCCTGGGCTAGGCAAGAGCGTCCCCGTCTTCCCCGCAAAAGTGCCGGCCTCTTTCTCTCTCTTTTTTACCTGCTGAAGAAACCAGCTCCCCCTCGCTCAGCTCTCCGGAATCCGAATCCATGGTGGCGCGGCGGAGCAGCTGCCCGGGTTCCGCGTCTCCAAGAGCGCAAACGCCTCGTCTCGGCCGCTTGCGAGAAGTCGGGCGCCCAGATTACTTGGAGGAGGAGGGAGGGACAAGGAGGGCGGTCCGGTCCGGTCCGCCTCTTCCTCCTCCTCCTCCCAGCCCAGTGCCGGGTCAGCTCCGCCACATGCAGTAGCAAACCGCCGCCGCCGCCACCTCCTCCTTTTCGTAGCAGCGAAAAGCGTCGGGCTGCTGGCACAGGCGGAGCCAAGAGACGGGCCGGCCGGCGGCACTGGCTCGTTTTTGTTTTGTTTTTTTTGAGGGGCAGCCTGGGGAGGCGAGAAGGAAGAGGGGCTGGGGGTGGGGGAAGAGCTCAAGAAGCAGGAACAGCATTTTCTCCCTGGTTCTCCTCGCTGCCCCTTGATGTGAGATCCAGCTGGATCGCTTTCCAGCAACTCCCTCCTCCTATCTTTGGGCGTCTCCACATTATTTCCTCGTGCATTCCCTTATACCGAGCGCGTAACTCAAAGGATTGGGAGGACCCGAGGATCGCGCTCCCTCGTGGGCAACCTTTGTGGGGCGGTGGGGGGTGGGGAGAAGAGAGATGCCGATGGATGGATGGAGGGGACATAGGTGTGCAAGGAAGAGCAGGCCAGCGAGTAAGAAGCAGAATCAGCCGTGCAGGGGACTTGGGAGCGCGGAGCAAAGGCCAGTGAGGTGTGTGGTCTGGGGTCAATGGTGCTAGTAAGGAGTCAAAGAGCTTGCTGGATCAAGCCCATCTAGTGCAGCATCCTTTTTCTACAGTGGCCAAGCAGATGCCTCACTGGAAAACCTGCAAGCAGAATTCAAGCACAAGCACCCTCCAACATTTCTCCAATGAAAACAGGGAGGTTGCCCCAGCCACTCTGGGCAGCTTCCAACATATATAAAAACATAATAAAACTTTAAAAAAACCTTCCCTATACAGTGGTACCTCGGGTTCCATACGCTTCGGGTTACATATGCTTCAGGTTACAGACACTTCAGGTTACAGACGCTTCAGGGTACAGACTCCACTAACCCAGAAATAGTACCTCGGGTTAAGAACTTTGCTTCAGGATGAGAACAGAAATCGTGCTCCGGCGGCACGGTGGCAGCTTCAGGTTAAGAACAGTTTCAGGTTAAGAACGGACCTCCGGAATGAATTAAGTACTTAACCCGAGGTACCACTGTACAAGGCTGCCTTCAGATGTCTTCCAAAGGTTGTGTTGTTACTTAACTCCTTGCCTCGGGGGTTGCATAACTCCATACATACCCTCCCACATTTCTCTGATGAAAACAGGGACATCCTAAGGAAAAGCGGAGCATTCCGGGGTCAAATCAGAAACTTGGACAGCTTCTGTAAATCTGGGACTGTCCCTGGAAAATAGGGACACCTGGGGGTCTGAGCACAAGACCACTTTCTCCTGTGGTTTCCAGCAAGTGGTCATCAGAAGCATTGCTGATTCCAAGTTGAGCATAGCGAAGATAGCCCTCTCCTCCAGGAATTTCTCTAATCCTCTTTCAGTGCTATCAAGGTTGGTAGCCGGCCCTGCTGAGCAGGTTCCAGAGTTCAGCTGTGTGCTGTGTGTAGGAGCACTTTTCCTTCCCTCTCTTTCTGATGCTTTGCTTTGTGTTGGATGCTTAAGCAGCCAAAACGGTACCACCCGCACACTCAAGAATGGGGAGCAGCCTAGAATTTGGTAGGGAGCAGAATGGTGTGTGTGTGCGTGCAAATTAGAATCGTTGGTTCTGCCTGTTGTTGGCTTTGGCTCCACCTGCTGTTGACATCTTAGCCTTCCAGTCTCGATGGTCACCTGCCACTGCCAGGGACACCATAGTTCTTCTTCCTTCTTTTCAAAGCATAGCTCCGTACGTCCAAAGGCAACTGAGCAGAGCAGGATATTAGTCACCATAGCCTTTCAATGATTTGCAGGGAGCAAAGTGCTGATCTCAATTTGTTAAGACTTTAATGACTGCGCTGGGGCTAAAGGGGAAAACATACTGTAAGCCAAACGCTAATAATTAGGACTTGCTGGTTCCGTAAGTGCTTTTGATTTGCTGTCCTGATGCTGGTGCACGGAGATTTCTGGTCCAGACTAAGCTCTCCACATGAACCATAGCAAGTGTTAACAGCTGCTAATGACAATTAACACCATTGATTTAACTTCATGATTATGATAATTATTCTCTCTCTCTCTCTCTCTCTCTCTCTCTCTCTCTCTCTCTCTGCTTTTTAACCAGAATGACTTCACAATTCAAGGTGATTCATGACAAGAGTGGCCAACGTTTTAAAAAACCACCACCTGTGTTGGGACTTTTAACAGGAGCTTAATTGGCAGACCTTAGCTGGTGATGATGGGAGATACTTATTTCCATGCCTCAGTGGTGTAACATGGGTTGCAAGCACCCGGGGCAAGACAAGTATTGTGCCCTGTAACATATGACAGCACTGGCGTGGCAATTGCAGCCCACCCACCTCCTGGATCACCTCCCCACCCATTTCTCCCTTTTCACCTTGTTAAATGCAGTGTTAAATGCAGATCACAGCAACTGCCACCCCAAGCACAATATAAACAGCTCAACAACATATGTGCCTTTCACCTGATAGAAGAAGTGAGGGAAGTAAAGCATGAGAGTGCAATTGTGAGACCACGGTGGGTGGGATTTGAGGCGTTCCCTGCCTCTTGAGAGAGGCACAGACTGAGGGGGAGGGCATGCTAATTTTTTATTTTGAAATTTTGCGCCCCTAATAATTTTGCACCTGGGGCAACCACCCCTGTGCCCCTGTGCCACACACTACACAACTGCCATGCTGGGAAAAGTTTCCCTTCTTAATTTATACCAACTTGCGTCACTATGGAAGGCCCAAAATAGTCTAGGCAAAGGGGTTGTTTGGTCAGGTAGGAGCAGAACCACCATCCTACACAGCCTTGCTCACTACTGTGATCCAGAAGGATGTCGCAGTTGGTGACCTCAGAAGCTGCTCAAAGATCCAGGAGAACCAAGAGGAGTGTGCTCCTTCCTATTCCTGTCCTGTTAAAGGACATCAGTCAGGGCAATTGGGCCGTTTCAGTGCCGAAAAGGGGCCTTATGCCAGACTGAAATGGGTCTGGATAGATAATCAGCTTCATCCAGGTATCCCTGAAGTTGCCTGGCAACCAGCTTCTCCATCACTTTGCCCAGCCTTGGGATGGCTTGCTCTTGTAAGTCAAGATGGGCAAAAGTCAATAGAGCAACCATTGGCTACACGCTTGTAGGTGCCCCGTCCACATCCTCAGGTTGCAACAACTGAATCTGATCCTAAGTGAACTGGGGATCCTGTGAATGGTGAGGGTAAAGGGTGCTGAGAGTGGCTAGGAGACCCCTCTTCCCCTTCAGAGACTACAATTCCCAGAGTAGTTTCATGATCCACCTCTCTTCACAGGGAACACTGGGGATGGTATGCCTTTGAGGGGATTTCCTAACAACTCTCAGCAGCCTTAAAAACTACAGTTCCCATGATTCTTTGGGGGGAGCCATGGCTGTTTAAAGTGCCCTGATATTGCTTTCAGTGTATAGAGCTTTCATCTTTATTTGAAGATAAAGTTGCTCACCCAATGTATCACAGCAGGCATCTGAAGAGTTAGTTGTTCTGGTGTTTGGATCTTTCTAACCAATCCACTCACTAATCCAGGCTTCCTCAACCTTGGCCCTCCAGATGTTTTTGGCCTACAACTCCCATGATCCCTAGTTAGCAGGACCAGTGGTCAGGGATGATGGGAATTGGAGTCTCAAAACATCTGGAGGGCCAAGGTTGAGGATGCCTGCTCTAATCCATCTCCCCATGATGGGGAAGAATGCGACCAGGTAACCAGTCTGTCTCCTCAGTCTGCTGCCTAGGTGCTGCAAACGGTTGCTGGGCAACTTCAGAGCTCCTGTTCTCTCCCCGTATGGTTGTCTCTAAACAAAACCTGGGGCTACACAGCCATGAATATAGAAGACACCTTCGGCATGAGGCTCTTAATCGCAGGTCATGGGTTTGAGCCCCAAGCTGGGCAAAAAGATTCCTGAATTACAGGGGGCTGGATCCATGTGATCCTTTCCAACTCTACAATTCTAGGATTCTATGGAAGATCAAGGGCTCTAAAGCAAGACACAGGTCACCCTTGCTCTCCACTCGTCGTGCGTCGTGGGATGCAGGTGGCACTGTGTTCTAAACCACTGAGCCTCTTGGGCCTGCCAATCAGAAGGATGGAGGTTCAAATCCTTGCAATGGGGTGAGCTCCCATTGCTCTGTCCCAGCTCCTGCCAACCTAGCAGTTCGAAAGCACACCAGTGCAAGTAGATAAATAGGTAGCACTGTGGCAGGAAGGTAAACAGCATTTCTGTGCCCTCTGGTTTCTGTCACGGTGTTCTGTTGCACCAGAAGCAGTTTAGTCCTGCTGGCCACATGACCTGGAAAGCTGTCTGTGGACAAACGCCAGCTCCCTCGGCCTGAAAGCGAGATGAGCGCCATAACCCCATAGTCGCCTTTGACTGTACTTAACCGTCTAGGGGTCCTTTACCTTTACTTAACAGGTGGGGCAGTGGGGTCTAGTGCCCTTTGGGACTAGTAGGGGCAGGGAGGTCACCAGTAGGTGGAGGCAGAGACAGGCAGAGCAAGCGCCAATGACAAACAGTGCCAACGGAGGGCAGAACCATGCAATTTAATGCACATCGAATGCGCAATGATCTCCCCACAGACTCACTTGGCATCCATATAGCTGCCGTTTTAGTGCAGTCTGAGCTTTCTTTGCTGTCCCTGCCCATTTATGATTGTGGTGTTTTATCAAAGTTTGGGAAATATGTAGAGAAATCACCAGGGGTATCCCAGCTGGCTCAGGAAATTAATCGTTTTGTATTTACAGGAGGGAGGGCCATGGCAAACTACTTCTGCTCATAAGAAAGTGATGTGATAAAGTTTAAAGAATTTTGCTTGATTGAAGGCGTATTTAAGTCACATGACCAAAGAGTAGAGAAGATAGTGGCGCCAGTTTCTCATTTTATCAATATTTACAATTAAGAAATTATATTTTAAAAAGCTATTTCAATTTCAACAGGGGTCTTAGGCCATTCAGAAAAATGCTACTACTTAAGCAACAGA